TTATCCAGCGCCCCACAGGGGTGCGGGGGGGAGCACTCCGCCCCTCCCGCCGGCCCCCCCACCCCCCCCACCCCGACCTTTTCGCCCCCTCACCCCCCCCCCCCCCCCCCCCCCCACAGGGTATGTACATTTGAAAAATCACAAATCAAAAACCGAGTTCAATTTTGGCGCATCTGACATCATCATATGCAAGCCAGGGCCGAATCCCAAGAAGCCATTGACTAATCCACGGCGCCCCCGAGTTCCTTCCACTTTGATCCATCAATACTCTGTTCCGGAAGGCCATCTCTCTTGATCCGTGGTTCTCAGGATAAATCTCCCGACTTCACTGTAACTTCCGGGTGCATTTGTTTATTTTTATCTTTCTTTGCTTTTCTGTTTCCTATCTTCGGCCGAGTACCCAACCGAAGCACAGACCGTGAAAATGGGTAGATAGGTAGCAAAAGAAGAGTACTCGCTGTACTCCATATGTAGGTTTATCCCCACCAGGCGCTCGGCCCAGTGATGTCTGTGCGGGAGTTTCCAACCTAATCTGAAACGGGCCTGAAGGACCTGGAGATGAAGGCTGGTCTGGTCGTATTCTAGAGCTGCTTTAAGGATTCAAACGGATGATGATTGGCGGGCAAGATATTCCGTCGTGGATCTATCCCAAGCGACCATCGAATGTTGAGCTTATTTCCAAGCTCACGGGACAATGTTGTGGTTCCGGGTGTACAAGGACTATCCCGAATATTGATTTTAAGGGGGTTTGTGTGTACGCCTCGGCATTCGCTTCACTTCTGTTGGCGTGCTTTTTTTTCATTCAAGTTGGTTCTCGTGTATTCTTTTGCCCAATGTGCTTTGCAGATACTAGCTAAAGGTGTCCGTGTCCCACTAGTTTGGTTTCCCCTGGGGAATCCACGAGCAATATTCCAAATGCTTTCGCTCTGCGGTATCTTGCATTGACGGACGCGGCAACCCGGAGTTAGAGTTGAAGCATTTCTCGAACGCTCGGGACAATCGATAAGGAGGGGCGTTGATGTTCATCCGAAATCAAAACCACCATTAGGATCAACTCCCTGCTCCCGGATCGACAAGGTGGTGCCAGGAGCGGGGGCGGATGATCCTACGTTGTAGGTCGAGAGCTGATCATTGCAACTCTGAGATCTCGTTCCAACGTTGAATTTGATTTTCACATCCGTTTTTATTTGGATTGAAACAGCCTCTCAAATCCCGGTTCTAACTAAGGGGTATCTTGTTGCTGGTGTGCAACACTAGTATACTTAACATGAAAACAACATGACTTGCTGGCGCCGCCACAAGACTCGGCCCGCAGTGGTGGAAGCCTCCAGGGCTGCAGCTGTACATGTAGTAAGGCCCGATTTAATCAATGGTAGCCAGGATCCTCCACCGTCTCTTTATTTTGTTTTTACTAACGGAGTTCTCGCTCAGATGAACCTTACAAAGCGTTGCTTTCTTTTTCAAGAGAAAAAGAAAGAAAGAAAGACAATAATCACACTAGGGGTCTGAGGTTCTTCCACTATTGCCATCTGGACTGGGACCTCAGGACTACATACATAGCAAACAAGCACGGAAAACTCAACCGCCCATTGCTATACGTTATGATTTGATGAGCCTCTGTGGCGCATCCTGAAGTCTGTACAACGTAGTACAATATACTTCCACATCCACCCCAAGTTCGACTCGGGAGTGAGTAGCTTGCACAATGATGATACCCAGCAAATTTAATCATGAAGGACTTCCCATATCATTTGCTCGTCTGACAGGTGTCCCCAAAAAGATCTCGCGTCGGTGCATCCTTGGCGATCGACTAAAAGCTATCTTCGGGCCTCAACTTCTAGACTCGATAGAGTAGCTTAAAGTCAATATCACTAATTAGGCAGCCTCAATATTCTTGGCTACTGCATACATCAAAACAATTAAAAACACACAGATAGAAAATAAGTAAAAATGAACGACTCCAGGAAAAGAAGGAGGCCGGAAAGAGCGAGAAGGGTCATAGGTCTGATCGTTAATTCCACGCAATCGATGCCATAAGGTACAATGCACGTACTCTGTGGAAAGCAAAACAAACAAATATTTGACACGAATTGAGGCGCACTGGCCTCGAACTCTGTCCCAAAGCCGCACATTCCCCACACAAGAGAACGGAGTCCAAAGCCTTCTCAGTCAGTGGCTTAGAGAAGGCATCCCTTGCTTGCAAGTGAGTGTTTGTGTGTACGTGCGGGGTGGAACAGATGAACTGATCAACAGCGGGATGCTCCGTATGTACTTGCAATGGGCATACAAATATTTGTTTAGGAAAACGGCAGCCTCTCAGTCTTGGCTGCATTATACGCACGAATAACTACAAGATCATCAAGTATGACTAGCTGGTCTCATACGTACTCTTGCTGTTGTACAAGGTGAAGTCCCACATTCGAAAGCATCCCTTGACTTCTTCGCTGACAGTAAATCCAGGGATCTTACTGAATGTGCATGTACATGTAACTTCATGTGCATTTCCGCAGAAAGCGCTTCCGCATCTTCCGCTTTTTGACATTCCGTTGTACGAAAGACGCTCAGAGATGGCAAATCCCTGGTACCAGGATATAGGTGCAGCATACTTGCATTATTGGAACTAGAAGCTCAGCTTCCCTGGCACCTGGGCAGTTCATCGTTGCATAATATTAATCACCACGGGTCTATTCGGGGCCATTCACTTGAATGGTGGCGGTGACGATGACCTGTGCTTACATGTCGACCTCGTTGTTCTCTCTCACCGTACTCCCTACTCTGTATTTGACAGTCAGTTGAGAATATATCCTTTGGGGCAAGACCTACCTAGGTACGGAGTACATAGGCCCCCTCATGCCCTTTGGTCCTTTTGTCCTCTACGTTTCCCTCACTTCCGCTCTCCGTCTGCACCCTTGTTACCCACAAAACACCGATTTGAATATCGCCACCACCAAAATAATCAAGGAGTGGTCTAGGTCCATCTGAACCCATCTCAATTGATAGATGCTTTCGCTATCTGCGTAAATAAGAAAAAAAAGGATATTCTAGGCCGAACCGGTGGACATGGACTCGGCACGGGTATCGGTGCGGAGTACGGACGGCCTCCCCTCGTTAGCCATTGCTACTCTTTGGAGAAAGGGCTTTGACACATGATTCAACTTAACTATCCAGACTCTCCGTTGACCCCAAAAAACTCTTAAGCTTTCTAGGTTCTGGGCCATTTACCCATTTGACCGAAGGAACATTACCACTAGCGTGGGGATGGGTGCGGATAGGACTCCGACTATTGCAAATTAAGGACTGAGAATAACGCCACCTGAGTGAAGACTTCAGGAGTCCTCCATACGGGGCAGATGCTCAATCCCCGGCCTTAACCCCCTTTTTCTTATCATTTGCCGATTTGCCACTGGTGGCATTGTGTTGTCGCACTGGCTTTCCACCTTTCAATTGCCAGTTGTATGACTATGACTATATGTCTCTGATAATATATATGTGATGGCACCATTGCCATTTGCTATAAGCTATTACACGGGAAAACAACCCGAAATTGGACTTCAGGAACAGATGTTTTGTAGAGCGTTGTTTTGATGGGTTGATATTAGACGCTACTCTAGAGCTCAAGTAGAGACCGACAGTAAGCGTTCATTGCGGACCGCACCACGAACATTGTGCTCGGAGAGGATCCGAGTTTGACAGATGGGGGTCAATATGGTTGACTGCTCAGCTTGAGTGCAGGATCTGGTGGTGTTTGCTGACGACAGCATCATCATGAGATTCCACGATCAGTCGATTGGGAAGTCTCATGGTTTCATGGATTGCTCCAAGGAGCAATCACAGATGGTGGTTGAGAACTCATTCAGCCTGGATAAGTTTACTGCGAGAAAAGTCAGCATTGTGCATGTGTTCTTCTTAGGATACACTCGACTACAATTAAACATCAAACCAGGAACAGTATCAGCATATCAAACTGCAGTGACCATGTCAACTACTGAGTCAGGAATTGTGGTTCGGATTAAGCCCGAGCCCCCCGAAGGCTATCATGCTGGTACTTGAGTAGTAAACTACTTGGAAACCCGGGGTGTTTGACCCGTTTCAGATCCGTATGACTTCCAAGCCCATTTTCCAGCCGGTAGAGGGTCGTGGAAAAGAAGTCCAACGCAAACCACGAAACACTTCACACGGTGGTCAAGCTCGTTTTCGACCCTGCTCGGCCATGAGGCCTGCAATGCGCCACTGCATAATCTGTCATTCGTTTAGGGCCGGTTATGGAGTTTCAAGGACACCATTGCGCAACCCATCTACCATTCATCTCGCCACTTCTGTCGCAAGTGTAAGTGTTTTACGTGTCCCCTCCATGTCTTAGCCTAAAACCACACTTGAAAAACGAAACTGGTATCAATTAAGCCACGGCAATAAAAATGGAAGTCTGCCTGAGCTAGAAATTTCCATATGGCCTGCAACCTCTACCGGTAGACGCAGAGAGCATAGCCCGGCTAGACTTAATAATCTACAAAGACGAAGACGAAGCAAGTACAAGATAAAGAGGTTGTCATAGAGTTCGCGTAATTCCCACGTAGAGGAGCTAGGTGTATTTTCGGAGCTGTTGATGAGGGTCAGTACGGCTGTATAGAGAGAGGGGTTCTAGTAAAACCCATTAAAACTCACATCAAGCGTCAGCGATTTACTGCTGTTCTCAACCTGGTCACGGTAGATACCGACCAGCGCCTCACTGTTTTGAAACAGGCCAGTTTTCAAACTGATCACAATGAACTGCATACCAGGTGCGGCGTGATCATGAATGTAGTTCGCAATGCGGGCAACGTTGGTGTTGTCGAGGGCTGCGTCTACTTCGTCCAGCACGAAGAATGGCGATGGCTGGTACGAGTGGATGGCAAACAGCAGAGCGAGTGCGGCCATGGTCTTTTCACCACCGGAGAGGTGCTCCATGTCTCTGAAACGCTTGAGGGGAGGCATGGCGTGATATTTGATACCGTCCAGGTAGGGCTCGTCCGAGTCTTCGATATCCAGGTATCTATGCGATGTTAGAGGACGATATAGTTGCAGGTTGCGGGTATACTCACGCTTGTCCTCCCAGAGGGTAATTAGCGCTTCGTGTGAGTTCACGGTAGATAGGACCGATATGCTCAGAAATATGGGTGAACGCCTTGTTGAAGAGGTCGGATCGAGTCTTCATCACAGACTCAAATTCGTCCTTGGCCTTTCTTGCAGACTTGCGGGCATCTTCAAAGTCTTTTTCGGTACTGCGAAGTTTGTTTTCAACACTCTCGAGTCTGTCCATGGCGCGGGAGTTTGGTGCCATCTTGTCGAGTTCATTGTTCAGCACGCGGACCTTCTCAAGAAGCTCGTCCTCAAGCTTGTCATCCGCCTCCTAGAATGGAATTGTTAGTAACAGGGATTGCGCGTGGATTGTAAAACACGAACCTCTTTCAATGTTTCGCCGAGAGAATCAAAGTCGACCTCAATGCCATAATCGTGCACCACAGGGGCCTCATCCAGAAGATCTCCCTCATCCACATCCATGGCATCGGGATCTCCAGCTTGCATGAGATCATCGATGGGGAGTTTGTCAAGGCCATTGGAAGAATCCACCAAAGGAATATCGATATCCTCAAGCTTGCAGCGACGCAGAAGAGTATAACGACTGGAAGAATTCTTTTGGATCTCAGCCTCCAGAGCACTGACATTTTTCAGAGCAGCCTCGATGTGCTTGCTGCGCTTCTGGAGTTCACGGCGTTGCTCAGCCAAGGTTTCTGCTGACTGCGCGTAGATCTCCTTCTGCTTTTCAAGGGCCTCACGAAGAAGCTCAAGTTCAGCTTCGAACTGATCAAGTTGGTTCCGTATCTGTTCCTGCTGGTTTTGCAGCTCCTCGATCTGACTATTATCACGCTCGAGTCGAGCCTTGAGGGCGTTGATTCGCTCCTCAGTTGTTTGAATGCGCTGCTTCTCGAAGCTGAGCTGGTTTTCAATGCGGCTCTTTTGTGTGGTAAACTCGAGCTTTTTCTGGGCAGCTTCTTCTTGAAGAGACCCTTGCTGGGCTTCATACTCTCGGATATCATCGTAGCCTAGGCGCTTGCAGAACTTGCGGTAAACATCATCCTCGACAGTGCTAACCGAGACCTGCAATGTCTCAATATTCTCATCAAGCTCGTCGAGGTTTTCTTTACGCTCGGTGTACTTGGGCCGCAAGTCTTCCATCTGTTGACCCACGAACTGCAGCTCACTGCGTTTACTCTCGAGGTTTCTCTCGAGGGCTCTTAGCTCATCACGGGAATGACTGAGACGCTGTTCCAGTCCCACGAGTTCACCTTGAAGCGTCTCCTCCTCTGAACCACGACGGTGACTCTTGGGCAGGTTTGTCAGGTCGTGCATCAACTTCTCCTTCAATTTGTACAGGTTCTCAACCTCAGAGTCTTCCCATCGCTTGGAGTTCTGTTGAGGACCTCGTCCACCGGTCATCAGACCACCCTTGTGAATGACAGTCCCATCGAGGGTGACCGCCTTCGCATCCAGGTTTCTTTCATAACAGAGATACTTGGCTGTTGCGAGGTCGTCACAAACAATCGAGTTTCCGCATGCGTAGCTGATGGCGCGAGCAACCGAGTCATCATAGTCCACAGTCTCGATGGCAGGACGCATACCTCGATGCATACCCTTCAGGTTTGAATTGAAAGCCTTCACCTGAATGGTTTCCAGGGGGATGAATGTACCTTGGCCAACTCGTTGATCACGGAGGTGCTGAATACACTCCTTAGCGGTCTTTTCGTTGTCAACCACGATGGCATCAAAGTGTCTACCGAGTACTGTGCTCACGGCATCAGAGTACTTCTTCTGCTTCGGCCGACAAAGGTCGCTGACGCGACCCTTCACGCCCGGGAAGATGCGCTTCAGGGTTGAGATCAATTCCTTCGCCCGGACCTCCCGTTCGGTCTGCTTCTTGCCATCGTCGGCTTCGAGAAGTTTACGTAGCACGACCTGGAGCTTTTCCTCTAATTCAGTCCGCATTTGCGAGACCTTTAAGCGCTCCGATGTCAATGCGTTCAGCTCCTTCTTCTTGCGGTCGATATCCTTGGAAGTTGACTTGGTCGTGTCGTTGAGGGAGGACTTGCGTTCGCTCATACTGTGGACATCGGACTCCACAGATTTGAGCTGCCGCTCAGTGCTTTCAAACTTGTCCTTCAAGCTGTTCACTGCTTCGGCCTCGGTCTTTCGCTGTCGACGGAGGTTGTCAAGATTGAGAGAGTCAGCAGATGAACGGAGGTTCACTTCTTCTCGAAGCTTATGGTACTCTTGCTGATCAGCCTCGCTCAGTTGACCACCCTTCTTGTTCTTGATTTTTTGCCATTCGGCTTCCCATTGAGCCTGGGCTTTTTCAACAAGCTTCAAATCCTTTTCAAGTTGCTTCCCGTTGTTGGATTGGGATGTGCGCTCTTTGTCGATTTCATTAATCCTCGAAGTGAACCTCTCGACATTCCTCTGGGTGACATCGATCTTCTCGTCAACGGGCACAAGCGAGTTGTTGAGTTCCTCGATTTCCTTCTCCTTTTTCGTGATGTTCTTCTCGGCTTTGCCAACGTCCCTGCCTACTCGAGCATGGTCCTTCTTGGCCTCTTCGACGTTCTTCTCATACTTGTCGACGCCACGGCGATACTCCTTCAGCTCATCATGATATTTTTGAATATCTGCACTTGAGTCGTCAATCAACCGCTGGAAATGGAACAGTTTCCAGAGAATGTGCGTGATGATAGCCTGATCGCGTTCGTCGGCCTTTTTCGCATAGTTCTCGGCCTCTCGCTTTTGTTCCTGGTATTGTTTGACTTCAGAGTTGATGCCTCGTCGACGATTGAGCTGAACGGTTTGTTGCTCTGCGGCTTCCTCTGCCTCCGCCTTGAATTTCTCGTAGTCGGCCTTGTGCTCCAAACTACCAGAGATCTGCTCAATTAAGCGAGTGAGGTCTTTCGGAGACTGCGAAGCGATCGCCTCAACATCACCCTGGAACACAAGGAAGTTTCGAGCCTTGATCAAAATGTTTTCCTCCTCAAGAGCCTCGTTGTACTGGTGGGCTGTGACAATGCGGTTGTTGATGCGGTACTCGCTGACACCTTGGCTAGTGATCGATCGACTCCATTGCTGCTCCTCGCCAGCATTGTCCTCGTAGACTGCCATCACCCACGCGGACTTGGGGTCATTTCCAACGGCGTCTTGGGTGGCATCCATTTCTTCCGGTTCCTCTTGCTCGCCATCCTGTTCATCGGTCGCGGGCTCTCCGTCGACCTTCGAGGTGCGCAAAACACGGCCACGATACACGAGATCGCGAAGATTGGTTGATCGCAGGTGAGATGACTTGATTCCTAGCACAAAGGAAATAGCGTCCATGCTGTTGCGCGTCAGGATGATGCTCTCTTTGGTCGCAAGACAAATGGGGAACTCACGAATTCGACTTGCCAGAGCCGTTAGGCCCAATGATTGAGGTAAAGTATGCATCTCCGAAGAGTAAAACATGGTGTCCCTTGTAAGACTTGAAGTCTGCTCAGAGTTAGCGAATGCACTCCGCACGCACCAAGTTGCGACATACTGAAAAGCTCCAAACGAATGAGTTTCCCCATATTGACAGCTGCTTCCCCGAGGGAGCAACACGCCGAGAATTTCAAGAACCCTGTTATTTAAAGACTGGGGGTGTGGGCAAGATGTGTGAGGGGCGCGATAACGGGAACACCGCGTTGATTCAAGACGCGCCTGGTCATCACGTGGCAGGTACCTCGCGCCAAAAAAAAAGCCCCGGGGTATACTCGGTACTAGTTGAATACTTCTTTGTCTGGCATCTTTTCTTTTTACACTTTTTTTTTTCTGGTCCAAAATGTATTCAAGTGTAATATTTGATTGCTTCGCTTCCTTTGCTAGTAATACAAGTGCTGTGCCGCCTAAAGGACGAAGCCAAAATGATGTACAAAGACAGGTTTATCAACCATGAGGATAAATTGAGACGAGTCCCTTCGGAATCCGTGCTTAATTGGCGAACGGCATCTTCATGTTCACCATACGACCGAAGTGCAGGAGATCATCCGATATGTATCCATTGGAGTCCAATCGGAATTGGGACTTGCGCCCAGCGACCTGAACTATGATAAAGTCCTCATTTGTGAAGACTTGGCGCATAGACTGGAAAGTTCTCCAGAGCTGGTAGCTCAATGCACTAACTGGAGACTTCAAGAAACGCGGGGCCTCCTGCAAGCCCCGGCCGAGCCTCCTGCTCTCCACCTCATACCGCTTTGCGGTCTCCGGAGAAACGGTCAGCTTGCGCTTGAAGGAGATATCGCCAGGTGCCACCTCAACCTGGTATGGCTTCTTAAATGGCATCAGGCTTCTGACTGAGAAAAGTACCCGCATGCGCCCATCAGAATTCACGGCCTTGATATTCCTCACTAGGAACCCAGTTCGGGTAATGAACAAGGTGCCCATGACACTCATCACGATACAGATTCCACCAAAGAGAGACTTTTGCCACATTGGGAGTGGGACGATGGGGTCCCGGAAGGTCGCATTGGAATTGTAGAGAGAGTAGGCGAAGCAGAACCCAGACAAACCAAACGCGGTTAAGACATAGGCGCGATGGGATGGAGCCTCGAAAAGCAGTACTTCACCCCCGTGTAATACTTTTGTTTGGAGTTTTGCAAGCGCCCGGGGATTCCTGTTGCCCTGAGGGCTCGAAGCTTGCCATGCGGAATCGATGGTTCGGGCTACGCCTTTGGATTTGCTGTGAGGCGCACTGGAGTTGAAATAACGCCATGATGTTTTCAAATTAGCCTGGAAGCCAGACCGTGTGGGGGTTCCCAGGCATTGGCGCCAAAATATCCGAAGGGTAGGTAATCTAGCGGACATTGTTGTGGTGGTCCTATCCACGCTCAAGTTAGTAAAGTGACCAATGCCATGGCACGCAGCTGGATGCAACCCATGAAGACGGAATGGGCATCTACGCGGGAAACCATGGACCAAAACCTCCAGGAACTTACCAGGACTAGAATGAATTGACCGTGTTCTCCTCGGAAAGCGCCGACAGGTCGAAAGCAAGTGATGCGGCAGAAAAATGTTCCCGTCCCGGCCGCCGGTGAAAGCTCCCAACGCCCTCAACGCCTCCGACAGTTACCTCGAAGTACCTCCAAAAACGCACCTCAAAACGAACAGAACTTGGATATTTGCGCGTCCCGACGTGGTGTGGTGGGTTCTTCGTTGATCCCGCTCGTTTCTCCCGAATCCCAGCTTCCGCGGCGAGTTGCGACACCGGCCGAAGATCTCCATCGGCAGCGCACCTCCACTTCATAAGACCTCCAGTCTCTCACCATTCACGCAATGGCAGCCAAAATCTCCGTCGGTCAGGTCCCGGCCATGTTCGCCCGACGACAGCAGCAAGTGTTCAGTGTTGGCAGACGTGAGTCCAGCCTATGGTCATGGCAAGCAAATTTCCGCGAGCCAAAGCCGCTCCGTTGAGTCCAGCTTTTTGGCAAAAGGTCTTGGCTATATAATGAACAAGAACAGCCTCTTCTAACACAATCGTCTCATCTAGGCCTTCAATCTACCTCCACCCAGACCCAGAACCCCGCCTACCCGCTCTACCCCTCGGTCGCCCAGCTCCTCCGTGAGAAGGGCATCCCCAAGACCGATGTCTCCAAGATCCCAGCCTCTGGGCCCAAGGGCCGTCTCTTGAAGGGAGATGTGCTTGCATACATCGGTCAGATCGCCTCCGACTACCCGGCAACCCAAGCCGCCACCCTGGCCAAGCTCACCCACCTGGACTTGAGCAACATCAAGATTGCGCCGGCCCCGGCCCCGGCCGCGCCGGCCGCGGTCGAGGAGAAGCCTGTCGCAACTCCCCCTCCCATGACCTCCGTCGCTGTCTCCGTTTCCTTGGCTGCCGTGCTGTCCGCCCAGAAGAAGCTTCAGGACAACCTTGGCGTGACTGTCCCTCTGTCTCGCTTCTTGGCTATCGCCACGGACATTGCCAACGAGGATCTGCCCCGTCTGGCCAGCTTCAAGCCCTCCGCAGATGAGCTCTTCGATGAGGTCCTCGGTGCCGAGCCCGTCGACACATCCCGTGGCGACTACCTGCCTGAGCTGAACGCTATCGAGGCCACTCAGACTGTGCGCTCCAAGCCCGTCACTGAGGACCTGATTGACTTCCTCAGCGCTAAGCCTTCTAAGAAAGCTGCGCCTGCAGCTTACGTTGAGGCAGCACCCGGTGCTGCTTCCAATGTTTTCAGCTTGACCGTCCCTGTTGATGAGCAGTCTCGCGCCAAGGAGTTCCTCGAACGCATCAAGACTCTCCTCTCTGTTGAGCCAGCCCGATTGGTCCTTTAGATTTGTTTTGTCATACACTCCCCCTGTTCCAACCTTTTTTTTATGGTTTTTTCGAAGTCATTTGAGCCAACATCTTCGCAAGTCAAGGCTCACTCATGAATGTATTCAATGTAGCATAGTTAATCAGGATTCGCCTTGAGAAATGGATAACTTCACTCAATAGTTACAATGCATTCAGTACCTAGGTACGATGTCATACTACATACGATACACGGCTGTGCCCTGAAATCATCCAACATACGTGACTGTCAAGAGAGTATGTTTCAATGCCTGGTATGGCGTAAATTCCACGAAGAATGAGGTAACTAAATTCTATGAAATCGAAGCAAAGGCATAATTGTGTGTCGCAAAGGAGAAAGGGGTCATGTCATCATGAAAACCGCAGCCCTAAAGTAAAGAGCTCCGCCACAAAACGCCATAAACCGGAAAGAGAGATAAACACCAAGCGCCGCCGCTGAAAGCCTCGAGGAAACGGGGCTCTGAAACTGTCCAGGTTGTTCGGGAGTGGCTGGCCAGTGAGTGAAGCGTTGCGAACAGCCAGACTCGTGATGAAGCAAGGATGAAATGCAAAGCAAAAGACCCCAGAGTGCAAAACCAAAGCGCCGGAGAAAAAAAAAAAAAGGAAATGAAAATAGAAGCATGCAAGATGGCCCTTTTTGGAACCAATGAGCGCCGAACGTCCAGCCGAAAAATGCTCTGAACCCCCGAGAGAAAAATGCAGTAGATCCCCAACGCACGAGATGGTCAAAAGCAGAATCCCCCTCAAGCCATGCAATGATGTATGCTCCAGTGAAAGTAATCCGTGGAACGCAAAACTCCGAGTCAAATGCAAATTAAAAGAGAAAAGGTGGGAGAAGATAATGACAGCTGGACTAACGAATGGTGCCCCATTCGGAGAGCTTGCTGCCTTCGCGGCGGTTGTCTCGTGTGCCGCGCTTGTCGAAAATCTTCCAGAATCTGAGTGTTTCGTCGCCTGCTCCTGTTACGACCGTCTGGCCGTCAGGGCTCATGGCGAGGTAGAGAACACGGAAGGTGTGACCAGTCAAGGACACAATCTGTTCCATGCGAGGGTACTTCCAAATGACGATTTGATTCTGGCTGTACCCATGTGTGCTGATAATCTCGTCTGAATTCTTCGACCAAGAGAGGTTGCAGACCTGGCTACCGGTGTCGACTTCTTTGATCAGTGATCCGGTCGATGTGTTCCAGAATTTGATCGTTCGATCAGCGGTACCTCCACCTGAGGCGAGCAGATGATGTTGGTGAGGTGACCATGCAATGGCCTTGACTGCAGCATTGTGGTCCGAGAAGCGGTAGAGTGGGGTTTCATTGAGCTTGTCCCAAACCATCAACTTGTTGTCGTTACCACCAGATGCTAGTTGCCCATCTTCGGTATTCCACTTCAGACCACAAACCTCTTGTTTATGCCCGGAAAGCTTCCGGATGTACTGGTCGGGAGAGCGAACATCGCGGTGGTAGATGAGGCGATCCCTGGATCCGGATGTGAGAATATGATCATTCCATGCTAAGGCACCAACTCGGTTCGTATGCCCAATCATGGTTCGTAGCCGACGACAATGCTCGGCATCCCAAATCTGCACTAGACCTTTCCCTGTGCCGATTGCGAGATGGGTTCCCTAGTTTTGTATCGTCAGTAAGATGTCTTCAGCGGCGAAGCCAGAGGATTGATTACCCGTTGAATCCAGTTCACACTAGTCACTGTATCATCTTTAAGGTCGCACAACTTCGTGACTCGCCCGGTATGTGAGTTCCACATGTATACCGAATTAGCTAACCCGACACTGAGGACATTGCTGCTACCCCAGTCGACCAGGTTGAGGTAGAAGTCGTCTTGCAGATCCGGTGCATCCAAGACCTTGTAAGGAACCTTGTTTACATATCGTGCCTGTTTGCGCGGCGTTTCAAGTATACGCTGGCTATCATATCGGATAGGAGAGAGACTGTACAGTTCCGAACGAACGTCCAAGTTAGGGCCGTGGAGACTGCGTGGCGTTTTTGATGGTGTCGGATGTCCGGATCCTGGTCTGGAAGCTCCATAGTTGAAGAGGTTTTTGTGGGGGGTGGTGGGGGTGATACTGGCGGGAGGGAGATTGGCAGTAATATGTGCAGGAGGTGTGTGGGATCGAGTTTTATCACTGATCCCGTTGGTAAAGCCGAGTAATGGGTCTGCTGGTGTTGCGCTCAGGTCAGGCTGTGGCACGGTGCTTCCAAACAACTCGCTACGCAAAACCCTTGAGAACGTGCGATTGGCTTCATCGGCTAGTGCAAAGTCAGTCGGCTGTATGCTTTTGGGTCAGGGAGTTTTGCATACTTTTCTGGAAATGTAACTCAGAATGAGGGCCGCGTTTCTTGGCCTTGGAAGGCGTTGAAGGACAACCATCTTCGTGCAATAAGCTGTATGTCGCTTGTAAATCTTGACCGTCGCGATTGGGGATGAACCTGATTCGGTGTCAGCTGCGATTCCTCATCAGGATTACAAGTATTGTGCTGAGGGTCCCCTCAGGAGACCAGAACATCGAGAGGGTCACATACCGATCGCCATAGACCCGTTGGCGCTTGCGGCATGGGCTAGACACCGGAGTTCGCTCCCGTCGTGCACCAGCAGTCTCATAGTCCTTTAACGCTCTTGCTAGCGCACTGGGGTCGACCGGTTCCACTCCTTCTTGTTGCTGGCGGTTACCGGAATTGTCTGGGAAATACATTGTCCGCTTGGTCGGCATCGTTGGCGGAGTTTTGGATCCAGGTGGTGATACAATGCTCGAAATGTTGGATGGTTGCGCTTTGGCCGCTGTCTCGCTGGCCGCCTTGCCTTTCCGAGTTCTGTCTGCCATTGCGATTGTCTCTCTGGGCCTCAGAGGCAGTATGCACCCAATAAAGCAGCAACTGAGAGTTGCATACGATGGATGTGAAAGATTTGCCAATGGAAATGTGGGTTCACTTCTGAGGTTGATTGTATTTGAAGGGCGGATTCACAGGTCTGTTGTTGTTTCGATAAGATCGGAATGCGGGCCTCCCAACTGACGGTTCTGGAAGTGAAGAGACGGGGTATCAGATACCAGTAGACCCTGATTCACCAAGCAGATCAACAAAGAAGTGTTTGAAGACCTGCGGCATAAGAATGAATGGGGTGTCTCTTCCAAGGGAGTGACGGAGTTGCGCAGGGCGACTCTCTGGGTCACGCGTCGGGTGCGCTAGTCCCGATTAGGTCAGAATCAGAGTGTCCAAATACACTTGGGATTCCATCACTCTACTACATTTCCATCTTCTATATACCATCCTCTGGCTCTCTTTGATGAGATATCGGTCAGAATTCTACAGTCGATCGCTTATTCTTTGTTCTGTCACAGAATGGTCTCAGATGCTTGTTACCGAGTGATTTGGAAACATTGCCGCATATCAGGGCTTTGTTTAGATTGCGACTGACTGAAAATGAAAACGCGCTTATGTCTGATTGCCCCGGTGGGTGGGAAGTGGGGGATGGATTTGGACGCGAGATCCTACACTTTACTCGTTCGGGGCTCCTTTGGTGCTTTACGCGCCTAGGACGCGACGCGGTGAAGCTTGGGCCATGGCAACGAGATTCTGACATTGCACATTCTGGAGGTCGAAATGGACACTTTAAGTGGGGTCCATACAGAGAGGATGGAGCATAGAAATCTCCGAGTGCTGCAATCAAAGCCATTTTACCAAGTAATTTGGAGTTCTGTATATGATCTAAGACAAAAACCCACTCAATAGATCCGTGGGGCTAAAGGTGACACCCGTCACCGCCAAGTTCTCCCGCCAATTTTCTCTCTCTATACACATTGCTATGGTCTTCAGGCGCCTCGGTCCTAAACTTCTTGGCCTTTCTCAATACTCCACTATGGCTTCCAAACAATCTGCTCTGGACTTCTTGTCCTTTGTGAACGCTGCTCCAACCCGTATGTGGATCCATTGAATGACGTGCAATGTCGCTGATCTTGTCTCGCCTCTAGCCTTCCATGCCGTCCATGAAGCCAAAGAGCTTCTGGCCAAGGCGGGATTCCAGGAAATCAAGGTTTGTTTGGATGAAAGCGCTCATATAATTGATATCTTTGTCTCATAATTGTCAACAGGAGAAAGACTCTTGGGCGTCGACTTGCAAGCCGGGCGGCAAATACTACTTGACTCGCAATACCACTACCCTGGTGGCTTTTGCGATCGGCAAGCAATGGCAGGTATGTAGCGATGCGAAGTCAATACCCGCCGGAAAACCAGCTCATCATTGATACAGCCTGGTAATTCGATCTCTATGATCGGAGCCCACACCGACTCTCCGGTGTTGAGGGTCAAGCCTGTGAGCAAGAAGAGCGGGGAAGGTTTCGTGCAGGTTGGTGTCGAGACATACGGTGGCGGCATCTGGCACACTTGTGAGCGCGACACATTTTCCATAGCAGTGCTCTCTCATTAACTCTCTTTAGGGTTTGATCGCGATCTGGGTGTTGCTGGCCGGGTGATGACCCGGGCAAGCGATGGATCTATCGTCCAAAAGCTCGTCAAGATTGACCGCCCCAGTATGTTTCATGGTTCAAGTTGACGTGTGCATCTTGCTGATATTTTAGTTCTTCGCATCCCGACCCTGGCCATCCACTTGGACCGTCAGGAAACCTTCTCTTTCAACAAGGAAACCCAGCTGTTCCCCATCGCTGGCCTCATTGCTGCTGAGCTGAACCGCACTGGTGAGACTAAAGTCGCAGAGGCGGATAAAGATGCCGATTTCTCGCCTCTCAAATCTGTGACCGAGCGTCACCACCCTTACTTCGTTGAGCTGATTGCTTCTGAGGCTGGTGTCAAGCCGGCTGACATTCTGGACTTTGAAATGATTCTGTTCGATACTCACAAGTCATGCCTTGGTGGTATGCTCGAAGAATTCATCTTCTCGCCTCGCTTGGATAACCTGAACAGCACCTTCTGTGCCACTGTTGGCCTCATTGATTCTGTCGCTGAGGCCTCAGCCCTGGATAACGAAGATGCGATCCGCCTGATTGCTCTCTTCGATCACGAGGAAATCGGTAGCCGCACAGCCCAGGGTGCGGACTCGAACATTCTTCCGTCGATCATCCGCCGCCTGTCTGTTCTCCCATCATCCTCTTCCAAGGATGCCGATCTGTCCACCGCTTATGAGCAGACCTTGTCCACTTCATTCCTTGTTTCTGCTGATATGGCCCACTCGATCAACCCCAACTACTCGGGCAAGTACGAGCCGGATCACAAGCCGGAAATCAACAAGGGTCCTGTTATCAAGATCAATGCCAACGCCCGTTATGCTACTAACTCTCCCGGCATCGTCTTGCTGGAGGAGATTGCGCGCAAGACCACAAAGGAGACTGGAGTGCACGTTCCCTTGCAGCTCTTTGTCGTTCGCAACGACTCAAGCTGTGGCAGCACTATTGGCCCCATGCTGTCTGCTGCATTGGGCGCACGAACTTTGGATCTGGGTAACCCCCAGCTTAGCATGCACAGCATTCGCGAGACTGGAGGTACTCACGATGTTGCCCATGCCATTCGTCTTTTCACTGGCTTTTTCAAGCACTACTCGGAATTGTCCAAGAATATTCTTGTTGATTAAGTCCACAGATATGTATTTGAATATAGCACAAACAATACATTTGGATCAAGTAGGACTACTAGCATGAGAAATCAAATAACTTAGAAATACTCAGCGGGCATTGGGAATAATTCAGACGACAAGAAAGTACCTTGATGGTGATAGCACGTGGTCCGGACCGAGGAAAGTCCGCCCCCATGTCTCCTCCAACTGGGGCCAGTGGCAGCGCTGATCAATACCCAGCCAACCCACGGGGAGTCCTCACCTCAACTCCTTCTCCACTGCATTTGGATACCTTCCAAGCCCTCATGATCCTCTATGACAGACGTCGATGCCTTTAGGGACGCGGAATACATCGCTGACGTGTCCGGCATATCCTATGACGATGGGGAGCCACCGATACCGACAGGCACGCTCAGCAGCCAAAACCTCCGCGTGAAGAAAGTACAGTCGGCTGCCAAAGTTGCCTTCATCGATAGATTAATGCGCGATCTTGACATATTCATTTATTGTCAACTCTCCGCCTTGTATTACATGGAGTGAGCAAATCCCCGGATTGTTGCTGCATGATCCATCATACCCAGCCCCTCTTTCCACTGAGACTAACATGCTATCATATGTCTAGTTGTTCGATTCTACTCTTCGCATTACGTGCCATAATTCAATTGATCTTGTTCACCCCGAAAGCGCCCCCCTTTGAACCTACACGCAACCAACCATTCATCGGCGGCATCCTCACCAGTAACTTGATATGCATATTCTTCCATGCCTTCTTCATTCGCCCAGAAGCTGGTGAGGAAACTCGGGGCTATCTCCATGGAGGATTGTTTATCGATTTCGTCGGGCAAGTCCCCGTTTCGACCTTGCGGCTTCTGTCATTCGACCTCCTCATCTTCCTCGTCGATATCGTTATGCTGGCCTTAACCATCGAGCGGGTCAATATCACCGGGACTTCGACTCCAGCTTCTTCAGATCCGTCCCCTGCAAATGCGGATTCGAGTCAAGAGACCACAGTATCCCAGTCGCAAGACCATGATGCCGAAGAGCGCGGAGTCTTACGGCAAGAAGACGGCCATGAAACATCGCCTCATACGCATGACAGTACGGAATCATCCCCGCATAGTAGCATTGATGAGGAAGCTGAAGAAGAGCGTACAAATCTCCTGGCGGATCCCGCAGATATCCAATCTCCAATCATTGCCCGAGGATGTCACCCTATGGATACATTTGCATCTGGCGAGGCCATTATTGCCAACGTGCGATTATTCGGTACTTTAAGAGATCAATGGCGCTATTACAAGAGCCTTACTACACGGCAGACAACAGGATTCACTCCCACGACAGAGACAGCGACTTTCCTCCGTCAGCGTTTCGGTCTCCAGGTTGGGACTGACGGTCGCATTGAACGTATCGATACATGACATTTGACACATACCCAATAACCCCTGTACTTTAAGTAGCTCGTTTAGGTAGTAATTTCCTACCAGATACTTAGTATATATGGGTAGATGATGGTTGACGAAACACGCTGTAGCCCTCATGCCCTTCGTACATACTCCGTACATCGCTCATATATATTTACCTAGTGTTTTGTGATCTCGCCGAACCTGCCTTCTCTCGGTTCCAAATTCATGGTCCACTCGAACAGGCTCATACGAGCCTTGGAACATCAGGAGTAACTTTAGAAGCAGAGAATTAGTAGCCAAACAGTCATATTAACATCCATGGATGTAGTCTAAATAGCACGGCGTTCAGAGAAACAGCCCCCGCGTTGGATATACAAGACCCCCAGGCTCCAGGGTGCTACTCTTAGGCAGTAGGGGGCTTGGACTCCTCGCCAGAGTCCTTTTGGACCCGGCGATCCAAGATTTCATCAATAACACCAAGATCCAAAGCTTCCTTCGCACCCATAAAGTAATCTCTTTCCATGATCTTCTCGATTTCCTCAAGAGACAATTGTTGCTTGCCAGTGAGATGCTGCTGATAGATCTGGTTGAGCTGAGTACGCACACGCAGGATCTCCTTTGCATGAATGGCGATGTCACTAGCTTGCCCGAAGTAGCCACCTGAGGGCTGGTGGACCATGATTGAGGAGTGTGGAAGACAGTAGCGCTTCCCGGGATGCCCTCCGGCGAGGAGGAGGGAGCCCATCGAAGCGGCCTGACCAACACAGATTGTACTGACGGGCGCAGAGATGTATGTCATGGTATCGTAGATTGCAAGACCTGGGAGAGTTAGTTATCTTGCTATATGTTGGGATTGGAGACAGGTTGATGGAAATATATGTGCATTATGGGTCCTACCTGCTGTCACTGAGCCTCCCGGAGAGTTAATATAGAGATGGATCGGCTTCGAGGGGTTATCGGCCTCGAGGAAGAGGAGCTGGGCAACAATCGAGGCGGAGAGGGTGTCGTCCACCTCGCCGTTGAGGCAGATAATGCGTTCCTGTTGGGTCGGTAAGTTGACGGCCAGAAGGAGATGAATCCTCTTGAATTATCTCTTACCTTCATCAACCGAGAAAAGATATCATCTGCGATACGCGACACATGTCAGATGGCCAAGCTTGCTTCGGATGGTATGCAAGCTTTGTTGCTATATTCGGTTGCACGACTTACATGTGTGCCAGCCACCTCCCTGTCCAGAAGAATTAGCAAATCGATTCATCGTTTATCTGGTTTCACGAGAAAAGCCAACCATACCACTGTCTCTGTTACGAACGGTGTCGGTGTCCAGCTCCGCGGAGGCTGCGCAAGCGAGGGGCGCCGGCTCGAAAAGCATCTTGTCAAGCCGGCTGTGCTTCTGATGATTGGCGCATTAGTCTGCTGAACAGAGCGTCCTAGTAGCCGGAGCGAAAGTCTTGAAGGCATATTGGTAAATGTGTTGCAAAGCAGTGGTATGAACAGAGCCGGGAGACGATGAACCGAATCGATAAGGATGTGCGCTAAGATAAGAGGCTCTGGCCTGACACGGTTCCTAGCAACATCTGCACCTTCTAAATCTTCAATTACCGTGCAATATTGGAAACACTGATTCAAACGGGCAGAACATCGCTTACTCTGAACGCGCATAACCGCCAAATCTCTCCAAGCCGCCTCCCAAGTCGTTATTTCGCCAAATCAACACCTCCGCAAATAAGGGGTTCCGATTGGCTCTTGCACACAGCTCCCGAGATCATCTTTTCCGCTGGCGCTCTCGTGTTGCCAGCAGTGACCTACTACCTCCCTCATCCTTCAACGTAACAATGGAGTGTATTAGCACCAGAGTGCCATATGCAAAATGGCGTCTCAATACCTTTCGAGAATTGCTACGCACCTCACAGCCTTTGACCGCCCATGCACGAAGCATCTCGACCTCGCGACAGAACAATATGAGTGAGACGACGCCAAAAGAATCCAGCGACACATCTGATCCCAATACAATTCCACCATCTCAACGCCTCCCACAATCACCGTTGATTGCACACCCTCGTCCTTCGCGTCAGAAAAGTCGCAAGATGCGCCCCACGTTCGAGCACACATCGGCACTGAGCAAGAATCCTTGGGCAGTCGCACTGGCATCACCGACCCGTATGTGCACTATAACCGGGGCAAGGCTTCCATCAGACCTCCTCGGCACCTGGGGTTTGGTGCGACAGCCCGGAACCGCCCTGTCATATATGTTGCCTGTGGGCCTAATGCAAGACTCTTTGGCGAACAAAGCCCCTGATTCCAGCGCAATGGAACCAGAGCTCCCAACCCCAGACGATGAGGAATCGGCTGCTGAGTTCGCGCCGCCTCCAATTCGAAACAACCGGCCTGGACGCCAACTTGTCCTCCGTTTCACCGAGCTGCTCCCTCTCATCAAATCCATTACAGTGCCACTGTCAAAGAAGGGTGGAAAGAAGCCACCGGTAATGAGATTGGTACCATTCCGGTGGAAGCATCCCCAAGGGCCTGTGAAGCCGACCGATGAGAAGGACCTCCTCTGGCTTGAAAATACCCCAGAAATTTTACTGCGAAGTATGCAAAGTGATGTTTGCAAAAAGCTAGGCGCAGTACTTGGAAAATACAAACGTGTCGATGTCCCAAATGGGGTCTGGAGAAATCTTGAGATGCCGCAGTACTCGAATTCTACTCTCGAGGAGGCTTTGGGGAAGCTGGAAACCTTTGAGCGCATGGAATGTGGTGCTGTATTGCTACTCGGCTCTAAGGGCACCACAACTGATGCAGGAAGCACTCAAGCAGAAAGTGCTTTGGACTCGATTACTCTTCCACAGACCGGCTTCACTGTCCCAGTGTTTGATTTGACAACCCTCCTTGCAGAATCTGATTTGAGCACTCTCCGTGAATCCCATGCCCAACTTGAGCCCAGCGCTGTGTTCTTCAGACCCGACGACAAAGCGGGCATCACTGCGATGATATCACTCTGGAAGATCAAACGCCTACTTGCTGAGATCGATTTATAAGGAAAGCAACCACATCTAGGGTTTATTCACAGCCTTTGCATTTGATAGATCAATGATACACCCCAGAGCCTAATTCCTATTTCAAACGGTCGGTAGAAATGAGGCAAGCACTGGTTGATCAATTAGTGTGACAGAGTGCAACTATATTGTAATTGCTCCAAGCTTCGGTATTTCTCATAATTATTCAGGCCAATTGACATTGACAAACCATGAATCACTGTTCGTCTAGATCGATATTGAGGTGAAAATTCTTACCACGCCTGGCACTGCCCCGAGGCCTCACCCGATGTGCAGTCGCATGGACAGGGAGATCAGGGGCCTGGTTGCACTGGATCTAGACACAAATAACGAACTGGATCAACGCGTATTCTTTCGAAGGAGCAGGTTTGCTGCTTTACTTGATCGATACTCTGACCAGCTGCATGAGCATGTGAAACCTCGGGATTGCATCTCGACTCCAGGGGCCCTTTGTTCATTCCCCGACACAAATCCATGTCGCACGCCCTATCATGTACGGAGTACTATTCAGACAGGATACGGTATATTCCACACTAGACCAGATGCAGTACTGCTGTGAGACCTTTAATTAAGTAAAAAAGGGATTTGGATAAGCTTTCAGGTAGGCTCCACTGATGATGTCGATTTTCAGACCGGCGAGATGGTTCCTCCGAGCAAAGTATTAAGTCCTCTACCGTCGGCTACTAAAGCAATGTTACATTGCATCTTCATCAATTCATATATTTCAAAATGGCAGGATTTGTGACGGCTTTCATGAACCCGTTCAATTATGTTGGCGGCGTGAGCTTTGCTCCCGAAACTGATATTCCAGACCTAGCCGATAAAGTCATCTTGGTCACTGGAGGTACAATCTGATTTAACCGTTTATAAAATTGGCAATGCTGATTTGTTCAAACAGGAAATGCCGGTCTAGGCAAAGAATCCATTCTCCAACTAGCCAAACACAATCCCAAGAAAATTTTTCTCGGTGCGCGCTCGGAGTCGAAAGCACAAGAAGCTATCAAGTCTCTAAAGTCATCGGTTTCAAACGATGTCGAGATCACATGGGTCCCCTTAGACCTAATGTCAGGTGAATCGGTCAAGAAAGCTGCTGAACAAGTCAATGCTCAGACCGATCGACTTGACATCCTCATTCTCAATGCCGGTGTGATGGCTCTGCCTCCTGGTGAGACAGATCTAGGCCATGAGATCCAGCTAGGAACAAACCACACCGGTCACTTCCATCTCACCAAGCTTCTTCTGCCTACTCTACTCAAGACCGCTGAACAACCCGGTTCAGATGTTCGAGTAGTGTCGCTCTCGTCAGTTGGGCATAACTTTGCTCCCGCATTCGAAACGATCCTCGATCAAGAGAAGCTCAAAAATGTCAACACCAACGCTCGATACGGTGCATCCAAAGCTGCCAATATCTTGTTTGCCGCAGAGCTCAGCAGACGTTACCCGTCAATAACGTCAGTTTCGGTTCACCCGGGCGTCATCATGACGGATCTGTATGGGGCTATGAACGAGCGCTCTTCTATCGCCGCCATGGGACACAAATTCATGAGCTGTGTTGGTACTTCAGTATCTCAAGGTGCTTACAATCAACTGTGGGCTGCTGCCGGCGCAAAGAAGGAAGAGCTCACCAACGGCGCTTACTACGTGCCAACTGGTAACTTGAAGCCCGACAACAAGTTCTCGAGTAATGAGGATATGGGCAGGCGCTTGTGGGAGTGGACTGAGGCTGAGCTCCAAAAAGCCCATCTGTGATGAACTTGTGTCGATGTTCCCGTTGATGTCGATTCATTTGGTGTTCTCGAATTGGGAGTTAATAATCTAGTGGTGTGTGTATGTATGTTGTAAATTTGCTTGAAGCCAGCTGCGTGGCTCTGTTTGTTTCTCGTCTCTTATCCGTGCCCACATGTGGTGTAACACAGCCACATCATTTTCTGTTTCTCATCCTGTTTACTTTGCAAGTACCTATCTCTTAAGTTGCCCACCGATTGTGAGATGAAAGTGATTGAACTCGATTTTATAAGAGAAAATTCGGGCCCCACGACCTTGGAATTAGAAATACATCAGGGCTTCAACCCCAGCGAGATCACCTGAGCCATGGAGGTTCTCATACCTGCGCAACTTTGATGACCACCTTACCAAGCCCCCCTTTTCCACTGTACACGATCTGACATGCATCCTGCACCGCCTTGATGTCTGACAGGTGAGCAGTTGTTCCAACAACAGTCCTCAATCTACCTTCCTCGACATGTGCTCTCAACTCGTCCAGGTCTTCGCCGCTCGATTCCAAGAACATATACGAATATTCTACACCGTACCGCCGTGCTCGTACTTTACGAACACAATCCATCGCATTGAGCGCCATTCGGAAAGCAAACGGTACTGTTGGCTTATGCGGCAAGTCCATAATCGAGGAGTCTTGGAGCTGTGTGCCTGAGGGCATCGTTGCAACTGATATGATGCAGCCAGATTGCGGTTTCATCAAGCTCAAGAATTCCATGGAGGAACCGACCGTATCAAAAAGGAAATCAACGGATCCGGCCTGTATCGCCTGTCTTGGGTCGGACTTGGTATAATCGATAACTGCAAGATTTAGTATTTTGGTTAACCAAGGGGTCTTCAAATAGTTACCCTCGTCGACAGTACTCTCGCCCAAAAGTTCTTTCACCTTGGACATCTTCGAGGTCGACACCGTGGTGATGACTTTGCCTGCATGGAACACGTTCTTGGCAAGTTGACATGCAAAAAGTCCGGTTCCGCTTACTTTCATATCATCGTATCATTAGAAGAGGTATTGCGAAATGAAATTAGGACAACATACAACCAGCGGGCACAAAAACTGTCTTGCCAGTCAGATCGCCACGATACTTCCTCAGTGCTTGAAGTGCAGTCATCGCAGCCAGTGGGATTGAAGCAGCATCTTCAAATGAAATTGACGGTGGCTTCAAGCCAATGTAATTTTCGGCGCATTTGACAAACTCACTGCACGAGCCTGACATAACTCTGTCAGCGAATCAAAGATCTGTGTAAACTTGTGCCAATATTTACCTCGCGACACTTCCGGTAGTCTAGTGTAGACTTCATCACCAACATTCAGTCGAGTGACTTCCGAGCCAATTTCCGTAACTACACCGGAGCAGTCATAGCCAATTTTATACGGGAAGCTGTTTTGTTAGCAGTCATTGATGACTGAGGAATGGGTAGCGCACGAGTCTTTGTTTGCCAACTTGAGTATTCCATCCGCCTTTTTGACATCAATCGGATTGATACTGGCTGCATGGACTTTGATGATCACATCTTTGGGGTGGTTGAGTTCGGGCTTAGCCAGCTCCGAAAGCTGATACCCGGAGGGATCCGAATATGCAGGAACATTGAGTGACAGCATTTTGAGATTATATCCTTGCTAACAGCTCTGAACAGAATGAATCACAGCAGTAGCATGGGTATAAGAAGCTAGGAAAACCGAAGGGAAGTACGGACTCACGGAGTACTACAACGTCTTCGCTAAGACTCCACATCCGTGGACCCACATGACGGGTGAACCATCTGTCCGACTTCAGACAGTAGATTGTGAAGTCCGAGCATGGATACCGCTGCTGCTGCGTCGGAGACTGAGCGTTGTACGGCGGAGTGCCCGTCATGGTGGCCGCGGACCCTGGTGCAGGTGTAGGCGCGTCGAGGATTTTAGTCGAGCTCGGCTGGGGTGAATTGAGGGCGTCGGTGACACCGATAGCGTCGAGACTCCAAGCAGAGCTAGACACCAAAGGGGCTCAAAGGCCTGGCGCGACGTCGGATGCCTCGGCACTTCTGAGTTGTTAGTGAAGAAACTTTCGAATCCTTGTTCGAGGAATGTTGTTGGATCTACAGGGCCAAAGAGAAGAAGAAGCGGACAGAACCGATCGTATTCTCCCGGGAGAGAGAGACTCGGGAGAGAGGGTCGATCTACAAACACAAACGGGGGTTGGGACGAACTCCCTACACAACAAATGTTCGAGAAAATCCTCGTTGATCAAAATGATTGATCTTGCGAGGTCTCGTTTCCAAAGTTGATTCAACTGCCCAAGTGGGTCTACGGATAGACTTAAAGTGATCAGTCGGGGCAACGTTCATCCCGGCGATGAGGGTGTTCAATGCCCAAGTGGGGGGCCTCCAAAGTTCTCAATTTGCAGCTCCAGCCTGTCGAATTCTACCTAGGTACTTGACTTGCTTATGTGTTCTAAGTTTACTTAAGAATCACCTTGCCCATGGAACTCAATTTCTGGAAGATGGAAGAGTATCCTTTCTTTTATTGGACCGCCACGTCTTTGCGGATATATATGTTTGACAATTTCAGAAAAAGTACATGAAGTTTTCCTATCCTGACGACGGAGGGAAAGAAGAGGAAGGAGCAAGGTCCGGCCTTCCGAGTCTATCTACAGCTCTAGAGGGCGTTTCCCACGGTCTGAACCTGGGGTCCTCCCAACAGAAGTGAAGAAGCAAAAGTGTAAAAAGAGGATTAAAGTGAAGATTGAAATGAAATGATGTGAAGTATATACTCATAGGTAGGTATGCAGACTTCGTGAGTACTTCGTGCCTGGAAGGGGTTCTGAAGTCATTTTGAGAAGATCAGATTGTCAACAGTTTCAAGTTCGTGGCTCAAACGAATAAACTTGATGCTCAAGTGACAGGGATGATTCCGCACCTGGGCAGAAACTAGAGGAGCAGCCTTGAGAAGACCCACTCCAGGGCTGAAGGGCTCCAGGGCCTGGCAGAGACTGTCGCAAGCCCTGAAGCAGCCAACATATCCATACGGACTACTACGATGCCAAGATCCAGCAATTGGGGTTGAAAGCAGACCACAATGAGACTTCACTTCGAAGTTGTCTATGGCAGAGAACATCTTCGAGATGAAGTACAACTTTAGAAATTGTTATACATACTAACTACTCCGTACACTTCGTTTATACATTATGACCAATTAATATCATTCCCTGTCCACCTGGGCAGGTGTGCTCTGCGCTTGGCCCTTTGCCTAGTCTGCAGTCTTATGCATGTAATTTGATGTAATACTCCGTAAAAATGTACGGGCATTTACCCCGACCCGTGTATAGATTATCGAAGACGAGTCAACACAAGCGAAGGATGCAGTTTTGAAATGGACTGCCCTTCTGGTGCATAAACTGGTACGAGTATGAGTACTCCGTGACTCTTGAACCTTAGCTGTATGATGTCACATACGAGTATGTACTCCCTACTCGTTGACGGGAGAAAAGGGGTTGGGAATCTAGGATCCTCAGGGGCTGGCTGCGACAGGAGAGCTTTCGGGCTGATCATTATAACCTTAAAAGAGCAGCAAGGTCTAGCCAATATGGCGAGTGCTGATCATGAATTGAGCGAGGGGAAGATGAGCTTGTATGCGCTCATATATTGGCATCGGCCGCGCCGGAGTGGGGCAGGCTTTCAAATCGAAAGCATCAAGGGCATCGGTGATCTTGAAAGATATTCTGCATCTCAACGATCGTCCATTAACAGTCTGCTCTTCAGCTTGTATGTTCTTGCTACTCGTATTGCACCTTGAAATAATCCGTAGCCCCTACGAGTAATCACTTAAATTAGGTCGGACATCTCCGCACTACGGAGTATTCACAAACATGTTTCACCCGTATTTGTGACAATTGAGACATGAAGCTAGATTTTGGGAGATGGTCTACCTGGAGCAATCGTGATCGCACGATTGCTATTTCTGGCATAACTCGTGGCAGGAGTTTCCTTACCTCTTATGGAATACTCCGTCGGTTTATTCTTAGCTTTGTATGGATTACTCGCGCATCGTGCGTTGCTCAGCCACAGCCACAGCCACGATTTTATGGGCACTCAACTTTGAACGGAGTATCAATAGTCGTCAAACTTAGTCACTCTATACAACGCCCTACTAGAATGGCAGAAATGAACACGTGGATAGAACATCTGTCCGTCGTGTTGTAAACAAATTTTCCGACCGCTCCGGGTGCTAGACGTATTTGCCATCCCTTGGCGCTGGCAACCTATCCCGTCCTGAGTTAAGGTAGCCGACAGTGTTTTAATCGATGATTTCTCACCCTGCAGAATACTATATCACCACTTCATATGCATCTTATAAATGCAAGTCATCGGAGGTTTCGGGAATACGAACATTGCAGGATTGATCACAGGTCCTGGAGAGAGATGCATGCCAGCAAACGACTTGGCATCGACTTCGACGTTGGACCCTTGATCTAGTAATCTCCGATACGAAATGGATTTTAAAAAAATGGTTGGGTTTCCAATGCGGATCTTGAAGCATTGAAGACGAAGACGAGCTCTTTGATTCATCCGACAGCCTCTAGCTGCAGATTATAGCCTCGGAAGTCCGAAGCCAGATTCGCGATGAGCTGTGTCGAGCAAATCTTTGTTTGATACGGAACATTGGCCAAGCTATTGCTTTGTAGTGCCGACATACTTTAGTATAAAAAGAGAGGTCAGATCTAAGAATGAAAAGTCACCTTCTCTTGTAGGTTAGACTCTTTAATTCAAAGAACGTGTTCACCGAAGTTTAGGGCACAAATGCCCCATAGATCGGGCATTGACGTAATTTGGTGGGATTCAGCTCAGATCGAAATCCGAATAACATTCTAGACTCTAACGATACGGGGTTCAATTGTATCCGGAGTATACGGAGTATGTTGTGCGAGTCTATAGTCTTGCGGTGGGAAAATTGAAGCGGGCAGAATGTTTACTGTACTCGGTTAACTTGTATTCGAACAACGCACTGCATCTCCACTGATGGTCCCACTCGAACTGGACTCGCTTTATTTTGACGATTTTCATACTTCGCACGGAGTATTCCGTACTTCATGTACAATGTATGTACGTTGCACGGAAATACGCGCCCGTCATCCGGGATACGAGGTGCATAATCACAACGTTAAAAAAAATCCAGGCACCAGGGGCAAAAAACTCAACGCAGAAGATCAAGACATCAGCCACTCGGAAAAGAGCAAGGAAAAATGAAGTTTGCCCTCGCAGTTCCACATGGACGATCGCAACCCACACAGGGCCAATCATCATTTCATGGGGGTGATGAACGCCCCAGCTCAGGGGGCCAAGCAAATTCGCTCACAGGGGGGCTCAATGATGTCTGAAACACGCCAATCGCTTCCTACACCAAGTGACTGGGTCCTCGTCGGGGTTTCGTCCCTTACAGTACTGCGCTACTGCGCGAGGGCCCTCCGCCAGCCCGTCACTGGGCCACTTTTTCAGCCACCTCTGAACGTAATTCGATTCCGCTGCGGGCCTCGACTGATCAATCTACAAAAAGGGAATGGGGTCAAGGGCACACAGAGTACATATACTTTCGCAAGTCCCTTTCCTCTTTTTCTCGATCGTGCAAGCAGGGCTTCGTCCATCATTATCGCTTATTCCTCGCCGTCGTCGTTTTTCGCTCTCTCTATCTCACAATGTTCCTTCCTTCATTGGTATGTCTACTCCGTATACTTCAAACGATCCTCCCACCGGTTCGCCGTTGTGGCCCACATCTCCACTACCGCGAACCATAGCTAATTTGGCCTCAGATCTTGGCTGCTGGCAGCCTGCCAACTCTCATTGCCGCCATTCCCCATGGCGCGCAATCCCACCACCACAACTTGCACCGCCGCGCATCCGCTGCGTATGCTCTTATGGGTGGTAACGGCGAGACCTCTGATGGATGGCCCTCGATGACTCAGTGGAAGCCCTTCGATACTCTGTAAGCCAATTGGCCACCGCGCATAGTCACATACTAACCAATGACATCTAGTTGGGGCCTCAACCAAATCCTGATTAGTGCTTCTTGCGACAACACCGAACAGGAAACTGCCGACATCAAAGACAGCATCCAGTCAATTGCCAAGGAAACCGGCGTCGACGAAAGATTCATCCTTGCCATTGTCATGCAGGAAAGCAAGGGCTGTGTTCGCGTCCATTCCACCAACAACGGTGTCCAAAACACCGGTCTCATGCAGAGCCACGCTGGAAAGGGCTCTTGCAACGATGGAACCTCGAAGACCTCCCCTTGCCCAGCTTCAACGATCAGACTGATGATCAACGACGGAACTGCAGGCACCGATGCCGGTGATGGTCTTAAGCAGTGCTTTGAGGCCCAGACCGGCGAGGATGCTACCAAGTACTACAGAGCTGCCCGTACCTACAACTCCGGCTCCGTCGACGCCTCTGGAAATCTTGGCCAGGGCGGTGCTACCCACTGCTACGCCTCTGATATCGCTAACCGTGTTGGCGGTTGGGCCGGCGACGTTACCGATTGTGTCGAGTCCACCATTGGTTCGATCACCAAAGGTCTCGCGGACGCTCTTGGAGGTGGCGATGACTCTAGCTCCGAATCCGACTCCAGCTCCAGCTCTTCTGCTGCCGCGCAGCCCACCGAGACTGCTGAGCCCGAAACTTCCGCTGCTCCCGTTGAAACCGCCCAGTCCTCATCTACTGTTCAGGCCTGGACCCCTGAGCCCGCTGCTCCTTCCGCTGCTCCCACCGAATCCGAATCCGCTTCCGTGGCCCCAGTTCCCACCCAGACCCCCAAGATCAACATGGCCGCACAGGCTTCCACTCAGACCCCTGCCTGGACCACCAAGTCTGCCCCCGCGCCCACTGCCGCTGCTACTTCATCCGATTCCTCGGCCCCTATCTACCCCCAGGCTGCTTCACCTTGTCAGAAGTACGTCACCGTTGCTAGCGGTGACTTCTGCAACAAGGTTGTTGAAGCTGCTGGAATCACGTTCTCTGATCTCCGCCGCTTGAACCCCGGTCTTGATGAGACTTGCTCCGACCTGTGGCTCGGATACCAGTACTGTGTGAAGGCTTAGGTCACAATCTTTGACTGGTCTATCTGCTTTCTATTTGTTTGCCTCTGTTTTGACACCCAAGATCTTTAGATCTAGCATTTTCATTTCTTAACTGTCCATCAGGCAGTGCCTTTTGTACATAGTGGGAGCTTGCTCCCTCAAAACCGACCACGTCTGAATCTGGCATTCTTTCGTGGCTCTTTACGACGAACGACATAAGCGAAGCATCTTCCAAACCCAATCTCCGTTTCCCACTCCCTCGTAAAAGTTTGGTAGTCGTAAATTTGTGTCAAATTTCATGTTTTTTTTGGTGCTTTACGCTGCCCATGGCCGACCGGGCTGAAGTTACGGATCACCAGCGCATATTTTTGCAGTCTGCTTTAGTTTCATGTGAGTAAAGCCGATTTGAGCTGCGTAACCTGTAGTCAAAAATCTGGGATAGTTTGGTTCGGCTTTGCAATCTCATAAATTTAGGGGCTCTAAATTTGCCCCATACCCCCAGACCCCAGTCCTTGGAACAGCCGAGCGGCTAAAATCTTTGATGTCTCAAAGATGTGCATTTTGATTATCAGTCTACCACTCGTTACTGCTTCAATTGAACGTGTCATTAGATTTGGGTGAACACCTTCGTGTAGCTGTCTTGAGTTTACTAAGGAAGAAACGCGGACGGAAACATCATCGATTCAGGTCTGGAGAGAGAAGAGTAACTACATTCGGGCCTGGGAGCGAGCACCCACAACACCTCCAAAAGCACTGTCTTCTCAAACAACCTCTATCTTCCCAACCCCTGTTTTTGTTGTTTTCTCACATTTTTCAGTCGTCCAGTGTACATTTCTGATTCGTGCAATCACTGGGTGCGCCCTCGACCTAAGCATTTTTATCCATAGCGCAGGGGCTCCCGGATGTCGCTTGAGCGTAGGTCTTATTCGCAGTAAGAGGTGCTCCAGTGGCCAAAGCCTGCGAGTCGGTGATGATGCTTTCCATCCTGGGGTCCCTGTAGCACCACAAGCTCGATTTGGGCATCCATCCTTGAAAACGGATTTCCGGGATCAAAAAGAAACATGCTTTGACTGTATGCCTTCCCCGACAAAACGAACAGCCTCCATCCTTCTTCTGGGGACCGTTGAGCCATGATGTGACCCATTCCTCCGGTTTGACGCCCTTCGGGGGTGTATTCCTCGCCTCCTTGACCTTGTCGAATGACGAAGAGGTTGTTGACTGGCGTGGTTCAACCGTTTGAGCGGCGATGGCAACGGATCCCGAAAAAACAGTGATCTTTTCGATGGGGCGGATCTCTGCAAGCAATTCAAAACAATCCTCACAGAAATAGTCCATGGTGTACAATTCAACAAAGTGCGGGTTCGCTTTCTCTCGGGCGTAAAATTCGCTGCGTTTGACATGCATGATGCCTTCCAGGTGTGGGGTCGCACTGAGTTCTCGTAGAAAGTTGAGCCCTCAAGAAGTAAGGTGGAAATCCAAGCTCCACATTCTCTCCCACACAATTCCAGTATTGGATATCGTTGATGTATTCTTTGGTGGTCGAGTAAGACTGTCGCTTCATGGACTGCAACTTTGCAAGAATCTCTGCTCTCCTAGCAGGACCCTCACCGCGGAAGTCCTTTCTCGGACATTCCATGAACCTATCGGCGAAACTAGTCTCCAGACCACGGCTGTTGATCTTTTCGGTGATTTCGTGATGTACGCTCAAAGAAAGCCAGTTCCTGACCATGCGGGACAACTTGAACCACCATTTTCCCGTCTCGTCAGCTCCGATGGGTCGTTTAATGAACGATTCCACAAGTTTGTCGATGTCGTACATGCCAAGGGTGTTCATAATTGGCCTGTGCCAATATTCGAAATCGCCATCCTTCGTCAACACGTTTTGAATCCTATGAAGTGCCAGGGTATTGGGGTCAGGAAGCCCAACCGACTGGTCAGCCATCGAGACGATAGATAGTTCTTCGTTGAGGTAATCGGCCCAGTTGATGGGAGTAATACGCTTTTGCCTCGGGGGTGGGTAAGAGAGAGAAGATGGGGAAGATGTGGAAAGGAGAGAAGATGGGGAAGAAAGAGAACAGAATAAAAAGAGAGAAGAGAGTGAAGAAAGAGAAGAGAGAGAGAGAAGAAAAGCGATCTACTAGGAAAGCTATATACATAGATTAAGGCCTAGGACGGACACACCCACAAGAGGATGTCTATGGATCTTTCTTTTTACCAAGCTTAAGCCATTACCTACCATATAGGGCATCAATATTGTAATCAAGTTAAAATCAGGCATTAGGGGTGTCAAATTATCCAAAGGGGTTTCAGATTATCCGAGGATGTCGATATAACAATCGCCTTATTTTAACTGCAATTCTCCCCCTTCAACCACCAACCGAACAACGTCTTTGTTCAGTCCTTGCCAATGAAGACGCCCTTTGATAAACCAATAGACAAGAGCAAACAGTGTAGTAGCACCAAATATAGGCGCCGCATAGTTCATGTTTGGACCAGTGACCGGTAATGAAGAAGGGAACGCTAGCCAAACTGTAACCCAAGTCGTGTATATCAACGCAAAGACATTGACGGGAAGACCTAGACGCCCCATGTTCCAGTTTCCAAAAGTTGCAGAATCAACCTGAAAACGATTATGCACCATGCAAGCAATGGCAATAAAGTAAGAAACGAAGAGACCGATAGATCCGAGAGCAACAAAAGCACCAAAAGCAGCCGAGCTTGCGATATTCAAGCATGCTAGAGCCATGACAACGAGCACGGGGAGCCAGACAGCACGTATGGGGACATTGTGTCTTCGATCAATCTGCCGCTCTTGTTAGTAGACGAAAATTGATCAGCCTGTAGCCAACACCCACAATTGAAAACCACCGGGGTAGAGCTCCATCGCGAGCCCATGCCCAGGTTAGTCGAGAAACAGAAGCGATAGTCGCGAGATTGACGGAGAGCGAAATGACAAGCAGACCGCTCACCATTGCCGTTGCAGCTTTCACAGATCCGGTTGCCTGTTGACAGATCTCGATAATAGGGAAACTTGACTTCTGCGCCTCCTCCACCGAGCCCATTGTGAACAGCATACAGACAACCATCGCATACGCGAGGGCGCCATTAGTAACGACAGTGTAGAAGATAGATCGTGGGACGGCCTGTTTTGCTCGTCGTACTTCTTCACTCATGTGCACGGCGCCATCAAAGCCTAAAATAGTCAGCGCCACCGCATTGGTTTGATTAAAAGTAGTCGTGCGCACCGACGAAGCCCCAGACAGGGGTCAACAAGCCAATGTTCCATGCAGGGAAGGTTGTCCAGCCAGAGCTGCTCTGCGTGTGCAAAAAGACAAAATCTGGGGTATGACGAGGTGCCAGGCACACGAAGACCACCAGAAAAACAACCAGAAGGCATATGTGCAAGATTCCAGCTAGCATCTCAATCCATGGGATGAGCCAAAAAGTGTACATGTTCATCAGGGCTTCGACAACAAGCATGCCAAATATTATCAGAGTGAGATGCCATTGCTTTGGCTCATAGTCGGGATAGTTTACACTTGCTAGCCCTTGAATCATGGTCGCAGTAGTGTTAGCCACACCGGCAAGTGTGGAGATCCATGCGAACCAGGTTATCCATCCTCGGTTTATGTTAGCAGCACAATGGAAATGACCACAGTGAGAGCACACCTTGCATCCATGTGATGAACTTTTTCTGGTTGGGCGGTGCCAAATAATGTGTCCAGTGATATTGAGCCCCAGCAATCGGCTGCATTGAGGCCATCTCGGCCAGCGATGCTGATTGAGCCATTGCACCACACACCACAATCACAATGCCCCAGGCCAGAGCCTCGGGGCCTCCATTGATGAGAACCGCACTGAGATTTCTAGGCGATGATTAGAACAATATCCTAGAATAGAAAGGAAGCTCACATACAGAGCCTGGGTCTCCCAGCTCGAGAGATAAGTAAGTGAAAAGAAGAAGATTTGAGTGAAATTGAAAAGCCGCTGTATGTAGTCAGTTTTGCACCTCATATTGACTTCCAAATCGTACCTTGGGCTTCGCCTGCTCTGTGGAACCACCCTTACTCAGATTCTCATACGCGGTTGAGACGTTCGCAACTGTATCGGGTGTATCCTGTCTGGTGTGCTCATTCACACCCTTCAAGGGGTGCATCTCATGGTGCTCCATAGTTGGCGAAAAAGCAGATAGGTATTGAAGGAGAAATAGTGGCTCGAAGAAGATTGGTCGAAAGGCTCGGAGAAGAATAGAAAAAGCAAAACCAACGACAAGACTTTCTAATAAAAAATTCCAACAAGGATCGTGCAGAATTCATGTGTGACTGTGGTATGTTCTTGGCTCGGCTCGAGGAGATCGGCATACGCTGCAGCACTAGATTTTAGCCTGTACGAGTACATTTCAGATGGGGCCGTGATATGCACGGTTGTGAAACTTTAGATCAGCCGGGATCAGTGGTCAGGAAAGATCCTGCTAGTGTGTCCATGACGCGAGAGATCTAATGATCGACCCATTTAGGCGAGATGCTGGGTACTGCATATATCTGGATCACCTTTGCTCTACATATACTACCAAGATATGCGCCTTGTTGCTTTCTGACAAGTCCTTTTGACTACAATGTCGCCCAGCAGAGAGGTTCTCTTGCCACCACTTCTACCCGTCAATGCAGAGGATCATGGTGCTTGGGTTATAGTTGTGAGCACCATCTTACTTATTATTACGACACTCGCCACAACGGTGACCTTCATATCCCGCATCCGCGTTTTGCGCAAGCTATCGTGGAGTGATACAGTAGTATTTTTGAGTTGTGTATGTGGAACTTGCCCTCAAATTTAATCTTGTCATACTAACAACCCAGTCTCTTTTCATTCCTCAGACCGTGTGCATCAACGTTGCCAGCTTCCGTGGAATCGGTAAGCATCGACACGCGTTGACCAACACCTCCTTTGAGGTCTATAGCAAAGTAAGCCCACACAGTCCCATTGGAAGTCTCATATCTAACAAACAATGCGAAGACCATTTTTGCTAGTCAACTTCTCGCCGTTCTTGTACTCAGTTGCTCCAAAGCTGCTGTCGTCCTTCTTGTGTTATCACTGCAGCCATTTGAAAAAAATTACTTTGGCATGCAAGGCAGTTTTGGGCATGATTGCTGCCTGGACACTGGCGTCTCTCGTTGCTCTCGGCACACAATGCAGCCAACCGCGGCCGTGGCTTTCCAGCCCCGATAGATGCGTCAACCAATATGCGCTATACACCAGCCTAGGAGCTATTCATATAGTTTTAGATATGAGTATTATCGCATTGCCAATGACTCTCCTTCACCAAGTCCAAATCATTCGTTGGAAACGTCATCAGATCTCAGCTCTCTTTGCGATGCGCATCCTGTGAGTGAAACCCCTTCAAGATCCTCCCATTGACAACCCGGAGCTTACCCATAGCAGAGTAATGGCTCTTACGATTGCTGGCTTGCGATCTCTCCATCCAATGTTCAAGTCAAAACCCTCGGATCGACCATGGCACACAGTCATGCCGGCAATTTGGCTCCAACTCATACTCAGCTCGTCAATTCTATGCACATGCATACCGACGCTTAAACGCGTGCTCGCAGATCTACAAACAGGTATGATGGCGGGTACAGTCTCGGACTTTTTCGAACAATCCGTCTCGGGTCATACCAACACGGGGTCCCAGTCGGTGTCGAAATCTAGTAGTGGTATTGGGCAGAGATCTGCATCACCTTCGATACCCCACACGCGATTTCAGAGAAGTTCTTTTGGTGTGGAGCGAATGGATAGCCAGACGATTTTGCGTGACCATGCTATCACACAGACTATTGATTACGAGGTCCGTTACGAGGGAAACCCAGCGAGGGTTTCGTCCTCCAGTAACTACGAAAGTGATGCTTTGAGTATCCACATGGTGGATCCAGCAGGCAAGCGTTGATGGAGTGACACCCCATACAAGTCCGATCATGGTACGAGTACTTCGCACTAGACTGATTGATTATGACGGGAAGTCTAGATAAGATGTAGCTTTTGAGCATAAAGGATACTGTTTGCAATATTTGCCTCAGGTGCCCACTGTAGATAAACCAGCCTAGTTAGCTTAGATCTTCTCTCTCCTCTCCTAACCCAATCAACCATCGTTCTAAGCAGTGTTCTGTGCCCTTCCCCGCTGAAGAGATACCTAATCAGCCGATTTTGTAGTCGGCAGTCGCGCATTTTTCTTTTGTTGGCGGTTGATCTAAACCCATAAAGCCCTAAAATCACGTCGATCTCGTTTACTCGGATAAGCCATTGGACTATGTATTCCTCACCCCTGCACAAGTTTACAATGTGGCGCGTCGATCAGATCTGGCCCGAGCATTTGGCCCCAAGTCGTTTCATCACCCTTTTGAGTAAGTGGTTGGTGATCCCCACGATCTACAACTATGTGGCCGAGATCGGGGCTTACTCTGGAATATCTCAATTGATACCTCACTTTTGGAGCTTTCAATGGCTGGTCGTTCCCTCCCGCTCAGAGTACTCGTAGCCTGCGCGCATAGCGCTTATATCCTAGACTGTGAATGCGATCGGCAACTCAGCCCCGTGGAGCTGATGGTAAGCTCTGGGATGCATTGATCGGGCATCATTTCGGAACCTGGCCGGCGGGACTCTCAGGTGATTGGGAGAGAAGCCAGTTCCCCTATTCACGATGATCTGATGAACGATCGCAATCTGATAAAGCGTGGCAGAAGAAGATCGCCATAGCCTTGGAAAACGCGAGGACTCATTCCGCATCGCTGCCAAGGTCTTTCTGAGGTTGCCTCGTGATGCCTGTCAGCTCCACATGTGGGCCTAGACTCCTAGGTTTTGATATTCGTGCGAGTATGTTTCCTAATGCTTTAGGCATTATCGAATCGATCAAATTTACAGCTTCACATCAGTGTGAAAATTGACATGAACATGAACAATAGTGACTCATGGTGACCAGTGGGGCTGTGTCGGTTCTTCCCGCCACCTTAAACCAGACGTTATATAACTTATATTTAGGTCGGACTTGCTGTCTTGAGCTGTACATTCACAAAGATGTCAGGTCTGCTAGACATTTTTGGTCAGACCCCCGGGCTCTACAAGCTGTACACTCAGCTATGCTCCGTCTATGCCGTTGCCGACACGTCTTCTCATGATGCCATCATCAACACGTTGACCAACGGACTTGACCGCTTGGCACAGAGTTTTCCATGGCTTACCGGCCATGTTGTCAACGAGGGAGCAGGGGACGGTCGTACGGGTGTTTTCAGAATCATCCCACTCGACAAGATTCAACTGGTGGTCAAAGACCTACGATCTGACCCCTTGGCACCGACGATCGATCGTCTTCGCCAGGCCAAGTACCCTTTTACTTTGTTCGACGAAAACATCATTGCTCCTTGTACAACTCTCAATTTGCCGGGCAATCCGCCAAACATCACGTCGGAGTCAGCATTGGTTTTTTGTGTTCAGGCAAATTTCATCGAGGGCGGTCTGATGCTCACCACCGTCACTCAGCATAATGTCATGGACATGACGGGCCATGAATTCGTGTTGAAGCTGTTGTCCAAAGCATGCAAGAACGAGCCATTTACCAGCGAGGACTTGACTCTTGGAAACATGGATCGGAGTTGTGCCATCCCGCTATTAGACGACTCGTACGCCCCGGGCCCTGAAATTGCCCACCAGATTGTGAAACCTCCAAGCATTAATGAGACCTCGGATCCTACACCCCAAGCCAAATCAACTTGGGCCTACATTGAGTTTTCTGAGACAAAGATCGCTTCTCTCAAATCTCTGGCTTCAAAGTCACTTCCACCGTCTACAGGCTTTGTCTCCACGGACGATGCTGTCAGCGCGTTTGTTTGGCAGTGCATCGCCCGGGCTCGGGCCTCACGTCTCGGAGCGACTTCTCGCTCCATGCTTGCGCGTGCCGTTGATGTTCGCAAGCTCATTGGTATGCCAGAGGAATATCCGGGTCTCGTACAAGCTATGACTTATAGCGCCGACACAATGCAAAAGCTATCGGATGAGCCGCTGGGTGTCGTTGCAGCCCAGCTTCGATCCCAGCTCGATCCCCGGAATAATGACCTAGCATTTAACACACGCGCCCTTGCCACGTTTCTCAGTCGTTCAGAAGATAGAACCAAAGCTTCGATCACTGCTTCGGTCGATGTCTCGTCGGATTTCATGTTGAGTTCTTGGTCGAGAATCCACTGCTATGAACAAGATTTCGGATTTGGATTAGGGAAGCCGGAAGCCGTTCGCAAGCCACATTTCACTCCATTTGAAGGATTGGGATATTTGATGCCTCGATCGCCAGCTGGTGAGTTGCCTGTTGCTATCTGTTTGAGGGACGAAGATTGGGCCAGAGTTAAGACAGACCCGGAGTTTGTGAAATATGCCACCTATATTGGATAAAATAGGATACATAGCCAAATACAAATGTACATGTATGTGTCTACAGCTTCAGCTATAATCCAGGCAAATGAAGTCGAGCCCAGACTTAGAATGACAAAAGGTTGCATCCGCATCGCGCCGATCACTGTCTCCGCATTCCGCCTCCACACTTGGGAATCCCCTTCAGCTTTTAGACTCTTCACTTCAGTCCAGAAGCTCACTGCTATTTCTCTCTCTGTTTGAAACTCTCGAAGCTTTGCATTTCACCCCATCTCACATATACACATCACTCGATTTGAGCGATCATGGGTGGGGAAGTTCCATTTCGCCCCGCTCCCCCAGCTATACCCCAGCTAGCGGAGCGCCCGGTCGGCCAACGCATTAACAAGCTCTACACTGATCGTCTGAAGCAGTTCACTTCAGAGGGTCAATACGAAGGCCAGAACCTCATCTCAAAATATTACGAAGCCACAAACTCGGATGAAGAACATGTCAAGCTCTCTGTTTACTCCGTGCCAAACCTGGAGCGACCGACCTTCGAAGATGCGACCTCCCAGGAGTTCAAACCAACCCACATCGGCGCTTCGTTCGGCCCCAGCTGGTCCACGCATTGGTTCCGGATTCACCTTACCGTGCCTGAGGATATGCTACAACATGAACATCTGGAGTTCCACTGGGATGCCAACAATGAAGGGCTGGTGTGGACGGAGGATGGTCGGCCGCTGCAGGGTTTGACCGGCGGCGGAGAACGCACGGAGTTTATTGTTCCAAAGGAGTGGCTTGATGGCAAAACGCACATCTTTTACATCGAGATGGCTTGTAATGGTATGTTTGGCAATGCCCCGGGCGGGGATTCCATTCAACCACCCAACCCCGACAAGTACTTCACGCTTAGCACTGCACGTATCACGGCTGTAAACCTTGCTGCAAGGGCACTCTTTTATGACTTTTGGATCATCGGAGATGCCGCCCGAGAATTCCCCGGTGAGTCGTGGGAGGCACACGAGGCCAATGTCGTGGCGAACTCGATGATTGATGCCTTCATCGCCGGTGATGGCAGTACCGAGTCTATCAACGAGGCACGCAAGCTTGCAAAGAAGTATCTCGGAGGTAAGGTTGACTCCGCAGAGGTCTACAACACAGACACACAGCCAATTGTCTATGCCATCGGCCATTGCCATATTGATACATGCTGGTTGTGGCCCTGGGCCGAAACGAAGCGAAAGGTCGCACGCTCATGGTCAAACCAATGTGATTTGATGGAGCGTTACCCTGAGCATCGGTTTGCATGCTCGCAGGCTCAGCAGTTCAAATGGCTGAAGCAATACTACCCATCCGTATTTGATCGCGTGAAGCGCTGGGTGAAAAAGGGCAACTTCCAACCAATCGGTGGGAGCTGGGTCGAGCATGATACAAACATGCCGAGTGGCGAGTCTCTTGTCAGACAGTTCTTGTATGGACAGCGGTTCTTCGAGGCAAACTTCGGTAAACGATGTACCACTTTCTGGTTACCCGATACTTTTGGGTATTCTACCCAGATTCCGCAGATCTGTCGTCTAGCTGGAATGCCGCGCTTCTTCACTCAGAAGCTCAGTTGGAACAACATCAACAACTTCCCGCACACTACATTCCAATGGGTAGCGCTTGATGGTAGTCAAGTGATGTGCCATATGGCTCCTTCGGAGACCTACACCGCGGAGGCACACTTCGGGGATGTCAAGCGCAGCGTAACTCAACACAAGTCGCTGGACACGGAGAAGTCCTCATTGCTAGTGTTCGGAAAGGGAGATGGAGGAGGTGGTCCGACTTTCGGACACCTCGAGAAACTCCGCCGCTGCCGTGGTCTTAGTGACCAGGTTGGCACACTGCCACGGGTGAAGATGGGCGAATCAGTTGACGATTTTTTTGCAAAACTCGAAGCGAAAGCTGCCTCCGGCACAGATTTCGCGACCTGGTATGGTGAGCTATACTTTGAGTTGCACCGGGGTACATACACAACCCAGGCAAACAACAAGCGCAACAATCGCAAGTCCGAATTCCTTTTGCGCGAAATAGAACTTCTTGCCACCTTTGCCACTCTTCAGGCCTCTGCTGGCGGATACCAGTACCCTAAGAAGGAGATTGATCAAATGTGGGAAGGAACTCTGTTGTGCCAATTCCATGATTGCTTGCCAGGAAGTTCCATTGAGATGTGTTATGATGACTCCGACAAGTTGTATGCCGAAATCTTTGACATTGGCACAAAGCTGCGACGCGATGCCCTCGAGGCTCTAGGTATCACAGGCCGAGGCGCTGGCGGGGGCCTGATTGCCCTAAACACATTGCCGTGGCCTCGATCGGAGATTATCCGGATGCCTCCAGGTCCTCCTGCTTCACCTGCGCCCAAATATGCCATAGTGGACGGAGCAACTGGCGTGATGCAATGTCGCCAGGCTGACTTCAGGGCCACTCGTGCGGTTACCGTATCCGAGTTCAAGCCTGGCATCTTCCGTCTGGACAATGGCAAGCTCAGAGTGGACGTAGAGAATGGGGTCATTACGTCTCTTTACGATGCGGGTGCCGATAGAGAGGTCGTTGCCAAGGGCCGCAAGGCCGGACAGCTGGTCATCTTTGATGATAAGCCCCTCTACTGGCAAGCATGGGACGTCGAAGTATTCCATCTTGAGTCTCGAAAGGAGCTTCCTAGCGGCAAGACCACGATCTTGGAGAATGACCCACACCGTGTGAGTGTTGAGACTTTGACGAAGATCAGCGACAAGAGTTGGATCAAAACAACAATCAGCTTATCCTCATCTACTTCCGATGAACTATCATACGTTGAGATGGAGAGCGAGGTGGAATGGCAAGAGACCATGAAGTTCCTCAAGGTTGAGTTCCCTGTTGATATTGTCAACACCGAAGCATCCTATGAAACACAATATGGTATCATCAAGCGTCCAACTCACTACAACACAAGGTATGCTCCCCAGACCGCGCACTGACAGGCTAGACTGACAACCAATTAGCTGGGACATGGCTAAGTTCGAAGTCTGCTGCCACAAATGGGCAGACCTCTCTGAGAACGGATATGGAGTCTCAATTCTGAACGACTCCAAGTACGGCTTTGCGACATGTGGCAATCTCATGCGTCTCTCGCTGCTTCGCGCCCCCAAGGCCCCAGATGCCCACGCAGACATGGGCCGTCACAAGATTCGCTATGCCATCCTTCCCCATGCTGGCGCTCTTGATGACCGGACAGTCCGTGCTGGCTTCAACTTCAATAACCCCCTTGTCGTTGAAAAGGCCAGTCCCAAAGCATTGGCTTCAAATGCCATATTCAAGGCCTTGGCTGTAAAGGGTGCACCTTCCTTGGTTCTCGATGTGATCAAGCGCGGCGAGGATGATGCTGATGTTTCCCATGATGGGGTTCCCACTCGTCCTGGCAAGAGCGTGATCCTTCGAGTCTATGAGTCATTAGGCGGCAAGGCTCGCGGTTCTATTGAGACCGCCCTACCAGTCAAGAAGGCTTTCAAGTGCAATATCCTTGAAGATGATGAACACCCTGGTCTTGACATTGAATCTACCGACGGTGGCTCGGTTATCAAGATTGAGTTGCGGGCTTTCGAAGTTGCTACCTTCCGACTGCAACTGTGAATGTGCATCGTATGTTTTCAATCACAAGATTCGACCACATTTTTAGTATAGCAGGTTTTTCAGACATGTCTGCATTGAACTAGTCTGGTTTCAATCAATGATTATGACGGTCAATGCCCGAAAGAACGAAAGGTGCGCCGATTGCTGTAATCTGTATAAATTCGTGATGTACATGATAATTCATCAGGGGGAAAACCTCAATTCCCGCTCCATTTTCCCGCGGCGCCCGTGACTCCTCCTAGGAGCCATGTGAAAAGACAGACCAACCAACTCCAGACCCCAAAAGATCAAAGCATATGCAAAGCCGCGCGGTGATGAGCCGGAAGCCAGAGTAACGATTCAATCTCTTCCATAGCTGATCTTCAATCGCTTGACAGAGGGTTTGTCGTCATCTAAGAATCGGTCAGCATTTCATTCCTGTCTTCGTTGATTCACTCCAATCCGAGCCTCAATATCCAATGTTCATTCAAGCAGTTTATGCCAGGGCGGAAATAGATGTAGATAGGGGGCAAATACCGTTCTTCATTGACAGGTTTCCACCGGGTGTGGATGCTGGCGTTGCAGCGTGCGAAGGTGTGGTTTGAGCAGACGAGGGCCCGGGGGAGTCCTAGGCGAGAAGAGTTGTCAGTATCGAAGATAACACACAGAGTACTTGTTGTCGCTCTTGAGGGTCACATACCATCATGAAACTTGCGGAGCTCCGTGAAAAAACTCGATCCGAGTCTGTGACTGCAGCTTTTCGTCTTGATCCAGCCACGCCACCGCCGATTCCCAGGCCCGAAGCACCGAGACTGGACCCGCTAGATGAGCCCTTGATGTAGTTGTCGAAGCCTTTGATGATGTTTCCGGCGGTGGTTTCTTCCAGGTAGGATTGTTCAAAACGGAAAATTTGATCTTCGAGTTGACCCTGTAAAGATGATTAGTTTTGGACCAAAAGCGTTTGCACTACTAGCAAGGTCTTTTCATGCTCGCGCACAGAATTGAGTCAAATGCAGCGAATAGGTCATGACACGACTCACCATGCTTTTGTCCATTAAACGCTTTTTTTGCAGTGTGTCCCTCAGCTCCCGTCGCAATTTCTCGTAATACGGGAGTCCGCGACTCGCAGCGTTCTGATCCGCGGGCGCATTCGGGGCTCCTGCTGTTGCGCTGGGTGTGGGTGCGGCGGCTCCATTTGCGGGTGCCGCTGTCTGAGCCGGTGCGGTGTCGGCCATTTTGGGGGTTGTTCAAGGAGTTCTCAACGGCGTTCAAGAATTTGTGGTCGGTGGCACGCACAAATTGGGGCGAATGAGTGCTGGGGAAGCTCGACACTGATGGAATCAAGCGCGTTTGGAGATCGGGAGCGTTCCACCCCGATCTTATCGACGTTTGCAGTGTTTGCATCCCCCTCTTTGTCGTCACCTGTTTGTTGTCTTGCGTATCACTCTGCTCATTGCTTGAGACTTGACCTCTGAGGTAAACAAATATCCTCAAACGTCCTGTGCTACCCATTTGATTCCTCCTATTCAATATGGATCATTCTATGCATATGGCCATGGATCACGGCGATATGGGCCATGGTGGTATGGACCACGGTGATATGGACATGGGAGGGCAGTGCAGTATGAATGTGAGCTCTGACCTATGTCTCCAAATGCTGTAGATTTCCTAATTTTGATATGTCGAACTGCAGATGCTTTTCAACTGGTCCTCTAAGAACCTGTGTATTATCTTCCGCAGCTGGCGAATCACCGGTCCAATCTCCTTCTTATTCTCCCTTGTGGCTATTGTGATCCTTACTGCAGGCTACGAGGGAGTACGGTCAGTGACTCGGAAGTACGAGGCTGCCCACGCACAACGGCTGAGTGCTTTCGTAAACTCTGTCAACACAGGTGGTAAGTGACTTTTGTTTCGTGGCTTGGGTGTCCATCAAGTGTCCCACATCCCCAGTAGCGCTGGAGATGTTCGGTACTTGATATGAAGAACTTGATGGGAAGGTGTTTTACTCTAGTCGAGCAATCTTCTCATTGATTTCTCGGCTTACTGCAGACAATGAGACCGCCGACCCTATCATAGCCAACGGCCTGGCGAACGCTGTCCCTCACACTCACACTTACAACGAAGGCTCACCACTGCTTGTAGGAAGGGACAACAAGGCGGCATTTGCACGCAAGGGGAAAGTGACACTGGCGGCTTTATATGCCATCCAGGTCTTCTATAGTTTCTTCATCATGTGCGTGATTCCATTGACCCCTTGGGATATGGCGGGGTTTGCTGACTTGCTATAGGCTTCTTTTCATGACATACAACGGCCCAGTCATGATTGCGGTTGCTGTGGGTGCCTTTGTTGGATACCTCACTTTCTCCGAGGAAACCCCAGCTAGCAAGACAATCGCATGTCACTAAAGAATTGGTTCTTGAGTGTCAAAGAGTTTGCAAAGTGCAGGCGAGGGAACTGGGCTTCATATCATATTGGCAGCGCTTTTTGATACGTGATAGTCGGCATTGAATGTATTTTCAAGCGAGGAAAACCATCGGATTGTACTCCGTAGACTCTGAGGTTTCGCCATATTTGGTTCCTCCATTCTTCCCAACTTTCAAACCAGCTCAAGGGACTTCGACGTCACTCCCGTCATCTCCAAACCCAAAGCTGAACCCACCTGTAGTCTCTTGTCCATCGGGTGCATCATCTGTGGCTCCGTGGACAATGTCCTCCCATTTGCGCTTCTTGCCTTCGTTTTTCTGCTGTAGCTCCTGCCAGGCCTGTTCCAACAAGTCGGGGTAGGATTCCCGCATGCCGGTCATGAATCTGTCAAGCGGATTGACCACATTCTTCCTGAACCCAGATACTTGATCAGGTTTGTTGGACAAAAAGTCTAATGCAGCGCCCAAGTGGCCCCGGGGGATGAAGTTCTGTGTGATGGCGATAGAGGGCTCCAGATTGACTACCAAATGCCACCAACCAGAGGGGACATGTAGAATCTCACCCTCGCCACAGACTCCTTCGACACAACCAGCGGTTCTCCGCGCCTCGGCATGGAATCCAAGCAGCCATTCGGCAATGCTGAGCGGGGATGTCACTTCGCTTTGGTCGTCCGATACAAAAACACCCGGAGGAGGGGGCTGTTTTGTGCTAGAAGGGAACATGATCCAATATTTGGGGCCCCGTAGCACAGCGTTCCAGGCACTGGTCGCATTGGGGTCTTTGTGGAATTTACTACCAGACCTCTCAGGTCCGATAATCAGCCACTGGTGGTCTGGGCGATCCTCACCAAGCACGGAGAAGAAATCTTCGGCGAAGCAGGATGGTGGCCAATATGATGCATCTGGTGTCGTGTCGGGAGATCCAACGGATAGTCCCATTTTTGAAACAAAGGAACGGTCGAACAAGTAGAGCGGGCTCTCGTCGGAATTGTCCGCCATGTAGTCGCCGTACGTGCGCATGGCCCAATCTACGGCTTCCGCGCGGAACTTGGTTGGACCGTATCGTGCGAGTAATGAACCGACTGACCAATTCTTGTATGCTGGCCATTCCTTGACAGGCTCGGTCAAAATAAATGGTTTATCTGTCCACTTTGCTTGAAACTCCTCGGGTGATAAGTCCGGGAGTCGTGTGATCTGGTTTCGAGCAGGAATCTTGGAAACATAAGGGTCCAGGGAGATGTGTGCGCAGTTAAAAGGTCGGTAGAGAGAGTCCGAGAACAGCTGGGAGCAATCAACCACCGGCACTTTCGAGGCAGGAATATTCAAATAAGTCGAACGCCATGTCCCTCGCCATGTAAAGTCCTCTCTGGGGTTCCTATAACCTGGTTTAGCGGGAGCTGATCTCGAGATAGTGATTTATTCTACTCTATGGCCATAATTGGCCATTGAACTATATATCGAGATAAGGGCTGTATCTTACCGCACAAATAACGTCTTCCACAATTCCTCGGCACGAGTGAAAGCATAGAAAGCCTTGCATGTTCGTCCAAATCTCAACAGACTTGGTCCGTCCAAAGATTCCAACAAGACCAGGATTAGTTCATCTGGAAGATGTTGAAAAGTGCCGGTGGCGTTGCGAAGACTCCAAGTGGCTAACAAAGCGTTCCCGCTTGGCTTGACTCCTAACGGATGAGAAGGAATTGCCTCTTTTGTTGGGTCAGCATCCACAGGATGGCTAGGCAAAGATGTGATGTCAGGCATAATCCCAGGCTTTAGGGCTTCAAAGAAAAAAAAAAGAAAAAAAAGAACACCCCCCCAATTTAGGTGGAGTGGCCTAATCAGGGAGGATGTATCACCAAGTGAATGGGAATTGAAGAAACCGACAAGACTGAATTGACGGCAAAGAAGCGACAGTCATATACAATATTTCTCCAACAAGTTCACGCCCAAAACATATGCCTATACAATAGAGTATGTAGACCTCGCTTGGGCTGTTGCACCCAATCCCCAAACCAGAAGGCGGTCAGCTAACCGCCCCGTAAAAAAAAAAACCCCGTAGCAAATGGCGCCGCAGTGTGGCCATTCGATTTTTTTCCTTTCCCTCTTCTTCCCTCCCACCCCATTTGTGAATTTCACATAACTCAAATATCTTCACTTACCTAGTATCCAGTAACAGACTCTTCAGAAAAGAGTCTTGTGGTGCTAGAAAACAACTCAGCGAACTCCACACAGTTCGCTAATTCTCCCTAACCCCACCTCGATCACACGCCTGTGTGATCTCTCTCTCTTCAACCGCCAACATGGCTGACAAGGGTCTCGAGGAAGTCCCCGAGGGTATGTACCTATACCTCTATGATATTTGATCGCATCGTCGATTTGTCCACCCGGTCAGCCAAATTGCGACCGTGATAGTGGTTCTGATCGCAGTGGCGTTGGCAAATATCCCACCAGGCCGTGAAACATCAGAGGCTAACATGACTTTTTTTTCAACCCAATAGGACAGATCGAGTCTAACTACGATGAGGTTACCGACTCCTTCGACTCCATGGACCTGAAGCCCGAGCTGCTTCGCGGTATGTGACTTTTGTGCCTTATCAGGCGGGGTTCATTGAAGCGGGAAAAAAAATACTGACGGTGACACCAGGTGTCTACGCTTACGGTTTCGAGCGTCCCTCCGCTATCCAGCAGCGTGCCATCATGCCCATCATCAAGGGTGAGTTTTTTGCATATAAACTTTTGTCGAGAATTTACCCCTAACGCCATGCTCAGGCAACGATGTCATCGCCCAGGCTCAGTCCGGTACCGGTAAGACCGCTACCTTCTCTATCTCTGCTCTGCAGAAGATCGACCCCGAGGTCAAGGCTTGCCAGGCTCTTATCCTTGCTCCCACCCGTGAGCTTGCCCAGCAGATCCAGAAGGTCGTTGTCGCCATCGGTGACTTCATGTCCCTCGACTGCCACGCCTGTATCGGTGGTACCAACGTCCGTGAGGACATGAACGCCCTCCGTGCCGGTCCCCAGGTCGTTGTCGGTACCCCCGGCCGTGTCCACGACATGATCCAGCGCCGTGTTCTCTCCACCACTGCCATGAAGCTCTTCATTCTCGACGAGGCCGATGAGATGCTGTCCCGTGGTTTCACCGAGCAGATCTACGACATCTTCCAGCTCCTTCCCCAGTCTACCCAGGTCACCCTGCTCTCCGCTACCATGCCCCAGGATGTCCTTGAGGTTACCACCAAGTTCATGCGCGACCCCGTCCGTATCCTTGTCAAGAAGCAGGAACTCACCCTTGAGGGTATTAAGCAGTTCTACATCGCTGTTGAGAAGGAGGAGTGGAAGCTCGACACCCTCTCCGATCTCTACGAGACCGTCACCATTACCCAAGCTGTCATCTTCTGCAACACCCGCAGAAAGGTCGACTGGCTCACCGACAAGCTCACTGCCCGTGACTTCACTGTTTCCGCCATGCACGGTGACATGGAGCAGGGCCAGCGTGATGTTATCATGAAGGAGTTCCGTTCCGGTTCTTCCCGTGTCCTGATCGCCACCGATCTGCTTGCCCGTGGTATCGATGTCCAGCAGGTTTCCCTGGTTATCAACTACGATCTCCCCGCCAACCGTGAGAACTACATTCACCGTATCGGTCGTGGTGGTCGTTTCGGTCGTAAGGGTGTTGCCATCAACTTCGTCACTGCTGACGATGTCCGCATGCTCCGTGAGATCGAGCAGTTCTACTCTACCCAGGTCGAGGAGATGCCCATGAACGTTGCTGACCTCATTTAAATTCCCTAACCTTTTGACGTCTTGATGCGGTTACGATGGCAGAATCTGCAATAAAAAGTGGCTTTCTGCGTTTCCGCCTGCAGCGGCCCGCGTGTCGACTGGGGTTGTGCTCTGCACGTTGAGTTGGCCAGTCGTTGATTCGACCGGTTGACGCCCTAGTCGGCTCACCGGGCCGTTGCTATGGTTTCTATGTCTTGCAATAACGGAGAAGAAATATGTTTGCGTTATCTCTTGCTCCGCCGTTTTCTCTTATTTTTTCATGCATTTTCTTCCCGTTTCCTCCACTGTCTGTACCTAGCTCGCGGTTCTTGGTTAGGGATGCTGCTCTTATCTCGTACTTAATCAATAGACCGGGCCAAAATGTGACTTGTTCCTCAGGGCGTTGTCCTTGGATTATACTAGATCAAGTTCCTTGCGAAGCTGCCACACACAGTGTAGTCCCAATGTTCCAGCGATGTACAGAGAAGCCTCTGGGGCTGGTAAGCACGGCCGCTCAGCTACTTGGTAGACATGGGTGGGAGTATCTATCATGGATCACTCCAGAGTGTGGAGTGATATATCACACCGTCAATTCTTAGGATGTGCTCAAGTGGTCTCCATCAAACGGTCTTGTCTCCGCCATGATAACGAACATCAGGAATATCTATAGATGTTGCTTCGGGCAGCCTTCCGAGGTTCGGACCAAGGGGCCGAGCATCAAATGAGTACATGCAACTATCCATGCATGTACTGGCCCTGGAGGGATAGAAGATACTAGATGGTCCAATAACTTTTGAATATATGACTATCTAGTACTATAACCATTCCAGGTTGCCACTAGACTTTTTCGAAAAATATACTCAGCTCAGCTTTGTCCGCCTAGCAGGAGTATCTACAATGCATGTCATACTCCAGGGTGACAGTAGAATTTTGGTTACACAACGTATATACTCCTGAAGTCCAGGGCTATGAACCAAAACGTCAACGCACTGCAAACTGAATGTCCTCAGGATATTGATCAGACCCCACGAATGTGGATAAAGATACAAGCGGTCGGCGCAGACACCCGCAATGACAGTTCTCCGCATCGCAATCGGAGAACACCCGACACTCCCCAGCTCTGACTCTTCCCTTCCTCAATTCTCTCAATTTCCCCCCTTTGCAGTCAAACCATACAGCTTCAAAATGGCTTCTATTCGCGCCAATTGCCGCAAGGTTATGTGTATCGGCCGCAACTATGCGTAAGTGTCTTCCGCGATTCAATGGCGCCGTGTGGTGTCCCTCATTTTTTCAACAATTACTGACTATGCGGGCTGGTACAGCGATCACATTACCGAGCTGAACAACACAGCCCCCAAGCAACCATTCTTCTTCCTCAAGCCCCCCTCTTCCATCCTCACCCCCGGCTCCGGACCTGTCCTGCGCCCCAAGGGCGTCAGCCTACACTATGAAGTCGAATTGGGTCTGGTGATTGGCAAGACTCTGCGCGATCTCGACCCCAATGACGACAAGGGTGCGCTGGAGGCTATCCAGAGTGAGTAGAAGCACAATCCAGACCAAGCAGCCGGAAATTAGGAATACGGGCCAACAAGATCGCTAACCACCTACCCGCCCTGCGGTGAACAGGCTACATTCTCGCAATTGATATGACCGCCCGCAACGTGCAAGACGAGGCCAAGAACAAGGGCCTTCCCTGGTCCATTGCCAAGGGTTTCGACACCTTCCTCCCCATCTCGCAGGAGATCGCCAAGTCGCGTATCCCTAACCCGCATGACGCATTCCTGCGTCTGAGCGTTGGCCAGACCGAACGCCAGGCCGATTCCACAAGCCTCATGCTTCACCGTATTCCCCAACAGCTGGCACAAATCTCCCGAGTCATGACTCTTGAGAAGGGTGATATTGTTCTTACTGGTACACCGAAGGGAGTCGGCCAGGTTAAGGCCGGTGACATCTTGCGGGCCTCTATTGAGGTTGGTGGAAAGGAAATTGAGGAGGGCCGCATTGAGGTCGATGTGCAGGACCGTGAAGGTCGGTACGAGTTCAAGGAGACTTAGATTGACTCATGGAGCTGTTTAGATGCGTACATATATCGAGTTAATGGATATAGATTTTATGATGTTTTACATGATTCTGATTGGGTCCAAGGGCCAGGTTTGGCCAGGTGCCTAAAAGTGGGTGACCGAGGGTTTCAAACGAACCAGATACAATCCTTCGATCGGTCTCATTCTTGAGAGGGAGCCGCGATTGGAAGATACGTGAAGTATGGACAAGCCTTCAATGATCACATTTGAGAACTGATATGGCCCCTTACTACCAATCATACAGACGTCGAGGATTCAGCACCATCAGGGAGTGCCACTCCTCGTCAGACAGCCACGTTCGCAAACTCTTCAACCAAGCCAGATCATCTACCTCGAGATACGGCGTATCCTTGAGGGCCTCTTCCCTTGTTCGCACCTTCATCAAAGGTGTATGTGGCCTGAAAGTTCTTCGAGTCAGCTTCCCTATCAAGTGCTTTCCGACAACAAACCCCGAATGCATCAGTCCAACTTACCAATCACTTCCCCACAGAACTTGTTGTGGGTTAGCATCAAAGAACGCACGAACCAGAGGCTTTACATCCGCAAAGTCCGGTGCATTCTTACTCACGCGATATGGCGCACTGATCTTGACGAACAGATGACCATCCCGGATCAACTCAATCAGAGCCTCAAATCCTGGCTGCTTTGTAATATCACCTTGACACTCAGCTGGAAGCATACTCGCACCCTTGAGCAGAGCGAAATGATCAGTGACGAGCCGAATTCCCTTTGGAACAATGTCATTTATGATAACAGGCTTAAGGTCAGGCCAAAACTCCGGGTGAACATGCGTGAAAGCCATGCTCCAACCTGCGCATGAACTTTCCAGTGCACTTGCATGCGCTCGCAAAGCCACCTTTTGCAATTCCAGATCGTGCATCGCATTGTAATGATATAGATTTACCCGAATACCACGGACGCCTGCGTTGTGCATCTCTTTGAGCTGAGAGGGAGTGACAGTTTCTGGATCAATGACTCCAATGGCTCGAGTGATATCTGGACCTAGATCTGTCGTGAAAGTTGTCAGGCAACTGCAGTCGGATCCATATGAAAGGCCATGGGTGAGGACGGAATTGGTAATTCCGATTTGTCGCTTGAAGTCATTGTAGCGTTTGATTGTTGCGGGAGGTGGTGTTAAATGTCGGTCTGGGGAGTAAGGAAATCTCTCAGCTATAGATTAAGATAGTGAGTTCCAAGGTCAGTGGCGCTCTCTGCATTATAGCGGTCTCGTCTCTAGTGAACCTCTTACGTTCGAAAATGTGATGATGAACGTCCCATCCACCGTTGGGAAATAGTCGCAACACTGCCGTGCTGCCTTCTGCTATCATTGTGCACTTAGCAAAAACCGACACTCGTAGACCCGTAGACAGATGATGTAACAAAAGGTCAAGCAAATGCAGGAAGATTGGATGATTCAATAGAGCGATGTGAACATTCAGGATTCGTGAGGACTAAAATAGATATTCTGCCTGCACGTCAAAAAGGAGAGAAAAAAAAGAACGAAACGACGTGACTCGGCTTGATCCAATCAGTTTTGTCATCCAAACTCATCTTGATTATTTATTGTCAAAAAGTGACCGAGCTCCAGGGCTGTGCTTCAAAGCCCCGGAGCGCTGGAGCGCTCCGAGGTGTGGGGGCGACTATGGAGAGAGGCGAAGGGGTTGCTCCGATGCGGAGATATTCAGTCCGTAAATCAATTGCATTCTTGCATCACTGCACGCAATTGGTCAATTCTGTCAAAGATCGGATCTCTCAGAATCTTGGAATGATCCGCGTTGTTCCTGGTATCGCCGTTCTCGCTTGCCTCCGTTTCCATGGAGTACTATCGGAGGATTCCCGGGGACGAGATATCACGATGGTATATACAATAGCCAACGAGATGTATAGCGGTAATTTGGCGTAGAGTGGCTGCTCACAACAATATCTTAGATCCCCAAAGATCATATTACGCACTATACGGACTTTCTCGCCATGTCGACAAAGAAGCAAGTATCGCCATGGCAGTCAATACTTGCCGGGGGTGCAGCAGGCGGACTTGTGAGCATGATAACGGTAAATATGAATAAACCACCTGTTTCACATTGCTAGGCTAAAAGCAAATCCCGCATCAGTATCCGACCGAATATCTCAAAACCCGCCAACAGCTTTTCAAAGGCACGGCCCAAAGACCTTCTCCAATTAAACTCCTCACAACCACGATCAAAGAGCATGGAATTCGAACATTGTATACTGGAAGTGGCGTCTTCTGTCTTTCAAATGCCTCCAAGTCCGCCATTCGCTTCTTCACATTTGACAGCGTACGCAAGTTCATGCCCGTGGACGCCTCTGGAAAGGTGACACCACTAGGTAACATGTGCGCAGGCCTGATGGCCGGCGTAGCCGAGGCAGTTGCAGTTGTGACGCCAGGCGAGACCATCAAGACAAAAATGATTGATGACCGCAGCGGGCCAAAATTGTACAGATCGACAGGTCATGGTATCGTTTCTATCGTTGCACGAGACGGAATAGCAGGTATATACCGCGGAGTGATCCCAGTGACGCTGAAGCAGTCCGCCAATGCCATGGTCAGGTTCACAAGCTATAATCTGCTTTTGGGTTGGATGGAGAAGGTGTCGTCGCAGAAGTCGGTCAATACAATCGTGGCGGGTGCAATGGCGGGCATCGTCACCGTTTATGCGACTATGCCTTTTGATTCAATCAAGACAAGACTACAGGCTGTTGATGGGCACCAACGGTACAGAGGCTCTTTTGATTGTTTGAGATCTGTGATATCCCAGGAGAGCGTTGCGGCCTTGTGGCGTGGAACGACCCCTCGACTTGTTCGGCTTAGTGTTTGTTGTCCCTCCAATCCAATCAAGTTGTGGTTCCCAGCTAACTTGCTTGTCGAAAGGTATCTGGGGCTTTGAGCTTCACAATCTATGAATCGGTGATCGAGTGGACTAGCCATCAGAAGTCAGAGGTAAGGGAAAGTGAGAAGTCGGTCCTCTAGACACCAGATACAAAGCTGGACAGAAGAAGCCAAGAAGATAGCGATGGAATCCCGGGATGAGATAAACACTAGACACAAGATATACACATGAGGAATCCATTTGACTTTGACGTCCTGCGGGGATGGTAGACGGTTTTTTCATAAACCCACCGACCCTGAAAACGGGTCCCATCCCCAATCATCGTGTAGATAATCAGCCATGAATGTTTCCATCGCAGCCTCGATCGACGGTTCATCTGAATCAAAGGTGTTCAGTGGATCGAAAGCCGTTGAAGAGAAATCTATGTTATCAAAAGGTACTTGGGCGTCGTTCAGGGATTGTATCGGCTGATCCAATCCCTGACCTATCCGAAGTACTTCGGTATCAAGAATCTCATGCTCAGCTGAGTTGGAAGGCGCATGTCTTTTTTGTGCAGCTGGAGGCAACGCAGCTGGTGGAACAGAATCTTGCGCATAGGTCAGAAACTTGATTATCAAGTCAATCATTTTCTCGAAGCTTTCTTTACCCGCCCGTACTGACGGCCACCACTGACTGCCGATACTGAGGTGGTTTGAACAGGTTCGAAGATCTCGTAGGATTTTCTCGAAAGGGATAGTGTTATGAAGATGCCGGGATGCCCAGATGCAGTATACAATTGTAGCGCCCGAGGAGAATATTCCATGGATATTGCGCCAGTTGTACATGAGCATCTCCTGATTGCCGAGGGCATCGTACACTTGCAAACGTCGACTGCAGCTGCGGTAACACAGCAACAACGCATCCTGACTTGGCGAGGGAAACATTTGAGATGGCTGGAAAAGAAGAGCCACGGTGTTGTGGTACAACTGCTCCATCCGTAGTTTTTCGTAATGAAGTTTCAATTTCTCTTCCTCCTCCATGTCCGGGGAAGGAGAAACATTTGACACTTCCGTTAACCAATCGTCGAGATCTAACTTGATTTGGCATTGAATTTCCGAGATATTCGTGGGCCAAACAAATGTTCGGGTAGCTGCTGGAAGATTCGGAAGGTGATAGAAGAGCAATTTGATTTCAGAGATAAACCGATCCAATTTGAATCGGCAGATTGAGAGAATAAGGTGATGAGATGGAGGAAGACGGACTGAAAGCTCGTTGTCCGGTATGGTGATCATATCTGATATGTCTGATTCATTGGGGGGTTGAATGTCGAAGGTTTCATCTCGAATGCCCAACGGGCGGCCTTGAATCGTCGCTATTGATCTGTTCCAGGTTAGATAATACCACAGAGGTCTAGCGTCATTTGACCTACCGATCAAGGGAGTAGACTGTATAGAAAATAAATCTTTGAACCGTGGCCGCGACCGCAGGATTCTCCACTGAAGGTTCACCCGGCTCTCTTTGAAGACCCAAGTCGATGCAGTGTGCCATGGCCACATGTGACAATGTCCATACATCGACACCCGCGGGTTCAATCAAACTTTGTACTGCCAGCAGAAGCATAGCTTGAAGAGAGTGTACAGAAATATGGGAAAAACATTCCGAGGAGGTAGACATTGCCGTGCGATACAATCTGGAGGGCGAATGGTCATAATTCTTCTTTCGCGTCAAGACTGTAGCTGCAAGCGAAAATGTCATGAAGATGTGGTACACAGCCGTGGAGATTGATATGGGCGTAACTCTTCTTCCGAGACTGAAGTCAATCTTGCCATTATATGGAAACGGACCAACGGATGAAATCCAACCATTAGCATCGGCAGTTTCATCAAGCCCTTCTTGGGCACATGTGTATAACGCTTGGTAGGCATTGAGTAAGGAGGCTGGATGCAGAAATGGTTGATCGATGTGGATGTTTTGAAAATATATGCCAAACAAGACGCTGGCTTCTTCCGGCGAAGGAATCTCCTGCCAAGTATTTTAGCCTGATACGAGCTGATGAGTGAGCCTTGAAACTTATATGTTTGCTTACCCTGGCCAGTGTTTTATAGATGGACTTCAACTTTTCCGTGGGTATCCTCGGTGGTGATCTGCGCGATTTAACGATTCCGTGGAGCGTCACTGCGTCTTTGGGAGATTGGATTTCACTGTCCAACCCAACAAGTTTTGTGAACAGCAAGCCAGAAGAGGATCCCAAGTAATGCTGCTGACGCGAGTCGGACTGCAATGAGAGCATGCCTAGGTCGATTGCAACCGACCGTGCCTTGATCGAAAGAGGCGAGCCCACATCGGACTCCTCCATTGCAGAGTGAGACCTCTTATTGACTAATTCTTCTTCTCGAGTGAATGCCTCGCTTGGAAGGGATTCTTGTGAAGAAGACAATGTCTCAATAAATCCCATGTTGACTTGTGGGCCCTGGGACATATCAAAGTCGGGTTGTAAGGAGCGGAGGGCGTGCTCTAGCCACTGAATTCGCGCCCCGCATTTTATCGCGAAATCTCGAGGTATAGACAAATGGTTATTCCCGCCATGGACATCGACACAGGGGACTTTTGCCCGGCCACAGTTCCCACAGGCAGGAATACCACCATCGCATTTGATGCGCTTCTGTCGACACCTTCGACATGCAGACCGGACCTTTCTGGGAACCGGCGGAGCTTCTTCCGCCATGATAAGAATGACGCGAAAAGAGCTTTGGTAGAATTGGCTCTTTATCCCTTCATGGTGAGACGTGAGGAAAAGCGCAAATCGGAGTTTGGGTGGGGAAAATCCAAGGCTTGGCCCATCCGGGGTACAGCCGGGGCCTGTCGCCCCGGAGCCCTATTGCGAGCCCTGGAGCCAATGCCGGATGACTAAATCAGGCATTTCCCCGGGGGCCCGGCTTTAAGAAGTACGTACATCTATAATTTTACAAGGTCTCATGGTGTTATAATTTCATTGCACAATTCATACTGTGGTGTGTAGAAAGAGAAATTATCCCCTTAGGAACGTATTCTTTACATACAAAGTCGCAACATGGCTTCTAACATTTAGTTACATTGTTCATTTCACTTCCGAAGTTTTTTGATCGTCGGTCCCATCTCCTCGCCAGCCTCAAGACACTCCAGTGTCTTTTGGTCAATTTCATACCGTTCCTGGCAAAGGCGCACACACTCTTCGATATGGGCGACAGGGATAGACACAACACCGTCTTGATCGCCAAGGATGTAATCACCAGGAGTCACGGTGACCCTCTCGTCAACCTCAACATTCTCGTATTGGACAGGTACATTCAGCTCCGACGAACGTGTGAAGGTATTGGAACCCAGAATGCTGATTCCACGAGCGAAAAGACCCATGTTCAATTCCTGATGCTCAGAGATATCTCTGAAGCGACCGTCAATCACAACACCGGCAGCGCCCAATTTCTTTGCGCGGGTGCTCATCAAGCCACCCCAGCATGCGCTGATAAGACCCTTTGGCTGAGAAACAAACACGACGCTGCCCTTGGGAATAGTATCGGCAAAGTGCCGAGGTGGTGTCGGCGAGGTCTTGTCGGCCGATGGTACCATGCGCACTGTATATGCTGGCCCGAAGATCTTGGCCACTGTGCCGTTGGATCCCGGGCTGTACATTTTGAGACCAGACAGGTATCCCCCATGACGGAGACCTAGATTAACGAGTGCATCCCCGACCTGTATTTAGCATTCGTCAGTCAAGCCGTGTGATTATGCGGGTACGCGTTGGAAAGGGATAGACTGACGTCGCACGACGCGAACTTCCCCAGCGCTTGAATAGCTTTGGCACTTGCAACCATGTTGTGTGTGGGGAATGGAGCAAAAGTCACGAATATCAAATACCGGCAGCTATATCACAGCCTCCAATCCTGAATTCGGTCCGTCAATCGCAACGGAATGCCGATGGCGATGAAGTTCGGAGGCGCGGAGTGACCCGGACCCACCCGGAGCGCTCCAGCAGGCCGCATTTTGGAATAACTGGCGACTTGAGCAAATGAACTCGGAGGTAATGGATTCTGTAAGCAGATATCTCTCGCCAATTATGTCTTGGTTATCAAGCTCTCTTGGTCTTCGAAGTACTCGTGTCGTGCTCAAGCAATATGATGCGAAACTCCTTCTCCCGGGTCGCGCAAGCACCCAAACCACGAATCTTGAATGCAACAAGACGATTCAACCATACCCAAACAATCCTCGGTGTCAATTACAATAGACAGATTGCAACCCTCGATGCTTTGAAGCAACAATCGCAAAGACCGTTGACATTGACCGAGAAACTCCTCTACAGCCATCTCATCACAGGCGAGAAGGAATGGAATCTGGAGAAGATCGAGCGTGGCAAGACAATCCTAGAGCTGAGGCCAGACAGAATTGCCTGTCACGATGCGACCGCGACTATGGCGCTCCTCCAATTCATCAGTGCAGGGCTTCCCCGGGTGATGGCGCCCACGACAGTGCACAGTGATCATTTGATCATCTCTGAGAAAGGTGCATCCGAAGACCTAGAGCGTGCAAAGTCTGAGCATGCGGAGGTATATGACTTCCTAAGTAGTGCTTCCAGGAAGTATGGTATTGGGTTTTGGAAGCCTGGATCTGGAATCATCCACACCGTGATCTTCGAGAACTATGGCGTGTGAGTTCTCCTTGTTCTGGTACACGACGTGTCAAATACTGATCCAAATTGCTTCATAGTCCCGGCGGCTTGATTATTGGAACCGACTCGCATACTCCGAACGCAGGTGGCTTGGGAATGCTCGGGATCGGGGTTGGCGGCTCTGATGCCGTAGACGCCATGTCTGGAATGCCATGGGAGCTAGTTGCCCCGAAGGTCATCGGTGTCCGCCTTACTGGCCAGCTTAGTGGATGGACATCCACCAAAGACATTATCTGCAAATTAGCTGGTATTCTCTCGGTCTCTGGCGGCAAAGGCTCGGTGATAGAGTTCTTTGGCCCTGGAACCGAGACCCTTGGCGCAACTGCCATGGCTACTATTTGCAACATGTCAGCAGAGATCGGCTCAACATCGTGCATTTTTCCATATTCCGAAGCGATGGGCCGGTATCTTGGCGCCACAAACCGTGAATACGTGTCTGCAGAAGCTCTTAGGGTTCGAGAGACTCTTTTGACAGCCGATGAGGGCTCGGATGATTACTACAACCAAGTCATCGAAATCGACCTCAACACTCTCGAGCCACATATCAACGGACCATTTACGCCGGACTTGGCTCATCCTGTCTCTCAGCTTAAGACCGCCGTTGCTGAGAAAGACTGGCCGACAAATCTGAGCCATGCCATGGTTGGTAGCTGCACAAATAGCTCTTATGAAGATCTTGATAAGACCAGGCAACTCGTCGCCCAGGCTAAACAGGCAGGATTAGCGAAATTCAAGGTTCCTTTCTTGTTGACTCCCGGCAGTGAACAGATCCGCGCTACTGCAGAAGCAGACGGGATCCTGGATGAGCTGCGGGAGGCTGGTGCTGTAGTCCTGAGCAGCTCGTGTGGCCCTTGTGTGGGATCATGGGACCGAAAAGATGTGGATGTGCAAGGAAAGGAAAAGAACTCGGTCATTTCAAGCTTCAATCGCAACTTTATCGGCCGCCATGACAGCAACCCTGCCACGCACTCCTTCGTCACATCGCCGGAGATGGTCACAGCATTTGCCTACTCTGGACGCCTGGACTTCAACCCTTTGACCGACAGCGTTCATTCTGAGACCTCTTCCTTCCGATTCCAACCACCCACAAATTGCGAGCTTCCTGTTCATTTTGAGAGTGGAAAAGACACCTTTCAGGAGCCGCCTTCCGATGCTTCCGGGCTGTCTGTTGCTGTGGACCCCAAGTCTGATCGCCTCCAGCTTCTGACGCCCTTCCCTGCCTGGCAGCCAGGATGTGCCAATGAAATGGAGCTTTTGACCAAAGTTGCTGGAAAATGTACCACCGATCATATTTCCCCAGCCGGGCCGTGGTATAAGTACCGAGGTCATCTAGAGAACATTAGCAACAATATGCTCACCACTGCAACCAATGCATTCTTGCCCAACACGCCGCAAAACCTCGGCCACACAAGAAACCCTGTGACAAATCAAATCCAGGTTGTCCCTGAGGCAGCACGAGAGATGCAGGGTCTTGGTATCCGCTGGTGCATTATTGGTGATCACAATTATGGCGAAGGCAGCTCACGCGAGCATGCCGCTCTTGAGCCTCGGTTCCTAGGAGGTGTTGCTGTCATTGCTCGTTCATTTGCGCGTATTCATGAGACAAATCTCAAGAAGCAGGGCATGCTACCCTTGACATTCAACGACCCGGCGGATTATGATCGGGTTGCGGAGGGGGATCGCATTACCCTCGTTGGGGTTGAAGATGGAGAGTTCCAGCCCGGAAAGCAAGTTGTTATGAGAGTGCAACCGCGCCAAGGTCCGGCCTGGGAAGCTCAGTTAAATCACAGCTACCACCCAGGGCAAATCTCTTGGCTTCGCGCTGGAAGTGCATTGAATCATATTAAGGCTAGTATGCATCAGAAATGATTTTGAATTTGTATACTAAGGGATGGCGTTTAATGATTTGGTCTCTTGCACAATTACATTCCATAAATGAACAGCCTTAGATAGCAAAAAGTAACCGAGAGTCACAGAAAGACCAGAATATCAAACTTGTGCAGTTCTCTCGATGTATTTTTCTCCAAGCTAGTGGCACACGACTTTTGAAACCCAAGAGGAATTTTGGTGGGAAACACCCAACGCAAACCCAGAAACTCAAGCTGCCGATGGATACCTCCTGTAGAGATATGTCCACCTGGAGCCACCCTCTACGTCCGCGACATCAGTTCCAAGTCAGCATGTACTCTTTTCACGAGCATGAATGACAGGACCACTTGCGCAGTTCTGGTCCAACCGGAGCTACCCAACTGCCCAACGACTGGTTCTTTAAGGTCCGATTCCACCCCACGCCACCGGAACCCTCCTCGTTCTCCACATTCGGAACATTCCCTACCCCAGACTTGGCACTAAGCTGCGAGGCGAGCCAATACGGTTTGGCATGTTAGTCACTGTGGACAATGTCAACTGAATCTTTTCTCTATTAGCTGTGGACACGGGGTCATCCTTAGAGCTTACTCGTACTTCCCCGCAGAATCCTTTCGATCATGGTCTTGCCACATCCAGCCGACGGTGTGGATGTCAGACCATACCGTGAGCTCGGAGTCTGTGGCTTGAGGTTGATTGGCATATAAACCCATTGGAAATCTGGAAAAGCCTTGCAATTATTTGCTATACCCAGAGGGCTTCTGTACCCTATATCCTCAGATCAACCCTATCTTGGCTCTTTGAACGTTCGAGTCCTATTCTCCTGACATACCCACCTTCTATCAAACGAGAGAGCCCTAGCAGAATGGGTGCTGCCGGTGGTGGTTGGTCTAGCGAGGCCATCAAGCATGTCCCCCTCCCGGCCAGAGGAATCTACATATGGCTCGCCGCCATCTGGGCCTCATACAGTGGAGGTTTGCATGGCTTCAACACTGCAAACATATCTGGAACCATGGGCTTGAAGCCTTTCGTACGAGACTTCGGCTGGGGAGATCTCTCTGACTCAACAGTATCAAATTACGAGGGCTGGGTCGTTTCCTCGATGCTTTTGGTTCGTCAATCATCGCCTTGTTCGAGTTTGTGTCCATGCCAAATGCTAATATTTTTTTCATATCAGGGACAAACTGTCGGTGTTCTTATAGCCGGCCCTCTTGGAGAGCGACGTGGTCGGAAAGCTGTTATCATGCTCTCTGCTATTCTTTACACCATTGGAGCCATCCTCATGGCTGCAAACTTTGGATCGTTGGCGGAGCTGCTGGTAGGAAGAATCTTCTCGGGATTAGGCTCAGGGGCTGGAATGGTTGTCGGGCCAATCTACATCTCGGAGATCGCACCTACAGAAATGCGTGGAATGATGACCACATTCTACAATATCAACATCATGGCCGGCGTGGCTGGAAGCTACTGGATCAACTTTGGCTCCCTCGAGCAGATCGCTGCTGAGAATAGCTGGCAATGGCGCACTACCCTGGTCCTCCAGCTCATTCCTTCAGTTGTGCTCTTCATTGGCTATGTATTCTTCCCAGAAAGCCCACGATATCTGATGATGCGAGGAAGAACGAATGCAGCACACGACAGCCTGTCTCGTCTTCGTGGGTTGGATGATAGCAGTCCATACTTTGAGAGCGAGTTCAACGAGTTGAAGGGCCGGTTCGATGCCAGCGCTGACAGCCAAAGCGCATTTGCATCTTTCAAATCTCTACTGGGCTCCTGTGTCACAGACCCCCCTACTCGCAAGTTGCTCTTGTTCGTGATCATAATCCAAACTTTCTTCATCATGTCGGGTGGCAACTCAATCACTTACTACGCACCCACCATTCTGAAATCGATTGGGCTCGACTCCCAGCAACGACTTCTCTTCTCAGCAATCTATGGCATGATCAAGGTCGCCAGTGTCTTCCTATACGCATTCGTTCTGACCGACCGCTTCGGTCGTCGACCCCTTCTGCTCATCGGCTCAACCATCAATGTCATCTGCCTATGCTATATTGCAGTGTATCTTGGTGTTGCCGATCTGTCGGGCTCGGATGATCCATCAGCAGCTGCCTGGGTTGCAATCGTTGCAATCTGTTTCTTCGCCATCGGCTATGGATTTGGCTGGGCACCAGCGTTCTCCTTGACAGCATCGGAGATCTGTCCTACCCCGATTCGAGGCACCGTGGTGACTATTGCTTTTGTATACCAGAACTTGCTCAATTTTGCCATCACTCGGGGCTTCCCGAATATGACAACCGATATGCAGGCTTGGGGACCATTCGTGCTCTTCACGGCATTCACTTTTGTCGCTACCTGCTGGGTCTTTGTTGCGTTCCCTGAATGCAAGGGCCGGAGCATGGAGAAAGCAGATACCCTCTTCTCGATGCCTTGGTACAAAATTGGGTTCTCAAAGGTTCCGGACACTAGTGAGGTCTTGACGACTGGGGCCGATTTGGAGAAGGCAACATCCAGCGAACACACCGAACATATTAGTTTGGAAGACAACAAGCGACGTAAAGAAGAGATGTGAAGAAATGCGAGCAAGATGAATAGATACCAAATAGCTATACCAGAACAACAGAATGCATGACTTGAATGAACTGAATGTGATTAGGTTGTGGTGTGCCAAGACCTTTGCTGTTTGCCTCCGGGTATCGCCTTGTAATCGTCTCGTCTCAACTGTTCCTCCAGCGCATTTCGAGGGTGTCACGACCTGAATTTAATTCAAGATGAGGGTTGCAGAGATTCTATCCGACATCACCTCTCTTCGTGTTTGTGTAAGTTGATCTCGCTCGCATTTCGAGCGGAGCTCCCTCTCTTTGCTCATGACAAACGCGCTTAAGACGCGCCCGAGCGAGACAAACCGCCCCTGGCAAAGTCGCAACGCTAATCTTTCGCTCACAGGGTCACAATGAAGCTCTTGCCCTGGTCAACGTACACAAAAACGTCTCGGATCGAGATTCCACCGAGCTTGGTAGTGCGTCGGCAGATAAGAGCCCGGCTCAAGACAGGGATGATCTCCGCCGCGCGAAGGAGTTGGTCGAGCTACACTATGAAGTGAAGGCGCGACATTCCAATGGAACAGTTGATGAAGAATTGAGTCTTGCTCGCCAAGAGGTTCAGCGAGTTTTGAATGAGTTGACAAATGTTCGGTCCTAATATTTAAAGGGACAAGCATTGGCGGTTTCACTTCTTCATTTGGCATTCATGGTTTATACGACTGCACCCTTGACTATCTACTGCTCGCTCGAAATAACCTGTTACCCCCTGTCGCACAGATTAGTGAAATGTGCCCACGAGAGAATCAACGATTCAATGAGACAACAAATCAACGAAATTTCCCAACGAACTTTATAAATCTTTTTGTGCATACTGCACAATCTGATCGTGGGCGAAAACTCTACCCTCTGTTGTTTTGCAAAGATCGCCAATATGCCTGGCGCGCGATTGAATCCCTTTGTCTTTGAGAACCTGCAGCAGCGCCGAAGACAATTCAAGCGCTGCTATCCTCGGCGCCACCTTGCGGCTGCCATGTAGCCCAATTCCCAGCCACTCTACTCGCGAAGGACAGTCATACGTATCAAACCATTGCGGCAGAACTACCTGTGGTATTCCAGCCCTGTGCAAATGTTAGAACGTGGTCTGACTTTCTAGCCCTGCCGCTGCTTTCACACTTACTTGCAGGCCTCAAAAAAGGAGTTTGCTCCTCCGTGGTGGACGTATGCAACGATATGTCCACTCTCCAAAATCGATATGATCTCCGGTTGGATCCAAGAGACAACTTTGACCTTGTTGGCATACACAAGAGAGCCTAGGGAGTTTTTGACTCTTGGCGAGCTTTCCCAGTCATACTTCAGCTTCCACAAAACTTTGGTATCAGGGAATTCCCGAAGAACAACCTGTATAGCCTTTGTCATTTGCAACGCATCATCCTCCGGGGCTTGAACGTGTGATCCCAGACAAATCAAAATTGTTGGGTGTTTCAACCATGCATTTAATGTCACATCGCATGATGTAAGTGTTGAAGAAGACCGGAGAATCGGTCCACAGCTGATCACGTTGTCGGGTACATAGAGTGGAAAGTCCATCTCTGGGAAAGAGGGCGAAAGATGCAGGTCGCCTTTGCTATATGGCTCTATATGAGGGAACTCTGTTCGAATACCAGCCTGTTTGCGTATGCGGAGGAGATCACGCATAGGTTTACCAAATCGAACAATGAAACCGAAGCAAAGAACCATGTATAAGTTGGCAAGAATCAAATTCCAGGGCATGGGGAAAGGATAGCCCGACCCAGTACTTGTGAGCAAGAAGTCAGAATCGCTACTGGAATTTGGAGAAGCATGTCCACTCACAGAGGATATTTCCAAAGAATCCCGGCTTTTGGCTGGACAGTTATGACAACGTCCTTGAGAGGGACAGGCCACAATATAACAATTCGCATACGAAGAATGCGAGCGGCATCCAGACCAAGATGCAAAAGTGGATCAGCTACCACGACAGCCGGGTTCACCTCTTTCAATATTTCAAGGCAACTTCGATATGATCTCAGGTACTCCTCAGGCTGCCATCCTAACACGGAGAAATTGATCTTGTAGCAGCCATCAAGGGTTCCCGCGATGCCTGGACGGTGGGCTAATTGGGCCGTTTGCCTTGCCGTGACTTCAGACAACGAGGATCCTGCAATGGCATGAAAATGAATCACTCTATCGTAATCCACTTGCTCGTTGAGTTCTTGGATGCGGGTTGATAAGCCTTTGAAGGACGCGATATGGACCTCGAAATCGCCCCGGTTTACGAATTCGCCAGCGACTGCGAGTGCAACATTTGACTGACCGTGTTCTGGGCTTGTCATGAAGAGAATGGTGGGCTTTGGGGAAGACATGTTGGGAATCTTGTTGCAATTTGCCGTCTATAGATGAAACCAGGGTGACCTGTAGACGCGGATGAAGTGGTTTATAATACATATTCGATTCATTGCACACACCTGGGCAGCATTTTTTCTTCCAGGGCTTCGAAAGATTGTACTGTCACATTCTACAGATACTAGCCGATGTATGGTTACTCAAACACAAGAGAAGTATATTAGGTAGTCCAAGGTTTAATAAGATTATTCTCGGGTGTTTCTGAGGGTATTAATCCAGTTGGTGGATCGACAGCAACTCCGCAACGAGGCCTAGATCCAGGGCTGGAGATTGAAATGATCCTGCGCACTATGGCTCAACCATAACCAAATCATTGATTCCAGGTGATTCGAGACGTATATTTGCTACCAGACACACGAGGCTGGTTAATGGACGGAGTTTGATGTGTGTCCAAGGTATCCTGTCTTTCGCAGACAGGTCACAGTAATAACGAGACCGACCAAGTTCAGCGAGAGTAGGAAACCAAATGCAACACGATATCCAGCTATCCAAGCCCCCGAGGATCCGTCGAGAGCAGGATTCCCACTGGGGGTCTGAGTCCCACTTGCTGTCACGTCATTTGAGACCAGCGCAGCAAGTGCCATGCCAACAGATGCCCCTATCATAGCGATAGTGCACAGTACTCCCATCGCAAAACCCTGTATCTCGTAAACGAAGCTTTCTGATACCACCTTCGCAGCAATCGAAATCACCGAGCTTGCTGCAATCGAGTTGAGTGAAACAGCGTAAATGGCGCACTTCCAATAGGCCCAGTCAGCATGCAGAATAGCCATCAATAGCGGAGCGAGACTCGAAATCAGAATTGTTACGATCAGGACTTTGTTCACCTGGGTACGAGGCAAGATCCTCTTCACAAAGATGTTACCCAGCGCGCCCATGGCTGGAACGGGTAACATTTGCCACGAGGATTGGCGGATTGAAAGACCTTGCGCCCGCTGGAATACAAGAACCATAAATTGTGAGGTCGAATGCGATGCGGCGTGGATAAAGAATATCACCAAACCAATCGCGAGGAACCGGCTGTTTGTCCAGAGTGAATTCTGCACACCTTGCGTGCTATCTCTCTCCCAGCAGTCTTGCCAGAATAGAAATGCAACTAGAAGGACCCAGCCGAGAGCCAGAGGGATGAACAGCCAGGATTTGCTGAGATTAGCGGCATTGTTTGTGATGACACTGTTGGAGACAAGGTCAGTACGCGACATCTTGCTTTTTCGTCAAGTAGGACAAGGAGAGATGCTTACTCCAATGCATAGAATACAAGGGCCATCACCAAGGTCCCTAACAGACCTCCAGCCCAATCAATATCTTCAGCGAATGTAGCCCAGGATACGTTTTTTGACTCGGCTGGTCTGGGAATTGCCCAAACAGATAACAGCAGTATGGCCCATCCTAGGACAGCAGCCCCACAGAACCCCCATCGCCAGCCACAACCTACTGGGAGGATTCCGCCCAAAAACAAGCCTATCGCGGTGCCCAGGAACCGACTCCTCTGTGTATAGGAAGGAGCCAGGTCGTGTAATTTTCCGGCTGGGAGGGACTTTTCGTGAATGTTGATGACCGAGACGAAACACATAGAATAAGCGATGCCACCCAGGACTCTGGAAGTGATGATTTGCACACCGGATTGGGAAACACCAGTAGTGAGATGACACAAGGTCTGAAGGGTAAATCCGTATAAAAACACTCTCCTGCTGCCCAGGGCGCTCGTCAAAACCCCCACCGGCAAGAGAGTGCAGCCCTGAGCCAGAAAATGCAACGAGACTGGCCTAGTAATCAAATCAGTTTGATGTACTCTTTCCTTTTTGCCGAACGCGTCATGTGCCACATATAGACAAGGCGATCTCACCAAAGCTCAACTCCAGGGCTTAAACCAAGCTCGCGCGATATCTGCGTGATATTGATTGAGACTAGGGCGTCGAGTGCACAGCATATGAACAACAAAAACAAAGTGCAAAACATGATGATCTGCCCATGCTTCGGCTCGACATGGCCAGCGGTTCCTTGGTCGGACACGGACCTCAGGAGCGGCTGCTCTTCCGACATCTGATAATGTAGATCGGGGTGGGTCTCGCGATCTGACGTTTCGGACTCGAGATCGGATTTACCCAGCATTGTATGGTTCATTGTAGGATTTATTGCATGCTTCATCTGTGTGCCCTTCGCTGAGAGCTTGCGAGGGTGAAAATTCCCATGAAAAAGCAAAATGGATGGAGCTGAAATCTACTCGACTTGCATATTAGCCACGCATTGTGATTGATCCGTTTTGACCCACAGTAGGCCCCCTACTCCGTACAGCTAAAGCGGTACTCGTTGGTCTTTGATGGTCTCCGGGCTCGGTACTCCGTACTGAGTACAGTTGTTCTCAGGGTCTTTTCTGGCCTCGAGTGTTTGGGAAGTGTCCTTTAAATGGCGACAATACCCCAGATGTCAAGACATCCAGCAGTGCTCAGATGATCCGGGTAGTATCAGCGGGGCACGTGCAAATTCCTGGCGCAGGGTGAAGCTCGAAATGCCGACACAATCGGTTATTTTTTTTTTCACGGCACATTGGGGGAGATCAACTGATGCACAGTGCTGGAACAGACTGATACTGGCTGAGCATGTTGTCTGTACGGTGTACGGAGGAAGGAGTACAAAGTGGATGTGTTCTGACGGAAAAGTGAAATCCAAAACTCTGCCAACTGGTCAAAACGGTCATGCGGTGTGGGTCTCAAGATCACAGATTCTCACTTCTCACTCTGACCATGCATGGCCTTCATGACTCAACCTTGGCGAATATCATCGAGTTTTCATGCTTCTATGTCATCCAAAATGTCACTCCGGGCGTCATCCTTATCACCACACGCAAGGGATCGCCTATGCGCTATGTTTGCATTCCGTGGATGATCTGGATTGCCTGCCGCTTTATACGCCCCTTTGGCGCATCAGGAAGTCCTACTTGGTGCCAGGCAGTAACACAGCTCATCATTGCCACTTTGCAGGCGATAAACCTATTGCTGATAAATCCTCTCGATCGGCGGGATATCTCCCACGGTGTAGACACCGCCGGTGGTTTTTGGAGTCTTTTAATCAAATCGGTTCGTTTGATCGCCCAGACACGGGCAATCAACACTCCTTGGCAAGTGAAGAATGTGCCTCCTCATCCGAAATACTACACCCGGCGCGGGTTCCCTCCCAGTCGATGTCGATTTCTACTAAGACAGCTAGCAATTGCCTCCTGGCAGTACCTGGTACTAGACATCGTACAAAATGTATCACGTCAAAAAGCCATTGAACGCGGTCCCCCGAGGGATGTATTCCCTCCAATTGTGTGGAGTGTCTCTGGGGGACAGTGGGCGGAAAGAATCGTTACACATCTCTCTATTTGGCTTTTGGTGAACCGTCTGATTGGAGACCTGGCATACCGAATACTGTCGATTGTGTTCGTTGGGATCGGACAAGAGTCCCCCTCACACTGGCCACCAGCATTCGGAAGCATGCATGATCTTATGACTCTACGCGATTTTTGGGGGTAAGCTGCAAGCACATGCTTCAAGTTATCGCCGCCTCACTAACTTTCCCACAGGAGTTTCTGGCATCAATTCATGCGTCAGCCTTTTACTTCGATCAGCAATTATTTTGCACGGAATGTGTTGAATCTTACGCGGTCATCGACATTGGAGCGGTACACAAACCTATTTTTCGTGTTTCTCATATCTGCAATATTCCATGTGATTGTCGACATATTGCAAAGCCTTCCCGTGGATAAATCAGGCTCAATGCCATTCTATCTTGCGTTTGTCTTGGGAATCATGATTGAGGACAGTGTGCAAGAAGCGTGGAAATATGCACAAATCTCCGGCAGCAGTCGAGAAGTGACAACTAAGCTGCTTTCTGGAATTACGCCTGCCTGGAGGCGTGTGATCGGGCTGGTCTGGGTTGCTTTATGGTTCGGGGTTACCTCAACATGGTATTTCACTCCGATGCTTCAGTCCACGACAGAAGATTTGCGCATGGTGCCGTTCAGTGTCACAAAATATGTCGGTCTTAAGCCGCTGATTGGGTTCGTCTTGAGCTATGGAGCCCTTGTTGGCCTCGCCTTCGAAGTGGAGATATAATCATGACTTGATCTCATCTCACGCCGCAGTTGCAAGCCGGCATTTGGTCCGGAATTAGAGTGGATTTTGCAACTTGTCAGTCTGCTCCACCAATCGCCGTTCTTTTTACCCGATTCGTAGTCTTGGCATAGAGACGTGACGACTTCCTAGGGGCAATGTTCATGCATCTGACCTTTGTGCAAAACAACTTTTCTTGTAGCTCTTGTGGTCGCTGTTCTGACCTCAAACATGCCGCGGGTTTCTCAGGCGTGCGACAATTGCTTCCGAAGCAAAGTGAGTTGTCTCCCATACTGTATGCCAAAGTAATTCAACTGATGTACGGCAGATCAAATGCCAGGGGAAACGTCCTCTATGTGAGTGGTGCGAGCATCGGAATTTACCATGCACATATGATAGAAAGCGAAAACGAGCACCAAAAAACAAAACATCTCCAAGGTGAGGGACTGAGTTGGGATAGACTATTCCCCCGAGGATTTTTGTTGATTGATCATTCGTAATGAGAAGATCTGCTTCGGAAAATTTAACCACAACATCTAATACGATCAGTTCTTCTTCGGATACACCTAACGGTCCGTGACGCTCTCGGAAAAAACACCCCGGATTAGAGTATAATAGTGCATGATACTGACGTTTAAAAAACAGATTCCGAACAGAATTTCCCGTTCCTGTATCACGTCGGGAACATCAATCTCAGCGATAGTGCGATTTTGTTTTATTCAGAGGGCCAGAAATGGGTTGAACGTCTCACAGGAGAGAAACTGCCCAGCGAGTTATGCATGACAAGCTCCCGGCCTTGGGAGCGTGATCCCACTACTGAACCGCAAGATCCCTTGGAAGTCACTCCACTTGGGACCCTGATTTTACCTGATCGAAAAATCTTGGAATCGGCCACAGACAGATTTTTCGACTCTGTTCTCAGCTGTATTTGGCCCTTGCCGGACCAAGTCCTTTTCCAGAAGACAATGGACGTTGCCTATGGCAATCAAAACGATAACCCATCCCGAACACACACTGCTAGGATCTGTGTATGGACTACTTGGGCATTTATATCAACCTTTCCAAATATTTCAACGGACTTGTCACCCAAGAAGCGAGGGGAGATTGTCAATTCCATAATGGCATCGATCAACTTGCTACAACAGCCGCACATTGAGCTTCTAGAATCCATGTCAATGCTTGTTGTTCTTCATCTCAATTCTGGAAATATCCAATCAAGCATTCTGTCCAATACTGTTGCTGCACGGTTTGTCCTGTTGCTCGGAGCCAACACCAGAGAATGCTTCAAGGCTGCCTGCAGATTTGTCTCGCTGGGAAACGAACAGTGCCGGCGTGAATATCATCTGCGCAATCTGTTTTGGATGTGTTATATCCAAGATAAAGAACTATGCCTTCGCTCAAACCAACCTCCTGCTTTATCGGAATATAACTGTGATCTCGATCTGCCCGTTGACTACCAACGCAACTACAATTCATCGCCTTTGGACGGTAATTGCAAAACCCCGGTCTTTGCGGGTGATCTTCGACTCAATCAACTTAAATCCAAAGCATACTGTGATCTTTACTCTCGGCGCGCGTTGGAGAAGGATGGGACAAGGATTCTGCGTGAAATTCGTCAACTGGATGGCGAGCTGGAAGAGTGGCGCATGAGCATTCCGATGAACCATCGTCCAACCCTGCTATTCTCGCAAGGCACAGGCTATCGATCTGATAGCTTCAGTATTCGATCACTGATGATGCATCTAGAATATTACTACTGCATGTCATACATCCATCAAGCTTGCGGTCGCTTTAGGCTCGTGGACGAAACACAAGATCAAGAGATTCAAGGAATCAGCTCCAGCCTCTCTCTCGCAATTGCCACCTGTCGCTCTTCGCTCTACTATCTCCTAGAAGTCAAACATGCGCTCTCTCCGGGTGATTTCTGGTGAGTCTTCAGTCTTGCTTTTTCGCTCGCCGTTTTGCCATTTTCTAATCTAGACACATTCGGTTTCACAGGCTGGTCCTGTTTTATCCACTGTCGGCCGTTCTAACAATATTTTGCCACATCATCGCCCATCCATCTGCCCCTGAGGCGAGTAAAGATTTGACTATCATACGCCAGATCTCTGCCCAAGTGCGAGAGCTTGGCGATCGCGAGGGCGAGGTAAGCGGACGCAGCCACAACACAGATCGAGTATGGAAAGTTGTTACATCATTGGAGGCTCTTGCAAAGAACGCCATAGAAAAAGATATTCCGTGAGTTTCCCCTGGACTGTGGACAGGGCACACCATAGCCAAGACCTCAATGTTTTAATCCTCATGGTTATTATTATTCAATGCAGTTGATCGAGGGCGCTGACTAGCTCTACGAATCCATAAATCAGCCATGGTGCATACTTTTGGCTGGCTCTCTCCCGAGTTTTGTTGAGCGCGACTGAATACAAAAAAAATCTCATTGTGAATATTACTAAAATACTCAAGTATCAAATACATCAATAATCTGGTGATGAACAGTCACCTGTCAATATCTTGTTTCACAGTGAGATGTGATGGGCAGTGTACGGAATGACCTTGACATTACCGATGAAGCCAGTATCCACATTTCCAGGCAAGGGCGTCAACAGAGGCTTTGAGCCCGAGATCTCAAGCTCGTCATAGATGCTTCGAATGTAGTTCCACATTAAAGTGGGAACAACGGCGGTGATGACATTAGAACCGTTGTGCAAGAACGGGCCAATATCAATCATGGGATCCGCGAAATCTAGAGCATGCATTGCCTGGCCATTCACGAAAAGCTTCAAGCCATGCGATATTTGCGGTAGAGCAAGATATGCCCCGTCGATTGATCCAGTATTCTTCACGGATTGCGGTGGCCAAGAGAAATGACTAGAATAATATCCGACGCCTGATGCGTTGTGGAGGCCGGGGATATCCAGCCAAGACACCAGAGAAGTCAGATGATGTGTTGTATTCCGCTTTTCGGCTATCACTGTGGCATCTGACATGTTCTGTGGGGCTTCCCAATGTTCCGCTATCAGGTTCCAGTCCCGCAAGTCAAAGGAGGAAACTTCGGTGTTGGGTGAAATGTTGTATCTACTGCCGTTGGAAAGCTTTAAGCTTTGGTTCCTAGGGTTGGCACTGGTGGCCACATGCACAACCAGTTCCTTCTGCGTGGTGAAATTGTATCCTATCACCCCAGAAGAAACGTGAACGGCATGTGACACCGGTGTAGGAGCCTCGGTTTCCCAGTCATTACTGAACGCGAAGGCAGTGGTCTGGTTTCGGGCGAGCATGACAGGAATTGATGTATACCCCTCATGCACCTCGTAATTGAGCAACGCAGTTCGTTCTCCGGTCCAACTGTTCAAACAATACGGCGTCTTTGTGGAGTTCACCCTGAGATACCCCCGGGCTGCGCTACCTTTGCTAAAGATAAAGACATAGTCCGTGGAATTTTCAGTGCGCATCACCGGGTACCAAGTGGCGTTGCTGGGAGTGGATACCTCAACCCGAGGACGAATACCGAGAGCTTTCAGCTTTGAAGCGAGACCCCCTTTGGTGGATGTATGCACATTCTCAGAGCTCTTCAGTTTTTGCAAAGCAGTGGCGACAGCATCTTGATCAGATGCATTTCCACTCGGATAGTATCCCGGCATGCCCCCATTTAGCACAACCGGAAGTCCAGAGTTCGCAAATTCTTGGACTTTTGAGACTGCCTCAAGTGTCATGTTGTCTTGAGAGGTCACGACCAGGGCTTGATAGGCGGGTGCTTCTGGTGCGAGTATGCCATCGGATACATACGCCTGAGAGAGCTCAAGATTGGTAGGGTTCAAGTAGGTATAAGTAAAGCCGTTGTCGATCAAATCATCATCAGTATACAGAGTGTTGAGCTGAGGATCAGTGTATGACACCTTGTTGAAAAGGGCCACGTCGGTCCGAGGTTGGCCCTTATGAAGAACATATTGGTTCCGGTTGACATAGTTGATCATGTCAGGCATTCCCAGCTCCCAAGCAGGCTGCTTATCCATATAAGACTCCGAGAAGAGGAGGAAAAAGCTGAGATACCCAGGCCATGTGCTTTGGAGGTAGTCCCCGGTGAATGTTTGGCCATGTAGCACAACTTGATTCACGCCACCGGCGAAGGCAATATTGATCTGACCCAGAAGTTCAGATAGTGGAAGAGCAAGTGCTTTTCCCATATCAGCACCCATCTCATTCGAGATCACCGGCTTTTGAGCAACATTCGCGGCTCCTGAGAATTGGCGATACCCGTCAATGTTATCATTGAAGGCAAGACTTTCACATTCGGGGGCATCAACTCGGTCGATATTAGTCTGCATATCCATTGGCAGATTATAAGAGACCTGTGCGGAGTAGCCCAGCCCAAGTCCTTGCAACCAAGATGTCAATGTATCGAGGTATTCACCGTAACCGGCTGCCAAAGTGGCGCGGAAGTCATTGACAAATCCTTCTCCTCTGTGATCATCATTCGACACGCATTTCAGTTTTCCAGGGTAGGATGGCTGCACGCCAGGATTGTTGTTTCCGTATTGGAGGAGAGGCAGATATTTTTGGAGACGATAGCCGTTCAATTTCTCAAACCGCTCTGGAATTGAAGGAGACCATGAGATGTTTGATTCAATCTCCAGGCTGTCCTCCCAGCCATACGTTCCCACGTCGTGCAATAGGGAGACGATCTCTGTATCGTTGAGGATATGGGTCTCCCAGAAGTTCTTGACGGTTTCAGCACCTTGGGGACTGTAATGATCGACGGTGTACGACCCGTTGTCAAATATGGTTCCCGTGGTGTTGGTTTCGATGTCCAGGTTTTTGGCCAAGTCCTGATACTGGTAGTAGGCAAACAAATGGTGACCGCCATGTTTCGATCCGTTGATCAGCGACAGGGACACCGTTCCATCAAGCTTCACTTTGTCCGTGTGGTCTGTAAGAGAGTCCGTCTCGATAGTCAAGCGAGTCGCCTTGTTCGCGGGCGTAGAAAACAAACTGCTCGCTGGGTTCATGATTCTCGAGGAAGAGGTTGACCTAGCCGAGACCAAAGCAACGAGCTTACCACTGCCCCATCCAGGGATACGGCCCGAGTAGCTACCATTTGATGGAAGGCTCACATGAAAGTGTGTCTGAATCCGCCATCAGTAAGTTATCAGAAAACTTCCAACGAAAAAAGACACTCACCAGATCCCAGTGTAATCCCGGATCAGTAACCACCGATGGTACACCTTGTGCCGCACTTGGGCCTAGCGCAAAGTCCATCCGCATTCCTGCATCCTTGGCAGCTTGGAGAGATGCCTTGAACACTTTGTTGAACGCCGGGGTTCCAAATCCATAAGTTGCCCAATCAGCCCCTTTTGGCGGTGCTGCGAGGGATGCACCATAGTTGTAGAGCGGAACAAACTCAACAGCACCCGCACCCAGCGCGCCAGCAGCCTTGATATCTCGCTGCACAGTATCGATGTCGACACTTGCATCAGGCAGCCAGTATCGAAATTTCAAACGAGCGTTGTTGGCAGGGTCTTGGAAAGTTCCATAGTCAATGGCAGAGACTACCCCTGTGAGTAGTAACCCACTGCACAGCGACTCCCATTTCATCGTGTTTAATGTGGAATTGTGAGTGCTGCACTTGAGATGCAGTCGACTTCAAGACGACTTCTGCGGTTTATCACTTCGGCCATCCTCGGACTTTTTGCCGATTAGTACCATATTGCCAAGCGCAGGGCTGGAGCCAGTATGAACATCATAATCTCACCTTGACGATGTTGTCGATCGTCGGATAACCCGGGCCTGTTCGATGTAAAGAAGACATGATCATCGACTTTACGCCGATTAATAATCGGGATAGTGTCGGAGACCCACACGACGCGTCTGCCGAACGAAACTTGGAGGCTGCGGGGTTTGATTCAACACGCGAGTAGTTACCGCTCAATCCTATCCGGGGGAATGCAAACGACAAGGTATTCAGCGGAAGATGGGTAAATGTGAATTTTCATTGTCTCACAGCCTATGAGTCACTCTTCACCTACGAACCACCCTCAGCAAATAAGCCTTGGAAGTCCAGCAAACCGCTATATTGATGAAGGGAAGATTGCCGCACACTTTATGCTCCTGGGGTCAGTCCAATCTTTCCTCTCATGAGCCTGTATGCCCATATGGTCAGCGTAAAGCAAACACAGCCAGAGTCGAAAACAAGGGCCCCGCCAAAAATAATTGCATAGTATGTCCAAGCCGAGGCTGTCGGCAGAGAAAGGGTTGTAACAACGATCGCCCAAGGCAACATCCACAAGAAGTTTGACCCAAGTGATTGGTAGAGATACCACCGCGGGGAAGTCGCAAGGAGAACTGCTGCAAGTTAACAATTCACACCGTAGAAGATGTAGGTCCAGTCAATGGACTCCCAGTCGTCAGTAACAGCACATAAGCTTCGCAATGTCTCAACTCACTTTCCACATGGTCTGGGTAATCTTGGCCACGGCACTTGAACCGGACAAGTAACGCGCAAAAGTATCTCTTCCGCGCAGCGAGAGGACAATGCAGGTCACGGTCTCAACTACCAAGACGATCAGAGAAGACCGAAAAGATGGTCGAATTATCTCTGGGAAATGTGTTAGCGCAATGGGGCTTCAATATGTTATGTAGGAATCATTCTAACCAAGGATTGCTTTTCGAGATGCTCGCGGCTGCTCGTTGCTCTTGCTAGCACGATATACACCCCAGTTGTGACCCACAAAGGTGAGCGTTGATGCCTCCAATGCTTGCACGGGAACCATTATAAGTCCCCAGCGGATAGTGTTGAATACTCCCCATGATGTCGCATAATCAGACCCTAGAAGCACAATCTGATGGACAAGCCATAGGTAGATAGCATTTCGTATAGCTGATTCGGCAAAGGTGTATATGCTAGGCCTGGAGAGTATTTTGAGATCGGCGAGGCTCCAACGAAGAGCTATTGAATCAGTTGATTCTTTTTGACATCGTCTCGCTACAACAGTGAGGAAGTATGTCAGCCCCACCAGCGCAGCAATCGTGTCGCATGCAAGTCTAATGATAGCTTGCATGACCACTGTTGGCTTCCATGCACCGATATGCATCTTAGAAATTATTAGCAGATCCAACAAAATGTTCACAACGAATTTCGCGGAGCTGATAATTAGCGGTACGTCGGGGTTATCAAGTGCCCGCATCGAGGCAGACAAAGCGGCTTCAATTGCTGATGTCACAGCTTGGACGGATGATAGTCGCACGTATGTGATTGAGGCCTCTCGTACTATCAACGGAACAAACCCAGAAGCCAAAATCCGTGAGCAAGCTAAGAATATCACAGTCATACAAACTCCCAGCACAGTCTGTACGAGAATCATTGTGTAAGCGAGATTGAGCCGTGAATGTAGAGTTCGTGCTGAGCTGTCTCCAATGACCAGCCATGCTGTGCGAGGGAGACTCTCGTTCAGAACCTCCACAATCACTCCAATATAGGTGTAGATGTCGGTTGTCGCCACTTGCTTTGGGTCGATGTTAGCAACCCATAGCTTGCTGAGAGTACCGTATAAGGCCGGCAGAGCAAAGGCGCCTAGGTTAAAGATCACGGATCCAAAATATCTGCCAAAATAATATATTAGTATGTTTTCTTGCTTTCCCTTGTGCACTCACGTTTGACGACTCCATAGCCTGGAGTTGGTAACTCCGAAATATTGGTTGTCCATCTGTTTCTCAGCACATCAGCTCTGAGACTGGGAAAGCGTGAATTGTTGAACAATCTCCCACTTTCAAGTGACACCAGTGAAAGAAGTCGAGTTTCAACAGAGATAACTGTCAAGCGGGGATAATTGACTTAGCGCGTGATTATGATCCTGGTCAATATGTGAGCATTTAAACTCCCTGGTATGACCTCCAAGATAGAAATTTGTTGGTTTCAGAGATCAGAGTGCTCGTCTGGAATTGAGAGAAATTAACAGCAAACATCATCCCAACTCAAAATCAAGGTAATCCCCGAATCGTAGTTTGCCATGTTCAAAAATGCAAAGATTTGGCACCCGCAACCCTTTCAAGCTTGAACTGATAACTTGTTGGAAAGGGTTTTGTTCGCCTTGAGATATGCCTTTTGCAAAGGATCAGCTCTTTGAGGTCGACTTAAGAACCCATTCGAGTAAAATGTTTTTAAGCTGAGGTTTTGACCATATAAGGTTCTCAGTGCGTGCCAATATCTTCGAACTTCCTTTCCAGCGGAAAAATAAACATTTCGGGATCCGAATTTCGTTGCGATCGACTCATCGTTACAAATATGGTCGGCATTCAAGATTTTCCTTTGCCTGTACATAGGGGCTCGTGCGTCGCAGACACAGTCGCATGTGGATCTCCAAGCTGTGCCTTCTCCTTCGCCAACTCAATCCTCCACGCTTTGCTAAAATGTCACATACGTGTCATCATTCTTCGCTTTGTTTTTCGCCTTCTGCGTATGCAGCTGCGACAAGTTACAAACGCCCGGGCGAGCGACAGCGAGTTGCTGCCACAAAGTCAAACATTCGAATCTTCTCGGGACAAGACAAACACTTCCTAGATGGGGACTCGCGGGTTTTCCCTGCTCCCCTGATTCTCCCTGGTGACGATCTCGCTGGCGATGCAGAGGAATCCCAAAGCTTCCAGGCATGGCTTGATGGAGAAACCCGTAATCCTGTCAACGCGAAAAAGAAGACGATATATGTGGTTTCCTCTCCTCAGATTGAACCCGGCCTTGAATTTGTGCGAGAATGGACAAAACCAAAGGGTTCTACCAATGAGCCCCAAACAAAAGCGCCCAGCACAGAAGATATCAAAGGATATCTGGCAGCTTTCTACCATGGTCTGCCAGTCAAGATGATGCCGCCATCTGCGTTGTCCATAATGCCATGGGAGAAAACCAAGAAAAGAACCCGAAAGCCTATCTCTCGAGAACAGTACCTTGGGCTGAATATTGGTGATGAATGCGTCCGAATTCGGGCACGCACTTGCCCAGATGGAGTATATGGTGGTCAGTTCAACTTGGACGATCTTCTTGATGCCGCCATAAGTATTCTGCCCAAGGATGCATACGCCTTGATACTACTTGTGGATTTTGATCTCTACGAAGACGAAGATGATGAGTTTGTCTGTGGGCGTGCATATGGTGGAAGTCGGGTCGCAGTGGTCTCTAGTGCGAGATATAACCCCAGCCTGGATGACATACAGCAAGTTGAGCGCATTCATGCTTGGCCTGCCTCGCATTGTGTCGATTATATATCATCATGTGTCTCGGCAGAGCCAGTCTTAAAGAAGCACAAGACGCGGATTGATAGCAAATCGATGCACAAGTCAATGCCAACACTCGACGGACCAATGAAAGATGCAGTTTTGGCCTACCAAGATCTCCCGGATGTCGGTTCTACTCCTTCACTGATGTATGCACTTTGGTTGGGCCGGATGTGTCGCACGGCGAGCCACGAGCTGGGTCATTGCTTTGGGATTGCTCATTGTGTGTACTATGCGTGCTCGATGCAGGGGACCGCGTCTATCTGTGAAGATGCCAGGCAACCTGCTTATCTTTGTCCTGTAGATCTCACTAAGCTGTTGCACGCCACAGGCAGCTCTGCTTATGAGCGGTATGAGGCCCTTCTGGCGTTCTGTGAACGGCCGAAGAATATAGACACACATTTCTTTGGGCCATTTGCTGCTTGGATTCGAAGCAGACTCCGCCTACTTACTTAAGTATCTGAAGAATGAGTACACAAGAGATCCCTAAGTAGGGGAGCAATATTTTATTCCACGGTTGTTTCAATGTTATCTATACATCAATATCGCTCGGGCGTGCTCTAAGTAGGGCTGATGCTCTCTCAGGCAGCACCGAGGTATCTAGCCCTGGACTTGAAGCGGTACTTAAGTAGATGATATATCTGAGATTCCATCATCATTGGAGATGGAAATATATAGCCTTGGAGGACCGGTGTGCATGAGAAATCCCTTCCCAATCTTCGATCACTATGTGCGCCAGAAGCCTGTCAACTTGGAAGGCCGAGACTACCATCTATGGATTGAACTGTCCAGTCTCTAAGAGGCTTGTTGGATGACCTCGGGATGTTCCTCTTTCAACCTTGGAAGCTCTCGATATGAATGAACACCCGTAAAACCTTCCGAGGTCGTTAGAACCCACTTACAACGACAAGTCAAACTTGATCTAGCTAGACACACAATTTTCACTTCATAATCGTGTTGTAGGTGAAGATTTTTCTTTCTGTGTTGAGGTGTATTGGGAGCGGCTTTAACCACGGGTATCCAGCCGCAGCCTTAAAATTGGGTTTCCAAGAGCGATCACTTGAGCAGAACCCATACTCTGTTGAGAAGAACGCTCCGGACCGTATTTCAGACGAAGATCGCAATCGAGAAAAATCTTGAATTTGACTGCTTGGGACTGCACCAGGACGGATTGCCAGAAATATGCCAAATCTCCGGAACCAGGCTCCAGAGTACCGCGGTTCACAGCAGCAACCATGTGCAGTAACCATGTGCAACGTTAGGCTAACCTTGAAATCTACTCGTATACTACGGAGCAGTTCCTCCGTCGTTCCACGCAAACTCAACCACGGGACAGGATGCGGATTCAAACCACACGAACAATGCTAAAATCAGCCTCATCATATGAGTATGCGATCGAGGCCGGTAATCCCCCGTCCGATGTGCGTATATTGTACTCCGCACACATAGCTTTCTAAAGTGCTGGTCACTCTGCAGTTCTTCCAATCTTTGAAGAGAGCCCCGCGTTATCTGCAATCACATTTTACTGTATGCCGTGCTGGTGCTAGCTACTCGTAACATTACGGGTACAATATTTTGATGGATATGGGCTGGGAAGGGAAAAGAAAAAAAACTGGCGGAAGGACTCGGGCAGCTGTCACCGAGCCGGGCAGTAAATTCTGTGATGGATCGAATTCAATTGGCAAGGAATCGAACATGATGTCTCTGGCATTTTCGGGATCCAAGGTCCCTCAGTGGCAAGGTGTTTCATGTAAGTGACATCAGAAGCCGTCCGATCTACCAATGCGCATGGATAGCAGATCGGACAAGATTTTATGAGATTTGTCACGGTGTTCGGTGTTCCAAGAAGGGCCGATCGCGACGGGCACATGTTTCAAGTTGAACCTTGGGGTGTTCCGTTTTGGTTTTTTCTTCTTTTTTTTTACCCATTTAACCCGCAGCCAAAGCCGGCAGAAGTCCGGCAAACTTGTTGCGAGACATTGTGTACAGAGCTTTCACTCAATTAACGGAGTAGTCATATCGCACGGGTTTAGGGGCTTCCCCCCCTCAAAATGTCGCCTGGTCCACCAGTTCGCCGACTGAGGGGGGAAAACAGAAATAGCACCTTTAGATCGTTTCAAACCCAGTAAGACCCGAGCCCTGGATCCAAAATCAAGCGAACTTCGATTTTTCCTCGGGTAAACATTAATCAAGCTGAAACAGGGCTTAATGGGGCAGACTCAATGTGAGATCTCTAGTGAAGCAGTAGACCGATTTAAGCTTTTCCACGTTTCGCAAAGGAAGCGAACCTGTTATTTTTAGGCCTCAAACAGCCATGAACCCTCGTGAGCACCCCTTTATGTAGTTACGGAGAAAGACTTGGACCCTCGGCCACCGTGCCGAGGAAATAGATTGTTACTTCGCATGGCCAAGGCAAGAGGCGCAACTAGTGGGAACCTTATGGATCCGGCTGTTCGGATCTCAAGGATTTTCCTATGTTCATTACTACGTACTAGTTAGCTAGTAGTAACTATGAAGTGTGAGTAACTGGGAACTACGAGTATGACTGCTGCCCAGAACCTTGGGGTTTGGGGTCCTGGCCCAGACATGCAGAGAACCCTTCGTATTCGTACGAACGCGGCAATGTCCCGAGTAAAGCAATTCCAGGTTTTTGCCATTTCGAGATTGCATCCATGAGGAGCATGGTACAACAACGTGCACAAAACAACCGAATTCCTCCGTCTAATTGGGTGACATTTCCCGTTTCCCGATACTCGTCATAGTACATAATTTTCTGCATCGGACCGATCGCAATAACACGGGCGGTGCAGGGAAGCTTCCAGGGCGTAATGGGCTATGCGGTCAGCTGCAGCCAGGAATGAGAAAATGCAGTTTTCTACTCGTACGAGTAGTCCCACCTCTTCCCATCGCGGGCCTGTTAAAAATCGGCCTAGGGGCTTTTTTTTTCTCCCAGCAGGGGGCCAGTTCAGCGCCGCTGCATGCAGCCATCAAGCTTAGCTCGTGGAATTTGTCCGTGTGGAGTGAGACATGCACAATTGTACTCCGTACAATTGTATGTAACTACTCTGTACATTGTCCTTCCTCGTTCATGCTGAAGCCATGAACAGTGGACTGTTCGGTCTGGCTAGTGGCCCTGTACCCATATGGCTCCGGGCCCAAGGTTGATCACCCGAGATGAAACCCCGATCGCCTCAAGAGCCAAAGCCAACATTCAAAATGGTTAGATTATCATGAACTGGTTCCCGAAGTGGGGGTGCTTTTTGGAGTGTTGTTGGACTCCCTACTCCCTACTACACACTTATGCGGTTAGTTACTCCTGTTTGGAGGCCATTTAGCCTGTGGAGAATAGCGAACGAAGCTTAATGGCCAAGCATTCGCTCTTCAAATCCACTGAGCTACGCCCTAAACCGTTTAACGTCCGTGAAAATTGGAGGTCCCCCTATCAACTTACCCCTGGCTATGAGCCCATCCGGCGCCATCGCACACTAGTGCAAGGATGAATTTTAGGGCAAATCCCTTCCACATTTGCATTAATATACACACGCATATTATGGATATGTGAATATTTGGGCTCTTATTTGTTCCTTCCAGACCAAAGTGGGGATTTTCATGCAGTGGTCACTGCACAACTTTACAAGTACGTTTGAATCCAGGCCGGGCGTCTTTGGCGTCTGTAGCTGTCAGCCACCAACTGGATTTTGGTACTCTTTAGCTAAAGGGAAAGAAAGTAAACAAAAAAAGGGGACATGCTCGGAGGTCAACCTCCAATTGAACAAAGCCGCGGTCTGTATTTTGGTGCACAATATACGAGTACTGTCGCCTAAAGGGCTGCATGAATACACTTCTATTCGGTAGTATGGGAATAGAGGACCCATTGCGGGTAGTGCTAAGGCACAATAGCAAATGCCATCATAGGAGGCAATTGAAGCCGAGTTCTGGCTCCACGGAGAGAGTTGGTCCGTGAGATGAGGGCCCAGACTAGCTTGAATAAGGAGGACGGACGGTTCAGAACAAGGATCATGGACAGCTACGAGTAGGCCTCTCGTTACAGTTGCCTCCTTCTCGGTTTGACAGGTCTTGCGCATCCAACAAAAACGCACGATTGGACCTGTCTATCGTTGCCCGAAGGGGTAAAGAGTGTGCAGGTGTACCTGGGCTAATTCCCCGGAGCTGTGGGTCATACGGAGTAGGTGGACTTGGAATGGGCCACTCGGAAGATCGCGTATAGTACGGATTAGAGCTGCAGAGGTTCATAAATTGTTTACTTCTGAGTGCTACTAGTGTGTACTTTTGAACCATAGACCGTCAAACCTGGTAAAAGGGTCACTGTTGTATGCAGCTTATTCTGTTCAGACTAGTGGAGAGAAAGGGAAAGGGGGTGTACGGAAGACTCGGTCAAGAGAACAATTAAAAAAGCGATAAAAATGGAAAAATCGGAAACAACACTCGACCGTTGTGTGGATCTTTGTTGATCTTTTGCCTCGAGGGCTTGAGTATGAGCGCATCGTGATCTGCGAAGACTTCTGCCCCCTTGGGATTTGGCACTTTAAACTATGGGGGGGCTATTCTTTTTTCTTTCTCCTTTGCTTAAATTTCCGTTATTCTTTACTTTTTGCGGTCAATGTTTGCTTTTTCTCTTGTAATTCTTGGGCCTAGGTCCCTTTGCATCTTAGAGTAGTGATTTCGAGCATTGGGTACGCTTTCTGATATCAACAAACAACGCATCCCCGAATTGAGCTTGGGTCGATGGGTCGATTCTCATGGTTAGTGTGATACCTGATACAATTCGCAACTCCTGTAACCAAGAATAGACCGCCGAGGTGGAGAGTGAGGATCTCCACTCGTGCTGCAATCAATCTGTCGTTAGCCTCTCACTGGTGGAATCGATGATCCACCCGCTCGTGAAAGATCCAGGTCTCCATTCTTCGATATCCCTGAAGCCCAAGGGGTGGATGGCTCCAATTGTGGAATCGGAGACCGGGGTAGAGCCAGTGTGAGTCTGTTCCTGACCCGGTACCTTGAATCGAGTCCCGGAAGCCTGCCGGCTCCAAATCCATCAGGGGTATATAAACACCCTTGGACGATCAGCTTGAGGATCTTCATCACTCAACTGTCTTTTTTTTTCTCTTTTCACCTTTTCCCAGTCTATCTTTAATACACCAGGCGGCTTTTCTGCCAGCCTTGCCGGTCTCTCGCTTCTGTATTCAGAAGACCCTCGTTATACTTTCCAAAGCGTTTGACCTATACATTCGTTAATACTCACACAACATGCGTCCCGCTCTCGTTATGCTCGCCGCTCTGGCGGGCTCTGCCCTCGCCTACCCCACCGATATGGCCACAGAGAAGCGTACCTTCGGTCTCCTGGCTGAGATCCTTGGTCACGCCGCTGTCGACGTCTCTTCCATTCTCGAGGCCGTGCTCAGTCACGGTCACTCCTCGGGCTCCCTTCTCGCTGGTCTGAGCGCCGAGGGTGCTGCCGCCCTTGAGGGTGGTGCTCTTGGTTGCAAGGCTGGTGCTATCCATGCCCACGCCAAGGCCGCGCTCAAGGCTTGGTTGCTCATCCACGCTCAGTTGGACTTCTCCCTCAAGAAGCACCTCATCGCCTGGTGCGATGGTGACGCTGAGCTTGTCCTTTCCGCTGATATCCTCGCTGCTCTCTCCGCGTACATTCCTGGATGTGCCGAAGTTGCTGCCAAGGGCCAGCTTTACGTTACCATTGATGGTATCTTCGCTGCTTCCAGCCTTGAGTCTGCCCTCGTTCTGAGCCTTAGTGCTCAAGCTTCCCTCTCTGCTTGGATCGAGGCCAAGGTTGGTCTTGATGTTGGTGTCAAGGCTGGTCTCGGTGTTTGCGCTGCTGGTGGTGTCATCGGCTCTCTGTCTGCTGACATCAAGGCTTCCCTCCTCGCTTGGGTCAACAGCAGCAAGTGTGACCTCTCTGCTGAGCTCAAGGTCTCTGTCCTTGCCTGGATCAACGGCCACGCCGGTGGTCAGCTTGTTGAGCTTGGCTCGCTCGGTGCCAACGCTCTCTCCACCGTCTCCATCGGTGCTTCCGTCGGTGTTCACGTTGAGGAAGCCGGTCACCTGTCCGTTGGCGGCAAGGCTTCTCTCGCCGCTTTCCTCGATGCCTCCGTCTCCGCCAGCATCGGTGCCGACGTCCAACTCGGCCTCCAGGCCGCTGCCAAGGGCGAGCTCGCTACCTCTGTTGAGCTTGACGTCCGCACTCAACTCGCAATCTGGCTCTCCGGTTCCGACTGCACTCTCGGTGTTGAGCTGAAGTCTGTTGTTCTTCTTTGGCTCTCTTTCGCTGTTGAGGCTGATGCCTCGGTTTCTCTTAACCTTGTTGGTGGTCTCCTTGGCCATGTCACCGGTTTCCTTAGCGAGACTGTTCTCGCTGGCCTCAGCGTCGACCTCCGTGGCGCCCTCTCTCTCTGCGCCGCCGGTGGTAGCATTGCTGACCTCACCTTCGGTGCTCGTGCTGAGCTTGCTGCCTTCCTGGGTGGCTCAACCGATATTGACATCAACTTGAGCATCCAGATCATCTTCCTTCAGTGGTTCACCGGCTGCAGCATCCCCGGTGCCCCCACACCCACCTCTTCCGTTCCCAGCCTGCCTTCCAGCACTCCTTACAAGGCCAGCACCTCCGCCATTCCCTCTGGCCCTGGCGCCTCCATCTCCGTCTCTGTTCCTTCTGGCCCTGCTCCCTCCGGCCCCGCTGGTTCTGTCTCTGTCTCCATCCCCGGTGGCCCTGCTGAGACTCCTTCCGGCGTCTCTCCCACTGGTACTCCTATTCCCAGTGGCCCTGCTGAGACCCCCTCCGGTGTCTCTCCCACTGGCACTCCTGTCCCCAGCGGCCCTGCTGAGACTACTCCCTGCGACACTGAGACTTCCGAGGTTGTTCGTTCCACTGTGATCCCCGGCCCCAGCGGCTCCGGCTCCATCACAGTCACTATTCCCGTTGTTCCCACTGGTACTGCTCCTGCTCAGACTCCTTCCGGCCCTGCTCCCTCCGGCCCTGCTGGCTCTGTCTCTGTTCCTTCTGGTCCTGCTCCCTCCGGCCCCGCTGGCTCTGCCTCTGTCTCCATTCCCGGTGGTCCCGCCGAGACCCCCTCCGGTGTCTCTCCCACTGGCACTCCCGTCCCCAGCGGCCCTGCTGAGACCACTCCCTGCGACACTGAGACTTCCGAGGTTGTTCGTTCCACTGTGATCCCCGGCCCCAGCGGCTCCGGCTCCATCACTGTCACTATTCCCGCTGTTCCCACTGGTACTGCTCCTGCTCAGACTCCCTCTGGTCCCGCTGCCACTACTCCTTGTGACACCGAGACCTCTGGCATTGTCGGTTCCACTGTGATCCCTGGTGTTCCTGCTGAGACTCCCTCCGGTGTTTCCCCTACCGGTACTCCTGTGCCCTCCGGCCCTGCTGACACCACCCCCTGCGACACTTGCCACACTGAGACCACTGAGGTCGTTGCCTCTACCGTGATCACTGGTGTGCCCGCTCCCTCTGGCACCGCTCCTGCTGAGACTCCTTGTGATACCGAGACCTCTGACATTGTCGGCTCTACCGTCATCCCCGGTGTTCCCGGTCCCTCTGGCCCTGCTGGCACCACTCCTGCTGGTTCCGTCCCCGCCCAGACTCCCACTGGTGTCGCTCCTACCGGTACCCCTGCTGGCTCTGGTCCCGCTCCCTCTGGCCCCGCCCCCAGTGGCCCTGCTGCCACTACTCCCTGTGACACCGAGACCTCTGGCATTGTCGGTTCCACTGTGATCCCTGGTGTTCCTGCTGAGACTCCCTCCGGTGTTTCCCCTACCGGTACTCCTGTGCCCTCCGGCCCTGCTGAATCTACCCCCTGTGACACCGAGACCTCTGATATCGTTGGCTCCACCGTCATTCCCGGTGTCCCCGCTCAGACCCCCTCCGGTGTCTCTCCCACCGGTGTCCCCGTTCCCTCTGGCCCTGCTGCCTCTGGCCCTGTCCCCAGTGGTCCTCAGGCCACCGGTTCCGTGCCCAGCGCTCCTTGCGAGACTGAGTCCAGCCCCGCCCCCACTAGCCCTCCCACCGTGCCCTCCGGCGGTGGCTCCGGCCAGGAGGTTGTCACCGTCACTGCGACTGTGACTGCCACCGTCTGTGGCTGCGAGTAAGCAGATACACCACATCTGGACATATTTTGAGAATACCTCATAGAAATTTCCTTTGATTTTGTTATTACCCTTTTTTTTGTTTTGATGACAAGACCTTCAGCACTGTGAATTGGTGGCGTGGCGATCTGCCGCGCCTGATACCCGCCTGTCTCGTGATCTGATGCGTCCGCCTCCTGTGTGTAGATATCTAATTCTAATTCTAATCTTGGCTGGAGATCAAGATCCTGTTGATTTGCCTCCGGGTGTGTTTTATGGGTCATTGGTTGACAGGAGAGAGATTTGGCGGAGATTCCTTGTTATTGTTTAATGACTTCACAATTATATATACCATCTTCCCCTTCAATGGAGTACATTCCTTACTACTTGATACCATCAACTACTTAAGTACGACTGTCAGTTTAATTTCATGACCCAGCTAGATGTTCACTGCTTTTGACATTTGGCTCGAAGAACTTCCAACATTACTCGTACACATATCATTTCATGCCCCCCTCCTCTCCCCCTCCTTTCCCTCCCATCCCCCTTCTCTTCCCCTCCTACTGGCCGGCGCCATCCAGCGCCAGGCGCCGCCGGGCATTCTCCTCCTCGCGACCGCGAATCGTGGGGATCCAGAAGCCCCCGAATTTCACGGGCAACTATACAAAAAAACTTCGTTAGTAGCGTCCAACCAACACAATGAAGAGATTAATTTGTAGCAACGTTATTCCATGGACATTCAGTATAGGAAGACACAGATACAGGTTAGGAATAAATGTATTGCTTGTTGCTTTGTATTATCTCAATCACACACCATCTCGGCATCTTTGCCCTCGCTGTCCTGAGATGCCGTTGGGCCGGACGAATCTGGGAGTTCGTCGGCCTGTTTGAAGGTTTTCTTGAACAGGGGGCCAGGGGATGCGCTACGCGAGTTTGGCCGTTCGGGGTTAGATCTATCCGGGCCACGAGGTTGGCTATCCTGATCCTCCTGGGGGTGCTCTTGCTTGATATGCTTCTCCTGGGGATGCTCCTCCTGATAGTGCTCCTGCTTGATATGCTTCTCCCGGGGATGCTCCTCCTGATGGTGCTCCTCCTTGATAAGCCTCTTCTGGGCAGGAAGGCTCCGGCTTGGACTGCCACTGGGACTGCGGCGTCTGCGGGCATCACGATCTCGGTTACTACTACGGTGTGGGCTGCGACTCAAACGACGAGAATCACGGTCTCGACGAGTCCGATAGGATGGGTGACGGGACCGTGAGGGTGAACGGGAGCGGGATGGTGACTTGGTATCCGTGAGGCGTCGCGAATCTCGGCGATGACGGGGTGACAAAGACAGGCTGCGGCGTTTTCCTCTGGGGGAGCGTGAGCGCGAGGGGCTGCGAGAGAGGATGGATCTAGATCTAGCACGGTCACCGTAGTCCGGGCTTGGCCTTCTCGCTCCTCGGTTCCATCGCTGGGGAGATACTGATCTGCTTGGGGATCGACGACGGCGGTCCCGGGGTCGTTGGCGGTGCTCATCACGACTGCGGCGCGGTTCAGTGGGTTTGGGGGATCGAGAGCGAGACCGAGATGATGCGCGCTTGTACTCGGGAGTTTTGGTTGGCTGGCGGCCTCGGCGATCACCAGGCGGCATGTAAGAGTCCGATTCTCGGCGCGAGGGGGGACCACGGAATCGATCTGGCTGACGGCCATGATCTCGTGAAGGTGGAGAGCGTCGATCGATCTCTCTATATCCATATCCCCGGCCGCGGCCAGGTCCTCGTGTGCGGTCAAATCGCTCGCGACGTCTCAAGCCGTCGAGGTCGCGTTCGCGGGCTTGATCTTGTTCTTTTTGTTGTCGAGCAGCTGCGGCTGCCTTTTCAGCATTGAGCTAGGTTGTGTTATTGTTAGAAACGAGTCATATTTCATGGGTTGGACGGTCAAGGTACCTTCTCTTGGATAAGCTCAAGCTTTTTGGCTTCCAGCAGCTCTTTGGGGACACCCTGTGGGTTCTCCTGGCCGCTGAGGCACAAGGACCAGAGCTCCTGACAGAACTTAGCAGTATCCTTGTCAAGGAATCCGGTGAGCTGGATCTGGAGAGATTTGATATCAGGCTGGACATAAGCGCGTTAGTCAGTGAGCTGCAGGAGGCGCTAAATGTTCAAGTGATCAACATACGTATCGAGGGCCTTCCAGATGCCCGAAACAGAGCTCAATTACGACGTCATCTTCGTTGCCAAGGATTTTGGAAATGCGGCTTGCTATCCACCTGTAGCGCGAGCGAAAGCGTCAGTAATCTGGGGTCAAAATTGGAGAAACTGGGGAATATCGCTCACTTCTTCATAACCTCAAGATTCACTTTGGTCATATCCACCTTTTTGTTAAACTCCGGGGGGAATTTGGTGCGCTTTAGCAGCTTGGCATCGACCGTAGACGCCATTTTGAAAAGAATGCGAAGGTGTAGGAAGAAAGAGAATTGCCCAAGCGCGACATCTCTTGAGCTTGCCATGACCGATCTGCGCGAGTGGCGCTATCGGTGACCGTAGATTTGCGCCTGAATTTGAGGGCGACAAGGTTGGGCGATAAGGCCAAGGATGGCGATAAGGGAAAAGCGAAATTTGGAAAATTTGGAACGCCAAACCTATCTCCCCATACATACCTAGGTACCTAGGTTGTACTCCGTACTCCCCCAAAGCTGGGGGATTTGGCTGAAAAAGGCATTACTTTCATAACGTGTGTAAGGATCATTGATCATGTACAGGGAATTTTCCCAGCACACAGGCTGCAAAGCATTTTATCACTACTTGTGGACTGGGGGTACAAGATATGTATGTAGCTGTACTCCGGCCACCCAGTCGGTAACTATGTGAGTTACCATAAGCAGCCCTGGAGCTCAGATTTTACATCTTGATAACTCTAGACAGAGCACAGAGAGAATATGGAGCATGATTTTGGATGAAATCAATCTGGTGTATGGGCAAAAAGCACATTTAGAACTGAACAGCCTCAGTGAGATTCTGGTGGTCCATACTTAAGTAGATATTCCGTTCGTCCCCTTTGGAAGGCTCTACTGCTCAGTGCACACTTGTTTGAATATCAGTGGATTGAAAACAATAGCAACTGTGCTACGGAGTAGGTATGACGGCATCGGTTAGCAAGTGGAGGTTTCATGGTTATCGGGCCGATCCATGAAAAGGCAATATTACTCTGCGTCTAAAGGTGTCATTTGAATGAATTCTTGGAAGAACACATATCTTTTTGAATGACTTCCAAGGTTGATCTATAATTTACAGAGTAGTACTCATATATCCGATACTTGAGTATTTAGATAGATCATCCCTGCCACATCCCTCCACTCTTTGGTATGTTGTTCTCCAGTCGCCATAGCAACCGATACTCACGTGATGACATAGCGCGGGTCTCGCGACGAAATCGAGGCGGATACTCTATCTTTCCCCTGGAGCATCAACAAACGACAATTTTGGAGGGGCCGCCTTGATTTCCGACATCAATGTAGGTTGTCGCGCCATGGCATCCCCCAATCTCCTCCCCTCAGCATACAGCGACAGATATCGACAGCAATCCCGACCAATGTCACGATCTACGGTTGCTCGTTCGGGCTCAAGACGGGTATCTCCAGCAACACAAGGTATCCCGAAACATTACTCTGCAGGCGACAGCTCCGATGAAGAGGTCCCGGAGCCCAAATTCAGTGCATCTGTCAAGGCATTATTACATGGCGACGGATTAAGCTCTTCGCCGCATATGCACAAGCCTCAACCCGCGGACCAGGAACGAATAACGGCTTCGAGACACAGCCGGTCGCCTCGCAATGCGTCTCCCCATGACTCATCCAACGGGAGCCCGGCACCCAGAGTTGTTCGCATTGGCGCTATTTCATCCGGTGCCAGATTCTCACGCGAAAGCTCTCCGCTCTCCAACAGCCAGAGCGCGGAACCCGAGCACCACGTTCCGCACAATGATTTTATCACCCCTGCACCACGGCAACGCAGTGTTCGAATCAATGTTTCTCGCAGTAACTCAAATTCTCCTGCTTCCGCCTCACCCTCCGGGAGACGTTCAGCAGAGCGCAACTCAGGCGATGAGTATGGTAGTGCTGAGCGCTCTGACAGTGATCGAAAGCTACATTATGACGATGATCCAGCATCCCGTCATGTCCCTTCGTCGGCTCTTCGCGGGCGTGGCGGGGAGGAAATCGCACCTCACAGCTCACTACGCGTCAAAAGGGTTGGTCGACTTGCTGGAAGTTTCCTCAATGGTCCCGCTCGGAGGGGTGTATTGAGAAGGCAGAGTGAAGAAAGTAATGAGGAAAATAATCAGTACCTTTCGGCGGATGGTGTCCGTGAAGATGTTGAAGCAGAGGAGGAGAATGCCGAATATCAGCATCGCAACCCAGTCAAGCCCTCATCACCAAAGGTATCGTGGGTAGACCCAAGCCCACCTATCTCGCGGGACTCACACCGCGCCGAATATCCACTTCGCCCAGCTGAAGTGGAGGGACCATTCTCAAGGTCATCCTCACCGAAATCGTATGGATCAAAGTCAACACCTGGCTCTTCTGAAGTGTCATCCAAGTCCTCTGTGGCAAAAGAGCAGCCTGTCTTCAAGGTTCCCTCGATACCAAATTTACCATCAGCCCGCGACCAGGAAAATGAGCCACCATCAACCTTCCGACGTACCAAGCCTCAGGGTCTGAGTGTAATGGATAAGCCGGATAAATACAACGTCGTTTATGACACCGAAAAAAGAGACGCCGTCGAGACTCCAGCTGGAAGTTCGGCACGAAAAATACTCGCTGCAAAGAGCAACAACACACCTCACAGAGCAGCACCACCTCCTCCCAAAATGTCTGTTCTTGAAACCGCCACATCGACAGCAGGCGTCTCAACATCACAGTCTCGAAAGAAGAAGTCACAAGTGTCGATCAATGGGAAGCATTTCACACGCCTCGATTGTATTGGTCGAGGTGGTAGTTCTCGTGTCTATCGAGTGATGGCTGAAAATTATAAGATCTTCGCTCTGAAGCGAGTGAACCTGGAAGATGTCGATCCACTGACACTGACCGGATACAAGGGCGAAATCGATCTATTGAAGAAGCTGGAGAATGTTGATCGTGTGGTGCGGTTGTTTGATTGGGAACTGAACAACGACAAACATGTTCTCAGCGTGCTCATGGAGATCGGAGAGTCTGACCTTGAGAAGATCCTCACATTCCGTCTGAATGCTGAAGATGCTACTTTCGACATCAACTTCACTCGTTTCTATTGGAAGGAGATGCTCGAGTGTGTCCAGGCCGTCCATCAATATAACATTGTTCATTCCGACCTCAAGCCAGCCAACTTCCTGATGGTGCAAGGTCGGCTGAAGCTCATCGACTTCGGCATCGCGAATGCGATCCAAGACAACACTGTGAACGTTCACCGCGAACAACAAGTCGGCACTCCTAACTACATGTCGCCCGAGGCTCTGGTAGACTCCAACGTCTCTCTCGGTCTGCCAGCCAGTGTTGGGAAAGTTATGAAGCTAGGAAAACCCAGCGATGTCTGGAGCTTGGGCTGCATACTGTACAAAATGGTATACGGGCAACCCCCTTTTGCCAAGATCGCCAAATATTATGAGCGCATAATGGCTATTCCTAACCCACGTGTCCAAATTGATTTCCCCGCCTTCGGCGTCGGTGGTGTCCCTGTGCCCCCTGGCCTCGTCCGAACCCTGAAGCGTTGTCTGCAACGTGATCAGACCCTCCGGCCAACCATCGAGGAGATGCTTGGCCCTCGTGACCCCTTCTTACACCCTGATGCTCAACTTGAGGGCGCTGTTCCAGTCACTCAGGATATGCTTGGTCGTATTTTGGCCAATGTTGTCAATCACTGCAAGGCCCGTGGTGTCCCCAGAGAAGAGGAGCTCGCCGCATGGCCCGCAGGCTTCTTTGCAAAAATCAAAGCAGCCCTCGAAGAAGAAAACGCATGACAACCCCCGACACTCTTTTACTCTATTTCCTTTGTCTTGGCTGCCTTTGTGGCAATTTTTCCCGTTCCATTGTTGGTTAGAACGACTTGATGATTGGCGTTGGATGTGTTCTTTATAGGTCTGCTTGGTTGGTTTGCAAGATATCTGGTTGCCGTGTTTGCTTGCATTGCTTCTCCTTTCTGCATCATCCTTTTGGGTGTTTGGTTGGCCCACCAATACCTTGTGGTGGATATCTCTTGATGAATTTCGGTTAAGCGCAGCGTGTTAATTTCCCCCCTTTGTATATGACTTCATTAGCCTTCTCTTCTCCCACTTCCGGAGGCTCCTATAGCATCCCGGCCTACACAGCTCAACGATTTCAATTTGGCTCAAACGTACAACGACCATCTTGACCACTTTTGCTTGCATTCCACCCTTGTTTATCCAATCGAAATCAATTTAAACTTATTGTATAACGGGCCTGGTTTCAAAATTCAGTCAAATAATGTCTTCATAAATCATTGTTGATAAATGCCTGACTATCTAGAAACTAGCTATGTCCATTGAGAAGCCAAACATGCAGGATACTTTTCATTTGAAATCAATGTACTTGATTTTGCGCCGTTAACACCGCCCAAGAATAGAACAGCCTTGATAGGCCGTATGTATCAGGAAAGGGAAATATAGAACTGCCTGAGCATGGAGATATAGAGGACAGGCCGCTGCCCGTCGATTTGTAGTAGAGGCTTGTCAAATTAGACCAGGAGGACACTAGCAGATGTCAATATGTGATACAATGCACAGAGTTGGGCATCGGGGAGACTCACGCATTAACACAACCGTCATTCTCGGGGGTGTTGGTCACCTGGGCCCATTTACCCCAGACAACCTTACCGGAGGTGGTAACAAGACCCAACTCGGAAACGTTGACTTCGATAATCGTTCCCTTGGTCAAAACACCCAGTTGAGTGTAGAGAGGGTTCTGGGGGTTCTTCTTGACGGAAAGGATGGGCAGCTGAACAGTGACAGCAAGTTCGGGACTAAGGAAATGTTAGTCTCACATCGCTTTCAAAATAGACCACCGCAGACGGTAATCCTGCCAAAGAAGAAGACATACTGTGTGACGTTGGCCTTCTTGTAACGCAGACCCATGGGGCGAATGAACCGCTCGTACTTGACGGGACGACGGGTGAAGTCGTTACCAACGAAAGTAGGCTTGGTGATCATACGCTTCCAGGACTTCTTGTGGGTCTTCTTTCCGGTGTTGACCACCTTGAACATCTCCTCCTCACTGATACCCTTGACCTTAGGCAGGGGAACAGCGAATTTAGCAGCCTTCTCGTTACGCTTATCCTTGATGGCACTGGAGAGAGCCTTGGCGTTGGTCTCCTGCGACCGGTCGAGCAGGTACTGGGGCAGAGGAGTCTTGGAAGGCTCATCGGGCGCGGCGGACTTGACGTTCTTCTCTTCCTGGGCCTTGATGCGCTTCTTCATCTGAATCTTCTCCTTGTGGCGCTGCTGCTGGTACAGCTTAGCACGCAGACCACGCAGGTTCTGCGCATCGTGGGACTGCTTGTGTCCCTCACGGGCCTGGCGCTTGCGCTGACGCTCATCGTGGTCAAGGCGCTTACCGTGCTGCTTCTGCCAGCGCTCAATGTACCTGGTGGGAAGATGTTAGTGGTGGAAAAGATGAGGGTTGGCTGGCGGGGAGGCACGAACTCGTTCTGAGGCTATATGGATAATTATGGTTAGCCAAACTCGGAGACCTCGAATATTACAGACGCAATATCGCTGGGAACATACCATGATTTATGAAGAATGAACAACACTGGTGAATGGTTGGTTGAAGTTCTTGTCTTGTCTAATCGGCCTCGAAAAAAAGATGGCAGACCACGTGATGCTCATTATCAGCACGTGACCGCTCCTGTGGACGCATAGTGAATTTCTTCTACGAGTAGTTAGGCAAGCCGCTCTCGAGAAACCCCCAACCATTGTCAATCTTGGCCTGCATTGAGCATTGACAAGAGTTCAGCAAAAATGTTTTCACGATCTGCTCTCCGGAGCTTTGCCTCCGAGCTGCGCTGGACAGCGCCGTCTACAATTTCATCAGCTCCCCTTCAGCAACGAGCATGCCTGCACCAGACTGCGTCCTTGATGGACTCGCAACAACCCCAAAGCCAATCTTCATCCACCCACCCCGAATCCCCCCTCAGTGCCACCCCTCGGGCCCAAGATGCCAAACCCAAGGGAATCCCGCCCTCCAACAACTTCAATGAAGCGACCATGACTCCCCAAACACGCGCAGACGTACCCATTGCGAAACAACCCGTCGAACCCACCTTCACCTCTCCTCTCAAAGTGACAAAGTCAATGCTGTCCCAGCTTCCTCACCTCGCCGGCCAGAAGCCACACTACGTCGTCGCCCAATTGCACGCACGACCATACCTTTTGACGGAAGGTGACCACTTGCGTTTGCCTTTCCTTATGCCCAAGGTCAAGGCTGGAGATATCCTGCGATTCAATCGTGCTTCCGCTGTTGGATCGCGTGACTTCACAATGAAGGGCACCCCGACTATCGACGAGCGCATTTATGAGTGCCGGGTTCGCGTGACAGGTGTGGATTCGGAGCCTTTGCGCATCAAGGAGAAGACAAAGCGGAGACAGCGACACACTAAGCATGCCACGAGCAAGCACCGCTATACACTTATGCGAGTGATGGATGTCCGTGTCAAGACTCCAGAGGAGCTTTTGGCGGAAGGCGCGGTGATTGTGGAGGACGGAGAGGATGCCTCGGTTATTGAGCCCCGGTCCTAATTCAATGATCAGGCATCGAGTAAAAATCGTTTGAGCCAGAATTTTTGATAGCGGACTACGGTCCGGCAGTGGTTTTGCGGCATGGCGGAATGCCAGCCGAAGGATGGTCCTGTCGTGATGGACGACCTTCATGCGACATATTTGTACAGATAGATGGATTTTGGGCTGTTCTCTGTATGCATTGTATTCTATAGTATCGACTTCTTTTTGTTCCAACCCGTCCTAATATTGCAACTCCGTAGGACGTCTATGCATGGGGGTCTCCCAGTCCTCCGACGAACTCAGGCCATGATCATATTCACTCTGATCTTCGCTCTGACTCAACAACTCGTCTGCAATCTTCTCGGCAAACGCATAGATTGTGGACTGGGGATGACCTGGCGGCAGAAAAGGGAAACTGCTGGCATCGACCACCCTCAATCCTTGCACCCCATACACACGCGCATTACTATCGATCACCGCCATAGTGTCATCCTCGCGACCCATTTTACACGTCGCTGCCGCATGGTACACCGTTGCCATGCTCTTTTGAATGAACTCTCTGATTTGAGCGTCGGTGGAAACATTGACCCCTGGGAAGTATTCCTCGTGCTCAGCCACGCCTAGCTTTGCCAACTTTGCCCAAATTTGCCGCTGTCTGTGAAACATTTGAACCGCGAGATCCATATCCGTCGAGTCTGAAAGCCATTGTGGATCGATGAGTGGTAGAGTGTTCATGGTTGGGCCAGCAAGTCGGACCGTGCCACGCGACAGAGGTGCATTCAGGGCTCCGTTGATTGTGGCATACTGATGTCCGTCCTTTGGGTCTGCTGTCACTTTATTGAGATTGTACCCACTGAAAGCACTGGTGGGTAGCCACTCCAACTCAGGCCAGTCAGACGGGAAGCTTGATAAAGCCTCGCGAGAGGCGCGAGTCAGCTTCGAACGCAATGAGTTGGGCAGCTTCTCCCAGCCATAGTATCCTGGTCCAAAGATGGAAAGGGGTCCAGTTGCATGTTCAATGTATTCTCGAACGCTTTGTGCTGCAAAGGTGGAATTATTCGCCATGGCTGACGCCGTGAGAACATTCACACGGTGTGCAATCCCAAAGATTGCATGATCCTGCATGTTCTGGCCTACACCCAGTAAGTTTTGGAGGCAGGGGATGTCGAGGCTCCGCAGATGATCACACTGTCCAATACCAGACACCATCAACAACTGCGGTGACTGGAAAGCACCAGCTGACAGAATGACTTCCTTGCGAGCGTGAATGGTGAAGTTGACCTGTGGAGTGCCAAAGGTTCCTGCTGTCGAGACCTGCAGGCCTGTTGCCCGATTTCCATGTGGTGTAAACAAGATCCTTTGCGCCATGGTATTCTTATATACTGTGGGCCCAACGCCTTTGTTGAGCACCTCCTGAAGAAAACTCGACTCAGAACTCGAGCGATGTGCATTCTGCGGGTTGATGGTGAATGTTGCAAAGGCGGAGCCAATTAAATCACCGCTGTTGAATCCATCAATTTGATTCATACCAAGGGTGGTGAATGCCTTTTGTAGCCAAGATCCAAATGCATGCACCATGTTGCTAAATGAGACTTCCACTGGTCCACCCTTTGGACTGAATGCATCTTCGACCTCCGTGTTTGAAGAGTTGCCGTATAAAGCTTGATTGGGAGGTGTATAATGGACCGATTTCTTGTAATAAGGCAACATGCGGTTGAAGGTGTAACTTTGATCATCTACTTCATCTGCCCAGCGCTGCATGCTTTCCACCGTAGGCCGTTGGTAAAGCATGTAGTTCCTGGCCGAAGAACCACCCAAGGTTTTGCCCCGCGCATAGTGCAAGACCCTTCCCCCCAGTGCAGACTGGGGCTGTGTACTGAAACCCCAGTCAACAAGTGGTTGGTAGTCTGTGGGATCAGTGCCTGTGTAGTAGCTCGAATATCCAGGCACGACGGAGTAATTGCCATTGTCGAATTCATAAAAGCCGCCCGCTTCAATGACTGCCACGCTCACAGTGCGATTTTCTGCAAGTCGACTCGCAATTGTGAGACCCGCGGTTCCTCCTCCGACCACTACGTAGTCAAAGGTCGCGTTGGCGCCTGGGACTCCAAATGATGTGCCCAAAAGTGGGCCGCCATTGCCGTACGCAAAGAGATTCAGATTTGGAAAGGTCGCTGAGACCGATCCCACACATGAGGCAATGAATATGGATGAGCCGATTGCACGCATGTTTAAACAGGAGACTTGGTTGTTGCGAATGGTTTCGTGCATCAGCAAGGTTTGCACTGGAGGTGGCCCCGCCGATCACTTCGCGAAACGACCACTACAAATGGAATCAGAGCTATCTATCAAATGTCATTGTACCAGTGACTTGACGATTTTTCCCCAAGTTACGAGCAAAGTTACTGCTTGGTGCAGCGTCGGTCTTGGCACTAATTTGTACTTGGCTGTTGTGTGGCAGGTCCCTTGTGTCCATGGGTAACAGAGTATAGATCTCTCCTTTCTTCTCTGCTGAAGTCTCAGTCTGACAGGGACAGTGTACTCATCTATCCCTTTAATCTTACACGAAATGGAATGGTGAACGATCTTCTCAATCCAGTATAGTTGAAAAAAATATCGTTCAATCGATGTTAAATTATGATTTTCTGTAGCTGCAGCTTCTGTCTACAGACTTCTAAAGATTGCCTTTGCATCTCTTCATACAAGTGGAACTCATCCGCAACATAAGTCCCAAGATAGCGTTGGAAGCCATCAAGGTCCGGATCCGCACTCATTATCAGTGATTTCGATGAGGAAGCGCTCCCCAGGTTTGAATTGAAAATTCCACCTGCGGATAACGGAAGGAAATCTTCATATGTCAGGGGCTGGTAGACAATGGATTCCTGAGCTAAGAGATCTTGGAGTGTAATAGGCGCGTCTGAATGTTGTGGTGACTTCATCTCGCCATGGATAGATCTCTCGCCCAGTGGACTTAGCTGGTAAGAGAAATATGCCAGGCTCAGATCATGAAGGCTAGACTGACTATCTGGGAATTCTTGGAAACTGGTTTCCAATAATTTATCGTAGTCTCGGCTTTTCAGGTCCTTCACTGAAGCTTCCAAATTGACTTGCTCGAGGATTTGATCGTAAAGTTGGCGTCCTTTTCGCGTCAACGCGTAGCCTCGCTGCTCTACCTCACCGAATCGCGCAGTGTGGGAGCCTTGCACGTGTGAATTTTGCTTGTCCTTGAAGTAAACCAGTTCTTCGAGTGCCTTGAAACTTGTTTGTCGGAGGAGAATAGGGCACGTTCGCTTCGGTGGTCCTTCAATGCGCTCTTTTGCGGGCATGCCGCGATCCAACATCAACCGCTGAACCAAGTCGATATCAATTGTGCGCGGTGTGAGATGGTTGATGTGTGAACTTGGGAATGAAACAATATCTGCAATCAGAGGATGCTCGGCCTTGAGCTGCTCGTATTCATCGAGTGTGACCGTGGCTTTTGAATGCCACCGAAATGTTTCCAGGCCATTAGATATAAACTCTGTGCTAAGCTCAGGTGATAGAGATCCCTGACTCTCTGCGACGTCTAGTAACTCAAGGAGTCGAGGAGTGAATATGTTGCGTTGAGCCAGCGCTTTTTGCGCCAGTTCCCGTGTTTTCTCCGTCAACAGTTCCATCCGCAGAACTGTGGTGAACACGCGGAATGGATTGATTTCAAGTGCTTCTTGAGTCTTTGGCCGGAAGGCGGTGGCATGCATTGGGAATCCAGCCAGGCTGAGGTCGTAGTAGCCCACGGGGTACATTCCCATCACAGCAAACATGCGACGGATGGTAGCCAGCTCATATGCGGTGCCCAGCCGGATGGCTCCATGTCTCTCGACGCGATGTCGAGAAGGTAGGATATCATCGGGGTTAATTGGAGAAGATCCCGGCTTTTGGCTGTTTTCGACCGCTTTGGCGTCTGCCTCCCAAACCACGTCGATGAGGTCGCCGTACAGAGGAACCTCACTCTTGTACATTTCCGAAAGTGCATGGCAAAATCGAGCGCGGATGCCGTTTTGATCCCAAGTCATGACGCCGTCGGAATAAGATATAGGATGTGAAGCGGTTCCGGGGTTGAAAAAGTGAAGTGGAGTGTGGTATGGAAGGAGTATAGATATCCACAGCAATCAGGTCTGATTTGAATGAGGGGGTATTTGGAAGTGGGAGTTGAGTATTGGCCAGGCTGGGAGACCTGATGTATTAATACTCTGAGAGGTGATTCCTATCGCCGAACTTACCCGCTATCTCACCTGGGCACATTCGGGATGCTCTCGAGATAGCGATCTCGGGAGCATTCGAGATATGATATGTGAGTCACTTCCATGGTTCAGACCCCTTCACCCATATCTCATCAATCGGTAGATTAAATGCGGGTAATTCGAGGGGGCTTCCAAGGTTCTATTACGGAATAGAAATGGCATCTACGCAGCTACTATCAGTTCCCCAAGGTGGATCCTCGTATCAGCCCAATGGGAAATCCGGGGGATCCTCGCCGACGATCGCCGAGATGGTGTGTCCTTAGGTACTACTTACTTACTTCTTGTACAGTTCCACACTCTTGTCTAGTTCTGAAGTATATGATTCCGATTCTATCCATGATAAATTCTTTTGAATTCTTATTTCTTTATTTTGAAGGGGGAAAAAATGAACGTGACCATTGGTTGGGCTCTTAGTCTCAACTTTAGCGAATTGCCAACCATCCCAAAACTGGCCATAAATCTAGAACAGCTTAAGTGCAGCTGTCACTGCCAGAAACAAAAGTGCCATCGGAGTTCTCGCAACCACACTCTCCAGTCTGGGGGTTCTTGATACAGGTTGTGCCGTATCCGGTGCTCTTTCCCTCGTCACCCCAGTAGAAGACCCAGTAGTCAGAGTTCTCCTCTAACTCCGAGCTAGTAGGGGCAGTGCAGGTGTAGGCACTGCAAGTTCCGTAGGGAGCACCGTTGTTGGAATCGTATTGGTGGTCAGTCTCGAAGACGGCGAATGTCTGGGTCGTAGAGGTGCGAGTGTTGTGGGAGCACTCGGCCGCTTGAATGGCTTTGGAAACCTTGGCAGCTAAACTATGGTCAGCATCCGGCGTTCTCAAGTGATTGATTCATCAGAGACACTCACCACTGCAGTTCAAGCTGCTAGGCTTGTAACCCTTGCTGTTTGATGAGGCTGGGTCGAGGGTGGCCGCAACCAGAGCGGGTGCCACGAGGACGGCGAGGAAGTTAATGAATTGCATTGTGTGGAAGGTACATTTAGTGGATTTGTAAGTAGAGAACACATTCAGAGGTGGCCCCGAGAATTGTTCATATTTATATGCCCACAGACTACGAAATTTAGATCCGCCGAAACATCCGACCCGGAACTATACGAAGTCTAACTGACACAAGGTGCTGTCGAGAATTAGGACTATAGGGGCCTGGAGCTAACCATTGAGTATCAAAATGGGGCGTCCTAATCAATCTTCAGGGGGATGACCCACCTCAGATCCCCCAGGACCCATATAAAATTTGTATCAGGTTAGAACCCGAAACAAGCCTCGCCTGTCGCCGTTTTTGGGTCTGGAAGTTTTGTCAATAACGCCTTGGATCGCTCTTTGGTGTAGTGTTGTTTATTTCCCCGAGTCCCGTATTTGATTCCACCCGATTGTGTTTTTACTCATTTGGCTGCGCTTCATGAATCGCCACGACTTCAGCATATCAATGCTTTCCTTTGGAGTCGTCATCATGGTTTCATGCAGATGGATCCGCCTGACTGACACGGGCTCAGGACTCCTGTGGTCTCTTTCCCCCTGATTCCGTGGCAGTCTGGGCCTTGCATTCTATATACGAGTCAAGACGGGACATTCCTATTTCGAGAGCCTCATGCGTCGTATGACTTGCCGTTGGTTAATTTTGCTAGGACGTTAACAACACTCTGGCGGTCCCAGAAATCCATGCCTGTTGGTCTCCTGTCGTCGGTGTTCGTGCCGGCAGTCTCTCTTCGTCGTTCCCTTGGTTCTATCAGGACATTCCTGCCACACTCGTGCTGATGCTAATCCATGGATAGACTGGTCATGGTCATTGGCAGTTGCGTCCTTTGTGGAAGGAGCATTGGAGTCAGCGGGAGTATAATCCCCCCCCCCCCTCTTTTTCGATTCTTCTTCCTTCACCTCCTCACCTCGCAGATCACAGACACCATTATAACGATTCCTAACCTCTCCACTGGTGGGATTATATCGGGTGTTGATTCAGGCCTTATTCCTATGGATTCCAGTGTCGATGTCCCACCTGGGAATGGCGATCCGATGACACTTCATCTGATACCTCCGCACCGCCAGCCAAATCCACAATCGATTGTGGATTTCCCCGCTGCACGGTACTATTTTCATTGTGTTGCTCGCCAGAATTGATCTCCTTCAACATCCAGCTTGCCTTTCGCCCGGAGGAATATTCTCTTCACCACGGCGTACTGAGGGATGGAATGCCCGGGAATGCTGTTTTGACTGGAGAAATGAACCGCTACTGAATTTTCACCGTTGCCTCGATTCTGTGATATGGTCTTTCAACCTGGCAAATGGTAGGTTTTTCATCGTTGGAGATCAGGCGCGGATGCTGCGCATTCAGTAGTGGCTGTGATCATCGTAATCGTACTCTTTGCCCTTTGTGGTTTAGTTTCCGAATTCGAAAACGAGTCGCGGGCTTGCCCCTTCTCTTCGCCTACTCGTACATATTCCAAGGTTTCCACTTGTCTTACCTGATTCAACTGATGGTTTCCAAGGTTGGCCTTGCTCCGTTACTGAGTGATGTAGGACAAGAATCGCGGGCTCGGTTATCGGAGTCCTCGCAATACTGAGTACGCGTATTCGTATTCTTGTACCCCATTGCTGTCGATCGAGCATGTTCATGGCCACATAAATGGTGAACGGATCCCCCCCTGATATGGGGCGAAATTGGTTTTCTTGTCCCCAGAATGCATTGGACATCGCTTGCCATTGCAGGCCAGGCGGTTCTTGGTTCACCGTCAGTTGTGCCTGCACCCCCTCGACCAGAACCAATCAACATCATTGAACTCCCACTGCCTCCAGTGGCCCCCAACAATAATACGGGTGCTTGCAATATTTCAATCAATCCTCATCAAACTGGATGTATTGGAACATCATCTGAATTTTTCCAGGCGGGCGATTTCACGCCCGATGGAAAGCATGTGGCTATCACCGTGGAATTTGTTGGCGCCCCCGAGGCACCACACCCAAGCAGCATCTACGCCGGCGTACAACTAATTTTGGTCAAGGTGGATGGCACAAATTTCACTACTGGTGATCTCTGGAAATGCCTCAGCTGTGGCGTTCCTTCAGAGAATGCACGCTCTCTCGATCCCTCGAGAGATTATCCCCATGTCGCTCGAAATTCCCATCAAGCTCTTTGGGGGCATAATATCTTGGATTGCGGTGATACTCCTCTTGCCAGTGACCTCTGCACTCCAGACAAGACCCATATCTATCCCATCTATTGGCCGGCGGATAGCAAGAATGCCGGCATCCCACGAGAGATGCGCATGCACCCGGACGATGTCCACATGGGTTGGAGCTCATTCACAATGGGAGGCCAATTCTCATACTACGGCCGACTGCAGTTCAATCCAAACCCCACAACTGGCACGCTTCTCGCTCCCAGATATGATCTAGTTGACGTGAACCTTCTCGTCCAGCCCAATGGCCCTGCTCCTATCATGACGGAAGGCTCTGAGCTCAAAATTCACAATGAGGCCATTACAATTGGCGAGCTACGTGGATTCAGTGGTTCCGGCGATGAGATTATCTACCTTGGATCGACGCGCGAGGCAAACAATATTGATCTTTTTGCCGTTCACATCATCACTGGTACCATTCGCCGTTTGACTAGCCATCCTGAGTATGCGGATCCCATTGCATTCTCACATGATAATCAGTGGCTCGTGACTATGGACACTCGTGGCTCAGACCGGCAGATGTGGATGGCTGGAGTGCGTCACATTCCTCCTCTCATCGACTTCGTCACAGTGGCAGCCGCTTCTTCGACTCGAAACAATGGTGCCCGCCGTTTCTTCCAGCCAATATTGATTGATCGCTACGGTGATAGAGGTGACTATTTCGGCCAGCAAGTCAATCATGAAGGCGACAGAGACAACGGCAGTGTCAATGATCCCAATTGGAATGGCAGAGCAGACCCGGCTTTCTCTCCTGATAGTACCCAGATTGTGTACTGGCAGAGTATAGTCACCTCGCCTGCCTGTGGAGGTCCAAACCCACTATCCTGTCCAGTCTCAAATGCCCAAGGTGGTCGAACCTATCGGGTGATGCTAGCACGTCTTTCAAGCCGCACGCCCACGAGCCCTGCGCCTGTTTTTGCTGCGCCAGACATAATTCCTTGGGCGACGCCTTTCGCACCTGGAGCCAAACCACCTGCTATCTATTCTTTCCCAGTGGGGAACTATACGCTTTATGGCACAGCCAGTGGTTTCGCGAATGCAACCTTTGTGAAGGATCCTCTTCTCGGGATCCTCAAGACGGTGTCTGTGAATTATACCAACTACTCAGTTGATGGGACGCACTATATCAATGGCCATGAGTCCGTGACTGTAACGAGAGCGATGGACAATCCTTGGTCTAACCATCTGGATTGGTTCTCAGATATTATTCAGACAGGCCCAGTACATGCAGTCAAGAAGACAGGTCCAGGTGGATTCCACTTGTCTATCGATGTTTTCAAGAACGAATTTGTTGCGAATGGCACGTTGACCACGACCATTGACGGAGTGGCTTATCACCAGCCACTCAACTATGCATAATCACCGGGGTTTTACGGAGTACTTCTAGAGTTTGTATTTTCTCATCGTACACGATTTCGAGTAGCGATTGATGTATTCAGCCACCTGGGCATCCATAAATAGTGATACTTACTTAGGAACCATAAAGAAATAGAAGCTTGAGAATCATAATTCATTATTCAATCTATATACATGGTTCCGGTCTATAAAAAAATATCAGGCCCCGAGCGCACACAAGAGCCAGTCCAATATGAATGTTCCTTGCCAGGGTAATCCCGCCATCGTGAATAAAGATTCTAGTCTACTGCAGTGCAGTAAAGACCGGGTACATAGGGTGCATAAATGCATAAAAGCAAGAAATAAAAACCAGAATTGATCGCTTCGCCCAAAGATCAAGATCGAATTGCCAGAAACGCCAAGCGAAAGTCGTGAGAAAGCCGTGAAAAGTTGAGGTATAGAGATGGTGAATATAAGATGTCGAGATGGGGGAGATTATGAGAGTATAGGAATAAATGGTAGTGATCAGAGAGGAGCGATAGAGACCTCATCTTCCATATCACTGACGGAAGTAGCGGGTGAGGCGAGGCCCGAAATCACCGAGCTAGAAGCACCGCCGGCTTCCATCATGGCGTCGTCATAAGAAGCGTGCGTCGTAGCAGGCATTCGCTGCATGCCATTCTTTGCAGATCCCGCCATGAGCTCTTCGATGCCCGGCTTCGCGGGCACATGTTTGTGGAGCTCAGTTGCGTTGTCGAGACTCTGAAGCGCAAAGCCCATGAAGGCAGCATTTTTATGGCTGACACCCAGTGTCCAGCGGTACTCGCAGAGCCGTACACGATAGAATTCAGCTTCCTCATTAGTGGGAGCAGTGATCCGAAGAAGCATGCCGAAAGAGCCGATTAAAGAGAAGTTGGTGCGTGCCGAGGCGGGCCAGAAGGAGCGCAGGTGGGCGGGGCGTAAACGGTTAACAAAGTCCATTGCGGAGATCAAACGGGTTTTGGCGGCTGAACGGCAGATGTGCGCCAGGTAAGGATCTGTTCCTTCTGCGAGAAGGGAGCGGACAATGCAACGATGCAATGTGATTTCAGTGGCGAAGTAGGCAAGGTGAAGAGCACCGTTGCGGGCGTGTTCGTCCGTAATAGTTTCGACGAGTTCTCCGGTTGAGGTCTCCATCTTGAGCGAGGGAGGGAGGGAAGAGAACCAGTCCTTTAAGCGGATTTGTGCCGGTTTAGCTTTTTCAAGAATCATTCGCGTACGCTGGTTTCCAGCCGCGGAGAATTCCTCAATAGCGTGAAGTGTATAGAACCTGTCTAGGATATCGGAGAGAATTGTCGTTAATGCCACCATGTGGCAGAAAAGAAGTGGACCGTGACCGACTGCTGTCTCGTCGTGTGAAGAATCCGTGCCGGAGGCAAAAGCATCCGAGAAGTCCTGCTCCACTAAATCCTTCACCGTCCAGTTGAAGGCGAAAATATGCGAGGGCCGGCCGTTCACAAGCGACGACCATTTGTCCTGCTGATAAAGAGCCCAGGCAAGTCGCTTGCGGAGGCCCTTCTCCCACGTCTCCATTCGCCAGTTGGTGCAATCCTGATGCAGACCTACTTCAAACCCAGCCGTGACTAATTGCCCGTTCAGGGACGCCGTAGCTAATGTTGACTTCTGCGTCAACAAAAGTCCGGCTTGAATTGTTGACACACTGGGCGAGGGCAATGATTCCATGAGTAGTTTCAAGGCCGTTGCTTCCAGCCTTGCGGCATCGGGCTTGCGGGCCGTCTGCGAGCTAGCTCCTACGTCCACGAACTTTAAGGTCAAGACGTAGACGGATGCCAGCAGGAGCGGTGACAAGCCCCGGCGTTCCCGGTAGGACTGCCGGAAAGCCTCCTCAATCATAATCGGGAAAGAAGGGTGCACATGGTCAAAGAATTTCTCAATCAATGTTGCGCCATAGGGCGCAACTAAGCTCTCAATGGCATCGACCGAAATCGCCTGTGAGTCTCCGACAGGTGTATCGACGACTCGCATGAAAGTACCGTCATCGGCGCACTTCCGCACGCGTGAGTTCGATACTGTACATTCGTCATATTTATCTAGCGGGAGATATTCTAGCAGTGTCGGTTCTAACTCCGTGGTCATGCCAATATGCTGCGTGGACTGGTTGAAGAAGCCAGGGCGAATCATATTCAAGGCGTGCGGATGCGTGGACTCGGATACAATGTGCGATTGTGATTGCGGTTGCTGTTGGGATTGCGGTTGTGATTGTGATTGGGGTTGAAGTTGGGATTGGCATTCTGATTGTGGACGTATGGCTTGTCTACTGGGCTGTTAGACGCTTTGATACCTCCACTGGGGAAGGTATGCCTACCGTTTCACGACCTCCGGCTGGTCTGAGAGTTTCCTCTTCTTCGACTCGCCGGTCAGTGTGAAGGTACATTCCTGGCGATGGAAATCGCAGGAATAACATTTGTTGACCATCTCGTTCATAGCACACCTGCTCTTTCTGCGGAGACAGGCGTCACAGCTTGCTCCATTCCGTACGCGGGGAAGGGTCGAATTGGCGGAGATGGGGGATGGGGAGAGGGTTGGGGTCTTTCGGCGGAGATCAGGGGAGTAACCCGGTTGAATGATAACGGTAGCCATTTGATGATAACCTAAAGTGATTTCGTCTGCAATCTCAATTGCTGTTCCCGTCCTTTTCCGTCTGATTTCTCAAGTCAGTCATTGGATGATAGAGAGAGAGATAAGGATTCCATACACGTTAAAAAAAAAAGATTTTTTAAAAAAGTGTTGGTTATCTCCGACGAAACAGAATCACGATAATCCCAAGCAATGCCGGAACCGGAGATCAGATATGTATACAGTTCACGGTTCACGCGTCTGCCAGGGACTGTAGCAAGATGAGATGTCGAATAGTTCGCTCCGTCATTCCTTGCGGAGAGAGAAGGTCACCAAAGAAAGTAGTAGTAGAAATTACGGAAGAGAGAAAAAAAAAAGCATGATGACATCGATATAGATCAAGAAGTGCCGGGAATATGACTACAAAAATGGAGTCGACGATCAACCTTTTGCTCTCGTAACAAAAACCCCCATGAGCTAAGCAATGACTATTAGAATTATGCCACTCGAATTGTCACCAGATAAGCCGCCTCCCGCTGATTGGCCGGAATAGTCTTTCCTGAGCATTACGTATCGACAGGCCTTGAACTGCCCTTAGGTCAGCAACATCATCTCGGTTATTGGTCTTGTGCAATTAGAATTTAGATAATAAGAACTGCGCCAACGGGTGTCTTTATTAAATATCCAAGGGCGTCCTGCATCTCGGGGCGTTGCGACTGGTCTCAGCTGTCTCCGAGCCAATCAGCAACCCATGATAACACCCCTGCCTCCGACCAATCACAGGGCGTCCCCAAGACAAAGTCGCAGTAGTGCCCGAGGCAACTCTGCCTGAATCAGAAATGTGGGGTGTGGAGGGAACCCTATAATAGGAACTACTCAACTGGCTGAGTATGGAGTAAATAGTGGAAGATCGGAGTACGGAGTACTTTGCACCGTAATACGAGTATGTACATTCGAGTAGTAGTTACTTTGGTATATGCACGCGGCTGACCGCCACGCTGCCGAGGTATCCATCAGGTAATGGCTCTTCTCTAGCTCTGTTTGCCCCTAGTGGAACACGCCGGACTCCCTAACTCATTCCCCGGCACATGCTAAAACGCTACTCCGGTGGCAAACGGATTTAGGCTTATGTCCATGATTAATATCCAAATCAGATACAACGGTTGGCTGCCGCTGGTTTCTATTATGAATCGCCAACCCAATACTCCCCCGGTCAACGTTCTACTTGCGGCAATGGTTTTGTGATCTCCCTTCCGACCGGACTGGGGAAATCTGCGTACTCGTACCCAGAAAACAAAACAGAAAAATGAAAAGAAAAAAAAAAAAACAGAAAACTCCATCCCATCCAGTTGGGTTTGGAATGGGAAATGCAATAATCACAGGCCTTTTCAAATTTATTCGGTGAAGTTCCGCAACTTGGTCAGCTCATCCAGCAACTCCTGCAAGTCTCCGTCCGTGATCTTGTTTTGGAGACTGGGGATAAGAGACTTGGCCTCCTCGGCATTGTCGCAGCACAGACTCCCTATTTCCAAGTCAGTAACCCGACATTTACCCTGTCGCTACCATGGATCGACACTCTGGGGCGGTGCAATCAAACTCACCGAGCTGCGACCGCTCAAACATCTCCAGTTCTGTATGCGAGTTCAAGAGCCGCTCAACGGCTTTGATGTTCTCCTCGTCCTTAAACCGCGCAAATACATCCAGGTAATACAGCGTCTTGTTCAGGTTCCTGTAGAGAGATCTTGCATAAGCATCTTGCTTTTTGATATCGATGCCTGCATGGATCGCAATCTCGATCCCCATGCTCGCATGTCCCTCGATCTTTCCCCAACTTACTCCGGCTCCTCGTATTTATTGCCTCCGCGTCGCTTGTTCTCTAGGACTTTGTGAATGACCAATCGCGCTTCGGAGAGTGAAAGTGTATGTGTGTGTTGATCGGCACCCAGCTTCAGCGTAGATGCGGCTTCGAGTTCGCCTTGGGGGAGCGCGCGCTTGCGGTGCGTCGGGGGCGGAAGTTGAATGCTCATTTTGCAACGCAACGGACGTGAATCTTTAATTTCAAAGAAATCTCACGTGGGTGTTTGAACAGACAGACGATGGAATTGATTTGGAGCTGGCCCGTGATCGATGTGAGGTCTCGTGTGGTTTTTTGCCATATCTCTTTGGGCGGTAGGACCGACACCGCCTTTTCTATATCAGTGTGGGGTCGTGGCACCAGGGCTTATAGTTCACTCCGATACATCCATGGATACTTTGAACCATTGAATGGACCCTAGAGACATTCTTACACGGGGCCCATCTACTGGGATATCATCCTATCTCAGGGTATCAATATATTGTGTCATTGATTCCAACGCCTAACATGCTATGCAAAATCTCTATACTTTTCTGAATGCGACATCGCGCGGCAGGCGGAAACTGGCGCAGAACATCTGCTTCTTGGGGCTAACCAGTCTGACATTATGGATGGCGAGCTCGATATCTTGGTCACCGCTGCCACCCACACAGTCATCGACCGTGATCTTGTATCCAATGCGCTCGGAGACTCTCTCGCAGATATCGATGTGATCATCGACCTCATTTTCAGAGTGGCCGGAGAAACAGTACACGTGAATCATGGGCAATTTTTGGCCCGAGGCAGGGGTAAATAGCTCCTCCTTTTCAGCATACAGTCCAGGGAATGCGTCAAGGAATTCAATGGCTGTAGCCGGTAGGTTCATCACATAGTGGTCGACAACGTTGGGGCGGGTAAAGGTCTGAGGCGGGGGTAGAGGCTTCTCCTCGCCCGCATCGATCTTGCGCTTCTTATCCCTGCGGATCTTGGGTCCAATACTGACTGTGAGAGGCTCAGCGTCCAGCAGTTTCTGGCCCGAGGTTCGGATGAACTCGCGGCCGTCCATGTTGGAAGGGGTGACGAAGTCTTGCACCTTATTACGCACAACGGCATCTTGCATCACTTCATACCCATGGGGGTTGAGATCATTACCCCAGACAAAGATCTTCTTCTTGCCCGCCGGCACAGCGAAGGGACCGACGCCAGCCATCACGTCGCAGACCATCTCGCTCGGGCGGAACTTCTCGACTAGTCGGCGGTGCTCGGTCTCCAGGCGACTGTTCCAATAGACGCGGGCGTAGTCAAAGTGGAACTCACAGTCCTGCTCGTGCTGGACTACGTTCAGATCGTTTTCGCCTGCCAGTAGTTCGAATGGGAAGGTGCGGAAAACGCTCTGTGAGCCGACATCTTCAATCTTGTTGATGACGGTACGAATGCTTGCATTCTTATCCATTAGGATCTCGGCAATAATGTGCTTATACGGGAGGTATCGCTCGCGAAGGTTGATGTGCACTTTTTTTCGGGTCAGTAAAGCTCAATGCAGATGAGTCAGATCAACATACAGACATGTCCCACCTGCGTGAAACCCTGGGGCATCTCCTCCATCAGATCTTCAGGTAGAATGGACGCAATGATATCAGCTGCGAAAGTTAGAATACGGCAATTCAAACGGTTCACGGGTGTACATACCGTACGTCCAATGGTCGTATTCAAGTGTTAAATCATAAGGCGCAACGGCCACAGTTCCCTTTTCAACGAGCCCCTGCATAGTGGGCGACCATGTTGTCTTATCTGCGAGATCTAGTAAGCGCCAGCCCATGTAGATAATACGCTCGGCGCAATCCGAATGACTTGCCGTCAACGTTGATTTCTCCTTTCAGCAACAATGCCTTCAGAACCGAACCATCTTGTTCCTTGACTTCACGGACGGAGTTGACGCGCGGTAGCACCAGCAGATCGCTTTTGGCGAGTGCTTTGCGGACATTTGAGATGTCGCTTGCCTTGAAAACGCGGGCGGCGGAGAGGGGTATGGTTTTTCGGAAAAAAGACCGATCGAGCGTGCGCATAGCACGGTTCACGGGAGGCCGAAACATGTTGTCGCGGGGGTCTTGCTTTGTCGTCGCGTCTGTGGACTCCATTGGAATAAGAGATGAGCAAAAACTGGCCCTATTTGTGATTCGTCTGTTCGATCGACGCTCGAGGCGCATTGCGGCTTCGATACTGATTATTTCTTATCGGGCACGTGACCCATAAATGATCTGCTTTTATACTCCGTCATGCGCCGTTCCACCAGTGAGGAAACACGCGTCATTTAAATTGTAATGGTGGATTTCGCAAGACCATGATTCCGTACGGACTGACACGGAATATCCATGCAGCTGGGTATATTCTTAGTGGACGGGAAACCACTTGGATAGCAGCATAAAAAACTACATCCATCAATGGTAAGTAACAGTTCACAGAGGACATCGTCCATAGATTAGGGCTTATGAATACTAGCGTGTGAAGAAGAAATGGGAAATTCGATGTTCATGGCGGCTACACTGAGCTACTTGACATCAAATGATTTGCCAAAAGAAAAACACCCATTGTCGCGATGCAAACCATAACAGTGTCATATCATCATAACGATTCGTGGATTCATGGAACATTGGCCATGATCAGGGACCAAGGATATCTTCCGGAGACCAGGTCCTGCGTCATTCATCGTCGGTTCGTTCGCTCATTTGATCCCGACGCTTTCATTCCGTCAATAAGTGTCTGGTCCAGTTGCCTCTGTGCTTCCAAGTTGGCAACACGCTCTTTTAAATTTGCAATCTCGTTGTCTTTCTTCCTCAAAGCCAAACGAGTCATGTCACGGCCACGGACGATACCCTGCGTTCTCAAGTCATGTCGGTTCAGTAGCGAGACCGCCTCATCGCGTGCTTTGTTCGGCAGGACGACCTCATGATTTTCCAGTATTCCAATGAGACTTTTCGCTAGATCCGAGGTGTCGAACGTTGACTCTGCAGAAAGTACATCGCTGTACTTGCTGGGGGTGGGTGTCGAACATAGTTCCGCGGAGGAGGGAAATGTAGCCGTTCGAGAAGATACGGACGACAGTGGGGTGGCAAATGTCGATTGGTGATCCGGAGAGCCGTCATTCTGAGCTTGAAACAGCTTGCGCTTGCCAGGTGAAGTCACTCTAGCAGTGCGAGGAGTCTTCACTGCAGGCTCGGTGTGGTAGTTGGGTTGCGATATGAAGCTCTCGGTAGTATTGTTAGAGCAAAACGTTTTCACCAGCTCCTCATCATCATCCAGGTCGTCATTCCAACCAAAATCCTCTGAGGCTTCTGATATCATTCTGGCTTTGGCTGATTGCGGCGGCGGCTTAAACTTGGGCGAGGGAGTATCGTAAAATCGACGCTCAGTCTGAGGTGTGAGCAGACCGTTGTTCGATCTTCCCGGGGTCTTTGGTTTCGTTGGGGTGAGTGAGAGAGGATCGAGCTCTGACCGAGAGTTTGCAAGAACCGCTGCTTGCTCGCGGATTGTGGCGTCAGCTTCCCAGAGAAAGAAGCTGCACCGCAGATGCATCGGTTGCGCGCATGTCCAAACTAGACAGGATCAACTTCAAATTCTCCACAGCATGCTCATGCTTAGATTTGGTTCTCCAACGTACACCACTTCCCTATATTTGGCCCCTCTTTTTTGGTCTGGCGACGAGCTGCTGGTGGGCGGTCTGGGCAGTTGCAACACCATATTCCATTAGTGAACAACCCCTTCCTCAGGGGTGCAGCTACTGGTGAGCCAGGTAGCTTAAACGGCGACGCCATGGTCCCAGAACTCATCCCATGTATGTTGAAGATGTCAAGATTGACGTTGTCGCCATGGGAACCACTATCGCTTATCGCCCCGGATTCTTGGCATTCCGATTTTACCTGAGACACCGAGAAATCTATATTTATATCTAATTCTGCTGTCAACTGAGACATGAACTGGAGCTCGGATTTTCCATCTGAAATGATCTCATACCTCTGAATATCTCGAGGCTGACTTTGAGATATAAAGCTTAACGCCCCGCTGCTCGATGTACTCCTTCACAAGGCTTAAATCAACTCCTATGGTCCAGTTGATACAAGTTTCCAGATGCATACATGCATCAGACCCGAAGGGCCCTTTGCTACTCTACCCAAAGAACTCTACATCACCATATCCGACTTTCTCACATTGGCCGACTTGAACGCTTTCAGCCGCTCCAGTATAACAGCCCATACCCTCCTTAATACTACACTTTACAAACGTGATGCAGCCTCACCAAACCCTAAGTCCCTCTTTTGGGCCTCAATCCACAACAACCCCGCGACAGCCCTGAAATCCCTCTCCGCAGGCTGTGACGTCACTTTAAAGACCGACATGGACACCCGCCTATCAGGCTGCACGTCAATTCTCTTGGCGTCCTTCTATAACAGCCTTGCCGTCCTTAAAATTCTCCTCTTAGACGACAACGCCAACCCAAATCTCCGAGATCGAAAATGGATCCGACCCCCGCTATCCTGGGCCGTCAAAGGAGGCCACGCAGAGATCGTGCAAGCGCTTCTGAATGACAGTCGCACTGATGTCAACCTGCAGGACAAAACGGGCGATACAGCACTAATGATTGCTGCCAACTTTTGTCCTCGGATGATGGAATTCCTTCTCTGCTCTCGGCAAACCGATCCGCGCATTGCGAACCGACAGGGCTGGACGCCGCTCGGACGTGCATCACGCGATCCAGATGCCGAGGTGGGGTTACTGCTTGCTCGGCATTTGCAGCTGATTCTTAGTGGAGATGACGAAGCAACTCATTGTCAACAGGTGTTTCACTATGCGGCTGTCATGGGTCATGTGGACATAGTGCAGTACCTGGTAAAATACTTTGGGGAAAAGCTTGATCCTAATGCCAATGGTCAGCAATTTGGGCGTGGGGCATTCTCAATCGCGGCGGCTAATGGGCGGGTGGATGTTGTCAGATTCTTATTGGAGTGGAGTGTGACTGAGCCAAATCTGCAGACAGATTGGAAGAGGCAAACCCCCCTGTTTACTGCCGCGGAGGAGGGAAGAGAGGATATTGTAGAGGTTTTGATTGGATGTGATAGGGTTGGGTTGGATATTGCCAATATGCAAGGGGCAACGCCGCTGGGAGTTGCGGCAGACAAGAATCATGCGGGGATAGTAAGGCAGTTACTTCGTGCGTCAAGACCTGTCGATCCCAACGCTTGCGACGAGAACGGCCAGACGCCGTTGCTCAATGCCGCTTTCTACGGCTATCTAGATATCGTGGAGTTATTGCTCGGCGTAGTTGACATCGACCCACAACTAAAAAACAGCGAGGGAAAGACACCCTTGGGGGTTGCGCTGGAGAGAGGAAACCAGAGCGTCGTGCAAGCACTGCGAAGTCATTTGACGAATGAATAATGATTCATTTGATTAGCCGTTCATGGATCATCTATCTACCGTGTCGTTACATCCACTATATCCATCTAGTCCACATTTCCCCACGCCACGAAGAGTGAGCTAGCGAGAATAAAAGCCAGCAATGCCTCGTTGTATCAAGCAAATCCCAAGTTCAAATCCAAATGCAAAAGGAAGGCCAGAGTTATGGCGGTATCATGCAATGAAGTGCGCGTAAAATCGATATTTAATCCGCAAGCACATGTCGCAACATAATGTTGAACGGATCAGCGAGCTTGAGGATCTCAGTCACATCGGGTTTGGCAGGTTCTCCAGCGGTGCGACGAAGTTGGTCCTGTTTCTTTATACGACGGCGACGCTCGACTTCAATAGGGTCATCCTTGTCTTCGTCCATGCTATCTTCGTCAGAAGCGTCAGAAGCTTCATCTGAAATAGTCAGATCTTCAAGATCAGCCTCATCAAGACCAAAGTCGCTGCCCTTGAAGGTGGTAACGCCGGGGATAGCATCCCCGGAAGTACCTTCAGCAGCCATCTTTTGACGAGTCTTGTTCAAGTGCCAACGTTTCCGATCTTCTTGCCATTTGATAAGCTGGTTGATTTCAGTAAGGGCGAGTGTCTTGTCAATTTGGCCAACGCCAGCTGCTCCCTGGAACAGAGCATTGATGTCCATCTTGCCTCCGGCGGGACCATTGCGCAGGAAGTCAAGGATCTCCTCAATCCACGCCATCAACTTCTGGAACAACCCATTGTCATGTTGATGCACTTCGTGGATGAACTTGTAGAAGTTCGCTTCGTGGCGGGCACAAAGGTCAATAAAGGCCTGCACCGTTTGGTTCGGGTCAGCCGATGTATCCTGACGCTGGGCGCTCTCGATAACACCAATCGCATCGTCGGCGAACTGGGCGAAATCTGTAATGCTGCTGTACACGTTTGCAGACTTATACACACGAACCAGTGGTTCGTAGAAGATAGTAAACAGGTCACGGAAGAGTTGCAGTGTCACAGGTTCCTCGACGATGCTGAGCATCATTGCCTTGTCGCGTTGGCGGGTGTAAAGCTTCAGGAGTTGCTTCATGTGAGCGAACCACTGTGCGCCTTGCTGCATTTCTATGTCAATGTTTTCCACGGCGTGGTTCCAAGCCACATAGCCATTGAAGACCTTGCCAATTTGTTCCGGAGTAAGTTCCGGGGAGATGAGCTCAGAGCGGAGAATGGCGACAATGATATCCACATCATCGGTAGCAGCCTCCTCTCGAATCTCATTCTTGACATCTTCCTCGGCTTCCGCAAAGCTCTTGAGTTTCTGGGTGAGGACTGTATCCTCAACCTTTGCGGCTAAGGTATCAATTGATCGCTGGAAATCCTTGATACCCTCGTTCAATGTCAAAGAGAAAATACGCTGCAAAAGAGATCGTGAACCAAAGGGCTGAGCCATAAATAGATCGAGGACTCCAGACATGACCGCAGCAGGGTTAGCGATACGGATCACGTTCTTCATCAGCGTGTAAGGTACAAGACCGTGGATTCTTTTCGCCTGTGCGAACAACTCGGGTGAATTATCCTCGGCAAGGAAGAGGTGATACAACGTTGCAGCAACCCTATTCCCATGTCAGAATTCACGTTCACATTTGTATCAGAACAAGACTTACTCGATGCGAAGCCATTCGGCAAACTTCTGATATTGCGGACTGAGGTCAGGGATCGAGGGCTTCTCGCGAATCTCGGCGAAAAGCTTTGTCAATCCATCTGAATTGGATGAAATTAGCAGATGACTTCATAGAAAGGGCTCGCGCTGACTTACTGCTTTCCACAATATCCCGTCGGAAACGCTCCATGTACACATCCAATTCAGCAGCTCGCTGCCTGGCGATCTCGTAAAATCTCTTCTGCTCCTCGATTCTCACGGCATCCATGTCTTTCCGTCTCTGAACATCAACCAATTCCTCCTCGTTCAGTTTCACTGGTCGTGCGGTCAAGAATTCTTCCATGGCCTTGGACTCTGCAATGCGCTTATTTTGCAGGACCGTTCTCAAAAAGGCGCGCAGTGACAGGCGTTGTTCCTCTCGATACAGAACAGTCTGACGCGATACATCACTGGTCGATGCCCGTGGTGACTTATTCGATCGCATGGAGGATTTAGAGGTTGATCGCCGGATACTTTTTGAGGCGGATGGCACGGATAGCCGATCATCTGGGACATTGGTGCCCTGTGTAGACAGCGAGGAAAGGGAGGAGGCATCATCATCTGCCGTGGAGCCCCACCAACTTGTGCTAGAAGTTTTATTCTTGCGCGGGAGAGGGGGAAGGTGTTTGCCTGGCATTTCAGTGCTGAGTCTCTTTTGAAGCTTGACGAACTCGCCATATCTTCTCCCAACGTGGTGTTCATCCTTGCCGTCACGGCTGACTCGAATAATGAACTCCTAGAACATATGTCAGCAAAACAACACGACATACAAAGGCGAGACTCGGGACGGGGTAAAACATACCGCGTGTGAGTGATATCGCACTGTTCTCTTCACAGAGGTAGTCCGAACAGCAGCCACATTCACATCCCAACCGTTGATGGAGTTCCCCTCGGGGATGTTGACCAAAAGTCCCGAGTCTTGAGCACCACGCTCAACGACCTCCATCTCCGAGAACTGAATGCGCTCCTCATACCCTGAGGCGGTGGGTACACCAGAAACCATCATGAGCTCCACGAGTTTCTCACATTTCCTCGCCAACTTGCGACGCTTTGTTTCCTCCAGTCGATCCTCCGAGGACGAGACATGCTTGTTGGCAAATGATTCTAGAAACTGCAGATTCGACCGTCAACAAAATTCTCGGGTCGCATGAGTCCATGCAACGGGACACGTACGACTTGAAGCTTATCCTGCCAAAATTCCTTTTCGCGCGCCTTGTCAAGGAATGGGAAATTCCGAACGTGATGAACAAAGATATAGCGCAAGATGGGCAGCTCTGAGTCGACAGGCGCAACCTCGCCGAATTCCGAACGAAAGGGGGCACCGAAGCGTTGGAGTGCGGTGGGGGAGTTTAACTCGGAGATTTCGTCGCGGACTTGACGCGCGATAAGCTCTCGTTTGAGGTCTGTGTGAGGCTGAATATTAGCGACTGAAGCTTTGGGGGCGCATGGAAGCGATGGATTGCGACTAACAGTGCTCTTGCTTGCCCGTCAGTATCTGACCTGGCGGGGCGGGGGCATCTGCCTCTCCCTTGCCGCCGTTGGGGAATGCGGGATCAGACGATCGCGAATCCGTCATCTTGATCGAGGGAAATTGTCTGGTTGCCTTTGGAGGGAACTTGAAAGCCCCTGGAGAATCCCAGAGAGATGACTCGCTTCGGCTCGCAGAATGCGTCTGCCTGACTAGGCTAGTTGACGCTGGGATCAGAAATGACTAAACAAGACTCTGTCAGAATGCGAGTCACACAAGAATGTTGTTGAGGGACGAAGTCCTGTAGTCGATGGGGCGGAGTAATAGAGATGGGGGCGGAGAAAGAAAGATGATGTCGTCACCCTAGTTAAACCAAAATTTATAGCGGAGACATGTCATCCTCATAGGGCTACATGTGCTAATTTCTAATTTCCTCTACGCTATTCCCTATAGATTCCAAGGCTATCCTGGCGCGGTCTGATCCGGTCTGATCCCCACTACAATGTACAAAATCTGCTACGCGCCCTTGGGTGCCAAGGCTAGTTATGGTGTTGCCTGTTTGAACTGCGCCTTATGGGGTCTGATGTAGTTTTTTTTTGTCTCGGCAGTGTCGTCAGCCTGTGTAGATCTGGACATGTTTTAAGTGCAAATTTCTTGGTTCAAAATATGGAATAGGCAAATCACTGTCCATTTGAAGTATTTGAGCCATGTAAAAATAGAAGCTGAGTAATAAAGATAACAAAAAGCCCTTGATCCGTCGTTAAATTCGCTGAAATAGATAGCAATGGGGAGATTAATATGCGGCAAAAATGAAAACATTGACACCAATTACTCCATGAATTCCAGCTTCATGTCGCGGGGCAAGTAGTGACCCTGAGGTTGACCATAGGGCATGCCCTGGAAAACCCGCTCCTGGTCAAGGGAAGGGAACATATTCTGCTGAAGCTGGCGGTAACGAGCAGATTGGTCGCTTGGGGCTGCCATCATGGGATGCGCACTGTGGCCCATCTGCGCATTTTGATTGTACAACGTAAAGTCGTTTCCGGCTTGGGTGAAGTCACTGCTGACCTGAGACTGGGCATATTCGTAACGTTCGGAAAGAGTGTCGCCGACGTTGGAAGAGTCAGGGGAGTACAACATGGCATTTCCCTGGGCCCCAGGGGAGAGACCGGGAACCTTGGCCGCAGGACCGTAAGAGAGGTGGTTGAGGTTCATTTGTTCATAGTCATTGTTATACCCCTTCATCGCGTCAAGGGTGTGGCCTTGAGGGAGCTGGAGTGGCATCGCAGTGTAGTCCTCATTCATGGGGTACTCGAGATTGCTCCACTCTTGATCGAAATTGATGCTTTCAGTGCCAGTAAGAGGGGAACCATCGAATGAGACAGGGCCCATCAAGTCAGGAACTGAGTCTGTGGACGGGACGGACATCGAGTTCATGGACTGACGATGCATCTCCAACGCAGGAATCAGACCATTGGGGTCGCCAGACTCAAATTGATTTTGGAACGCAGTGAGATTCATTGTGTTCGGGAACGAATTGATATCGTTCATCAAGTAGGGCGAGGCCTCGCCAAACAAGGGGAAATCGTCTCCTTGAGCGGGCATGGGAGGCTCCGCGAAATTGAAAGGAGGATTGTCAGGCCAGCCGTAAGTCTGATCACTAGGCGAGGGACTGGGCCCAGGGATTGGAGAGGCAAAGTCAGTAGCCTTGGAAGCGGGGGTTGACACGCTAGGAGTCATAGGAGTTGCCTGGACGGACGAGCCCCGCTTGCTACTACCACCCCGGCCATTGTTCTTAGAGCGAACATAGACCCAGCCGTGCGATTTCTCCATGTGCTGCTTGCAATTGCTAGATCGCTTGGATGCATAAGGACAATTGTGGAAGGTGCACCGGAAAAGAGTGGGCTTATCCGAATGTCTGTCATTCATGTGACGGTCACGTTCCTTTTCAGTAGGCCAGCCTTTGGTGTGGTAGCTGCACTTGGGATCTTCACACTTCCAAGGGCGACTGTGGGTTTTTTCGTGCTTCGTCAAGTCGCAAGGGCGTTTGAAGACTTTGTCGCAGTCGGAGCATTTTTGGTTGATGTTCATTGGGGGTGCGTCCTTCTTTCGGCGGGCCATAGAGCGCTCAACGCCCTCGTCGGTGGCACCGTCTATGGTGATAGTGCGCTTGATGGGAGCAGAGGCATCAACCTCATAAGGCTTTCCGGTGGCCAAGGAAAACGGCTTGCCGTCTTGCATAACAACAAGCTCTGCAGCCTTTCCATTCTTAGCCAAGCCACCCTCGAGAGTCAAATTGGCAGATCTATTTGCTGTTAGTTCATTTTCTCATAGGGGAGAACACATCAGACATACAGAGTAGAGCCAGCCTCATTGTCAGACTTGGAGCCCTGGGTCGCTTGGACCCGTTGACGCTGATCGCGAACCATAGCTGCGTAGCGTCTGACCTGTGAAACAAGGTCAAGGAAGTATCCGTTAGTATAAGGTCGATCGGCTGGAAGTCGTTGGTCACGGTCGTTAAGATGCGAAGCCGAAGAATGCAAGCACTGGATGGTGAACTCGCAGAAGTTGAGATAAGAATTCCGTGAGGTGGCGGACTTCTTTAAAAGTGAATCAAAATGAATAAGCCTCGCCGAACTCCAATAACCCATTGACAAAACAATAGAAAACTTACCGGTGCCAACCACAATAGGGTTTTTTCGAGATCACGCAAGCAGACAATCTGCTTATTGATGATACGCTGCGGGACACTGCGGACCAAAGAGTGGAAAGGCTTCAGGCGGGACTCCTTGAGAATAGGAACAAGCACGTATCGTTCAATCTGCTTGCAAGCAGCAGGGCCTAGTTGACGTTTGGGTGATGACCCATTGTCGAATGCCGAAATAGAGCTTGTAATAGCAGATTGCTCTTTGTGGGTGCCGTCGGTGACTATTGATCGTTAGGATCGAGAAGGAAAGGGGTGAAGGAAAGTAGCTGAACAGGTTAGCACCTACCTTTTGTAGAAGATTCGAACAACCCCTCTTCGCTGCTGATCGATGTTCCAAGTCCACTATCCGATTCGTGGCTATGCGCTTGTCTGGTCTTCTTCTCATCCAGTGGGATGGGCATACCCCCACTCTCCGCATTCGGGGGGGTTGGTGAGTTAGGCATAGACTGGGCAGTGTTGTTGTCGTCGCCGGCGGCACTGTTGTTTTCGGTGGGCTCAAGGGTCAAACGTCCCAAGATCGATGTCATGCGCTCTTCAGCAGCGGCGATGGCTTCCAACGAAGTTGGAGAGCGAGCAGGCAGGGAACGGATATTCAAAACAGGATCACTGTCACTGGAAGGAGGGGAGGTTGGAGTGTTAAAAGTCTCGCCCTTCTTCAAGTGCATCTTCGAGCCAGGCGAGTCCGTCGACAGGGTGGGAAGAGTATTGTTTAAGACGGGACGGCGACGCGGGTGCAGCCGCGATGGCTCAGGCTGAACATCAGACATTATTGGACGTGGTTCTGCATCACCGAAACGTTAGCATACGTTCTCGTACCGGGGACTGATATGAGCGACTGATTGGCTCTTACAATGACTCACCGAAGGATGCTTGTCCAGATGATTCGAGAAGTGACGTACAGTCGAGTCAGAGATTGGGACTTCAAAATGATGCGGAGTCTCCCCGTTTTTTAATATTTAACGGCCCCGCTGCTCGTGTGCTTTGAGCAAAATGTGTTGCAATCAACACTCCTGAGAAATTCCTGAGACTTTAAGAAGATCTGCGCATGTATGATGGTATCGGTCGTCTGATAATCTGCACATGCACTCCTTATCGAGCGTACCGGGAGGTCGGATCGTATTCAACCGAATTCTCAGAACTGAACTATCCAATTTTTCAACCAGAATTCACTTTTTGTAGGCGAGGACGATATCCAGAGCCGAATGAAGGCGAACGAAGGGTTCAAAAGCGCAACCAGACCGGTATTCGATGGCTCACGATAGGAAGATCTCAAGCGGTGAGCCCCACTAGGTGCGCGAGGGGATTTTCTTTTGGACTTGAGAGCGAGACTGGACAGATAATGTAATAACGATCTGGCAGAAAATGAAGAATAAGACCAAGGGGGGATAGGCCAAGGAAGACAGAGGACTGGAGGCTCATGGCGTGGCACGTCTGCCTGATAGACGAAGACGCTAACCCCGAAGAAGAAAAATGGCTGAGCACATTCTGCGGCCAAATGATTGGATGTGGAGCGTATGGTAACTCAATAACGGTATTTCTGCGTCCCAAACCTTGGAACTCGCCTCGGCTCTCCTGTAAAGTGGTTCCCGCGTGGCCCCTAACGGGTATCGTATGGTTCTCCACGTTCTTAAAATGGAACGGGCGGACAGATCACTTCGGAGCCTCAAGGTAACAACATTTTTGATGGACTTGCATTTTTTATGTTTTCCTTTGCATGTTTCAATCAATTTGAGAACATTTCTTTAAATGCACTAGGTCCACGTCACATGCTACTAGGATCATGCCATAAACCGGGCAACCCCAGTGCGCCCGTTGCGTCTTGGCCCCCAGAAAGTCGGCAAACAGGGAAAAGAAAAAAAAAAAAAAAAGGGTTCCTCAAACGAGCAAATACAAACCCACCCTGCCCGGGATTCGGCTCAACCCAAGATACATGGCTGGTTCCATAACTCCACCCTCGGATCGGAAGAAACCCATACGAGTATACGAGTACTACGTACTCGTACACTTGAGCCTCCTGCCACCGCTGGTACACCGCGGTCCAATAGTTGCGTTTTTCGGACAAAAAATGCGCCTGTACCACTTGTCTGCCTGATTATGTGCAGATCGGACAGGCCAGGCTTTTTCTCGTATGCAAATTGACAGCTCGACTCCGCCCCATCTGACTCGCTCTGGTGCACAGCCCACCTTCGATTCCATCAAAAGGGACCAACTCTCCAACGAGCTGTAGATTTAGGCTTGTAACATGCATGTACAACATACCGACCCGATTGATTTCGTCCATTTGTACCTGATCTCAACCTGATCTCAATTCACCAGTCATATCTACAATGGCGCAAACATCTCACCTTTCAGCTCTTAACGTTCAAGAGTACGTTGTGGCTGACACCCGACGATTCCTCTGGACCGGACGATCGGCGTGGTTAGTCCGTCCGCATGATAAGCAGCCCGGGGAAATCTGTTTTTATCCAGTCAACAACATTTTTTTTTCTGGACTTTCTCGGGAATGTGTAAATTCGTCACCCTCTTCTCGTCATGGATGGCCGGCTAAACCAGGCTACAATTCTAAACTAATTGTCTCGAGAGAAAGGACGTAAAAGCTGCCTGCGGTTTTACTCCATTCCTGGAATGACGACTCATCCCAACACACAGCGTCCACGGGTAGATACATGTATTTGGTGGTCACCTAAGGAATAGTCGGTATACTCCTGAAGTCAATGCCTACGGTCCATGGCTTCGGTTTCACGGGGAGACCACGACAGGAACAGATCGTATGGAGTAATTGCGAAGACTGACCATATCAGGGCGTTCACCTGGCAGTTATATATACCAAGGTTTTGCTTCGCACTTTCATGGAATCGGTACTTTCCATCACAATGGTCAGAAACAGCCCCTCGGAACTTTAGAATATATCAAGCCAAAGCTTGAAACTCAATGCATCATAGGAAATGTCATTCCAACTCCAATCCTAGCCGACTTCAGGACGTGGCATTCAGCCTTGTACTTAAATACCAACGTGGAAACTTGATCTTTTACTCTCCAGGTGTCCTCAACTGTAGAAAAGCCGTTGAGATTTTTTCCACTTAGTTTTGAAAGTTGGATGCATACTTGGGTAGCTGCATTTGGTGCTTGCAGAGGTATCGTAGCCGTGGAGTCCATAGTCGCGGATCTCTTCATAAGCCCAGAAATGTTGGCCGATTCGACCTCGGCATCGGGACATGGCAGAACGGCACCGCCCGAGTTGCCCGCGTGTTGAGTTCCCCCGGATTCTGGATCCGGCGAACTTCGTCTTCTCTCCTCAGCAATCTGCTAAAGCTGTGGGAACTCGCAGGAGATACTCGAATGGGCACTTATTGATTGGCTGATTTGGTAATTGCATATTCGTTCTCTCCCTTCGTTCTTCCCCGCTACGTTTGCCGACGGCAATCGGACAATACACCGTCCCCATGGACTTCGAGCAGTATGGACAGAGCTCCCAGCAGCCCAGACAGCGCAGAAGAAGAGCTGGAAAGCGGCGATTGAATAGCAAGGCTCCAATTTCAGCGCGACTGGCATTGGACCCCCAGCTTCGTGGGAAGGTCGGCATCTTATCCGAGGATCTAGCGAACGACCTCTTCCAGCAACAGGCCCTCAAAGGTACGCGCCAAACGAATCTGGGATGTTTGAATGACCTGGATACTAATTGTCATGTTCTCTTATCACCAGATGTCACAACTTCTGACGATGGAGTTCTATATGTTGCGATTGCCCCGCATACCCCGACCTATACATCGGTGGAAGACCAAGCCTGGACGATACTCCCAGTCCGAATCCAGCCGACGGAGAGGTCACCAGTTCCATTGTCACACTCGACTGTTTTGTTCCCTGAATCAGCCGATTCTCTTCAACCTTTCCTCCAGGCCCTCGGGAAAGTTGACACCTCGCGCAACTCCCTCCAGGCACATCGGTCAGTGGAGATCCGAATCTTGGATGTCGCTCCCATCCACCTTGATACCATTTTTGTGACAGTGGAGCGACACCTACTCCGCAACCATGACGATATCCAGACGAAGTTTGGCGGAGGATTTACGAATGCACAGGGGCCGAATGGACTCTGGGGTAAGACGGGAAAGACAGCCGAAGCCAAGAAATATTCAAAACGGGTTACTGCAGATGCCGAGCAGCGCCTTACGGTAGCAGTTCGCGAAGCATTGGGAGCACAACGGATCGTACACACAGGGGATGTTTTACCGCTCCCTTTGCCTCCGCATCCTATCACCTACGCGCCTCCCCCACCCGCACGGATCTCATTTTGCGAGCCTGTCGCGCAAGGTCTCCTGATGCCGACTACAAAGATTGTACTTGTGCAGGCACGGCCTCAGGGACTACGTCCCCAACAAAGTCTACCATCTAGGTCAGCGCTTCTGAAGCAAGTGGCTGAAGACGAAGCTGACGACACTTCCAACGAACAATTCTTTTCCGCGGCGGAAGACAAGCCCGGTGAAAGTGGAACAGAAATGGAAGCCACCTCGGCTGCCGAGGAGTCAGAGACAGAGGGTTCTGCAGGTTCCATGAGCGACTCCTCAGATGATTCTCTAGAAGACATGATCTCCCTTAGTGCGCCCGAGCTGCCCCAGCCTGCATCGGGAGTCATGTCGTCCCTGACATCAGCAACCCCCAGAGCCGGTGGTCGACGCACGGATGGAGTTCATACACCCGGGTCTGTGGCATCAAACTTCACATCGGCCACCATGCGCCCTGGTCGTGGTGGAGGCAAGACATTCAAAGTTGAAGGTCTCTTGCAACAAGTGCCTAATGAGGTGCTTCATCCCAGACCTCGTGATGATGAAGACGTCGACGCCTTCGTCTTCGTAGACATCAGTACATTGGCCAAGATCGGGTGCTTCTCCGGTGACTGGGTTAGAATCGAGGCAGCTGAAGAGCCTCAGCTGAACATGTTCGCCTCGCTCAAGTTCGGAAGCTTCAATGACTCCCCAGAAGACTCCGGTGATTGGCGCCCAGTCAAGATCTTTGGCCTGTCAGGTCTTCCATCATCCAAACCTCGATATGCAATCAACCACTCCGGCGAACGTCGATCTAGTATTCCCCAACGCCCACAAACGCGGCTGACACCTTCTGTTTTTGTTCCTCCCCTACTTCTTGGAAATATCGACAATCCTAAGTACCTGCGGATCTCTCCTATGACATTTGCAGCCCAAAACGGAGCTCCTAAGCCTGGTCTCTTGCACCACATGAAAAACACTGCTATCAAAAACCCACCCTTGGCAAAAGAAGTCACACTTCTCAAGCTTTCAACTCCACTTTCAATGGATCGGGTTCTCCAGCCAGCGCTTTTCGCAGGACTCAAGCAGTACTTTGAGTCGCGCCGACGGATACTCAAGAGCGGCGATCTGGTTGGTATCAGTGTCGACGAAGGTCTTGGCAGAGCGGTCTTCTCTGGAACCGCTGGCGGTGACAGTGCCAATCAAGAAGAAGACATAACAATACGCCTAGGCCAGAACACCAATTCCGGAAGCTCTGGAGCCCGTAAAATCGGCGTTGCCTGGTTCCGTGTTGGTCAGGTGGCCCCGACCGTTGTTGAAGAGGTTGAAGAGACAGGCGAAGATCAATGGGGCGGTGTCGCTGTCCTTGACCCAGCAACCACTCGCATGGTTCAGGCTGGAAGTGACGTGAGCCGAGTTCCTGGTGTGTTGGATAATGGATGGGAGTACTGGTTAGGTGTGAAGACGGTCCCTAAGAGCGTCCATGACGCTCCGGCATCCCATGGCATTGTTGCCGATCCGCCTCAGCCATTCAACCCACCCTTGCAACAACGTATTCGCGACTTGATGTCCGCTGCTACCAGTCCCAGAGCTATCCAGCTGGGGATGAAGCCCGTCTTCATTCTCCTCACATCCCAGCAGAGACACATTGGTAAGGCAACGGTCGCAACCCGGGCAGGTGCAGATATCGGTCTTCATACATTCCCCATTGACGCATACGATATCTTGACTGAAGGCGGTGCAAATGGTGGTGATGTCAAGACAGAGGCATACCTCAAGGCGCGCGCCGAACGGGCTTTCCATTGCGGAGCAAACTGCACCACTCTGCTGATTAGGCACATCGAAGTGCTTACTGCTGATCGTATTGTCACCGCGTTGACTGATATCTTGACGGATGCTAGGGTCGTCATTGCAACTACCACCGATGTTGAATCAATCCCCGAAGGCATTCGTAGTCTCATCACCCATGAGTTCGAGATGGGTGCCCCGGAAGAAAAGGAACGTGAAGGAATCTTGAACAACGCGGTCGCCGAGCGTGGCATCAAGCTTGCTGCTGACGCGGAACTGGGAACTATTGCTCTCAAGACTGCCGCACTTGTTGCTGGAGACCTGGTCGATGTCGTGGAGCGAGCTGCCGGGGCGAGAACGACTCGCCTCGAAGGCCTAGCGGAGGCTAGTAAAAAGTTGTCTGGCTCCGAGGTCTTTGTGAGAGACGTTCTGCTAGCAGGGGGCGACAGTGCCCGAGGCGTAAATAAGGCGGACTTTGACTTTGCTGTTGAAGCTGCGCGGAAGAACTTTGCGGATTCGATCGGCGCACCAAAGATCCCGAACGTTGGGTGGGATGACGTTGGTGGATTGACCAACGTCAAAGACGCTTTGGTCGAGACTATCCAGTTACCACTTGAACGACCCGAACTTTTCGCCAAGGGTATGAAGAAGCGCAGTGGTATCTTATTCTACGGCCCTCCTGGCACCGGAAAGACACTTCTCGCGAAGGCTATCGCAACCGAATTCTCCCTCAACTTCTTCTCCGTCAAGGGCCCTGAATTGCTCAACATGTACATCGGTGAATCCGAAGCAAACGTGCGCCGAGTATTCCAGCGTGCCCGAGATGCTCGCCCTTGTGTTGTATTTTTCGATGAGTTGGATTCCGTCGCTCCCAAGCGTGGTAATCAAGGAGACAGCGGTGGTGTGATGGACCGTATCGTCAGTCAATTGCTTGCGGAGCTAGACGGCATGAATGGTGGCGAGGAGAACAGCGGCGGTGTGTTCGTCATCGGCGCAACCAACCGCCCTGATTTGCTTGACACAGCGCTCCTTCGCCCTGGTCGTTTTGACAAGATGCTTTACCTGGGTGTCTCAGATACCCACAGGAAACAGGCGACTATTCTCGAGGCTCTGACTCGAAAGTTTGCTCTTCACCCTGAGGTTTCGCTCGACCGTGTTGCCGAGAAGCTTCCATTGACGTATACTGGTGCTGATCTCTATGCGCTCTGCTCTGATGCCATGCTGAAAGCTATCACCCGCAAGGCGACGGCCGTTGATGATAAGATTAAGACCCTGCCTAATGGTCCCGTCAGCACTGCTTGGTTCTTCGACCATCTGGCTACTCCAGAAGATGTGAATGTGCTAGTCATGGAAGAAGACTTCTTGTCCGCCCAGGGAGAGCTCGTGCCAAGTGTCAGGTATGTAATTCTCCAAATACTTTGGAGCCAACTATTCAATCTCTGAACACCATACTAACATGAAACAGTGCCAAGGAACTCGAACACTTTGAACGCATTCGCGACACATTTGAAGCAGTAGACAAGTCAAAGCAAGATTCTAGCGCCGCAGCGCCACAGACAATAGCAGAGGCAATGGAAGCCTTTAACCTAGGCGGTGCTGCAGTCCCTGTGGATGACGCTCCGTCATCTACCGGGGAAAGAACGCCGACAGGAAGCGTCCGAGGCCGCATCAGAGGTCTGAACAAATTGTCCGGTGGCCTTTCTCGCAGTGCCAGTGGCCAATCAACCACAAGCAGCAAGGGGAAGGGAAAGAGTAGCAAGAAAGGAAAGGGCAAGAGCACGGCAGAGTCGGATGGATCGGTCGATGGTGACGAGGAGGGTATGACCGATGGCAACATCGGGGATGACGACGATTACGTTGTCCGAACTGATCATTTGGCAAACAGCGGGGAGCAATAGGCTGAATAGAGCTTTTGCACATTTTACCTGCATCACAACCCCTCGCCAGGTTGAGATGCAGTCCTTGTATCTACTATGCTGATTCGATATACCTATTTCCTATATGTACATTGGAAGCTTTATCTCAAACAATTTCTCCCAACTAGAGAAACATGTAAATGATTGAGCTGCATAGTGCGTAGCACATCCATAGTTGTCCAGGGATTCATTCGGCTTCCACCCCAGGCTGGGCAACTTTACAAGTTGAGAAGACACATGAAAGTGCATGTATTCTTAGAACGACCCCGGGGAAAGGATGTGTTCCAAGGAAATGTTGATTGCTGAACTGGAAATTTACATTTTGTCGCCGCGAAATTTCTGTCACTTGGGCATGCTTCTAGAGTGTTGATCCTAGAGATATAGGGCCGCTTGAGGTTTTGTAGGAGCACCTAACCTTAAAAGGGCTGTTTTATGATTACTTGTCACAGCCCTAGGGTCACAATATCCGACAAAATAGTCATCAGCCCGTTAGATTCACGTTTCCCGCGGAGCAATACCCAGATGGGATCCTCGCTTGACTGGTGGAAGATTTTGCCCCTCTCTAATATGCAGACCTTACGCCCCTCAAAGTCCACAAAAACAGTCAGGTCCGCTCCTCAAGTCAGACATGCAGCAAGCAAACCATTCTGTCACAATTATAATCTCATGATAACCAAGTGTGCTGGAAATAGACCAAGAGCGAGATCATATTGCTAGGTTTTTAATCACTGAAAAATTAACCACTGACCTGTGTTCATAGGTTTACACAGAGCATAATCATTTCAGATATTGATAAAAATTGCTCGGTGGGTAATCAAGCCTCCAAGGTTGACTTCAGTCTTGAGGCCTGCCCAGGTGGAAGCTCATAGCTATGAACACTCCATATAGAATTATGGCCTTAAGTACCTCGTTGCGTCGGAATAATGCAGATAGATACGGCGAAAGCTCCGATCGGAGCGATGGCTGAAGAGACTGCGCGGGATAACTCAATGTGGCAGGCACGTTTTGCCCCTGCAGATCCCCTAGAAGCCTCGTAGAAGTAAAGTGTAAATCGATAAGGCAGAGAGCCCGGTGAAGAGATATCATTTACACAGGCCTATTTGTCTCCAGCGATAGGAAGGTTTGGCCCCACCGCTCCACCTTGACCCAATCTCCTATCAGAGGATGATACTGAAACTACGGGCACATTCCGAGCCAAGACGAAAGATCTCAGAAACTCACCTTGAATTAACTTAGTGCAGCATATCTGAGAGAGTGTCAGCCGGGATATTCTCGCATATATGTATCCCCAAAGACAGCCCACTTGCCCCCAGGTGCAATTTCCCCGCGTGTATCCTCCATGTGGGTCTCCTGTCCACCAATCAGATGGCAATCACGGCACAAGCTCTGGGGCTGCCGCCACGAGCCATGAATTCATCGGTCCGCGACTAGCCAAGGCTCGAATGGCCCGATGAAGCCGTAGCCTGTGACTGGCCGAAAACACCGCATTCGGTCCGCCTGTCCAATCAAAGCCACGGTCAGTTATCGGTCTTGTTCGTCCACTACCCCAAGTCGTTAGGTAACACCTCTATTCATGCTTCCCCCGCGTGGAGTGGATGGCTCTGGGGACTATCGGAGGGCTCTGGGAATGCTCAAGTGGAAAGTGATATTCGACCTGTCGTCATGTTTCAATTGCCTTAATACGGCCTCTTTCCTCCGTGTTTGAATTTTCCTCTCTATTCTCCCTTGTTTGCCATCCCTACCCATCATGGACAAGGACGAATATAACAATGATGACACTCAGCTGGCCCAGATGGGCCATAAGTCTGAATTGAAGCGGAACTTCTCTCTAATGTACGTGCCATGGACAAATTGGTGTCAAGAGGGGCTGTTCACTAACCGTTGGATCTTTTTCTCAGTTCTATGTTGGGCCTTGCTTTTGCGATTTTAAATGTACGTCACACGATCGCCATGGGAATGAAATCCACAATCAGGAACTGACACCGAACAGTCATGGACCGCTCTGTCGGCGAGTTTGTCCCTTAGCTTGCCGTCCGGAGGTAGTGCTAGTGTTGTCTGGGGTATGTATCCCCTTCTTTCACACACGTGGAGGTCAATGCTAACGAGGTACCCAAGGTCTTGTTACCGCTGGTATCTGCAATTTATGCATGGCCACGTCGTTATCTGAATTTCTCTCCGCATATCCCACCGCCGGTGGTCAATACCACTGGGTGGCGGTGACTTCCTGGAGAAGTTGGATGCCAATTCTGTCTTGGATCACCGGCTGGATCAACTGCTCCGGCTGGGTTGCGCTGGTCGCAACTGGTGGTCTCCTGGGAAGTGAGCTTATTTTAGGTGTTATCTCGTTGATGAACCCAGTGAGTACATACTCTGCTCAATACGCGCACATCGTTCTGACCATCGAAATTAGGCGTACGAGCCTCAGCGCTGGCATCAATTTTTGATCTACCTTGCCTATAATATTGTTGCTTTTATTATCAACGCCTTGATGAACAAAATTCTGCCACATGTCACCAAGGGTGCCTGTGAGTCACGCTTCATCGTAAACCATACATTCCCGCTAATGCTCTCAAGTCATTTGGTCCCTGACAGGTTTTGCTGTCATTTGCATCACCATCCTATCATGTGCCTCGCCAACCTATAACTCTGCTGAGTATGTCTTTAATCAGAGGGAGTCATGGAAGCCATTGTGCTGACAAGTCCAGATTTGTGTTCACCGATTTCATCAATACGACAGGATGTAAGTTTATCCACCCACAATGACATGCGTATCTGAAGTACTAATGTTTTCCAGGGCCTGATGGAGTTGCCTGGTTGCTCGGAGTATGTCGCTTGCTACCGGCGTTTGTAAACAATGCTAACAAACCCACAGCTTTTGCAAGGAGGCCTTGGTGTGACCGGTTTCGATGGCGTTGCGCACATGATTGAAGGCATGTCAAACCCCCGTCTCTGGCCTTGAATCCAAAGCTAACCGATTATAGAAATCCCTAACCCCTCAATCGAAGGACCTAAGATCATGATCGCCTGTGTTGGCATTGGCACCGTTACCGGTGTGATTTTCCTTGTCTGCTTGCTCTTCGTTGCTGGTGATATCAACAAAATCATTGAATCGGCTGCGACCCCTCTCCTTGCCATCTTGAAGAATGCCACCCAGAGCAACGCTGGTGCCATCTGCTTGTTGATGTAGGTCATTTTATGTATTGTTATCTACCGATGAGATGGAATACTGACAGTCGCCAGCTTCCCCCTTGTTTGTACCCTGTTCGCTGCAACGGCTATCATGACCACTAGCAGTCGTATGATCTATGCGTTCGCACGGTGAGTTTATTTCATCATTTACATTCTGAACTGAACAATTTTACTGATAATCTACAGTGATGGTGGCCTTCCTGCCTCTCCATTCTTCTCCCGCGTTCACCCTAAACTGAATGTTCCCCTCAACTCGCTTTACCTGAATTTGGCTCTTGTGACCATCTTCGGTTGTATCTTCCTGGGCTCATCCAGTGCTTTCAACGCTATTGTGTCAGCATCAGTGGTGCTGCTTGATATCTCCTATGCGATGCCCATTGCGGTCAACTGTCTTCGGGGGAGAAAGATGCTCCCCGAGCGCTCTTTCGCTCTGGCGCCATGGTTTGGCTGGACCATCAACATAGTATGTCGTCACTTGAAATCTTTGGGTTGCAGCCATTGCTAACCATAATCCCTTAGATCTCGGTGTCTTATATTTCTCTGACCACCATTCTTTTCCTGTTCCCCCCCTCTATACCCGCCACTGGAAGCAGTATGAGTAAGTTGACCAACCAGGTTCGATTCAGGAAGTTTGACTAACCTGATTTTCACAACAGACTACTGTGTTGCAGCATTTGGAATCGTCTTCATCATTTCCACCATCCAATGGTTCGTGGACGGACGTAAGAACTTTGTCGGTCCTCGCATCGAGGTTGAAGTCTTCACTGGAGAAGCTGGTCCCCAACCAGAGCAACCTATACCCGTTGTTGAACAGCGCAAGCAATAGATGCGCATGGCTGGGTGTAAGTTGAACTCTAGAAGATTTTGTATTTGATAGCATACAATCTAGCATTTTCACACTTTTATAACCAAGCTCGGGATTATAGTTTGTAATCCATATGATGCCGATGATAGTGATTGGTACTCACAATGAAAGCTATAGAGGGCCCTGTCCGTTGTTACAAGACTGACTTATTACTTCAATGCAACAATTCCAATTGCATATCTTCTTTATTTGCGTTCGATTCCTCATTAAATTAGTAGATATTAAAGTGAGTAGAGATCTTAAGTAATGAAATGCAAGATGAGCCTACAATTCGAATCCAACAAAATTGCCCCTCCACCCTTTGAATTCAGTGACAAAGCGCACTGCGGCCTTCAAGAAAAAGCGATCATGATCACCCCAGGTCTCAGCCTGTTGCTTTAGTGAACGCGTAGCCTGGACAAAAGACGGGTCGGTTGAATAAGGACCACTGACCGCTTGCTGAGAAACCCACTCCCAATTCTTCTCCTTTGGATCATACTCGCGAATCCGATCCATGTCAATACCAGGTCGCAGCTGCGAAATATAGATCCCAATGGTGTTTAGCGCCCATTGCTGAACAAGAGGAATTTGGTACTGAGCGGGAATAATCGGAAGCATCACACGAACAGCATGGCTGGTTGTAAGGGCCGTGGCAAAGAACCAATCATAGTAACCCCTTGAGTCTCCCTCAGATGTTCCAACTAGCAAGGCAACTGCAAGCTGTTGGCTCTCGCGGAACTGCTCTAAGGCGTTCTCGATCTTCCACGAGCCCCAGTGAGCAAGCAGCGCAGCGTTGCGAGATGTGAGTAAAGATTCGAAGTTATCGCTGCCTGGTGTGGGGAAAAGGCCGTTGAGGCTTTGATCCCCTTGGACATGAGACAGGATGTCGAAGAGTGACCTTGATTCATAAGATGATTCTTGGTTTGAGTGAATCAGATTGGCAAATGATTTGTAAGTCTCATTGTGGCACGCAGCAGCCAGACCAAGCGCTTCCATGCCAACCTCGCGACTGTTCATCTCAAAAGCATATGCAAGGTGAACCAAAGGAAGGCCAACTGTTGTCAACGTTAGAATTTTCATTATGTTTGCCATGATGAAACATACGATCAGCCATGATAGAACCAAACACTGGCTCCTGTCCGTTGAACAGGTACTCATCTACGACTTGCTTCCAGTCATAGCCGAGGCGGACCAGTTCATCTTCGAAAAAGTCAACAAAGGCACGATCAAACCTATTCAATTGGCGCTGCGGTTAGCGGAGGATCTCAAGTGCATTGGAAGCCGGCCCAAGCTTATACATACTCGCGGCATCCAAGATGGCTGCGCCAGTCCAACGTGGTAATTTCCGCGGGGGAGTCTTTCCATTTGACCACCTCGTTGAATTGAGATTCGTAGATACGACCCAGGTCATTGGCATCTGCCCCTTGCAGGAATGACGAGCTCAAAAGCTGGCTATCGAGTTAGTGTCATGGTCTAACAGAGGCCACTTTCGGCATGAAATGCCTGTGCAATGACAAAGACCAAATGACTTACATGAGACATTTGACTCGGGAGCTGTCGTCGGTCAAAGAGACCATTCTCAACGTGATCCAACTTCAATAGATGTTTCAACGCCCGAGCCGGCTTCTCGTGAGCGGTTTCGGTCTCATGGACCTTGACAGGCGGCAATTTGATAGCCTGACGCGGTGAGGATGAGAAAATGTTCAGAGACGGCAGCGAAGGCCATGATATGTTCAACATTTTGAATGTGGTTGGAAATATTGTGTTTGGTGTGTTGGATGGGATTGTTGGGATCGCCGCCTAAGGCAAAATGTATTGCATGACGTATTGGAGTCATGTTATCAATCTTTGCACGTGATATCATTCATGTGTTTGCTTTGTTTGTTTTGAAACGCGAACTTGGTGCCTCGGATTTTTGTCTGTCCCAAGACTAACTTGCCAACCTTCTTTCAAGCATAACTGATTAGATAGGCCGTGCCCAATCCTCAAAGGTGTTTCGCTAGGAAGCTATACTCCACTGCCTCTTTTCATCGGCCCGATTCCAAAGCCACATTGTCTCCATCTCCCTTGACTACACTAATCGTACGCGCAGCACTCGCATGCACGAAGATCCCATGATGCAGGAATCTGAAGTGTCTCTATATCTCCACGCAGAGTTCCTTCCAAATATCCGTCAAACAACACTCTACATTTCCCTGCCCGGAACTGCGGCATTTGACGGCATCTACCCAGATGTGCAACTGTCACAGTCGAGAAAGGCCGTAACAGTCTCATTACCACCCCCTTTCCAACATGTCACAGAAACAATCAAGCTTCCAGCACGCGTCACCGATGCGTCTCGACGCGCCCTTCAGACCAGCATAAGACCGATTCAGAAGTCAAGTGGTGAACCATTTGAGTTCTCCTTCCGAATGCCGGTTGATGCCACCGATGAGGCGCTGGCGCCTCGGGATGAACTGATTGATGATTTCGTCCCCTGGACAGCAGATAAAATGTCGGGTTCGACGCGAATTCGGTGTCGGAACTGCGAACAACATTTCATGGGCTTTTCATCAACATCTGAGACTGCGAATGACAACAGTGATGAGACCACCCAGGCGTGGGACTGGAAAGATTTACCAAGTGGCAATTGGGCTGAAATGATGGACTTTTGGCATTGTCACAAGCCCGATCCTCATGAAGGCGACGAAAAAGATGAGAAGGACTCCGCACTTCGGATCGAGGATCAAACCGCACAAACGAAGGGTTACGGCGCTGATAGTCAGGTGGTAGCAATCCCTGGGACCGTCCTTGTTGATGTTGCTACTTTTCTGCTTGCCGAATTGGATTGCAGGGGACTTGTAAAGGTATGGATGCTATAACCCCTTCCGTTCTCACCACCTTCACGGCAACCCCCCGGCCTATTAGTTCTGTTCATGCCTTGTCATCCCCAAAAATACATAGGGCAACTTAGAAGGGGACCACTCAGTTCTCAGTGGGGTGGCCTCCGATACTATTGCCCAAGATGAAGTGAAACACCACTTTGTGTACCTGCAATCCAGATTGGGGGCGGTATTCATGGGTACCTAATCATGGATTTAAAGCGTATTTATCCTCTGTCCGCAGATGGATTTCACTCTTGGCGTCTGTGAGGATGGACTTGTGGAGGCTGTTCTCCGTTTGTTTTGTGGCGCAAGGTACCCTCTTCTTTCAGCGCCGGCTTTATGATTGGTGAAGTAGACGTGATTATATGAGGCACATACAAGCTTTAGGGCCGCAAATCTTGCATACCCGAAGTAACTTTGATGTAACAAGATTAATTGCATGATTTCTTCGTCCACATTCAACTCCAAACAATCTATAAATTCGATCTAGACTGCTAATGAACAACGACTTAGGCCAACGACGAAGAGCAAAGGTCCAACACCGAATCTACGGCACACAGAACGTTGGACTGCGCCAAATGCGGATCAATCATCGGCATGGAAGACCCATTTGCCAAGGGATGGCGATTGCTCAAAGCCAATGTCTCCTTAAACACCAACCATGTACTCGACACTGAAACACCGGACTGGGAAACCCATTCGGCAGATGTTATAATCGCAGCGCAATTGCTGGAACTAATTGAGCGCGAAAGCGCTCGTCGTTTCGTTGTTCACTGTGGCCAAAAAAACGGCCTTGTGGTAAGCATTAGTGTCGCCTGTCCAATCTCAAATTATTAACAAATTACATCCAGCTTTGGGTCTTCAACCCTAACATGAAATATTCGAACTTGAGCTCTGGTCACAGTATCATGGCCCAGCAGGCTATGAAGGTCTTTTTCCAGGAGACAGCTGACGTGCATGGTCTACTACACCCCGAGATTGGAAACCCATCGCCCTTGTCTGTGGAAGAAGTTGAGCTTCCGTCGATGGTGTTCGAGGCAACAGAGAATGCCCTCCGGAGAAGCAACCTGATGCTCCCGGCTTCTGCGAGGAAATTCAATGAATGGCAGGTTGGGTTGTTGAGCCGATTCCGCCGAGGGCCCTCAGACCACGGCAGGCAAGCATCATAAAGAGCCTCGAGCTCTGTTTTCCAAAGATATGGAATGCTCCGTCTCCGATTCATTCTCAGACTTGTATTTCAATTTTACTTCGTCAATAGCTCTCTGCCGGAACAAGGCTTGCCGGAATTCGCCTCGTGTGCGCGATGAAAGTACTCCCCAACACGCAGGTCCAGCCCGTTTGCAATCTAGGGGGAAAAGCAGCTTCCGGAAATTCGATGACATGAGCCCAGTCATCTTTTGTACCCAATCGTTAGAGCATAGCTTGCGCGGCCGGATTGAAAGAGTGCAAATTGTCGATACATAGCGCTATCTGCACGGGGTCTATCTATAGATTAGGATTCCGCTGAGTTGCTGGTGAGCGATCCCTTACAACAGATTTCAGGCAATTTGTACAGCTTCGCTTGAACAGATTTTCAAGGCGGTACTTAAGTAGCTCATGGACTCTCACAAGTGGCGCAATGTCTGGGTACCATAACCAGCTTTGGGCGTACTTAGGGGTTTCACTTATAACTTTAGAAAGTTGGAATTGACGACCATCCGGGTTCTGACTTGAGGGGCGCTTTTGAGTGTCTATAATCCCAAAATTGGGATGTAAGTGGTATCCATAAGTACCTAGATCGAAGAAATAGATCCGTGGATCTGTCGATTGCGCTGGGTTGCGCTGGGTTTGACAATACTCAAGTAATATATGTGTGCAATATCTAGAGCAAATATATCTACTGAAGTCCGTCCTGATATCCTTCAAACGCAGATTGTCCCGCTAGTCTCATTCAACACAGACAGAGAAATAGACCCCAGGACCTGTATCAGCTTGGATATGATTATATTTCATTGTTGGAGATACGATCAAATGCTTTTAATCCGCACAATTTTGTTGATAGGCCCTGTGTTGTCCACTTCGAATGTCGCGGGGGCTGCGAGTCATTCACCGAGGCCCGGAGCTAAGGAGAATATTTAATGATCTATGGTGTATCCAGCTCTTATATTGATGAAAATACTGCCTGTGTATATCGAGGAAAGCGAAAGGGTAGCGGAGTCAGAGATGATACGGAGTACAGGGTACGGAACACACGCCAAGTGATATGCGACACGTTGGCAGTGGGGATCCTGGGCGCACGGCTCATTTATTTCCTCCACTGCAAGTTATCTCTTGCACTGGAATCTTCAACTCAGCATTCCTGATCGAATTCAACAGACCCAACACTCCAGCTCCGTACCTGAAGTCTTTTGGAAAAAAGCGGGGCACTGACCTCTATCAGCGAGCACGGTTTCAGCCGTCCACATTCAAGAGGTCATCTTTCATCAAGACGACTGAGAGCAGAAGATGGAAAAGGTCGAAGCTCTCGTAGATCGTGCGAAGCACCTGGCTCTCGATGAGCCACCTCAGGGGGCATCACACCATGTGGATGTATTCCACCCGTCACTCGACACCCATATCGAGAAGATCTTCAAGTCGGTTGATGCGTATGCCCCCACAACCCACTATTTTCTCAATGAAATTCAACATGATGAAGTGGTCCCAACTCCCGCCGGGAAAACGCCTGTCGATGCTTTGGCGTCTGTGGATGTCTTTCGTGACTATATGAAGGATGCAACTTCCTGTGCCATGGCACCGGAACATGGCCTCGATACTTCGGCCCCGCTTTCGGATTACTTTATATCGTCCAGCCACAACACCTATTTGACAGGTAACCAGCTGTACAGTGATGCTGCTGCGAGCGCATATTCCTCTGTGAGTAAATGTTTTGGAGCTACCCATCCCCTTCAATAGAGGTTACGCTTTGTTGGGATCTTGCATTGAAGCATACTGATGTGTTCCCAGGTTCTGCAAAGGGGCTGTCGATCCGTCGAAATTGATGTTTGGGACGGAGAATCAGAGACCCCCAGCTCCAGCGAGGACGAAGCGGACAGCGACAGCAGTAGCAGCGATTCCGAGAGTGAAGATCAGAGCGGACGCATGGATATAGAAAGAGCCGAGTCGAAAGCTAATCGGCAAAAGCCCACTAAAGCGCCGAAAGAATCGATCACATCCAGACTGGAAGCAAAATTAGGATCGGTCCTGCGTCGCAAGTCGACCAAGAAACCAGAGCAGTCCACACAAGAAGAAACTGCTACAAGCCATATGCCCATTCGAGCCGAGCCTCGTGTTCTGCATGGCCATACACTTACGAAAGGAGCTACATTCCGCGAGATCTGCTATGCGATCCGTGACAACGCCTTCGTTGCCAGCGACCTCCCGATTGTGATCAGTCTGGAGGTCCATGCCTGCCTGGAGCAGCAACAGATGATGGTGGACATCATGAAGGAAGCATGGGATGGAATGTTGATTGACACGCAGCCGGCAGAAGGCAAACTTCCTTCGTTGGCTGATCTCAAAAGAAAGATCTTGATCAAAACCAAGGGTCTTCCCCTTGATGGCGACGATGCGAAACTTGAATCGGAAGATACCCTGACACCACAGAATTCCGAGGATAAATCTTCGGAGCAGCAGCCACCAAAGCCATCAAAGGTGCTCGGGGCCCTGGCCGACTTGGCAGTGTACACTCGGGCGTATCATTTCAGCCACTTTGATCAACCAGGTACGTATCACCGTCATGATCGCCCAAGGAGACCTATTAATTTTCCGAACAGAGGCCAGGGTCCCGTTTCATGTGTTTTCATTGTCCGAGAAAGCCGCACGCGAGGCCCATGCCAATTCCCGCGATGCCTTGTTCGAGCATAACCGCTCATCGCTGATGCGTATCTATCCGTTCGCATTCCGGGTGAACTCCTCAAACCTCGATCCGAGCTTCTACTGGCGCCGCGGCGCGCAGCTAGTTGCGTTGAATTGGCAGAATCTCGATAAAGGCATGATGCTCAATCATGGAATGTTTGTTGGATCGCACGGCTGGAGACTCAAGCCATCCGGCTATCGGAGCAGCGATCGCGAAATAAGCCCCATCGAGCGTCGCAACTTGACCCTCTCCCTTGAGATATACGCAGCCCAGGATCTGTCCTTGCCACCAGGCGATCACAGCGAAAAGGGGTTCCGCCCCTATGTTACCTGTCAGCTACATGTCGAAGAGCCGGAGGGCGAAGTTACCCCTGACAGGGATGACGCAAGTTCTGACACAGAGAAAACTAGCTACAAGCGATGCACGAAGAGCTCCTCGGGTCGGAACCCGGATTTTGAGGGCCAGAAATTGGAATTTCCGACCGTAACTGGGATTGTTGAGGACCTAAGTTTCCTGAGGTAAGTGAGCAGCGTGTCCCCAATTGCACGGATATTCGAATTTTGCCCCTTCCTTGCGTCGCGTGATGTACCTCGTGCTTTGGGTCACCAGAAGCTGCACTCGGCTTGCATTTCTACCTCCAACCTCGGTTGGACTAATGCAGTGATCGCCCTGCATTGTGATACCCGCCAGAAAATATGCACAAGCCAGCATGAAGTGTCAGTCTGGCGACCGGGCTGGCATGTTTGCTTCTTTGGGATTTTTCTTTGAGTCCAGGACGCATGTTACGGCCTTTGCATCGGTTCCCTCTGCTGTGCTGCACCATGCTTCTGTGACCTTCGTCATTAATTGTGCAGACTTGATGGCTTGGCGAGACACTGACGATTCCTGATCTCTAGGTTCAAAATCAAGGATGACGAAATCGGTCGGGACCCATTGGCTGCATGGGCTTGCATCCGACTTGATCGATTGCGCGAGGGCTATCGGCTAGTTCATCTTCATGATTGCTCGGGGGAGAAGACGGGGGGTGTGCTACTGGTCAAGATCGAGAAACAAGTGGCCTGAGTCCAACGCGTGTTCTCTCGCGACGGAGAGGCCAGTACGGAGTAGACCTGGATTGTCGTTCTGTGGTAGTAGAGATGTGGGACAAGCGAATTGGATATCACGCCGGGTAGCCGAGAGCCGAGTCAATTGAGTTCCTTTCTCAGCGTGCCGGTCGCCTTTGGGCATCCAGGCAGAATGTCGTACATCATATTTCCCATTGCAGTGATGAAGAGTGTCAAGGTTGCAGCCACGCCTCTGACAAATATGACAAATCCCACACCCTGCACACCCTGCACACCCATGAACTGTATCACAAAGACTTTTTTCGACTGCCCGAAGCAACCATGTACAGATCATCGATCGCGATTGTGAGATGCAATCGGACCAGTCACGACGCATATCTGAATTCAGGGCGTTACACACATAACGTCAAGTCAGCGTGAACTTTCGAACATCAGCGGATGATTTAGGATTCCTGAAGTCGAATGTTATACTCTATAATCTGTATGAGTACTCCGGAGCAGTAGAGACAACGGGCACTAGCCCCAATTCCCGAAATTAACTCCGGCCTCGTTTCGGTTTAGACTGCCCTGTCAAATGCATATGTATGTGCTAATTTGAGACGAATTCTGATATCGTGATGCACTGCGTATTTTGAAAGTAAATAGGCCATCACAATTTGCGCGATCTCTCGGACTCCCCCGAGAGATTAGCGCAATGCTCATTAAATTAAGTGGCGGTGACGGGAATATAAAAGGATTGTCCAAAATGGTGAGATCGAGCGAACGTGGATAGCCCACTTGATAACTACGAGTATGCATCCTGCGAGCCATCAAATGATCGGTGAGAGACCTGACACTTTGACGCACATGAACTGGAAAGGCGCAGCGATCAGCGTGCCAAGCAACATGCATCATATTGATCAACGCTAGTGGGGAAAGACAAAGCTGAGTCTCGGTAAAAATCGTTTTTTTCTTTCTTTTTCGTAGCCTCTATTTGAGAGGTAACGGGGATGCATAAGGACATATTAGCATCAGCATCCTTGCATTCCGGTATGGGCTTAGCCTTTGTTTATACCTACTTGTAGACACACACAACCCCTAATTTCACCATCCTATCCCAATTTGCCATAGGAAGAGTATTGAGAGAACCCAGGACCAAGGGGGGGTTCATGCGTGAAATTTGCATGCATAGCCAAACGAATCTCTGGGAAAGTGACAGCAACAAACAATGCGATTCAGCCAATAATCAGAGGCGATCGCTCGTCGTCTTGCGCAGGAGCCAAGTTCAGCGATTTCTGACCAATCATCTGGCTTACCACCGAGCACGACCGAGACCCGTCCTTAACCTGTGGGGTTCTGGGGTTGATACATCCATTCTGATGTCGGCTCAATTTTTGTTTTCTCTCTTTTAATCTCGGTGACTCGATGCGAATTGCATGGTACGAATAGTAGCGAATCTTCTTTGTCCTGGAAAAATACTCCCTCCTCCGTACTTCCAACTAGATAGATCAAAGAATCGCAAATTCAGAGAGCTCGGGAGGTACCGAATGTCTCTCGGTGATTGGCCTCGGTGGAGTTGTGGCGTAGAGACTCTGCATGACCTGTTCCTCTTTGAGCTGCGATCCCTGGCCAAATCGTCACATTTATCGGTCGATCAATTAGCTATATGTGTGTTCCCGGTTTATCTCTTGGAAACGGGAGCTACCGAGACTCCATTCGACTGATGATTTACTACTTTGGATTATTTGCAGGGTTGTTTTTGGGTGATTTTCGGCTTCTTTTGGAGACTAATTTCCTGTGATTCCTCTTTGCATTTGACTTCCCGATACGATCTCTATGATCGCGGGGCCGTGTGAACCAGATCTAGTTTCGCCCTTACTTTCCAGGCCTTATAAGAGCTCCTCATTCCTGTCCACAACCTCCTTCAATTTCAAGTCAAGTCCCAAGTCCAGTCCCGATTCCAATCACAATTCCAGCATACATTGCCATCCCCACAACACATACACATTCATCATGACTCCCTCATCGCAATGTGGCGCCAATGCGTGCGCAACCACTGTCAGCAAGGTTCGTCCCTCTCAATGTGGTACTTCGGTGATACTCCCATGTACCCCGGCTGACTCTGCTCTTTAGATGCCTGGTGTGCGATGCCCCAATTGCCAAGCGCAGGGAAAAGAAGTCTGGGTGATCCCAGGCAAAAGCTGCCACATTTGCCACACACCGTGTGCTTAAATCTCAACTCTTCGTGCATATCATATCTCATGCACCGAAGTTCATCCTTACTTCCCTGTACGGGGTACTCCGTACTCCATCCCGGCCACATCTATCCGGGAATTGCATTCGCGTTGTTCGACACAGAGCCAAAGCCATGTCCAACATATCCAGAAAATCCGAACACGCTGAGATTCGGAGGATCTTCAAAAAATCGACATTCAGGTCCAATCTAAGCACGGGCCAAAGGCGTATGGGGTCTCCATATTTCAGCAAGGCGTTGTGTTTATCTTTTTTTCTAACGAGACACGACATGTTCGCTTTTTATTCTAAAGTCACTGTATGGAGTACCAAACACAATGTCACATTTTTTTTTTTAAAATTTACCCTTCAGACCATGCCGGGCCGAGCCTCTGGCCCCCACGTTTCACTTTTAAAAACTACATGAGATCGTCCACCTTGAATGGGAATTCAAGTACTTTTGTCCCGCGTACATGCATATCCACGTGATGTCCACTCGTGGGACGGTGACATCATAGCTTCACCCATCTCGTACAGAGTGCGTCCATTCTAAGTTAACAGCCTTACCCAGCTATATACCTGATTCGCCCCACAACTGATTCGATACAAAAAGCATCTTAGCATCTTCATTCACATGTCAGAGAAATATCCAATCGGAACCCGCTTGGAGAGCGAGGATCTCGTTCGCAAGTGGGGGTTCCAGCATATCTTCACCTGGACAGATGGAGGGTGAGTGAACAGGGCACATTCCATGCCCTCCCTTTGCCCCATTTCCGTGATGTCTAGGTCTGCTGGTACACTCATAGGTACTGAAGTACATCTTCGGCTGTATGGGGACTGACATCACGCAGCAACACTCATTATTCTCCGCACACACACACTGGCCTTACGACGCATCTCATCCGGCGAGGCTCTCTAACAATCACTTACCCGGAAGATAACGCCAAGCTACCCAGCGTTCAAGTGAAGAAAGAGACGTTTCGCGTAGGAGAAAGAGTTGATGTCCCGGCTGGAAAGGTTCACGAGGTCTGGATTGGAGATGAGGGCTGTGAGTATGTGATTGGGGAGTAATTTTTGGATTCGGGTTGAGATCTATGGATACAATTCTCATACATGACTGAAGCCTTGGAAATTTGCGTTGAGGAAGTGCTAAAATCTTGATGTTTTGTATTATCTTAAATGAGCCCAGCTCATTGCAAGCGTCTATATGTCTTTTGGGGGAATCTATATCACGACAAAAACCTTCGAAGAGAATCCTAATGCAGGAAACGGAAGTCGACTCTGTTTAAATGTCAGTTCTTGTTCTCATGCTGCATAGTCCCAAGGACTCTGTCACATACCTCTTGTTTCCGAGATCTTTGTTCTCGGCCACATATCTCTCCCTTTCCTCGCTGGACATTTTGTCCCAGATAGCAGTATTTTGCCTGGTTGATGATTAGCCCATGAAATCCGATTCAGTTCCTCTGGTTGAACATACTTGTTGCGCCAAACGTAGTAATACTTGGCAACAATGAAAAGGAAGGCACTCCAGACTGTAATACCAATAAGGACTTTGTTGCCAGTGCGATAATATGGTTTGTCTTCGGTGCGGTAGATCTGCGGGGGTTAGTTATGGAATCCATGGGAGTTGGCGAAGAACTCACGTTATTTCCAATAATGCTGCTGGCCTGGACCATCATGTTATAAACAGCAGTTGCAACTGTCCGCGTTCTCACAGAGCCAGCATTTCGAGATGTGATTGCGACAATAATAGCATGTACGTAGGGCATACCGATCAGCATGATCAGCAAGACCCAACGAGCCCAGGTACTGGCACCTGCGGGCAGAAGCTCCAAAGCAATGAGCAGAGCTAAAGCCCAAATCTCCGCACCGACACCAAGAAGCAATCGTTGATTAAACCGCTCAGAAAACCATGTCCAGATCAACAGATTGACGATAAAGATGATATATGCCGGAATGGTGAGAAGGTTGGTGTGGAAAGTACTGAAGCCGAGTGACTTCAGCTCCAAACTGATGTACGAGGTCGCTGGGGTGTTGGGGATCATCCAAGTCAGACCAAGAAGGTAGATGACCCACATATCGTAGTCCTTCAAGGCTTGCCAAAGGAGCTTAGGAGTGACGGCTTGACGGTTGTGCATGGTTCCCTTGCTGGGATCGTCGCGCAGCACGCGATTCACCATGATTTTCTCTTCGTGCTCATTAAACCAGCCATCCTTGCCACGGAACCGACCTGCGGTCTGTGTGGGAGAAGGCGGCATCCAAGCTGCTGCAGCGATACCAATCAAGCCAGTGATCAGACCTTCTAAAGCAAATAGGTACCTCCAGCCTCCGGTTCCATCCGACTGTCGGATATGGAGGAAGCCGAACGCAAGGAAAGCGCTGACAATGGATGTCGCCTCATATGTAACCCAGAAGTAGCTGAGACGGATAGGCAACTCCTTGGATTTGTACCAGAAAGATAGGAAAAGGATCGTGTCTGGAATGAAACCACCCTCGATAAGGCCGAGCATAGCACGGGTGGCGAAGAACCCGCTTTTGTTTTGGATAAACGCCTGGCATGCAGCGATGATACTCCAGGTCACCATCTGGACAGGAATCCAGCGGTCGGGCCCAAGCCATTTGGAGAGCAGTTGCGAAGGCAGTTCAGCGAAAAGGAATGTCAGATAGAAGATAGTCTGGCCTGTGTTGTAATCGTTTGTGGTCATTCCGAGGTCGTCTAACATATTATCAGATGTCGCCTGGACGATGTTTCCTCGGTCAAGTTGGAGCGCGAAGAAAGTGACGCAGGCGAAGGTGCAGACGCGCCAATCGATCTGCGAGAGTCAGAATGAAAAACATCCGGTCTTTCATCTGTTCCACATACCTTTTTCACGACGGCTTTCTCCTCTTTTTCTGTCCATTCGAAATCGGGATCCCAGCGATGAGCACCCTCGTATTCAGGGATGGGTTTGTAATAACGTGGATCCTCAGTGGTGTCAAAGGCACAGTCTACCTTTGCAACTTGCGCACGAGGTCCGTCATATGCAGACGACGATGAAGACTCTGCGGATGAGACTGTCGGTTCAAGCTTTGATTCCGTGCCGCGGGTAGCGGATCCCGTATCCTTGGCTTCTTCGATCGCCATGTTGCACTTTTCAAGGCCGGTGCTCAGATCAAAGATGGATAGATGAATCTAGATGGGGACATCACTCTATAAAGGCAGGAAAATGATACTGACGTTTTGGTATCACGCCATATGAGGCTTTTGCGTTGGCCTCGGTGTATCCACGCGTGCAGGAGAAGATTCGCGAATAGGAAGGTGTCAATCCAGTCTAGTAAGATGTGCATGGGCAATTGAGGGTCCTAATTGCGATCCATTCAGGCCCACATGGTGAGCTTCTATGTTTTGGCTACACTAGAGGCGTAAGCTTGTCGGGGCCAAGGCCTCACGAGAACGCTTGTCGACTATGCATGTCGGCAAGTGTCCGCAGATAAGGCACACTAGGCAATCAGGGACAACCTTTTGAAAGGAGACAAAAATAAAAAAGAGATTCTATCCAGTTGAGAGCAGGCTTGGCTCTAGCACGCAAAAAGAGAGCAAGTGACGTTAGGTTGGACGAGTAACTGCTAGTCGCAGTCTCCACTCTCCATCTCTCGAGGATACGAATACCTCTTTTCCCTGTTCAAGATCTTGTTTTCCTTCGTGAATTCTATGCATTTAATTAAGATTTTCTTATTCTATTTCCAAAGGTTTCGCATCCACTTTAGAATATCCAGTTTCGCTCTTCCACCTGAAGCCCATGGGATTTAGTTTGGGGAGTGTACGCAATCCGACAACATCAGGAATATCACCAGATGGATTATGTATGAGTATTTTTCTTGGGAATATGTCCAATTATTTGAGAGAAGTGTTAGGCAAGTTCAAAGTGAGGCCGAGAGAAAAAAAAACCCTCCGAAAGGCGTCTAGCCAGCGAAACCGCGGGGACTATGGCCGCGATTGGAGCCAAGTACTCTTTGTCTCAGGTCAAGATGTTGTTGCCGAAGTGCTTCGAGTCTCTTTTCGAATCTCTTTTCGAATATCTTTTCGACTCTCTTTTCGAGTTTCTTATTCTGGGGTTCGAGAGAGTTCTTGACACTGCGACTGCGGAGGATTTACTGTTGTTCTGCATCACGCCATCACCAGGGGAATTGACACCAGTCTGAGGTCCAATCACCACATTTTGGTTTCGCAATAATTCCAGACTATGTGCAAATCACGACCTTTACTACTGGACGCACGCCATTTCACATCGGCCGATAGTCGACCTAGGTACCTTCTGTAGTATGTTCACCTACAAGGGTACAACGCTGCTTATACATACGACTCCCCGCAGTCAGGCTCGTCGGCTCCGTCGCTTATACTCCTGATCATCGCGAAAGTTATTACTCCCTACAGTCAATCAGATACTATCCTGTCAACCCCGCAAACATGGCGCAATTCGTGTTCCTCGGATCGGGTGTGCCGAAATATGTATATAAACACACACTTCCTGTGAAGCAGGCTTTGTAAAGGAGAATCCCTCTGGGCGTTATAAGTTAACTCTTTCGACAATCTTATTTCAAATCCTACACCTTTAATTCTTGCCATATCATTATGGCCCCCGGTCTTACAGAGAACGTTGGCCTACGGGCTCCAACAGCAGTGGTGCCTCTGAAGTCAGAGGCTGGTCACAACAAGGAGAACTTGATCGGCTACAAATACGAAAAAGACCATGAGATCAAGGGAACAGACAAGCTGCCACCTGCTACTTATCCGGAATATCTTCCCGTGTGGGATAATGAAACAGAGAGGTACGTGTGATGCAGCATAGGTCCGGTTCCTCGAAGAAGGACATTTGGGCTGACCATTTGGAGATATGCCCCTCTCGAATTATTTGAGCATTACGACCATGGAAAGGACGCCGATGCTTCTTTCCCCGACCTGTTTCCCCAAGGCCAAGCTGATATCGATGAGATCACACCTTTTATTGGGTCTGAAGTGAAGGGCGTACAACTTAGCCAGCTTTCTGACAAGGGCAAGGATCAGTTGGCCCTCTATGTTGCACAGCGTCGAGTTGTTGGTATGCATTCTAGGAAAAGAAGCATTTCTGCAATACATTAAGCTAACCACGAGCAGCCTTCCGCGACCAGGACTTTGCCTCACGGCCCATCCAGGAGGTCGTCGACTACGCGGGATATTTCGGCCGTCATCACATTCATCAAACATCGGGAGCTCCCAAGGGCTTCCCAGAGGTCCATCTCGTTCACCGTGGCGCCGACGACCGCACGGGTGCCAAATTCCTAGAGCAGCGTACCAACTCTATCACCTGGCACTCGGATGTCACATTTGAGAAGCAGCCCCCCGGCACCACCTTCCTGTATTTCCTTGACGGTCCTACAACAGGCGGTGACACCCTCTTCGGCGACATGGCTCAGGCATACAAGCGTCTGTCGCCCGAGTTCCAGAAGCGTCTCCACGGTCTTAAGGCCGTACACTCTGGTGTTGAGCAAGTGAATGCCAGCCTGAACGGCGGTGGTATCGCTCGCCGTGACCCAGTCACTTCGGAACATCCCATTGTTCGGACACACCCCGTCACTGGTGAAAAGGCACTCTATGTGAACCCACAATGTGAGTCAATTGTTCCTTTCTGACGGTATGGGATCCGTTACTGACCTTTTATCAGTCACACGTTACATCGTGGGATACAAAAAAGAGGAGTCAGACTACCTCCTCAAGTTCTTATACGACCACATCGCTCTTTCGCAGGATACACAAGCCCGCGTCCGCTGGAGAGCTGGCACTGTTGTTGTCTGGGATGTAAGTCATGGGAGCCATCGAAACAGCACGGGAGAAACATTTTCTAATCTCATGCAGAACCGTCTCGCGTGTCACTCAGCAGTCTTTGACTGGGAGGATGGCCAGCGCCGACACATCGCCCGTCTCACGCCCCAGGCGGAGCAGCCTTATGAGACTCCATTCGATGGTTGAGCAGCCATCGGAGTCGAGACCTTTACGAGCCAGGTACCACATGACGACAAGCGATATTGATAGTTTAGACAAAAGAATGAAGAACACTCTTGTCTCATTGACGTTCCAACATAGATAGTCTTGTTGTCGTGCATTATGTACATGCTCAAGCCGGCCAGGGGGGAAAGATAAAGGGACCTCTTCCCCAATGATTGCCTGCTCAGGTGGAAGTCAGACTTGCAAAAGGCGTTCAAATCCGAATGCCGCTCTGTTTGAATGTGGTGTGGACACCTGATATTTTGAGAAATGTCATTTGATATATAGCACAATAGAAAAAACCAATCAGTGTAATAATACATCCTGGATGCTGATAAACCAGGTCTATCCAATACTCAATGCAATGTAGAGGCGGTCCACCTCCCAAAACAGCCCCGAGAAATACAATCGCTTCCAGGCACTCCATTCGAAAGCACACAAGACATATATGCCACGAGCTTACAGACCACGAAGGAAGTTAGACTCCTTAATGGACTTTCGTCGGGCATCTCGTGCAGTCTTGATGATCTCCGAGCGCTGCTCGAAGCCACCAGTGGCATCGGCCATGGCGTCCACAGAAGATCCATCGCGGTTGTAGGATGCGGGTGTGATATCGTGGGCGTGGTGGTGGGCAGAGACTTGAGCAGTCAAGGGGCCAGTGCGGGCGGCCAGCTTCTTCTCATAGCGCTTCCTTTGCTTCTTGTTCAAAGCTGCCACGGGGTTAGCCTCCTATAGAACCGAGGAACAATGATATGGTAAAACGTACTGCTTGGGTCAACACCACCCTTCTTGGTCTTGTTATCAGATGAACTGCCCAAGAGATTCCAGAGCCAATCCGGGTACTCGGAGTCCTCCTTGGCAAAGACCTCGGGCTTGTTCTTGAAGTAATTGAGTCCGTTCAATTTGGTTCCAGCCACGCAGCTGCTGGGTTCACGCACAGCGGTGGGCTTTGTGGATTCTGCGGGGTTGACATCAACGTGAACACCTTCGGGGGTGCTCAAAGGCTGGGAAACACCGGGGGTAGCGGAGGAGATGGCGGATGGAGTTGAAAGATCGCCGACCGTGGGCTGGCGGGGAGCAGGAGGAGAAGGAGTGGCTGCTACAGAGGCATTGTTGTCACTGCTGTATGCCCGGATCTGATTGCGAATCAAGGGAAGCTGGCGTGTGGTTGCTGAGGCTGCCCGGGTGATGGGCTGGCTGAACCGGGACAACATTGTGGTGCGGCAACTTCTGCAGATCATTGAAGTGGGAATTTTGGAAAGCGATTGATATGTTTTGGTGAGAAGTCAGTGGATATCGTCCAGCTGAAAACACTCGACGTTCAAAGACCCTGATGGCGGGGAATATTTGTCGAGGATCGCGTACAGCCTGTCGCAGTTTTCTGCGGCCGTATTAGATGCCAAGACGGAGATCAACAATCACGTGACCGAGATCGCCAGCATTACTTCTCAAAGTTGGTGGACTTGTTTAGTGATGACCTTGAAAAATAGCTTCAAAGAACACCCAGATGATGCGCGTCACTAATACCCCTTCATGATTTTCATCTCCCGGCGCCCCCGACATAGACTCACACGAATCCAGATCACGTGACAATATTACATCGCACTTGGTGCCTCAGGTGTCTAACGGGGGTTCTCCGCACCATACGACAACCACACATCTTGGTTCCTACATCATCCATTTTACGGAGCATCGTCGAAGAAAATCAGTATGGTATGGGAAACTTTTTGTTCATTTCGCTTCTCGCGGCGGGAAGGAAGAAGTATATGGATGACTATACACCCGCGAAACAAAAAAAAAAAAAACAATCGAGAAAGCTCATAACTGATGCAACTCTAAGCAACATGCCAATGCAAAACAGAGAATGCAGAATCATTATACCGAAACACATGCTTCCAAAGCGCCTTTGTTCCGAGGAGCAGGTATATTAGGAACAGGCAAACAAGACAAAAAACAAAACATTACAGAACATTATTGTCAAGCGTTGACAGGTTTTGATGACAGGCCACTGACATCCAAAAAGTTGCAGATATCCTGGCACGCATCCTTCAAACTCTTTTCTGTCTTCCATTGAAGCTCCTCGGTAGACCGGTCAACAACTGCGACACAGGCTCCCACATCGCCTTCACGACGAGGTGCGGCCCGCCGGGGAATGGGTTTCTCGATGACGGACTCCATAGTGCTGACCACGTCCATGACGGAGTTTCCTTTTCCAGTGCCGAGGTTGAACGTACGGAAATTCTCAGATAGCTTTCCTTCGTTGGCAGAGCTCAGGGCCGCGATGTGCCCACGGGCCAAATCGCTCACATGGATGAAGTCGCGGACAGCAGTACCGTCCTCAGTCTCCCAGTCTGTTCCAAACATCGAAAGCTCGGAATATTGGCCGGTCATGACCTTGACAACAACCGGGAGCAGGTTGGTCGGTGCCTGTCGCGGGTCCTCGCCCAACAGACCGGACGAATCACAGCCGACGGGGTTGAAATAACGAAGCGCAACAATGGTCCACTCGGAATCCGAGGCAGCCAGGTCCGCTAGGATGGTCTCACACATCCACTTAGTGCGTCCATATGGGTTGGTGATTCCAGTACACCCTGGCTGGATTGCTTGTTGTGTACCTGCAGCATTGGTGTACAACTCTTCCTTGTGTACACAGAGTTCTTCTTTCAACGGCAGACCTGAAGTTGCAAGAGTGCCGTATACAGTGGCGGATGAGGAGAAGATGAACGTCTTGATACCGAAGTCTCCGAGGGTGGTGGCGAAGTCAACGAGGCCGCTGACATTGTTGTTGTAATACTTCAATGGCTTGCGAATGCTCTCTTCAACGGCTTTGTAAGCTGCAAAGTGGATCACTCCAGCGATCCGTGATTTGGGAGTTCCCCAACGAGATGACACCCGGTACTCCTCAAGGAGCGGCTGAAGAGCCTTGGAGTCACGATAGTCGTGTGCATGCAAACGCAAAGATGGCATCTTGGTGCCATTCTCTTCATGGTGCTTCTTAGCCAGTGTGCTAATACGATCGAAAACGACTTCAAATGAGTTGCTGAGGTTGTCAATCACAATGACATTATAATTGGCCTTCAGCAGCTCGAGCGTGGTGTGACTTCCAATGAAGCCAAGGCCGCCAGTGACCAGAATGTGGCTCTCGGAGGGAAGTCTGCGCAACAAATCGCCAAGATTGTCGAATGGGTCTCCAGCCTCAGTCGCAGGCGTATCCAATGCAATTGGAGATTCAACGGGGCTGCCAGTGTTGGACCGCTGAGGACTGTCCGACCTCGAAGAGGAGATTGATGTGGAGGCAATCATGGTGGCAGATGAATAGATACGTCTGTTTATTCAACTGTGCTGCCTCTATGAACAAAGAAAGAGAGTGCTCGCTGCCTTTTGGTCACGACGGAGATGTCCTGGGCAGTTCAGCGGGCCCTCAACCAAGGTTTTATACAAAACAAGCGAGGTGAGAACGTTGCCTCACTCGGACTCTCCGTTTTAGTTCATCTATTATGCCATCATAGCCGGACGAATGAGGAATGAGCACAGTCCCCCGCCGGCAAAATTGGAAACGATGAAAACAAAACGAACAAGCATAAGCGGAAAATAAAAAAAGAACAAAGAGACCGTAATAGGGGCAGAACACAAGCAAAACTGGTACAGAGCCATCGGGCAGGATCCCCCTTGGTGGGCCAGCCATGCGGCTGGGCCTTGGGATATCATTCTGTGCATCGAAATGCCCTAAGTGCCTCCACCTGGCGGTACGTCAAGGCCTCAGCCCGAGCTTATTGACCCCCCAAAAAATGAAAATAAATGGCATTATTGTATTTTACTCTTTCATTTTTACTCTTTCTATTTTCTACGTCTCATCCAAGACCCTTTCTGCATGTGGTCGAGACCCCGGGTCTATTTCGGCCGGTGCATGGACACTAAGTCTTGGAAGTGTTCACCAGGTGCAACTTGCCCCGATCCCATTCATTTTCATTTTTCATTTTTCATTTTTTTCATTTTTCATTTTTTTTCATCTATTTTTTTCCCAGTCTTTTTTAGTTTGCCTCTGTCAAGGCCGATGGTCTATTTACTTGAATTGTAGCATCCACTTTCTACTCATTTCCAAACTTCTTTTCTATAAACCAATATGTCCGACACCCCCGAAAAACACGTGAGCAAGCGCGGATGTCTTAAGTCGAAGCGCTCTCGTTTTCTCTTGGCAATTGTTGTTCTCATTGTGATTATTGCTGCCGTCGTTCCCCCCGTGGTCGTCACATCTCTTCGGAAGAAGAATAACAGCATGGGCCCTAAAGCGAAGGTGTTCGTTCCACTTTACGTGTACCCTGCTCCTGAGGCGTGGTCCCCGCTTGAAAATGTGTATGTCTAACCCTTTTTGCCCATCTCAAACTCCTCCCCCAATTTCGCACTCCCCGATCCGATTCTATACCAGGCGGCCGGTAGCCCGCCACATAGCATGGGATTATGCGCCGGACCATCACATCAAAATAAAAAGAAACAAGAAACTTTCATGGAAAAACAGCTACTAAGCGCCGCAGAATCTCTGCCCACCCTGATGTCAACTTTACCGTCGTAATCAACCCAGGGAATGGCCCGGGACCTGACTCCCTTCCCGATGCCAATTACACTCGCGAGATCCCGAAGCTCACTGCTTACGAGAACGTGCGTGTTTTGGGCTATGTTCACACCACATACGCAACACGCAATGTCTCCTTGGTTCGCAAGGATATTCAGACTTACGCCGACTGGCCGACCAATTCCTCAAACCCCAACCTTGCGGTTCGTGGAATCTTTTTCGATGAAACTCCGCAACAATACGAGCCTCAAACCTTGACTTACCTCCAAGGACTGACGGACTTCGTCAAGGACCTGAAGGGCCTTGGCCCTAACCAATTTGTGAGTTTAATCATTCCGAGACTCCATTATTTCACTTTACGACCATTCTTTACCCCATACGATACGCCTCCCTGTGTCGCACCATATTACTATAATTGTTTTTCCTCCTTTATTTTTCATGCTTTATTTCTCTGGCTTTCTGCTTTCCTTGGTTCTTTGTGAGACTAAAATCTGTTGGAGCCACTCATTGTCCACACCGAGCTGCGTCATACTATTCTTGTCTCAATGCAGAACTCATAGGCGAAGTCCATTATACTAACATGAGCTCTTCAGGTCGTCCACAACCCCGGTGCTGTCCCTGACTCCCGGTACCTGGCAACAGCCGATTCGACCGTCGTCTTTGAGGCTGCTTACGACACTTTCCAGGAACGACAAGGCGCCAAGTTGTTCACTGATATTGCAGACAGCAATCGTACCCAACTTTGCGCTATCCTGCATTCTGTGCCCGAAGAAATTGAGGGCAAGTCACTTCGCAGTCTCGTCAAGGAGGTGCGGAAGGTCGCCGATGAGGTATACATCACCCATCTAAGCACAGACTACTATGCCTCCTTCGGGGACAAGTGGGCCGAGTTCGTCGATCTGATGGCGGCTTAAACCCTCTAACCCTCTCTCATGATGACGAATGACTTGCTTTAGTTTGATGTGCGTTGAAGGAAATTGGATCAAGTGCAGGTGGACTTGTGCATATTGCATATATGGTACAACGGTGCATGTTTTTGAACATTCTTTTTAGCGATTCTACAAATTGGTTTCTACTTTTTTGTCAATAAGTTTCAGCAGAAGTCGATAGCCACAATTCAAGAGCTAGCGATGGAAAGACCCCTCTTTGAACCTTTGGATGATACACGTCCAAGGCCCACTCTTAGAGGTATGCAATTAGGTGTGGAGATTACGGTATTGTGGTAATTTTCAATTGTTGTTTTCCTGCTGTCCTTCCGCGATGCCAAGACATACTTGTACAATTTACTGTCTACCCCTGGACCAATCGCTGCGCGCCTTTGCCACCACTCACGGAGAAACTGTCGATTGGACGTGTGTCCTTGAAAACTTTTGGTTGGTTCGTGAAGAACCTGTTCAAGAATGGATCTAGTTGGCTTTAGGGGAGAACATCTGGCTCCAAATTCATACGAGTAAGTTCTCGATCTAGGTCTCGATACGAGCCATAAGCTTACCATGGCTGAGCTTGCCTTGTTCACGGCCTGCGTGGAGTTTAGTTCTTATGAATATAATCATATTGTATAAAATCAGACACCTTCCTTTTCTGGATCACGATCCAGACCAGCATATTGAAGATGTCTCTGAGTTACCGTTAATCCGATCGATCCGTGAGACCTGCAGATAGCGCCCTGTACGTTCGATTCCAATGCTGCCTCGAAAATGCGAATGACTCCCAAAATAGCCCTGCAGGTCTGGCACCGGGCGGTCTTGGCAGGGTATATTGTACCACCGCCACCGTTTCATTCCTCGATGGGCATCATCCGTTTTCAAGATTGCGAAATTTTCATCTGGAACATCCTGAGACAAGGTCCTAGCTACACTTCTAAGCTACAGACTCAGATAAAGTATGTTCAAAGTGCATTGAATACTCAACTAGGGTAACATGATCAAACACTGAAACCCCAAAGTAGGACATGGCATTGACCAGAAACTTCGGAAATTAGCATTAAGCATTGGCATATGTCATCATCATGCATTATTGGCATAGCACGATACAACGCTGCACTGAAACAGGAACCATATGACTCCCGTAACTATGTATGTACAACGTGGTCTGAGTGCAGCTGGGTCAGATTGCAAGTTGGACCTGTCCCTTCCCAGAGGGAATGGGAGTCATATTCCAGGAACCAGGCCTGCGTGCAGGTGTATGTTACACTAAGACATGACTCGCAGCTGCTGATATTGACGTAACAATTCTACTTTAGTAAGAATTAGCTGTTCTCTATCCCTTTGACCGGCGGAATATGCAATAAACAAACGCTATTATCGCGGACAGTATTGAAACTCAGGCCGACCATGATTTTAAATGCATCACCTGCCACCATGCAAACAAGATCTTCCCTGGTGGCGTGCTGCATGGACTTTCTGCTAGGTGCATTTGGAATGAGCCAGCTACACCCCATATCCCTGTTCTTCAGCTCAAAAGTATCAACTATATTCCGGACTCCGTACGTGACATACCCCTGGAACTCACCGCCAGTGGCGGAAGCCACCAACTCGTGGCGTAGCCCGGGTATTTCGGGACAAATATTGGCACTGGCGTTTCATGCCTTGAGTGGCTGGAAAATGTTAGATTGAATTTTAGGGCACATTGCTCTCTGGTCAATACCGCAGGGAGCTAAAATAATGTGAGAGCAATCTTATGTGCTCCTCTGGTCACGCGCGCGAGGCTTCGGCCTAAACAGTTGAACGACCAAAAGGAGTCGATCCCTGTCTTCGGACCCATCAAACCAAAGTACAAGCGCCAAAGATCAGCGTTTGCAGTGCAAATGAAGAAGTTTAGCGTGCGGTGTGGCTGGGGCGCGATCTGTTTTGGATATGAACGAGTGGACACGTCTAGATCGGAATCTTTGACGAACTGCTTGCCTGTGCTTCCAGGCTTAAGGTGTGGGGCGGCGATTGAGTTCGCATGGCTGTGATATGAGGATTTGAAAGTGGCGAAAAACTCCAGAACCTACTTTCAAATTTGAGACTGGGTAATTCAACCGCTTTTTGGTCAATTGAGATGGAGTGCCCGGTGTGGAAACCGAAAAGATGGACTAGCGGAGCTTTTTCCATATGAGATCACGCTATTATCTCGCTTGCAACTTGAGAATGTGAATTTTCACTCGAGCACAAACCGTGGCGCAGCTGCAGAATTCCAGTACCGATTAGGTGGGGACAAGCCGCCCCGTTCAGGTCCAGCGACCAATCACTCACCCCCAAATAGATTGTGTTTGGGGGTTCGCCAGGAACCGGGGAGATCCGCTCGGGAGAGCCCCTCGATCTTAGCGCTTGTGTTTCGCCAATGGCCACGCGGGCCGAGCTTCGCTGGTTCGGGTCAGGTGTATTCATTTCGCTAGAAAGAGTTAAAATGAAATATAGGAAGAGTAAGGTGCCGACCGGCATTGCCGATCAGATCGGGGAGCGGGAGTTGGTGCTCACCGGCCTTCACATCAAGCTATCTCACAAGACCTGTGCGGATTTTCACTTGTCACGTTATTCAATGCTCCGTATCTGGGAAGAGTATACTTCAACAGAGTTTGCTCAAAAAGTAGCCAGAGAAAAGCACGGGTACAGACTACTTGGTACTTATGGAGCACAGAGAACACATCAACGTGAAAAACCATCGTACTCCGTATTTGCTGGTCAACCCCGGCGGATTATGCAAGGGCACCATCCCGCCAAAACTCGGGAATAAAGGCCATGCGCAAAAAAATACTCATACATAATACATTGGCGGACTATATTTTAAACAATTGAAAATTACGATGCACTTTCGAACTAAGTTTACCAAACATACCGGATAGGTCCGTTTCCCCATACCCGATGGACTGGTGTATTTCAACCATGTTCTTTGCTAAAACACACTAAACGAAAGAGCTCTCGAACTTCACCAATCACATTAGGGGTCGAAATACGGTGCATAAATGCCCAGACTGCCAAGACTAGCAAACAACTCGATCTAGTCTGCCGATGGGAATATCATTAACTCATCGGCCTTCTCCTCTCCGCGATTCGGACGCTAGGATAGGACTGCCGGTTTGAATTTGCTTTCTTAGATGCTGATCAATATGATACTATGTATACTTTTTGGGTAATGTTTGAGAGACATCCATGGATTCGACAAGGATGAGGTCTTGTTTACCGTTCGATGTGTCCACCCCGAAAAAGAATTTAGTCTATACGAGCGAGTCCGAGGACACAAAGCGCAACGTAGAATAACTAAACGAATACCAAAAGGTACTTACTTATGTCCACGCGAGGGGATCGAAAAAATACAACTATCGCCGGATGGCTGACCGGACACAAAGACCGGTCTTGGCACCCTAGCCGCTCACTCTTCGAATGCCCGGCCACGGCGGAAACGGACCATGCCGGAGCTTTGGTAATTAGGGGCCTTTGAGCTTTCACTAGCCGCAGAGAATGTACGAGTAGTCATGGTGGGCTGTGGCTCTGGTAAAGCGCTAGAAATACGAGAATTTTGCGCCGAGGATGGCGCTGCTCGGCGGTTCTTTTGTGATGAGCTCCTCATTTGGGCTTATATGGTGCCAGTAACGTGTGCATGTCAATGACACCATGAGTGGATGGGCTTAAACTGGGCTGGCTGTCAACACTAAGGGAAGGCGTTGGGCGACTATTGAAAGCGCTAGTGATCCAATTCTGGTGACATATAGCGATTCTGAGTCTGCATTGGTTTCCAACTTAGCGAAGAGATGATGTGTTTCTCACTAAGGCGCTCTTACATCCATGGGATTCCGAGCTAGAGCACCATGGTTCTGTTCGCTGTCAGTGTCTACCAAAGGCAACAAGAACCGAAGCCGAGAGGCTTAAGGCGTCAATGGGAAAAGCTTCGTCTTGCTGATTTTGGAAAATGATGACATCAAAGTTCAAGTGCAGACCGTGGCACGATTCATTGGGTATCTGGATATCATGCACTTCGTAGCGACCTGCCCATGTTCACATTTGAATTGGCTCAAGGTTTTTCTAATCGACAGGAGTATAGCGCACAGTAACGAAAAATGAAACCGGAAACATAACTTAATATTACTTATACATGCAATGCCACTTCAAGGTGCGGAGTAAATGTTCTAAGCTCAGCGTGCGCTCAAGCTTGCCATGTTAATCACTGGGGCAGTACTCAACCCAGTTATTCAAGTTCATGTTTTTGATAACAGTGGAGAAGTTTCCAGCACCAGTTGCTGTGCAGGCAGTTGATACCTGTTTGGCGGTGACAGCATTGTTGTTGTTGGTGGTGTCGCCCTTGGGATATTCGATTTGGAAAACAGGCTTGTCAGCGTCGGTGAACGCCTCATATGTATCACACTCATTGTACTGAGCACATTGCTCGTTGACACACCACTGCATGTTGTCAATGACAGAGGAGATGATGTCGCCGCCATTCTTGAGCCCAACCGACAGTCCACGGCTGTGGGACTGGGATGCAAGCCAATTCACGTACTCGATTGCGTTGGCCTTGGTGAGGCCAAGGCCGTTTTCATTATCATAGCCATCGATATTGTCAGGGTCTACACCGTCGCATCCCTTCTTCACGGCGAGATCAAGACGCTCCTTCATGATCTTGCGGATCTTGGTGGACTTGACGTTGACCCACTTCTCGCCTGGCCAGTCATCGAGGTTGCTGCCCAGATCGGCCTCGTCGAATTCATCTTTATCAACGCGCCAATCCTCGTATGTACCGGCAGAAAAGTAGCAGATGACCTTGCGACCCATCTTGTGCAAATCCGTGATGATGCTAGCCTCGTTGTCGAAAAGATCGATATCGTAAATGGGTGCTTCCACCGAAGTATCGTTGATCTTGTGCTTCAGCACGATCTGCCACTTGGTTCCAACGGCTGGCTGCCATTTGACGGTGGTGTTGGTCGGTGTTGACGTGTCCGTTCCGCTGTCGTCGCTGGTGTCATTGTCGTTATCATCATCTCCGCCCTTGAGACCAATTCCAAGTCCGGCGCCCAGACCGACACCCAGTGCGACGATGACGAAGGCGATGCTCCCAAGGATAAGGACTTTCTTCTTGGTCGACCAGGCCCACCAGCCTCCTTTTGCGAGTTCGCCCATTAGGGTGGACGATGAAGTTGAGTACGGCGATGTGGAGAAGTTGAGGGGTTTTGTATTATGTAGTAAAATCAAGGGAAGAAGATCTGCAAACACCCAAGATATATGAAAACAATGTATGGAGGGGTGGAGTAAAAGAGAGACGTGAAGATCAGCAGGAAATAGATCGGCAGATTGGCATCTTTAAGCTCAAGTCAAAGGGGTCCGAAGTGCCCAGACCGGCGGGGCTGAGGGTGTGGCGATCCTTGCGGTTACAGCGATCGCAAAGACGAGAAAGTTACACTGGGGGAAAAAAAAGCAATAGGCTAAGCCTTGGATAAGAAAAGGAAGTCTGAATGTGTCAGAAGACCCCTAAAATACTCGAATAGGCAGGGGGGAATGGTGATCACAGACAAAGAAAAAAAAAGCAGTGAATGCAAAGGAAATGAGGGAGCCTAGAGGGCGTAACCACAGCCACAGCTTAGGCTTTGCGTTTCTCCCGGGTCTCGGACAATAGGCGAATTTAAGGTGGTGGAACCGTCGCTGATCCGATCTCTCAGATTGCTGCCGAAATTCTATCAATCTGATATGGTGATCTAGTGATCACTTTCGTACTGAGTACAGTAGAGTCATGATTTCTTGAGGGCCGCAAAACCTCGGGAGTTCAGGGGGCTGACAGTCGAATTCCGAATTGCCAAGATGATTTTTGCCGCAGATTAACAAAGGGCGCGTCCTAGCATGCAGCGACGAAAATAGACCAGAGAAAAAAAAAACTGTTGTCGCCAAGAATGACACTATGCTAGAATGGGGTTTCCCATTCCACCATCGGCCCAGAGTCATGAGTCGTGGTATTGAGAGTCATTTTGCATCTACGGATGACCCAATGGTACTCCCTGAATGAACAACGCTCATGATTTAAGCGGTTGGATGTCTTTCCACCTAATGCTCTCAGTTGGAACATTACCAATGATCAAGGTGAACCCAGCTGCATGCGCTGGCAAGCGCCTTAGGTGTCTGCAAATTCGCGGGGTTTGTACGAGTATGGAAAATTCGTAATTTAGCCCTGCGGTATCGGTATCCCACGTAATAATACACAACCCCGAGCACGTTCAGTATTTGCAGGCAACATCTGAGCCCACTAGTAATCTATTCTAGCCTGAACTGGACTAGTCAAACCCGACAAATCTGAGTTTGAAATCTTCTGGTGATCAGTCGACTTGTGAATCAATCTGACTTTCTGCGCTCATCCGGCTGTTCGGATTACATGATCAGCGATGAATTTCCCCTGAACAGGACTGGTCCCGTTTAGGGCCATCATCCGATATTACCTGTCAGTGACCATCCATGGATTGTAGTCACCTCTCAAGTAGCACTGGATTCTTGGACTATACAACTGACTGTGCCTGAGACATTGACCCGTCCTCTAAAGTGAAGAAACATGCCGAGCATCCCTCCTTAATTGTACGATAGATTCTCCATAAGTACCTCGCTTTTGAGGCTAGTGAGCCGAGGATACGTTAAGGGGAAAACAAAGATGGCGCGTGGATCTAGTCCTAGATAACCCAATCGCCTGATTCTTCCTTCCCGCAAATCCGTTGAACGCCACAGCCGCTTCCTGAGACGCGCAATTCCAATTCTCACTCAATACGAGATGATTAATAAGGCCTATTGTCCGAGTTAGAAAGGTTCAAGCTGTACTCCGTACCAATATTGCATCCAACGGCTTCAAAATTGGGGAAAAGGTTGATTGAATACGGATCGCATCAATTTGAGATATCAGAATGCAAACTAAGTTTTTCTCAAGTTAGATGCCTTGGTTATTACGGACAATAGCCACCAAGGGATAACTAATCATTCAAACAGAGCGAAAACTATGTGTCTAGTGTGCGCGCTGAAGTGAAAGTAAGAAAATTAGTGAGAAACCCGATTCACTGCCTGAGTAGCACCAAAAAGCATCCATGGATCACAGGTCAATATCAGCTTTCAGCATAAGTACAAACTGCAATACGCCTGGGCTTCTTCACCCATGCTCTTCCACAATAGTGCCTTAAGTCCGACAAGGACTGGCTCATTTCCTCGGGACACAAGTACTCTGTACTGAGCACGGAGTATATGACTGCATATCCCCGAGATGGCGCCATGTTGTGGGCTGTCATTCCAAATTGGGCGCTGAGCCTCCTCGTATCTGACTCGATCAAGTAATTGACGCATAGACTACATAGGCGAGCCTCGTATCGCCTCCCCCGCGAAGTACCCTATGCACCTTGCATAGAGTGCGGGTTGATGTGCCGAGTACGGAGTACATGCATGCCTTTCTAGACCTCAATGGATTGCGGTGTAACCAGAGAATCGCATGAGCCTCCAAGCTTACAGTAGTAGTTGCATATGGTCAGTAACAGTTTACCTCTGCATCCACATTGATCCGACGCAACTTCCAAATTCTCCGAGGCATCACTTGGCACGGGCTTGGAGTGCTTGGGCTGTTCGGCTTGCGGCTAGGCCGGATGAGTAGTGCGGCAGTAGTGCTGGAACGCGGGATGTTCAGAGACATTTTTGGCTTGGCTTTGTTTGGCCCATATGAGATTGACTTGCCCCATCTTGTCCTTGCCAAGACCGATTAGCTCGCGATGGCTTGGCTTCATCGGCAGAAGAGTTTTTTTTTTTCTTCCATGGGGCGTCACCCAGTAGGTTGCGCCTTGCGAAAAAAACAGAAACCTTGGAAATAATTTCCAGTGCTTGCGATTTGGATAAGTCGGATAGCGCTGTGCCCGCAATTGGTGGTATCTCATATGAGTACAAATAACTCGTAGCCGTTGTCACCATGGAACCTGCAGCGCGGAACTGCTACCCCGTTCCGTTGGGTCAGACTGTCAGATGACGTGTACGAAGAGAAATTGAAGTTCAAAGCAAATGCATCTTTCGGCGGTGCGGACTGCAGGAACATCGAGTAGTGCTCAAGTGCTTGAACTTCACTCTTCGGATTTGTACATCTGAGTCAAAAAGCATCAACTTGAGAACGGTTTTCCAGAAAAAGATCTTTTGCGTGTATATTATCGTTCAACTATACTTGATTTGATCCAGACATTAAGGGAGGGCGTTCAATCTTCGTATCAACAGAAAAGCAGGGTGGTCTCCTTCGCATATATAAGAAATATTATTGACATCCGAAGAGATATCCACAAAAGTAAAATGACAATGAGAAAAAGTTTAGTGATCAACAAGTGTGGGAGAGATGTTGGCCTGCCATATTCAGGCAGTTCAATCATTCCTCAACCTTTCTACAAGGGAATGGGAGAAGAAAGGGTGAAAGTGACAGGAGAGCCAGCGAGCTGAACCCAAACAGTCAAGGGGTCGCTACCGAGCTGTTCGGTGGCGAAGCCCTGGGTGCTGGTAGGAGCAACTGGGAAGGTCACGGGGATGGGATCAGTACAGGTGTTGCCAGTGGCAGAGACAGTGACTGCGGTGATCTGTTTGTTGCTGGTGGCGTAGCTCAGAGCGTAGCCACACTTGTCACGGTTGTAACGAGCCAGGAATGAGGCGGACATCTGTGGAAGTTAGTCAAAATACATCAACTTGAAGGAAATAGAATGGGAATCTCTCTTACCTCCTGGTGAGTGAGAGTGACGATGGGCCACTCAGCCAAACGAATGTATTCCTGAACCACAGTCTCAACCCACGCCTCCATGATGGACCACTTCTTGGACACGCCGTTGATGGTGATTGGGTCAACATCGATATTGCGGAGGTTGGCCTGGTGGAACATGTAGCTGTCGTGGTAAAGACCGAAGAGGTGGCGCATGGTGTCAGCCTTCTCAGTGGCGAGCAGGTCGGCAAATGTGCCAGAGCCAGCAGAAGTGTTGATCCATTCGAGCAAAGTACAAGCAGGAGTGTCACAGTTGTAGTAAATACGGGTGGCCCAGCGGGGGTTGACCTGAATACCATCGAAGCCGTTGTTGGCAACAGTGGTGAACAAAGGCCACATAGCGTTCTCGGTGTTGAGGAGAGCAGAGCGAGTGTTGTCACCGACACAGTTGGTGATGCCGTTTACCCACCAGGCACGAAGGGCGTCACCGTTGTGCAGACCAGTGATAGCAGGAGGAATGATACCGTTGGAAGTGAACTTGGTAGCCTTGTCAATACCGACAGCCTTGAGCCAAGCCTGGTTGAAGCTGATCTCCTTGTAGACATCACTGTAGGTAGCGTTGTTCTGTTCTTCGTGGGTGAAGGTGTGGGAGATGTGACCAAATTTGTTGAGGTTGCTCTCGTTGGTCCACCAAATGAGAAGCTCATCCATGGCGTTACAGGCAGACGTCCAGTCATAGGTGGTAGGGGTGGTAGGCCACAAGTCTTCACCAGTTCCAAGAGGCTTCTGGAACTCAAGTGCAGTGTCAGGGGGAGAGTCGTACTCGATGGCTGCACCGCAGGTCGACCAACCAGCATCAGAGCTGTCGGAAGAGTTCTCAATATTTCCGTTGCCGTTGTGACCAACTTCAACGAAGTAAGAGCTGCCAGCAGGCATAATGGAGTTGATGCTATCAGTCCAGGTGGCAACGTTAGCCAAGTCCTGGGCGCGGATACGGAAGTTGACACCAGCAGGAGAGTAAAGCTCGGTCTCAAGGAACATGTCATCAATCTGGGTGTTCAGGTTGACACGACGGTATCCAGCGTAGAGACCACGAGTGATCCAGGTAATCCATGCGTGCTGCAGGTAGCTGGAGGTAGCACTCCAGGTGGTATCAAATCCAATGAAGAAAGCCATCTGCTGACGGCCATCGAAGTCGTTAATGACAGCGGCAACACTGTCAGAAGTGAAGCCAGTGGTGGCAGCAAAGGAGGCAATTTGCTTGGTAGAGGTAGTGTTACTAATGGTGGCAGGGTAGTGCCACAAGCCAGTAGTGCTTACACCGGCACCAGTCTTGAGACCAGCAGTAGGAAAGTCGCTGGTATCAGTGAAGGAAATAAGCTGCTCAACACCTGTGTCACAGCAGCCTCCGAGGGCACTAGCACCATAATTGGGGCCTGGGTAAACATCATATTGTACCATGCGAACGCCATACTCGATCTGATAGGCGTAAAGCTGGTTCCATTGATCAGTGGTCAGAGCACTCTGGAAGCCTGTGGCACCATAGTCGTAGCTGACTTCAGCTGCAACAACAATACCACCGAAGTTACCACCAGCGGTGCCGTTGAGAGCTGGAAGGGCAACACCGCCGGAGGGGACAATGAGATGGGTAAAGGGGATACCGTATCCGTTCAGACCAGAGCTAGCGACACTAGCTGAGGCGGAGTCTCTGGCGATAATCAGAACGTTCGCCGCAACGGCGGCGTGGGCGAGCGGTGTGGCCGAGGCACTTGCCGAGATGGAGACAGCAGAGGAAGACATGCTGGGAGTAGTCACAGAGATGCTGGAAGATGCAGGTACAGAGGACACAGCCGAAGAAGAGATGGCCGAAGAGGATGACACGTGAGAAGGAACAGTTGAGGATGAAGCAACAGATGATGGAGCAACAACCGATGACGAGGAGGCAACGTGCGAGGAAGCAGCGGAAGACGAAGCAACGGAAGACGACGCAACGGAAGACGAAGCAACGGAAGACGAAGCAACGGAAGACGAAGCAACGGAAGACGAAGCAACGGAAGACGAAGCAGGCAATGAAGGTACCGGGCTGCTAGAAACAGCAGACGAGACAGGGATGCTCAGAGAGGAGCTTCCTGATGGGAGGTTTGCTGAAGAAGAGACACCAGTGGCAACAGTGGAGGAGGCCGGGTTGGTGTGAATGGAAGAAGGCGATGAGCTAGGAGAAACACTTCCAGAAGGCGAAACAATGGAAGTCGAAGCGGAGCCGATCACAGATGAGGACCCACTCTGAACAGGGGTGCTAGCTGAGCCCGACGGGACAGTGACAATCACTGAGCTCGAAGCAGAAACCGAGGGAATGGAACCAGAAGAGGTGAGAGTAACGAAAGTGGAAACACCAGGGGTGCTGCTCGGAACAACGGTGCTGATGGACGAACCACTACCAATGGGAGTAGAGGCCGAAACAGAGACGGAAGCCGAGACAGTTGGAGTCAACGAGGGAATAGAAGTGACACCCGCAGTCGAAGTCACTCCAGTACTACTGGGAGTGCTAGAGGGAGTCGAGGTTGGAGGATGATAGGCAATGACAGTCGGCGTACTCTCAGGCCAAACACCTGGGGCAGTGTCGCAGGTTATAAGGCCATAGAAGCAGCCGATCTTCAAGGCCCAGACTGGCACGGCAACCATCTTGATCTTGACCAGGAACAAGCACAGACAAAAATGGGGGGTCACACAATATGCACGTCGAGAGCACTAACGACTGACAGCTAGGGAAATGCGACACGAAATGCAGAACGAACGGACTTAGCTTGCGTGTGCCACCCCATCAAGTGCATGATCAACACCTTTATAGAGCCCTCGTGGGTCGGCTACGGCACAAAGACCTATCGCCTTTTGTGTCTAACACTATGCTACTGCGAAATTAGATGTAAGATACTTCCGCACCGATCTAAAATCTCACTCGGTGTGTCCACTTGTCTCTCCGTGTGGCGTTTGGCTTCTCTGGAAATGGGAGCATAAGGCTAATTTTCCCTACTGGGGGGGCTCAGATCGGGTGATTTGTGAATGGGGAAATTCGAGAGACATCCGTAGCGTTGGCATAGTCTTGCCGGGTATATCATTGGACAGTCAGAATTTGATCTTGGCAGGGCCAGGTGAGAAATCTGCTGCAGGGGAGGGCCATGGCGTTCGGTGCGAAATTATCATTATTTTTCTTTTCTGCGGAGAGATAAAAATAATTCAAGAGAATAATTAGGGATTGGATTCGACGGAGACCCATAGAGAGGAACAGGAATGGAAAAAAAGCTCCGAGAACACATTGCACTGCATATTGGGCCTTCGGCGCCGCCGCAAATGCCTCTTAAAGCCGAGGGCTCGGGCTTCGTTTGGGGCTCTAACAAATTACGGACAAAGGTGCGCCCAGAGGCGTATTGGCCGGGACCGTCAGGTCCCAACCTTGGCGTGGGGAAATTTCGAAGTGGCTTCGTATTTTTATGTATGGGATACATGTGGTATTGGGATACAGGAAACCGTGTATTTTTCACTTACAAGGTCATACGGTGTTCCCGTCTTTTGTTTCGGTCTCAACCAACACCTTTCCCTTTTGAGGTTAAGCACTTGGAAACCTTTTCTGCTAGCTCTTTGTTGGAATTTCAATTATTTCCATGCTTTTGATTTTTCCATTGCCAAGACCTCACTATTCCCGGTCAGTCATGACCAGCCAGCGCAGAATACTATGGTGATTCTAGCCCGTGCCTCGAGACATGCAACAATTTTCTTCGGGTGTTTTTTTTAGCTTACACGCTAAACAGGCGAAACCCGTCACGGTAGATACATCTCAAGAATTGTCAGGAAGAAAAGACATGTCTTCACAATGGGAATTCAAGGAGTGCGGTCAGGTACCCGTCCCAGTATGTTGGACCGAGGGGTCAATTGCCACGATATGAATCGCATGGCCGTGCCACACATGGCAGCAAACATGCAAAAATTAAAAAGGTTACTTGGCTCCACAAGGCCTGTCTCATCGGCCCTGATGCTCTCTTAGTGGCTTATGGAGCAAGTACTCTCCTGCATCTGACAAAAAAAACTTTAGTGTGCTATTTTTGCCCCGTGGTTTTAAGATCGTTGATTCCATAAACGCCTAGACTTATCCCCGGTTATAGCGACTACCTTTGTCCCGAAAAGTCGAAAAGAGGCGAAGCTACAGCGGTTTTTGGATTTTCTTTTTCACTACCCCCTGACACACCTCGCAGGGGAACCCCGGGAGGCGAACTTACTTGTGTGCTGAACTGAGGCTTGGAGAAGTGGGTATTCACTTGGGCCATCCCCCCCCACCACTCTACCTTATCACTTTGTCAACAAAGCTCCCCTGTGCTCTCTCCCATTCTTTCTACTCTTCTTTGGCTTTTACGACTAAGTCACTCGTTTAATATCGTTATGAGCCAGAGTGCTTGAGAAGCTCTCGTTATTACCTGGGTCAATCATAACCTTGTCACTCTGATTGCACCTAATATTGCGGTCGAGGATTTGCCTCGAAAATGGCGGAACATCTTCCGGTCAGGCCAAATCCCCTTGGCTGGGGATCCATGAAAGGACATTGGTGGCAGTTTGTAAGTTCTTTTCTGGTTATCTTTACAACCAGACGTGAAGCCCGCTCGTGCTCGTTATTCAACCCTTGGAAGCTACAGACATGGACTTGCTAACCGCTACTCCAGGTATTCATTGGAGTCTTGCTGCTCACGATCACTATTGGCTCTGCGTCAATCATATATTCTGGATCCAGACGCTTAATCAAATACTACAAGGTAAGATTAACACATCTACTGTTGATAAATTGATATTCCAGTGTTTCGGCGTTGACTTGGGTCTATCTTTAGTCGAGACCGCCATCAGATGTGGTATCCTCGAGCTTCACGCAGCGTCTGAGCAAGTTGGCCAACCGAGAACTCAACCTAGCCGCCATCCCTCCACGTAAGGGGAAACCTACGAGCTTTGGAGTGTACTTGGGGAGTTTCGAAAATCCACCCACTGCCTCACAAGAAAGGCTTTTGCAAGAATGGGATGTCTTGATTGTGGATCCCTTCCAGTCCGGTGTCTCTAAAGCTATCTCGAGGCATCAGCGCAGTCAAGTTCTTGGACGCGTTGATCTCGCCAAAGTTCTTTCTTCCAAAGAATCCGCCTTGGGGGTCATTGAAAGAGTCGAAGAGCTCCTCGCCAGCAGCTTCAACGAAACCACCTTTTCCGGTATATTATTGGCCAACTGGGAAGATGTACTTCGTCCTACCGCACGGAGAAAGCTGCTTGAGACGATCAGCGACCTCGGCTTGGCAGTATATCTCGAAACAGAGGGACCAACCTTCTTGAAAGACCGAAAGGCCGTTCAAAGCGATGCTGTAGCTGGCCTGGTCATTCGCAATGCCAGCATCATGCCACAGGGTGAGAAACGCGATTATTTCCAAATGAGCGAGCTACAAGCAACTATCAAGGCTTTCGTATCCGAATCATGCATGAGAGACTTCGTGGTTATGGCCTGGGAAACAGTTGATGATGAAGTTACCATTCCCAATGCTATTGTTCGTCGATCTATCCAATGGTGCGGCTTTTACAGCGCCATCACATGGATTGGTCCCGAGTCTGCACTCCAAAATGCCGACATCAACGTTTCAACTCTCGAGCCTCTTCCTGCTTTCGGTTGGCTAAAGGAAGCGGAGATGATGAAGGCCCATGATACCTGGCGTACAAACCTGAATATCATGCCTTCACCGGATGCAAACGATGGCTGGGAATCACTCAAGCCTCTTTTCCCTGGTGTTGATGCGCTACTGGATTCGTCAGAATACAAATCCAAGGCGCCTGATAGTCCAACTGCACGACTATGCGATCCCCCAGAGTGGGTTGCACAGGTCAAATCCCAGGGTAGTCCACTTTCGATCTCGATGGCCGGAATGGCTTACAACTCTCTCGGCTGCTTCCCTCTCGGTTCTGACTCCACGCCACTGGCTTTCGCGGAAATCGTTCAATCTCAACAACGCCTCAAGTCGCTCAACCTACTCCACCCTGTTCCAGCAACGAAGATTCAAAGCATCGGAGCTCTTTTGCGCCAGTTCTATGACTCTCTGGATCGCTCTAAGGATGAAAATCATCTGGCGAGTTCGATCAAGGAACTTGCTCACTGGGCATCTAACGATATGTTACACGTCAACCTTGCGCTCGATTCTGGTCTGCGAAAAAGCTCCGATTTCCGTTTCTGGGCCGTTTTCGAAATGGAGAGTGACGGTATTGAGATTTATGTCTCCAAGAATGCGCAAGGCCTGGCTGGAACTATTCTCCACACTTATCTTTCGGCTAAAGGATTCCCTCGCCATGTCTGCTTTGATGCGGAAGCTACCTTTGCAACCTGGTCGCAGGACGTCTCCCCTGAAACTGGCTTGCCTCGTCGGCTGAGTCAAGATATTGATTGCCTCAGCCCCGAGGAGCGTTTGCTGCTGTTGCAGCATTTGTCCTTGACTGACGTCCACAGCGAGCTGTCTGATGCAATTTGTGCATACATCAATAAACAGCTGGTGGATTCTCCCTCTTTCGCTCAGTTGAAAGCGCTGAACACGGTTGGGTATTTGGAAAATTCAACTTCTCCGGAGGAGTTGATTCAATCTCGGATCGACTGGTATTTGGAGCAAGGTTGTAGCCATCCGTCACTGAGCGTCTCTCTTGACCTCTTCCAACAGGCCGACCGCGTTCTTTCTGACATCTTGAGATATCGCCGTGAAGATGATCTCGCTGCTGTCACGCAGGGTCTTTGCTCTCTCATCCAAGGCGGCTCTGTTGACGCATATGTGGATATGATGGCACTCGCATTGTTCTGTGCTGCGAGGAAGGGCGCATTCGATGAGATCTACGCCGAGGTTACGGATCGAAACCCTCTGTTCAATAACCATCCAGACCAAGCCGCCGCTTTCGCCGAGTCTTTTGCCCTTGGATCCCGCTGTGAGGCATACTTTGATGTATCTCCGAGTGTGTTTGGAAAGCTACTCTCGGGTCGATTCCGGGCCTACTATGGAGACCACCAGCCCCCTAACTGGGCCAATGGCGCTCCTCAACTTGCTACTTCTTATGCAGGAGCGCAAATCGATGTCAATCCCGATGAGCAGCCCAAGGTCATGCGTGGCTACCAGCGTTTTACCTTCCTGAGTGTCTTCGCCATTCCAGCTTTGATTGATATTATCCTTCTGACCATGGTTGGTCGTGGGCTTTATCTTTCTGCTGCCATGACTCACGAAGAGCAGGACAGTGCGACCATGGCGCTTATGATCTCATTGCTTCTCTCTGGTGCAATTGGTACTTGGATTGCATGCGGTGGTCCTTACTATCTCATTTCGATGGCCTTCGCCGCCGCCAACATGTTTGTTCTCATCCGCCTGATCGCCGGTATTGCCTTTACGGTGGCTGGTGGTCTGATAGGTTTCGTTGCCATCTCTGGAGTCCGTGGTCCTCGAGCTGGTATAATCTTCTACCTTTACCTGATTGCTTTGACAATTTACTTCTCGACCTTCGCCTCTCTTGCAAGCTTCAGCTATCCTGGCTCTACCTTTTTGTCCGGCCGCAAGTCAATCATTTACTGCATTCCCATCCTTTTCTTGTCACCAATCATCACTACTTGGGCTGGAAACGACTCTGCCATCTATCTTGCGGTCATATATCTCTTCATCGGTGTGCTCTTGCTTTGCCTGCGAAACGTTACCTCCAAGTGGGTTACCTGGTACCAGAATGTTCGACGCACTGATGACACTGAGATCCGCAAATGGTACATTTCCGCTCATGGAAACGATGATGAAAAGGTTTTTGCTGGACTCAGTGATCCTGCTGCTCTCAAGCTGGCTAGAGAAGCCCTGTCGAAAGAGGTCGTGGCTGAGACCAAGCGCGGCATGTTTTCCAAAGCATCCAAAGACAAGTTGGTCGTTGAGCTCTCTCAAGACTGGGAATCCACCAACTTCTTACTCGATTGGTATTGTCGCCATGCAGATGTGCCTCGCCCTATTCCATTCAGCTCCGGCTGGAACATCCAGACAAAGGTCGCTCTCGACACTTTGCGCAACTCCCAGAAAGGTCTTCGTTTACACAATGCGTTTGTTCACTGGCGACAGTCTAGCAAGGAGATCGGCTGCGGAATCCTCTACTTTGTGATCGCGCTCCTCGACAAATGGATTCAGCTGCTCAGTGGCGACCGCATTCTCGGTCTCACTGGCGCTGTCAACGACGCTAATCGAATGGCTGTTGGCTTTGCCCTCGCCTATTACTTGATAGGAGCTGTGCTCATCGACACCAAGGCTCAGGAACTCCACGATGCTCTTGGTAGTAAAACACCCAACACTGTCAAGTCTGCGAAAGACATCCGTTTGGCTCTCAAGAAAGAAGTTCAACTTCGTCGAAAGGTTTACTGGCGAGTTCTGTTCAGATTCCTCTTGTGGCACGTGTGGAGTCTGGCCCTTGCTACCGCTCTGATCTGGTCATTCCAGGAATCGGTCGAAGGCTTCATCATCTTCTTCTCTTATGTTCTGGCCTATACCGGTTTGATCTGGTATCAATACACGAAGATCTTCACTGGCCCCCACGCTCTCAAGCCGCTCATCGTCGGTATTTGCGTCGGGTTGCCTGTCGGAATTGCGCTCAGAGTCTGCTTGCCTTACTTCTTGTACTCTCAAATTATCGGTCTTGGAAGTGCTACTTGGACTGTTGCCTTCTTATCCATCTGGAATGCCAAGATGGGTATGCCGAAAAAGGTAGACTCGCCAGTTGAGCTTGGCAGGACTTTCCACGCATTCACCACCCCATGGTCAGACCCCGAGTGGTCTCAGCAAGAGCTCCAGACTTTCTTCGAAAGTTACTCGCTTCTACCTGCGGATTCAAGATTCAGGTTGAATCCTGCGGTTCACCCTGCTGTTGAGATCAAGAAGGCCATGCTGGCTCGCAGAGAAGAGCTCAGAATCGAGCAGGCTTTCCCATCCTCAAATGACATCGTGAACTCTGCTATCTCTTCCTGGGAAAAGGGTGATATTGTCATTGACCTGGTCTCTCCTGGTTCTTTGGGCCCCGGTGTTCGTGCGCTGAGTTGCAGCACCGGCAGTCAATTGAAGCTGGCTATCACCGTCGGTGGCCTTCTGGACGAGCGCCTCGATATCAGCGCAAACTGTCAAGTCATTGCTGAGACCTTGCTTCATGCTGTCACTGAATTGATGATGGGCGTTCCTCATGAATACGCATCTCTGGCAGGGTCAATTGTCTCAGGTGGTGTCACGCACACGATGGCTCGGCAGCTTCGCGAGGAATCCAATACCACTACGGTTGTGCGTTGGGCCAAAAAAGAACTACTTCGTCAGTTGTGCCTTGGATTCGAGGCAGACCTTCACTGGGATAAGTTGCCAAGTGAAGTCCGGGATGTGCTGCTCAAGCGTTGCTTGGGACAACAATGCAGCCTTTCTAACAGCCAACGACAGTGGCTTCAGAACAATCTTTGCAACTTCGATACTGATGACCTTGATGTTCATGTCGCCCGTTGCAACCTCGGTGCAGCTACTGCGATCAGTGTTTTGGACTACGCTCATTGGGGAACAGGAGAAGCCGCTCTTCCTAAGGAGCCTGAGACTTCGAAGTACATTTCTTACGTGCCCCGCAAGCTTCCAATTGCTTTGTCAATGATAAGGTCCCCAGCAAGTTACATCTACCACAAGTTGGGAACCATGGTGAAATTCTTCGTGGTGGCTTTGGTCGCAGATCCAGAATTCCAGAGAGAATTCAACCACGTCACTCAGGACCTCCCATCGGTCGTCCGGGTGCCTACGGTCTTCTTGATGAACATGATCTGGGTTTATTCCAAACTTATGCAAGATTTCTGTCTATCATTCTTCTTGTTCCACGGTCGCCAGAATGTCAAGCGCCTGTGGGAAGAGACCAAGGGCATGACGATCCACATCAAGAAAAGCCGAGTCATCGTCCAGAGTCTCGATGGCACCTTCACGGCATTCAGGCACCATGAAATTGACGGAGGCTTCAAGATTTATCACTACGCTGGCGAGCACAAGACCGAGCCCAAGGATGTCAAGTCTCTCAAGTATGTCAGTACCTACACCGGTGAAATGCTGCTTCTCGTCAAGCAGGAATTCAAGGATGGAAAGGTCACCAACGAGTACCATTACGACTACGCCACTCCTGGTAAAAAGGGCTTCAAGCTCGGCAAGAAATCATCTTCTCGCATTCCCCTGGGACGTCGTTGTGTGTCGGGATCGAACCATCTGCAAAGTGTTCAGTATAACCGCAAGGGTCTCATCGAATCCGGTTCCTATATGAAGGATGGCAATCTTATTCGCTTCAAGTACCACTATCGCAAGAACCCCCGTTTCGGCGATGAATTGTTGCGTGCTGAGTTTGTCTTGTCTCACATCAGCTGCACAGTATCTTGGTGTGCGGCTCCACGCCGTCACCCGGAGAAGGTTGAGCGCTGGATTCCTCACTCTAAGGTCACTGAAGCCAGCTTCGTTCAAGGTGCTGATGTCTACGAGAGTCGCTGGCTTTATGATCACAAGTTCCACCCCACGATCTTCACCACTATCAATGGACAGAAGATTCAGACTCCGCCTATGATTGAACACGATTACCTCGGTGTCCTGGCCAAACCCAAATACACCAGCTTTGTGCATGACAATCCTTTCTTCTACTGCGACAGCCTCCAATCAAACCTGCTCACTCGAACTCTGGGGCTTACCAAGAAACGCTTCGTGGTGTCGACTTCCCGTGCTCGCTCGTTGATGTGGAAAGCATGGAAAGATCGCGTGGACTTTGATGCCATCATTGTTCGCTGGATGGATGATCGCATTCTGCGCAGAGACAAGGTTCTCACCCCTTACTGGCGCAGCCGTGACTGGGGTAATCTTGGATCTGCGAAGAAGTATATGGATCTCCGGGCTGATGCGATCATGGCCAGTGCCGACTTGGATGACAACATCTCCAGCTGGACACCTCTAGCTGTGAAGATAACTGACTTGCTCAACTTTGGACCTGGAGGCGATGCTGTTGTCAACACTCGCTCAAAGAACTTTGGCACCGATACTGAGAAGACTCTCCACGTCATGGCAGCCGACAACGGTACTTGGCCCAACGAAGGTGGTGGTGTCTCTGCTTGTCGACGTGATATGATCAATTCCCTTCGAACTATCAAGTGGCACATGATTTGCGAGTCGGCGAACGACTTTGGTGTTCCTAAGCATCAAACCGAGCAGAACATTCAGTCTCTCAAGCTCATCCCTCTGTGGGGAATGGACTTCCTTACGCCAACTCACGGTCTTTTCCATAACAAATTGGATGCTGAGGTTGACAACGTAACTTCTGCGAGCGAGTTTGACATCAAGATGAACTTCATTCCCATTTTGACTGCTCTTGTCAAGGGTGCGCGCGCGGTTCATTTGTCAAAGTCGGATATTCACCAAGCAACACGGGCACTGGTCAACTTGAACACTTACTTCCAAGAGTCCCGTCATTGGACGCAGGTTTGGAACAGTGAGATGGTCAAGCAGAGCTGGCGCGATCTGTGGCTTACCCAAGAAATGTCCAACACTATCCCGTCGTCTGAATGGTTTGATACAGAACTTCCTACCCTGGCAGCTCTTGATGTCGCTCTGGAGCTGTGGTACCGATACCTTTTCATCTTCTCGATTCCGGTTCCTGAGAAGATCCCCTCGACTTTCCAAGCCTCGCACCACAGTGTCAGTGCCTCTTACGGTGTTGTTTGCAAGATCAAGCGTAATTGTACCTTGCAAATTTGGGACCACGCTATCAGTTGGCGTGAAACCAATCTTTGCTTGTCTTCCGCTCTCTGCAAGCTTTCGCCCTTCGTTCGAAACTCTCTTCTGGGATTGATGCGCATTACTTCTGTGTTGACTCTTCATCATGCCGATATCATTCTTCCTTGTGCCGATTTCTTCAATCCCGGTTGGGAAGTCGAGATCGGTACCTGCCAAGGCACCATTGAACATCGCAACACCTTCCGCCGAAAGATCGATCCTGTCGTCAACGGTATCACTGATATGCAGAAGTTTGCTCCCGTCAAGGAAATCAAGTCTGAACGTCCCACCGTGACTATGTTGTCTCATGTGTGGTACGCCAAGGACATCAAGACTGCTCTGCTCGCTGCGGACATCATCATCAACCAGTGGAAGTTTGACGAGTACCATCTAGACATCTATGGTGCTATCGACAAAGCCCCTACCTACTCAACTGAGTGTCAAGAGATCATTGCATCAAAGGGTCTTCGTGGTAAAGTCACACTTTGTGGAACGGCTGATCCAATGAAGGTTTTGGAGAACACATGGCTCTTCCTGAACTCTTCACTATCTGAGGGTCTTCCACTTGCGCTGGGAGAAGCTGCTCTGACTGGTGCACCGGTCGTCTGCACGGATGTCGGTGCTTCGCTGAGAGTGCTCAGCGACCCAGACGACTTCTCTCGCTTCAGTGCTGTCGTGGCACCCAACGACGCTCTTGCTCTTGCGAAGGCTCAGATCGGTATGCTTGCAATGTTGGGCGAATGGAGCAAGCACAGCGAAGACACCTCGCCTGCTCCAGTCCTCACTTCTGCCCCTACCGCGGAAGAGGTGGCAGCGATCACGCGTCGCATGTACGAGAAGAGCGAACACCGTCGCAAGCTCGGCATGATGACCCGCAAGATTGTGCAGAAGTCTTTCAGTGGTGATCGATATCTTCGTGAGCATGAGCAGATGCTCTGGATCGGTAAATCCGCCAAGCTGATGGCCAGTCGCGCTGCAGGCGAGCCTATCGAGCCCGCCGACGTGGCGGCTGCTATTGAAACCGGTGTCGATGAGGAGATCATCACGATCCCCCGCGGCGCTGTGCATTCGTGGCGTTCCTCTGCCCAGTCTGGCATCTCCACACTTTACAGCTCCGCGTCTCTGATGCCTGGTCGTGGGGGTCACAACCGTCCCATGTCGGATGTTTCCTTGATGAGCATGAGCAACATTTCCACCGACACCGAGTCTTTCGCTCGCTTGCCAGTGTTTGCACCAAGGCAGTCCATGATCTCGACTTCGAACTACAGACTGCCTGTGCCTAGTCCCCGTCCACACTCTCACTCCCGCGCTGGATCTTACACACGCTCTGTCTCAACCGCCGGTCGGGAACAGCTGCGTGGTCTGCAACGTGAGGACTTCGCTCCATACCGGAACTCGGATGTCAGCCTTGCCAACAGAGAAGACTTCATGAAAGCTGGTGGGCTTATTCCCGGTGGTTAGCTCCAAGTCTCACACTCTTCTCTTTTCATATTCTCACTTTTTCACTCTCTCGCTCTACGCCTCCCTTCTTTTGCACATACTGGCCTAATGTATACTTCTCATATTGTGATTTTGTTCATATTTGCATTTTTCGGTGTCGGAAGCGACTTTTGGAATGCGCCTTTGAAAATATTTCGAAAAGTCGGCTGTCAATACGTTTTCTTTCTTATACCAGTTCTGTTTTGCCTGTTAGAAGCGTGTTTGATTTCAGGAAGCGTCAGAAATTGTGACATATCCATTGATTACACATCTCATCATAGTTTTAGTCTTAATCACTCAATGCACATCGAGTACGGAGTACAATATGCATCATTCAATCTAATCCTGCCAGACACAAAAGTCTGGGGCTAGACTACTGGCAATTACGGCTCTAGGGGTACTTATAATAGAAAAACAAAGTGATGTTTCCGTTATCGATGCAAAAGAAACTATACAAAAGGCCGAAATGGATATATCAAGAGATAGAGATCAACAGAGTATGCTCATCTCCCCTCAAATAGGCGTCGGTTGCGGACTCGCAATGCGACGCCATTCACCGTTGAACGCATTGATGAGCCAGCTCGAAAGGCCTGTTGTCGACGTTAGTCTTGCTCTTTCTGAACGGTTTGAACTGGTGGAACACAAGGGAGTGAATGATAGAAAGAACTCACGTTCGTAAACAACAGTGTGTGCGTTGTGGAAGTAGATAGAATGATCTGAGTCAGGGAATACCTGCATGTCGTAGTTATCGATATTCGCCAAGTCCAGCTTGTCAATCAAGACCAAGGTATTTTGGAAATGGACATTATCATCGGCATTACCGTGCATGATCAGGAAACGAACATTACGGCCCAGAGCCTCGACCTCGTTGATCGAGGAATTCTCATAGCCCGAGGGGTTATGCGCAGGGGTGTGCATATAACGTTCGGTGTAGATGGAGTCTGTTGAATGGAATGCACTGGTCAGTGATGTAAATCACAATATGCCACCGCAATGACTTACCATAGAATCTCCAATCCGTTACTGGTGCTACAGCCATACCATATTGGAATGTCTCGCCCCCATCCTGTTCAAGCACCTTCAAGGTCATAAAGCCACCATAGCTCCAGCCCCAGATTGCCATGCGGGTTTCATCCACATAGCCCTTGCTAGCCCAGATTTTGGCGGTCTCGATCTGATCGCGGGCTTCGTAGTGGCCAATGTTACCGCGGACGATGCATCGAGCTTCTCTGCCGATGAAGCCTGTACCACGGCCATCCACTGTCACGACAATATAACCCAAATTTGAGGCAATGTATGACTGGAAGTCAATTTGGAACTTGCGATCAACTGTTTGCGATCCGGGTCCTCCATACAAGAAGAAAAGAACCGGGTACTTTTTGGCAGGGTTGAAGTTTGGGGGCCGACGCTCAACCACCTGGAGCGTGTAACCATCAATTGTCACATTGGTGTACACCTCTTCAGGAAGAGAGAACTCGTTGACCATCTTGGTGAGTTTTGAGTTCTCCTCAATTACTGTTTCAAAATCAATGTCGTCGCCATGGGTGTTGATGATGGCTTGCCATGGCACATGGGGGCCTTTGTAGCTGAGTAAACCATACCCGGCTCGGTCGGAGAATGAAACCTCGAAGTAGCCGGGCGCGGTGGTATCAGTCAAAGGCCGAAGGTCGGACCCGTCCAGCTTGACCGAGTATACGTGACGCTGGGTCGGCGCCTCTTTGGTAGCAACGAAGTAGACTAGACCCTTGTCCAGATTCACAGCCGAGGGTGCCTTCACCACTTCCCAGTTGCCCTTGGTCAGCATGACGGGCTTAGGGTTGTCGAAGGGTGTGAAATAGGCCAAATGATCATAGCCTTCATATATAACAGTGTCAATATACCCATCGTGCGGTCGGCCATTTTTGGGGTCAGCAGGAATGACCCGAGTCGACTGAGAAGGCTCAACCCAGCCACCATCAAGAGCCGAGACGTCGTCCGATCGCACGAGTTTGCCTGTTCTGGCCTTGGTGTCCATGACAAAAATCTTGACGACATCGCTCTCTCGGTTAGTCTCTCGAATCAAAACCTTGCCTTCGGACGCCCAAACAATCTCAATGATGATTCTTTCAGCATCATCAAAGTCCTCTGGTAAGTCAAACGAGAACACCTCGTCTTTCTCAACGTCATAGAACTGAAGATTGACGGTTGGGTTCGGGCTGCCTGGCTTGGGGTACTTGATCTGGCGGACCTCGGGATAATTCTCGAGCCCTGGAGGTGGCTCCTTGCCTGAAGGCCGAGAGAGGAAGTACTGCACAGGGTACTCAGGAACGGCTGACTCGTTTGTTCTCAGGAACGCGACAAATTTGCCATCATCGGACCACCACGTGCCCGTGTTGCCTTGGAACACCTCTTCCTCGTATACCCAATCTGGAATACCGTAAAAGAGATCATCGCTACCATCTTTGGTAACGGTAGTGGCTTCCAAGGAGCCCAACTTGCGCAAAAAGAGGTTTTGCTCGCGGACGAAGACAACCGCATCGGATGTGGGTGACCAAACTGCCAACTGGACTCGATCGCTCAAGTTGCCAGGGTCCAACGGCTCAGTCTCCTGCGTGGCGACGTCCAAAATCCAGTACTTTCCAAAGAACGAGTGTCTCCAGTTAGACTGAATATCAGTCATCACCAACACTTTGGTCATGTCGGGACTTGGCCAGGTCTTGAGTGCATGGTACATTTTACCATCGAACCATATATAATCTTTCTTCATCAGCACTCTCGTCTCGAGGTTGTCGACTCCGTCCTTGCTGCTGCGAATATCCTCTACCCGCAGATACGCATCTTGCACCTCGCCTCTCTCTACGAGGAGACCATCCTCGCCTTTCGGGCCTGCAATCCAAGAGATTGCGTGAGACTGAGGTAGCCAGGCACCCTCCAGGATTTGCTTGAGCGTCACAGGATTTCTATGGTCAGCCTCACCAGTCGAGGAAACAGTTGCATGGGTGTTTGATGTGGCAGTAGACGAGATGTCTGCCATTGGAGTCGACGAAGTCGCGGCCTCGGGCCGCTTCTGTGACAAGAACAGCACGAATGCAAGCACCCAGCCTCCGACACAAAGCAGCATGAGGCCCCAAACGATCTGTCGCAGGCGACTTGATGAGCCTGACTTCTTCACATTAGGTATAAGAGGCTCATCCGACCCTGCTTCTCCTCCGTCTTCTATATCTCGGTATCTCTCCCGTTCTCCGTCCGTTGGCATCGTGCCTCCCTTGTGGCCCTCCATGAATGCTGCGGAAGCGATCGATAAGCCGGAGTCGGTTGAAGTTTGAGACGCAAGCGATTCCGATCGCTGGCGATTCAGTGGTGCGGACTCTGAGGCCCCTTCATCGAGCTTCCCCATGGTGGTTGCGTGTGGATCTGGGTTTCACAGCGAAGCGTCCCGATCGTCACACTATCTCTTATCGCCGAGCCCCGTCACCGGCGATTCGGCAGAATGGGGTTCCTTCAACGTATGTATATATTGATGATTTCCGATTCCAGGTCGCAGAGACCTTGGATACTGTCCAGGTGAGCTTCAATTCCAATTGCAAATGATTGGGAGTGATGCGAATCATAAACCTGGGAAGCTGGGGGTGTGAAACCCACAGACCTAGGCATCTCTTGGCGCGGACAAAGGGCTATTCAGTCTGAGTAGCTCCGGCAACCCTTATTCAGTCCCAATTTTGGTGAATATGTGGCGAGGAAACAATGGGCTAGTCCTAGTCATGGTTAGTGGTAGGGAGTTTGTGACATGATCCTTCAAATGGGTAATCGCTCGGGTACATGGCAACTATAGAGTACAGAGTATATAGTTTCTGCTCACTTGCTATTCCCCGGATCGTACTCACAACATGTATAAGCTCGGACGGATAGTATAGCTACTTAGTATTCCTGGATTGAAAGTACCCTCTACATAGTTCTAAAGTTGGAGATTTACACTCCGACAAACAACCTTCCAAGGTTGCAAGTTGAACAGCATCAAATGCGTAATACGGAGTACGAGATGTAAGTATATCCACTAGCCTAGATATGTTAAACCGGAATTTTTGTACAAGTCCGAGAGTGATTTTATGTAGGAACGGGATATTTTTTTGGATTACTCGTCGCGATTGAATCGCTTTCCATCATACAGCTCACGTTGGCGGCCGCCGAAGGCGTTTACCGCGACAGAGCAATGTCATCAATTCTCATGATCATCTTCACGGTCTCTGCGGCCAGCTCAATAGCGCTGGTGCTGACCAACAGAGGCTGTAAGATGTTCTCCTCTGTGATATCGTCCTTGACACCACCGCTGCGAATGCTCACACCGGCATTGTGCTGGCCCTGAGCGTGACGGTGGCGGAGGTCAGTCACAACCTTAATAGAGTTGAGACCGGCGTTCTCGGCGAGGGTGGTGGGAATAACTTCCATGGCATCGGCGAAGGCCTTGAAGCAAATGGCTTCGGTGCCGGTGAGCTCACGCGCGCGCTTGGCGAGTGAGTGGGCAACTTCGACCTCAGGAGCACCACCACCAGCAATCATAGCACGCTTCTTGACGAGACAGCGGATGACGCACAGGGCGTCGTGCAGAGAGCGCTCAGCCTCGTCCAAAATGAGGCTGTTGGCACCACGGGCAACAATGGAGACGGTCTGGTTGTAAGCGGCGAGAGGAGCCTTAATTCCAGTAATCTTAACGTAGCGAGCACCGGAGGCCTGGACTTCCTCGATGAGATCGGCAGTACCGAGCTTGTCCTCAGTGAAAGAGTCAACATTGGCGACGGGCTTGCAGCCAAGGGACTTGCAAAGGAACTCAACCTCATCACGCTCAATGTCCTTGATAGCCAGAATCTTGAGACGAGAAAGGAAGTGCAGAGAAAGTTCGTTGACGGCATCACGGAGGATGGACTTCTGGATCAGAAGAACGTTACACTTGGTCTTTTGGATCTTCTTGACCATGTTAAGCAGGTATTGGCGCTCCTCCTTCAGGATCTTGTCCATCTGGCGGTAGTCGTTGACCACGATCTGGTTCTCCATCTAAAGTTGAAGGGTTAGTCTGATTCACCGAACAGCTCAAGATATCGGTAACATACGTCTGGCTTGGGAGGGCTCAGTTGGAATTGGATGAGACCTATCCGTGCCTTCTCGATTCTTGTGGGACCACCGCTGCTCTTGATCACGGGCTGGTTAAGGACCACACCATCAACCATCTCGCTGTCCTCAATTGTACCTCCAACCTTCTTCACGATACGAATATCGCGCAGATCAACGTTCTCTGCGGTCTTAGGGTCACAGACTTTCAGAACGGAATCAACAGCCATAGGTCCCAGGAGTCCGGAGTGCTGGGACACGATCTTGGACGAAAGGGAAGTAGAGGCGGCTTGGAGGAGGGTAGAGCGATCGGTGAGGTTAATAGGGCGGGACATGTTGTGGAGAATCTCGACGGCAGCACCGGCAGCTCTCTGGAAGGACTCGGCGATGACGGTGGGGTGAAGGCCCTTGGCCAGCAACTTTTCGGCAGCACCAAGGAGACTGCCAGCAATGACAACCACCGATGTAGTTCCATCACCAGCTTCCACATCCTGCGCGGCACTCAGGTCGACAAGCATGCGGGCAGCGGGGTGCATCACGCTCATATCCTTCAACATGGTGTTTCCATCGTTGGTCTGCGGGGGTCAGTTGGGGCTCGGGGGTGCTCGAGTGGAAATGGGGTGGCATACGATGATGGTCTGTCCCTTGGGCGTTTGGATCTGTACAAATATAAGTATAAATGTCAAAAATTGCAAGGCAGAGTATCCTCACCATCTTATCCATACCCCTGGGTCCCAATGACTATATTTCCAGTTAGCCCCTCATCAAGGTGTCTTTCGGTCTGGACGAGCGTACTGTGCGAATGGCATCGGAGACAGCTATTTCAATGTCAGTGACGGCATCTCCAAGTTCACGAGAAGATACATACCCCGAGCAGCAAGAATGTTGGAGGCCCGCACGGCCATCGGCTTCTCCTTGTCCTGCATGCAATCAGAAATCAACGCTCCACGAACATTATTTTGAGGCATCGCACCTTGAAGGAGTTGTTGCCGGCGCTGCCCTGGGAAACTGCGGCCGCCATTTTGAAAAGCTATATTCAAAATGAACCGTAAAAAATGAGTGAAAGGAGGTAGTTAAGTTGTTGTGGTGGAGGACACACAGGAAATTCTGCGAGGTTCTGGGGCGGTGATGAAGCTTGGCACTGATTAGTGAGGCTAGCTCGACCACCACAGCTCTGCTACATCACCGTTGTTCAATACCCAACTATCTATCCGTTTTTCACCTCTTCGCTATCAGAACACGTCGAATCTGTGCATTCAGAAATCACAGCTTCGAAATCATTGTGATCCCGGATCCTTTCTTAGCAGCCCAGCCGTTGGCTGTCAATACCTTTCACCATGCCTAGCGCCACGGGTCAGAACTGGGAGAAGTACCAGAAGACTTTCGCAGACGACGAGGAGCAAGAAAAGAAGATCACACCTCTCACAGATGCGTAAGTTTGGGCCGAGTTTTGATTCAATCCGCGTGTGGCGCGATGGCACTGATTGACTAACACTTCAAACAGTGACATCGCAGTACTCAAGACCTATGGCGCCGCGCCTTACGCGAACGCACTGAAGAAGCTCGAGAAGGACATCAAGGACAAACAGAACAGCGTCAATGAGAAGATTGGCGTCAAGGTGATTAACCGCCCAGCTCTTCCGGCCCCTTGAAGAACCGGAGCTTACACCTTCACAGGAATCCGACACTGGTCTCGCACCTCCACATCTCTGGGATGTTGCCGCCGATCGACAACGCATGGCGGAAGAGCAGCCGCTGCAGGTTGCAAGGTGCACAAAGATTATCCAGGATGAGAAGGACTCGGACAAGAGCAAATATGTCATTAACGTCAAGCAAATTGCCAAGTTCGTTGTCAACCTCGGCGAGCGCGTCAGTCCGACAGATATTGAAGAAGGCATGAGAGTCGGGTAAGTCATCGAGCTTCTGGTGGAATCACTCCGACTCCTAACTTGATTTGCAGTGTCGACCGCAATAAGTACCAAATCATGCTGCCCTTGCCGCCCAAGATCGATCCCAGTGTGACGATGATGACAGTCGAGGATAAGCCCGACGTTACATACGGCGATGTTGGTGGTTGCAAAGAACAGATTGAAAAGCTACGAGAAGTTGTCGAGATGCCATTGCTATCGCCAGAGCGTTTCGTGAACCTCGGTATCGACCCGCCAAAGGGTGCTCTTCTCTACGGACCCCCCGGAACCGGAAAGACCCTTTGCGCTCGTGCAGTCGCCAACCGAACAGACGCCACCTTCATCCGTGTAATTGGAAGTGAATTGGTGCAGAAGTACGTCGGTGAAGGTGCCCGAATGGTTCGTGAGCTCTTCGAGATGGCCCGTACCAAGAAGGCATGCATCATTTTCTTTGACGAAATTGATGCCGTCGGTGGTGCTCGTTTCGATGATGGTGCCGGAGGTGACAATGAAGTTCAGCGAACCATGTTGGAACTGATCACCCAACTGGATGGTTTCGATTCACGTGGTAACATCAAGGTCATGTTCGCAACTAACCGACCTTCCACACTCGACCCTGCTCTGATGCGTCCCGGTCGTATTGACCGTAAGATCGAGTTCTCCCTGCCGGATGTCGAGGGCCGTGCCAACATCCTCCGTATTCACGCCAAGAGCATGTCCGTCGAGCGCGACATCCGTTGGGAGCTCATTTCACGACTGTGCCCTAATGCCACCGGTGCTGAGCTTCGCAGTGTTGCAACCGAGGCGGGCATGTTCGCTATTCGTGCCCGTCGCAAGGTGGCCACTGAGAAGGATTTCCTGGCGTCTGTGGAGAAGGTCATTAAGGGTAACCTCAAGTTCAACTCGACGGCGACATACATGCAATACAACTAGAAGGATCCCGGCTTACTTGCATGGTGCATGGGATGTATGATCACAAGTGGTTTGTTATGTGGGAGTTTATTCCTGGTTGATGCATTATAATCTAAATCAATCTTCCTTTTTGCAAGGCTTGGGCCTGCGTTCTAGGTATCGCTTGCTCAAGTGCATTCATAGCTGTACATCCCCCCTGTCTGTCGGATTTCATGCTTCCAAGCCCTGGAGGTTGCCGAATGAGAACTTAGAACTATATCCACCCCTGACCTAGGTGCTTAGAAGTGGATCATAACCTCAAAGCCTGAGGATCTATAGATCTGAAGATTCTCCCAGGGCTTCTAAAGTTGCAATAGTAAGTGCCGGGAGCACCCGGTATGCCAACATGGTGTTGGTGGTAGACATCCAGCTTCTAAAGTTTTTGCTATAAGCTGGTCCTCCTGAAGTCATAGTTTGATCCTCTTTGTGGATATTCCAGTCAAATATAGAGGGTTACGCCAAACCTAAAGCCTGCGGGCCCTCTAAGGTATATATCCAGGCCTATTGTCTTCAAAGTTCTGAAGTTTCACTGGCGTGTACAATTTCTCTTTATAGTCGGAAACTGTGTTTGTACGCCAATTGACACCTGACAGGTCCACTCCTGGCAGAAATAGAACATAATCTTGCGATGACTACCACGACCTTGCGATACCCAGCACTTGGTGAAGCATTCCAGCAGGATGTTTGCGGGCTATGTGAATAGCCCTGCAGTGACCAATACAAATTCCTGAGTGACGACCGATTGAGAAAAAGAAAAATGACTGTCGCAACGGTCGTTGAAGACTGAAGATATATGAGACCACAGAGTCCAGGCCATGGCGACCCCAGACTGTTGACCAGGCAAGTGTCTACCGTATCCTTCCGGCATCCAGCGTTGGCCGGCAAAACGTATAGCGGACACATGCCATTTGACCAATCACGGGCGACCGGCTGCCCGAGGTTGCTTTGGATTGGATGGACGCTGATTGGCTGGTTCGGCCCCGGTCCTCCCCGTCGGCACTGCAGACAGGTTATGTCAGCTTTTTCCAACCGCAACCCGGATGAACGAGTGTGTCCTTGAAGTTCGCTATTCCAATCTCCCCTCCTGTGTTAAGCCTGTCACCGATCATCGGTGTCTTTGTTGTCTATTTGGTTCATTAGAGAAATTCCAATTCTCTTTTGATCCGTCATCATGAGCTCTATGAGCCTGCGGAGCCTAGCTCCTGCATCCAAGGTGAGCAACGGATTTTCGGCCCGTCTGCAACAATACTGACGATTTCATTTCTGCAGGTCTCCCGCGTGTTGAGGGACCAGAGACGTCTATTCTCTTCTTCAAGGCCCGCGGGTATGTACTCATGTCCCCACCGTGTCAATCTTCGCCCTACTGACCATTGCGCCAGCCCGGATTTTCGCCAACCAGCCTTTGCGCGGCAAGGAGTCCCTTAACTACCTGACCGACAAGTACCCTATCATTGTAAGAAACCCCCCAAAGGATGCGATTGAGGACTGTATCTGATCGGCGCAGGATCACGAGTACGATGCCGTCGTCGTCGGTGCCGGTGGTGCCGGTCTGCGCGCTGCCTTCGGTCTGGCCGAGGCTGGATTCAACACTGCTTGTGTCTCCAAGCTGTTCCCCACAAGAAGTCACACTGTCGCTGCCCAGGGTGGTATCAACGCCGCTCTTGGAAAGTAGGTTGCCCCAGAATGACCAAAACGTGTGTGGTATCTGACTCGTTCCTAGCATGCACGAGGATGACTGGAGATGGCACATGTACGATACCGTGAAGGGTTCCGATTGGCTCGGTGACCAGGACGCCATTCACTACATGACCCGTGAGGCTCCCGCCAGTGTTCGCGAGCTCGAGGGTTACGGTTGCCCCTTCTCGCGTACCGAGGATGGACGTATCTACCAGCGTGCTTTCGGTGGTCAATCCAAGGATTTCGGTAAGGGTGGTCAGGCCTACCGTTGCGCCGCTGCCGCCGATCGTACCGGCCACGCCCTTCTGCACACTCTCTACGGACAGTCCCTCCGCCACAACACCAACTACTTCATCGAATACTTCGCTCTCGATCTGCTCATGGAGGGTGGTGAGTGCCGTGGTATCATCGCCTACAACCAGGAGGATGGTACCCTGCACCGCTTCAAGGCTCACCACACCGTTCTGGCCACTGGTGGTTACGGACGTGCCTACTTCTCTTGCACCTCCGCCCACACCTGTACCGGTGACGGTATGGCTATGGTCGCTCGTGCTGGTCTTCCTAACCAGGATCTGGAATTCGTCCAGTTCCACCCCACCGGTATCTACGGTGCTGGTTGTCTGATCACCGAGGGTTCCCGTGGTGAGGGTGGTTACCTGCTCAACTCCGAGGGTGAGCGTTTCATGGAGCGTTACGCTCCTACCGCCAAGGATCTTGCTTCCCGTGACGTTGTTTCCCGTTCCATGACTCTGGAGATCCGTGAGGGCCGTGGTGTCGGTCCCGAGAAGGACCACATCTACCTCCAGCTTAGCCACTTGCCCGCTGAGCTCCTCCACGAGCGTCTGCCCGGTATTTCCGAGACTGCCTCTATTTTCGCCGGTGTCGATGTCACCAAGCAACCCATTCCTGTGCTGCCCACCGTCCACTACAACATGGGTGGTATCCCCACCAAGTACACTGGTGAGGTTCTCGATGTGGATGAGAGCGGTAACGAGAAGGTCGTTCCCGGTCTGTACGCCTGTGGTGAGGCTGCTTGCGTGTCTGTCCACGGTGCTAACCGTCTGGGTGCCAACTCCCTGCTCGATCTGATCGTCTTCGGTCGCGCTGTGTCTCACCGTGTCCGTGACATCGCCACCCCCGGCAAGCCCCACAAGGAGCTCTCTTCCGATGCCGGTGCCCAGTCCATCAAGGACCTCGACTACGCCCGTACCGCTGAAGGACCCAAGTCTACCCACGAAGTCCGCAACGCCATGCAGAAGACCATGCAGACTGATGTCAGCGTGTTCCGTACCCAGGAGAGCTTGGACGAGGGTGTTGAGAAGGTCAACGCCGTTGACCAGCTTTACTCCCAGGTCGGCACCAAGGACCGCAGCATGATCTGGAACTCCGACCTTGTTGAGACTCTTGAGCTCCGCAACTTGTTGACTTGCGCGTACGTATTCCTGATACAATTTACCATGAAGAATAGTTGTTAATATGTCTCTCACAGTACCCAAACCGCCGCTTCCGCCGCTGCCCGCAAGGAGTCCCGTGGTGCCCACGCCCGTGAGGACTTCCCCGACCGTGACGACGAGAACTGGATGAAGCACACTCTGTCTTGGCAGAAGAAGCCCCACGGCGAGGTCAAGCTCGGCTACCGTGGTGTTGAGGCTAACACCCTCGATGCTGAGGAGTGCAAGCCTGTCCCACCTTTCAAGCGTACTTACTAAGCACGCTAATTGGGAATCGATCAAACAATACGGAGGATACCACGGAGTTGTTTCAGATGGACCCTACGGATGCCCTTGGCTGATGGGTTGGAATAGACCCACGGCCTGCGGCGTATCAAGTCCTGTTTCAAGGGGTGACATCTGTGAAAAAGACCTTTTTTTTATTGACTGTGTTACTTACCCCATCCTGTAAAGCCATATTTTTCCTTTTATCTTAACTGGCGAAGATCTGGTGTACTGAGTGCTTTTCCCTCAGTTTGTCTCATATTGAATATTTACTTTTTTTTTTCTTAATATCTGACTTGGTGCTCTTTTTCCCTGTTTAATTGTTCCGACACAGGCGGTTTACCTAGCAGATCTTCAGTTCGGAAATTTCTCAGCCTGGTTGTGTTGGTGTGTTTTGCAAACAAAGAAACCAGCGAGATGTTCAGCCCATTTGGTTTTGGTCCTTGGCCTCGAAGGTAAGCTATTCGATCTTGACCAGCAGAGCATCTATCAGGCCAACGTCCATATTTCAGACGAAGTCCCCATGAAAGAGAAAAGTTACTCACATCAGCCCAACCACACCCCCAAGGCTTGAGAGCTTCATTCAGACATGGCCTATGATACTAATTTTGGGATGTCATTGACACCCTTGGTGGGAGGACAAAGAGATCCCTGACTTCTTTCAAGACCAGGATGCTGATCTTCCTTCTGTTTACTATTATTGCTGTTTGCATGATATCTCTCGAGGCCCATGGCCCTTGGCCCATGTTTGTTTGCCCTCCGCTGTTCTTTCTACTCAGCGATCTCAACTATTGAGTAACCGCCGAAAAGACGAGTTGGCTCTCACTCGTTCGAAGTTCTGCTCTCCAGCAAGGAGTTACGTCATTGGCTTTAGTTGTTGAATATCCAAATCAGCTCTCGAGCATGGATTCAATCGAGGCTCTTTTCCCTCGGGATACCAGTGCTTGTACTGGAAGCAAGCAGTGGTATGTCTGCAGCGTAGGGAATTTTCGCGGATGCTGCTCGAGTGATCCATGTGTGACGGGAATTTGTCCAGACAGTGAGGACGATAACACGAGTACTGCGACAACGTTATCTGACCTGTCACTGACGAGAACCGTTGGGGCTATCAACCGACTGCCTAACGTGACTCCAAGAACGACAACAACTTCGTCTATGACTACTTTGACTGAGGCAGTGACTATTTCATCAGAAGATCCAGCCACAACAGCGGTTTCTCCTTCTTCATCCAAATCCACAATACCACTCACAGCCTCAGACCATTCAACAACTACTGATACATTGACCTCCCCAGAAGCCACTGGGGCCACTACCCTTTCCTCGGCTCGGGCTGCATCCCCTGGGGTGGCTTCTCCATCTAGCACACCCACCAGCATTCGAAATGCAACGCATTCAAACCGCGGGGCAATAATCGGCGGGGTGCTGGGAGGCCTGGCAGCTCTAGCACTGTTAGCCATTCTAATTTTCTGTTGTATGCGCCGCAGAAGAAAGCAAGTCAAGCATGGAAAGCGATCAAAAGCCCTGTCATGGTCTCCATACGGCCGTAATAACAATGGCCGAGCAGCTGGATCCGAGATGAAGGAACCACAGCCCCCATATGATAGCGAGGCAAATAGTACGCAAACACTCCAGCAATTATCCAAAACAGCAATATACTTACCAACCACAACTATAGGATCATTAACAACATCCAGCACAGCCTCCCCAATAAGCACAGAGACCAGACCCGGTGTTCATCTGACTCCAAACCTAGTACTGACTTCGTCATCAACGAATCTCATCTCACTATCACCCCAGAAGAACCAAGTCCCACCAGCCCTTCCGCTATCAACGGAGTTATATGCCTCAGTCCCAAACGGACAAGACTTCACCCCAGAGCTGCAAGACACGGGCTTCGCCCGACAGCGCGCTGAGCTAGCCTCGAACCCCCAAAGCGAATGGATCAACATCCCTATCAGCGAACGGCTACGCCAAAATCCCATTCGGTTGAAAACAGCCCCTAGAGTATGGGAATCACCCAGCCTAACACCCATAGCAGCCAGTCCACGGGAGAGCCCAGTCAGGGAACCCAGACAGAGGCAGGGACATACTCGCAGCCAGAGCGAGACTCGTGATCCCATGGGTATGGGTCGAGTTGTCACTGCTGATGGAGTCGTGCTGGGAGCGAATTTGGATCGGTATTCTAATGGATTGGAGATTGGTCGGTCTTTGGACCAGGAAAGGAGAAACGCCGAGGGTTCTGGTTCGGATCATGTCATGAGCTTCATGCAGTATGGCAGGTCTGAGGAGGGTGTTGGTGCACCAGTTGGTGCTCGGGCCCGTTCTGTTGATGATCTGGGTGGTGAGAGTAGTACAGGGAAACGGGTTTCTAGGACTGAACAAACAGTGCCAGATGGTGATGTTCCGGACGAGGAGGATATTCCACCTGCCTATGAGGCGAATGAGAGTTCTCTTCAGCCGGAGATCAAGTCGCCGTCTGGGAGGATGGAGATGAGCTTAAGGGGGGTTTGAAGTGTAAGAGGAATCGTGCTGCCCAGGTGGTTGTGCTGTTTCGAGTCCCAGATGGATGATGCCTTTTTGATGAGACTTTATGATTTGCTATGCAAGAGTTCTTTAGTGTTATTTTGGATTAATATCATACAGTTTGTTGACGTATCCAGACAAGTCAATTCCTATATCCATTTTTGTCTAACCTGAGACCCCAACTTTTGTTATCTGTCATATATCGTATCCCTAAAAAATTACAGCAGCTTCTTCAGCACGGCAGTCTGCTCCAAGACTGCGCGCTTGCTGGTTCCACCAATGGCGTCCTTGAGCTCGACAGCGCGCTCGTAGTCGAGGCAAGCCTGGACGTCGGCGTCGAAGCGAGAGTCGATCTGCTGGAGTTGCTCCAGAGAAAGGGTGTCCATGGGGACGTTGGTGTTCTCGGCAGCAGCGACAACACGACCAGAGATGTGGTGTCCCTCACGGAAAGGAACGCCCTTGCGGACGAGGTAGTCGGCGATCTCGGTGGCCAGCATCTCAGGGGCCAGAGCGGCGATCATCTTCTCAGGGATGACGGTGAGAGTGGAGAGCACACCAGTTCCAATCTGGATGCTGTCACTGACAGTCTTGATATGATCGAGCATGGGCTCAACACTCTCCTGCAAGTCCTTGTTGTAGGTGGTGGGAAGACCCTTGATTGTGCACATCAGACCGGCCATTTGACCGAAGGCACGACCAGCCTTGCCACGGAGCAGCTCCAGGCTGTCCGCGTTCTTCTTCTGGGGCATGAGGGACGATCCGGTGGAGTAGGCGTCCGACAGACGGACGAAACCGAACTCCAGACTGCTGTAGATGATCAGATCCTCGGCCCAGCGAGAGATCTTGAGCATGAACGAGCTACCCCATTGCATAGTCTCCATGGCAAAGTCACGGTCTGCAACAGCGTTCATGGAGTTGTAGAGCAAACCATCGAAACCGAGCTCCTTGGCCATGGCCTCACGATCGATGTTGAAGCAGTTACCAGCCAGGGCACCGGTACCGAGGGGGCTCTTGTTCACGCGAGCAATGACTTCACGCAGACGCTGCAGTTCGCTGGCGAAAGCAGTGGCGTGGGAGAGGATCCAGTGGGACCAGCGGACGGGCTGGGCCTTCTGCAAGTGGGTGTAGCCGGGCATGAGGTAGTCGATATCGTTTTCGGCACGGGCAATGGAGACCTTGATCAGGTCGCAAAGGTGGTTGTCAATAAGACGGAGCTCATCACGGAGCCACAGACGCATGTCCGTAGCGATCTGCTCGTTGCGCGACCGGCCGGTGTGCAGCTTTCCGCCGATTTCCTTGCCAATGATCTCACCGAGACGGCGCTCGTTGGCAGTGTGAATGTCCTCGTCGTTCTCCTTGGCGACGAAGGTGTTGGTCTCCCATTCCTGGGCGATCTGCTTGAAGCCGCGCTCGATCTCGGCGAACTCTTGTGTGGTGAGGATGCCCGAGTTTGTGTTGGCGCGAGCGAAGGCGATAGAGCCGGCAATGTCCTGCTTCCAGAACACACGGTCATAGGGCAGAGACATGTTGTACTGGACCATCAGGGGGTCAAGGCCCTCTGTTTTTTGCAAAACGTATGAGTCAGTGGGCTTTTGGGTGGGATGGAGGGGTTGCGGGACTCACGGGTGAAACGGCCTCCCCAGAGCATGTTTTCAGCGACGCCTTTGGAATTGCTCATTTTGAATAATATGGATTGCTTTCAATTGAAGTATGGAAGAAGAAAAAAGAAGAAGAAATTGAGAGGGCACCCCTGCATCGTGGAATCACCACCGATCATCGGTACGCTAAACCCAATTAGGCATATCTGGGGACAGCCGATGACTCAATCCCAATGTTTTGACGTCGATTTCAGTAGCGCAGTGCACCTTGTTCTTCAATATGAAAATATTGCATTCAGGCTGGAGTTCAAACTTGCTGTGTGGTTAGCAAGATAGCACAAGGTCTCAATTCCACATTCCGCGCATCAATTGATTGGAGCATTGCACAGAAATATATAGTTCAAGTATCAATACGAAGTTTTAAGACTAAGAACTTTAAAATGCGACGTAATGGGACCTTGGAGCCGAGATGTCATTTCCGAGATCAACGGGCTTTAGGAATTGTTCTGAAGGGGTTGGTTCTACCAAGTGAATGGATCTATAGATGTGGAGGTTGGCTTCAAATTCTCTACTCCTAGGTGTGTTCCTCTAGAGCTCTAGAGCTCAAACCCTGAAATCTACGCTTATGGTAACCACTCAGGCAATAGATAGAAGCATTCAGTCGCATAATTCAATGATACTCCAGGTCACAGTTGTTAGGACTTGGCCTCCGATCTTTTCCATGACCCTGCGACTGGCTGCGTTCACTCCAGACACGTCGGAATGCGCCCAAGCCCCAACGCGATCTTGAGTTTGACTATCGAACTCGAAACTCCTGGGCCCGAACAGGCCATCCGGCGCCATTCCACGACACATGATCTCCTTTGACAACGGAAGTGCAAGCCCACGGCCTCGGTGTTCCGGTTCAACATGCAATGTGGCCAATGACCCATCCATACCCAAAAATCCCCAAGCAATAGGTTGCTCATCAGCATCGTTATCAACAGGTTCGGAATCCCGATAAACTGCCACACTAGGCATTGTGGAGAGCTGTGCCCTTGATCTGGGAATACTTGTGCGACTTTGCACAAGGTCTAAATGCCATGAGTGAACACCTTCCCTGCCTTCACGATCACGGAACCTATATCCGACCGGGAGTGACGAATCCGCAGATCCATGATCACCAGATCTTCTAGACTGTTCCTCGGGGCCGAAGTCAGATCGGCGGAAAAAGTACTTGTAGTAAGGTGGATCGTCTAAGCGATGGACCCGGATATTGGGAATGGGATCTGAGGTTGTGTAGGTTCCTGATCGCTGCAGGAGGATACACAAGCCTGTATGAAGAGCGCCAATGAGGAAGGCTCGGGGATCAGGCGCGGAATCAGGGGTACGCCATTATTCACAATGGGAATTGTGTTGGAGTTGGGGGCCGACGAGGTCTGAGTTTTAGCCGTAGATGTGGCTGCGGCTGAGCTTTCCAAAGATGACAGGTACACTGGCAGCAAGTGGGTTTTAACATATGACAGGAAGGCCAAGAGCTGTGTGCGGGCCAGATCTAGGATGGCTTGGCTAGCGGAAAAGGAGGCAACAATGGGTTTTCTGGAATTGTCATTGTTTTGACCAGGGTTATTATTAGTAGATTGCGGAAGCGAGTCGAAATCCACCTTTAATATCTTTGCGGCAGTGGTCGAACCGGTGCTGACAGCGTCGATCGGCTGAATTGACGTGTGCTCCGCTTCGAGGCTGGAGTAAATGAACATTTGGGTCTCGCGGCCGCGAAAGAGATCCACCCGCGCAGCCAGCCACGGCGTCTCAGGATTAGGGGCAGAGCCAGGCGGGAAGGTAGCCAGTAGCTGGGCCGTCTCAAAAGGGAACGCGATACCATGCTGAATTCGTCGCAGTAGGGTCAAGCTATATGGCAATTGAGATACGAGCGCCGGCATCAATGTGGCAGCATCGTGCTGGTAGATGGTGATGTCTGACTGCATTGTGTGGATTTGCCGATTACCCAGGTACCTGGATCTTGGGGCGATTTGGAGCCGTAGGAGCGAGTATGACCGAGATGATCATCGATTTCCCAAAACTATGGACAATGGGCAGAGTGACAGATTTGACAGCTTACTGGGGACTATCATGAGTCAGGGGGTGGGTCGGAGGTTTAGGATCGCGTGCTTGCTAGTCCCCCGAGCAAGGCCGAGCTAAACCGCAGGTAATTTGGGGCTAATCTGCTGTTCGGATCTAAGATAAAAACCACTAGCAATTAAGAAATCCCTAGTATTTGTCACGCTGTTCATCGGGTCTGTGCCTGTGGCGGTGCGACACTATTGATTCCGACGATCTGCGGGCGATCTCTGTCAAATCCGCATGGGTGTCAAGGAATTGGTTTGCTATTGGACGAGAACATTTTGCATTGCTATTGCTAGTGAGAAGTATTCCCCCCCGGACACGGAAACTTCAAGCATTTATCTGCAGGGACGCCTTGCCATTATACTCCACTGTGATACCATTTAGCTGGGAATTGACGTCCCATCACAATTTTTTTTTTAAATCAAAGACAGAACCAAAGAAAGAACATAAGAAAAATAAACAAAGAAATTCGTATCTCATAATCACGACCTCCTACCAGGGAGTCCGCGCGCCAACCATCCAATCCTCCATCGCCAGCCATTCACTCCATCGGGTTTCGGCAACTCGGATTTCATCCTCGGAGGGGTCGCGCAAGGGCCTCAGGAAGGGCGTTTGTTCGTCTGGTGAGATATCGTAGGCCGCCTTGGTTGAGGCCCAGCCACTGCTCTTGGCCGTGAAGAGGTAGTTTGCACGTTCCTGTTTGTAGATGCATCCTACACCAGCTTCCCAGTTTCCCCCAAAGAAGCCTTGCATGACAGATGGGGAGTCTTGCGCTGTCACAATCAATCGACGAATATATGGCCGAAGGGAAACAAACGGCAGCGACCCAGACTCCGAGGACGAAACACAAGCTTCAGAGGGACGCTGGCAGGGAAGTCGGATGTTGACAAAGGCGGCGATGGATTGCACCGCAGGAGTGTGCTGGCTGTAGTCGACAAAGTGCTGAACACACTCTTTGTAGTGCGGGAACCATCCAGTAGGGTCAATGCGACCAAACTCGCCCTCGTTCAAAATCGACTGGACTTCTGGAATGACCATCCGCTCGTCGGGACGCTCGCGCCTATCCGAGATGCGTTCAGCGGCCCGATCGGATCCTGAGCCAGGGAGACATCTCAGCACACTGGCCATTTCGCAACTGGTGCGACGGGCAAGAGCCGGACAGGAGGGTGGACTTACGCTGAGCGGGACCGTCGCGAGAAAAAGGATCGCGCAAATCCATACGAGGTGAGCTTTCCCAGCACTCTCTTCCGGAACCCTGCATGCTCAGTGACATGTTCAACAGATGACATATGTATATGATAGGCGGAAGATTAAAGACTTCAAGATTCAAGACTGTCTGGGAGATCTAGACTGGATGAATAGAATTGATTTCTGGGGGAGGCGAAAGCCTTATAGGCCCGCCGCTGGAGCGCGGACGGGGAAGACCGATCCATCAAGGGTGCCAAAATCGATAACCTTGGAAAATCACGACGGACTAGTTCGGCTTTTCGGAGGGGTTAAGGCAGGGTGGATCTGGGAAGCTATCGAAGAAGAAGCTTGAGCCACAGATGTGGTCACTAGCCACCTGTGAGCCACGGACAGACCGAGGATGTGGCTCGTGCGCTTACCCCTAAGTAGTAAGGGGCCTGTGGCTGTGATCTCACAATGGAATTGTCCACTAGTCCTTAGACGGCAACCCCCATTGTCGATCGAGATTCCTTAGTTCAATCAATAGTTCGGGCACTATCTCGCCCTATATTACATACGATGATTTGGAAGAGCTAGCGGGAGATCAGACACCTCGCATTCCATTACCCTTGAGAATACGATTTAGATTAATTTTCGATTATTTTCACGTTTTTTCTGATCTTCTTTCGTCCCACTTTAGTTTTAAGTAAACTTCATAGTCTCGCTTACCTTGTTGATTATTCGACCTGTGCGACATTTGACACTTTCGAGTTCCACTCTCCTCAATGATGATTCAAACCTTTGATAGTTTCTCTTTAGCCCTAAGTAGCGGGGGATGGCGGATCGGTTCGGTGTGTGGGACTCATATCACATTGGAGATCCACGGCCAGTTTCAGTTTTCTCATGTCATAACCAGGATTGAAATCACGAAATAGACCGAAAAAATAAAATAAAACAAAAATCAAATTAAAAAAAAAAATGCAACAAAAGATAAAACAAAAAACGTGTACAAGATGCAAGGGGGAGAGGCAGAACGAGAGGGCCCAGTTCGTGGGTAGTCTGCAGGTCGCCTGCAGGGATTACCCTTAACAAAATAATTAAAATAAATCAATCCTCGTATTAAGAGAATTAAAGAGCCTTTCCCACATCGGGCACCCCGATAGATCGGTTGAATCGGCTGACGCTCAGACACCCGCTGTTACCCAATGACAAGGCCCCGCTTGCCATCATCGTGGCCTGGTGCACCCGGCTTCCTGGGTGTAATTAAGATCCTATCTATCCATTGACGTCTGATCTTCCCCCGCTTCCAAATTACTGCGGCTGAGAGCCTGAATCGTGTCAATTCGTTTAAATGCAGCCTGAATCCCAACACAACGACTCACTTGCATAGAACCTTATACGGATTACTTTTTTCTATACTGCATTCACTTGCCATACACAGCCCTCACCACTTCATACGAAGTACATTCATTCCACAATGTGTTACAAGACCAACTATGAGCCTTATGTGAGTACCGCCCACATTTTATCAAGTATCCATCTGACTTTGATGTCCTTCAGTCTCAGTCTCGGGGAAGCATTGATAGCAGACGGTCGCCTCCGCCAGATGAGCTCCTGCTTTCACCTTTAGCAACACTCTACCCGCATGTTGCAGCTCTGCAACCCCAGTACAACCCCAGCAGCTGCACATTCACTGGTTACCAAGATACGGAATATTGGGCAGCAGCCTACACCACACAACCTCTGGAGAATAGCAGCACATCAACTCGTCGCGGCTCGGGTAAGTCCGATATATCTTGATTTGACATGGCTGCATTTGCTCACATTTTTAAATAGATGCTTTACCATGCCGCATTGCCTCTAAATTATTTCGGTTCCTGAGCCGAGATGACATCAAGCAGCGTCGGGGATCCCGAGCGACAGCTTGAATTGTCAACCCGCCTGTCTTTTTCTCGATTCTTCTGTTATCTTCAGCGATTTACATCACCACACGCACCTCTCAGCGATTTTTACTTGCAATTTCCTTGAGCTCTCCTTCGAGACCCATCTTTCTCGATTTTTCGAACACCTGCCATTGAGGCTTCATCCACCAGACCACCTGATCCAGCTTCTATTTCCTTTGTTTGATATATCCATATCTCCTGGCTCTCTTGAGCGAATCAGGCATTTTTTGTTTTTTGTTTTTTTACCCACTAAGTACTGTGTTCCTTTTTTTTGTTGGAAGCAAGCGACATTACAGCGAGGCGTTTATTTTCTTGGCATTTAGTCTACATCTGGACCGGTTTCGCAACATTCTCATTCTTGTCATCTTATTTGGTCGCAAAGATCCTATATTTTTGAAGTGTACAAAGACCTATTTTCACATACAAGGAGGCCCAATACAGCCCAATCTTATTTACATTTGACCAAATATTTACTTTTATCCCCCCTCAACTTGCGCAAGCCCCAACCTTGGAAATGCAAACGCAAACACCCCAAACCCCGAACGTAACCCCGTTTGGCTATCGAATCGCAGGACTTGAAATTATGGAACAGAAAACAAGGTAGAGAAGTCCCCACAATTAGGCCGTCAACGCCAAATCAGGGAAGCCCCTTGCCCAGGTGGGCAAGAGATGCCACATGCCAAGCAAGGAAAGACTCTATGAAAATGAATGACCTCATTACATTAAGTATTGCTTTTTTCATTACCAAAAACCTCGTGGTTGGGTCCCAATGCCACGGTAGCAATTCTGACCCCTGTTAGGGGATCAGGATCATGACGAGTACCACTTGAACCTTGCAAAGAACCCTGTCAAGATCGCATAGAGCGCAATCCACCTGACTCGGGGTTCGAGCTTACGTCGATCACCACAGCATCCATGGAGCACTAGAGCGTGAGAAACGGCGATCACCAAACTACCCATGCACCAATCATCTGCAGGTGAATACCAATATGCCGGTGATCTTTAATCATTAACCTTGGAAGGGCAAGACAAGTAACCGCTTTTCGCGACTGCTGTATATAATTTCAATATTGCATCGATGCACGCAATAGGCACGAGATAGGTTCCTGCAGCACGATGTGAGACAAAATTTCAGGGGTAGCATGATTGCAGCCGGGATTCGAACCTTGTTTCTTGATCTCTGGAAGTCTACTGCTGCATCACAAATTCATTGACGATCGGGCGCTTGCGCCTAAGGGCCGACCCGTGACGATCGCATGATTTGGTCCGTGTTCCCGTTGGGCATTTGGAATGCCGCACGTAGTGTAGGTACGAGTATGTGTGTGCTGCGGATCCGGCTTTTGAGTCGGTGTTAAGCCTTCTAAAGATGGAAGATGTGATCTTCACCTTGGTGGGGTAACCATTGCAACGCTACAGAGTACGGGTATGAATAACCTTTGCTCATGATCTCTGTTGGGTTGGCTTGACGCTAGAGAGACAGGGTATTTGGAAGATCCTTTACGGTGTGAAACCCCGCCTAGTCTCGAAGATCAATGCTCAGTACTCCATACTCCGATGCTACGGAGTTATGCCTTAGGTCTCTATCCTGCTGCAGGGGCAAGATAAATGTGATACCGCTTGAGTAGACGACAGGGCATCCCCAGAGCAGTCGATACAGCTCAGAAATCAGGGCTAATCGCGGCAATCATAAAATGCAACGACAAGGACTACGACCCCCGGATTTCGCATTGCCATGCATGATACGGCGAGCACGGAGTATATCCATGCAGCACTTGCATTGCAGACTTCAAATATGATATGGGGGCCAGTGAAGTACGAGTATCATTGGATATCCACCATTCAATGACCACAACGAGATCGAAGCACGGACATTAATCAATAATATGATATCAACCACATATAGGGTGCCGATGAAAGCGACCAGTGAGTACACTTGAGCAGGTGCAAAGTGTCAAGAAATCCGGTGGCGTGGTCTGCATGCCAGCCATTTGGCAGCATCCACCTTACCATCTTTGAGCTAATTCCAATTTTGTATGACTCCCAAGGCTCAAATAGAGCAGTCATGATCGAAACTCGCAATAAGCAAAACATCACCAGCGAGAAAATCATCGACTGTGGGGGACCAAGTACGCTCAGACTCCTCCTGCTGCAGCCGATAGATCTATTTCCCCTCTCACTCAATCTTCTTCCCCAGTTTTCAGACGACCACTGCAATAATTTGTTCCTCTAGCCATGCCCTTCATAAAAAAAAAATAATCATCAAATTGGGAGTTCAAGGGTACCTCGTGCCGATGTGGACTGGGGAGCATGAGTTGGAAGGATTGAAATCAAGATTCATCTAAAGATTTTCTGCCATACTCTACTTACCTGGTCACCTACAAAGGGAATCAAAAAGGCTAAATATGGTATGCAGTATTCTACACGTTGTGTTCGGGGGAAAAAGTCAACTTACAGTCTATTGAACTAAATGGATATAAAAGTGCCCGATGAAGCACCCCATAAAATGCGCGATGCTCAAGTGCGGGTGTAACCTTGGACTCTGTCCCCCGAGTCAATCTGGAATGCACAGAAAGTAATACGAAAAACTAAAACCAAAAAATCCCCGGCAGTTGGTCCAGAAGGCGTCTGGCGCAAACCGAGGAGTGTGGCTGGGGTCAAGTACCGAGCCAAACATCCGAGCCAACCGCTAAACTTTACACCCCGCAACTTCGACTCCAGATATTTGGACCAAAACATATTTTCAGTACCCTGTTATGTCGGATAATTCTATATCTCCATTGGAGCCTACACCAAAATACGAGTGCGCAATATGTCTCAAGAGATACAAGCGACGTGAGCACCTTTTTCGCCACATCAGTTCCCATACGTCACAGCGACCACATCAATGCACCTCCTGCAATGGATCTTTCCAGCGCGCAGATGTGCTGAAACGTCACATGCGAACCTGTGATGGTGGAAGTTCCAGAGCAGCCAACAGGAGACGGGCCTGTGATCGCTGTGTTCGTCAGAAAAAGGCTTGTAGCTCACATCAACCATGTCACAGTTGTGCGAAAAAAGGTTCCCAGTGCTGGTATCCTACAGAGGCAGGGTCTTCTTCACGATCTCAACGTGGAAGCGTCGACGAGGGAACACCTAGAAATGCAGAGATCAACCCCTCGACACTGGGTCTTACACCACCCCCAGCGAATCCCATGATGCCTTGGGGATTTACGAGTGATGAGTTACAAGCCCTGGGAACGAGTCCACAGGAAACATTTTTCGGTACAGCACCTACTCAATTTTTCCAACCAGAATGGCAGGATGCTGCTAGCTTGGCCTCTGAGACAATGGCAATCTTTGAGCCTTCCGCATCGAACGAAGACTCGCGTCAATCCTTGAGATTTCTGGACAAATTTACTAGCAACACTGGTCTAGTGTCAAGTTTTGACTGTGGTACTCAAGAACAGAGAGAAAAACTGTCTGCAGAGTTGGACCGACAAATATCTCTTCAACTACAGCACAGAATCATGTCATTACCAGCGCTCGGCATGAATGTTCCATCCCCGACAATTTTGGAGACCATCAGCGATACAAGCTCCACCGATGAGTTTCCACTAGATTGGTTCAATGATCCGTTGTCTTTGAAAACCCATGAAATTCTTCTCCTAATCGAAGAAGTCGTGACAATAAAACCGCGGAATAGTTCCGTGACTCTGGAATGGTCCCCCGCACTACGATCTGCATGTCTACAATTCTTTTCGCCCTCCAACCTGAGGAGATTCTTGGGATTCTATTGGGCGATATGGCATCCTAATGTCAATTTTGTGCACAGGCCTACCTTTGACCCACTGGCCGCGAAGCCAACAGTTCTAGCAGCGATGGCTCTTATCGGTAAGTGATATCGATTGAATCATAAACTATGATAAAACTAACAGCTCTAAAAGGTGCGTGCGTATCTTCTGATATGCCTGAAAATGAAGACGCGAAAACATGGTTCAATTGTGTCGAGGAAATGGTCTTCATAGATGATGACTTCAACAGTGATATGACCTATCCGCCGTGCGGCAGCATGGCCACCCAGCGGCGCAAAATCCAAGCGCTCCAGGCTGCATATATAGTCTGTCTATATCAGAATTGGGAAGGCACCGATGCGAGCAAGAGTCGCATCCGACGCTACCGATTCGGCACCCTTGTGTCGGTAAGTAGACAGAATCATGTTTTGCCAAGAGGACACGGCTGACCTTTCAAAGACTGCTAGAGACATTGGAATCACATCAGCTAGACATCTAAATTACAGCGAGCAAGGTCGGCATGATTTTGAATGGAAAGAATATGCGGCGAGGGAAGAGTTGATACGGTGAGCCTGGGTTTTACTTTTCACCCCAAACGAAATGACCATATCACTGACAGCTTTTAGTGTTTTCTCTTGGATATATCTACTGGACTCGGCATTTGTGATTTTCAACAACCTCCCACCGAGAATGCTCATCAAAGAGATGAGATTACACATGGCAACACCAGAAGCATGTTTCCAAGCAACAACAGCAGACCAATGTCATGAGCAGATCCAAACTTCACTCCCGGCACGAAGTTTGTATTGGTCAATATCGTTCCGCGGGGCCTTCGAGTCACTATGTAAAGACGATCCCTCGACGGACATCCACGGTCTCGTCGCCACATTATGTCCATTGAATTTGTTCGCACTGACATCCGGTACGTTCCCTTGCAAAATGATATTGGAGTGATCTAACAGTCACAAATTTAGCGATCCATTCGCAAATATTCCAGTTCCGCAGTGTAGTAGGAAGTTTCCAACTCCTAGCTCCTATACGCAACGCCTTAAGTAACTGGCGTGCTATCTGGCAATCCTTTTCTTCAAACTTCCCCCAGGGCCTATCCCCACACATGACGATTGAAGACCCTCACATTCAACCTGGGGAGTTATGGACCAGGATGGGATTCTGTCGCTACGCCCCAGAGTATTGGCTTTTAGCCCAGCTGATGGCGGATCGTCTGGCAGTGCTGGGGACATCGCAGCAAGTGAATGAACTGGAGCCACTAGAAGAAGGGCCACTGGATCCGATCTTGAACAAATATGACCAAACCAGCATGCGACAGGTGAATGATCTGATCATGGGCTTCCAGACGTTTCAAATCTGACGCATGGGTCCCCGTTTTGTACCATTAAGATTTTTTTTTCAACAAAAATGGAAGGTGAAATGAAATCGTGATATTTCATTAATTCATCTGCGAATGTCTCGTATGACCTTCAAAATGGCAATAGCAATGGCCGAGACCACACTGATCTTGAACAAAGGCCAAAAGTCAGGCAATGGGATTTCACTGAAGTTTGGAATTAGTGCTGGATAAATGAGAAAATGATACGATTGCCACTCACTTATCGTTGAAAGAGCTCGCCACAAAACCCGCCTCACGTTCTGCCTGCAACTTAAGGGCTTCATCGTTTCTCCAATCGGTCTTCCTTTGAAAGCCAAATTTTTGATCATTTGCGCCGTGGTGCTGAAGTGCAGGTATGCTCGTCTGTGCATTTTGGGTTGTGGATAGGTCCTCTAGGCCAGCTGAGGGCTCGAGGCGTGCCTCCTCACTGAGACTTGTAGACGAAGTCGGGATAGCGGCGCATGTCGCCTGGAGGCCGAAGAGGAGGACACAAAGGGCTGTAAGTAACCAGCGGAACATTGTGACGGGACAAAAAGGAGATGCTCAGAGTTAAGAGCTTGGGGAATCATGAGATAATGTAGTGGCCGATAATGGCTAACTTAGTCCGGAGTAGTTAGAGGCCTGTAGATCGGACATCTAGAGCATGAGGAGCATCTCTTGGCGCTTATTGGACGATAACGCGGTTTTGGTGGCTCAGCAGTCTTGGCACGGACTTAAGCCTTTTTTATCGGCGTTGATGACTTTTCGGTTTTTCTTCGGTTCGCTAGTGAGTTCGTCAGTTCGATGTGGGGAAATTGTCGACCGGTGAGGATCATTGAGGATCATTGAGGCCCAGTGAGGATCAGGATCACCTTGTCCCCATTTTTGAACTATTCCAGGATCTCCTGAGTGGGATCATCCCTGGACTACAAATGCAATAAGTGGCCTATTCACTACTCCGTAGACCATCATGGGATCCAACCCGGAACTCAGTTGATGATACCGGGAATATCGGATTCAAGACCCTGAGGGCCTAATTGAAGATGAGACGCAATCATTCGGCATGTTGGATCGGTGAGTGCCGCTCCCCGGAACCGTTGATCGGTTCTTGGCGTCTTCTAGATCCGCCAGCGGAGGCTGGTCAAGGCAGCAAAATTCCTCCGGACATCAATATGCAAGTGGCTGACAGCCAAGAAGTACGTAGTGGGGCCGTGGCTTTATCATCAACTGAGACCCTTAGAGTATCTTCGGACATCGACATGATAAATCCAGATCAATTGGTGTGGCTTAGATTGATCTTGAAGGATTCTCAAGGCAACAGAATAATAGATGGGAATTCAAGGTCAAGGTGCTTGGTGCTGTACGCGGATTTCCGCTGTACTCGTACCCCACTGCTTGGCGTGGTCTTATGTACCGGGGCTTAGACAGCCCTGCCCGAACTTATTGGATTCCATGGTCGTGTGTCAGCGACATATCTCGTTTTCGTACTGACAATATGGGTACAGGGCACAGCAGAAACAGTCAGCCAAGGGATTGTTGTCAGGCCTGAGAACATGGCTGTAAATAGAAATTATATAAAACCGATCCATTGCACTTGTCTGGTCTTTGAACTCCAATGCATAGGGATTTTAACGCCTGGAATGACGCAACTAATCCCGATCCTCTTCGCCTTAGTCTCGATCATACTGCTTATCCCAGTGTCAGCTATACCACGTGAGTTTGATCCGCGTTCTAAAACTTCCACGGTTGGATGATTGGCTGACTGTTCTTGCAAACAGAGGCAGACACGTTACACCTCGCCAACGCAAGGATACTCCCTCCACTCGGTGATGGCATATCATCACAAAAATTCGATCTCATCGCGGATATTCTCGAGTTCAACTCGACGATCAGATTCGCTCTAGAGACCAACGACGACCTCATCTCACAGGATGCCCGAGCCCAGAATTGGATCGGTTATGGTCAGACGGACAGTGGAAACCAGCTCAGCAACGGGCTGCACATGACCAAAGGAACATCGTGGATACAAGGAAGAACCGGTGAAGAATGGGATAATGCAGGGTGGGCGCGGCTCGCTCTCAGCCAAGCGAAAGAAGGTGTCAGCTTTGATGGAACATTCACCTTGTTCCACTCCCAGTATGAAATCCAACTAGAGGGGAATGATGGTGAGCTGTCAAGAATGATAGCCCAGAAACAAGACTCCGACTTCATAGGCGGCAATCAAACATCACATTCATCGTGTGCGACTGCTCCAGAAGACTTCCTAACAAGACGTCAGCTTGGATTGGTCAATGCATGGAGCGACAACCTGGAGAGTACCATCGGCAATACCGATGGTTGTCCGAAGACCAGACAGGTTGCAAATATTGGTATCATGACTGATTGCACATATACTGCAAGCTTTAATTCGTCGGATTCTGCCCGCAGATACATTCTGAACATGGTGAATACCGCCTCGGTCGTGTTCGAAAACAGTTTCAACATCTCCATCAGCATCCAGAATTTGACGATCAGTGACGAGCAGTGCCCCAGTACTACCTCACAGTCAACGGCGTGGAATACACCTTGCTCCAATGGAGACATGAACTCTCGCCTCCAGGCATTTTCCTCATGGAGGGGCTCCATCAATGACAACAATGCCTACTGGACACTTTTGACCGGGTGCTCAGTGAATGGAGGCGAGGTCGGCGTTTCGTGGATTGGGGCACTCTGCAACTCTGGCTCTGGAGGCTCCAGTAACGGCGGAGCAAGTGCCAATGTCGTCGCGCGGACGCAATCCGAATGGCAGGTCTTTGCGTAAGTCTCCAATCTGCACAAGAAGTCCAAAGCTAATCCAGATTCAACAGCCATGAATCGGCTCATACCTTCGGTGCGGTACACGATTGCGACTCGACAGCCTGTGGAGGATCCGGGCGCTCACAATGTTGCCCCATGTCTTCTAGCAGCTGTGATGCTGATGGGCAATACATCATGAATCCTGTATCAGGACGCGGGATGACACGCTTCTCTCCGTGCACTATTGGAAACGTGTGCTCCCGGATGGGGTCCGGCCAGGTTGACTCGCAGTGCCTGGTGGGCTCCGATGGGAACAGTACTGGAACTAGCGGCCAGTGTGGAAACGGCATCGTCGAGGCAGGAGAGGCGTGCGATTGTGGAGACGGCGCGTGTGATGAGCGTGAAACCCAATGCTGTGATTCTTTGACCTGTCAGTGGAAAGGAGGAAGTGATTGTCGATCCGATACTCGAGGAGGAAATGATGGAGGGAGGGGAACCACTGGGACTGGAACTGGAAGTGGTTCATCGAATGGCGATTCACTGTCGTCATGGGTCAATGATCATCTCACGTTGGTCATTGGACTCGCAGCTGGAATCGGAGGGGCGTTACTGCTGCTAGTGTTCGGATGCATTATTTGTTCTTGCAGACGCCCAAAAAGCCCCAAAATCCCCATCCAGCGGTGAAAGAATGTGTCATGATTTTCAAATAAACGAGTTATGAATGAAATTCTCAATATCAAGAAGCCTTTCAAGGTTTTGGAGACGTAACACTATTGGACCCCCACATCTCTCCGCAACTGCCCACCTCCACATCCGCAACTATGTATATGACCCCACAACAAACTCCGCGATGATACCTTGGCTGAAGGTCAAAAGATCAAGAGTGAAGAAAGGAAATTTATATAAAGAGCACATATCGGACACAATGTTGATGTTACCAAGATAGTCCTGCACTTGGCAACGTTTTTTTTCTTTCTTTTTTCTTAACTCGAGTTTTAACTACACACTATCACAATGCTTCCAATCACTCTCTTCCTCGGGGCTGCAATTGCTTTCTTGGTTGGATTACGAGTGCTGAGAATTGGTCGACGCCCCAAAAACTATCCTCCAGGGCCACCGACATTGCCAATTCTAGGAAACATCCATCAAGTAAGAAAGTTTGGATCTACGTCTGGTGTATACTGAGCTAACCTTCAAGCTGCAGATGCCCACTCGTGATGCTCATCTTCAATTCGAAGAATGGGCACGTGAATATGGCCCAGTTTACAGTTTGATCTTGGGTACGAAATGCTTAATCGTGCTATCAAGTGATGAGGCAGTCAAAGAACTATTGGACAAGAGAAGTGGTTTATACTCTCACCGTCCGGAGATGTACATTGGACAGACTCTGTGCAGTGGCAACCTGAGGTTGCTGATGATGGTGAGGATGTGTTGACAGATTGAATTTGGATGATCATTCTAGCTAACGAATTTGACTTACAGGGCTACGGTCAAACGTGGCGTGGGGTATGTCAAGAGCAAAAACTGGATTACACCTCAACACTGACTTTGTATCTAGTTCCGAAAGATGATTCACAGTCTGCTCAACGTGACCACTTCCAAAAAGTACATACCTTACCAAATGCTGGAGAACCGCCAGCTGCTCCATGATATTCTCACGCAGCCAGAGGGATTCTTAAAGCACATTCGACGATACTCCAACGCCCTGACGACCACTATGGTCTTCGGATGGCGCACGCCGACATACGAAGACGAGAAAATGATGCAGCTGTTTGATGGCTTCTCGGAATTTGCAGACATCAACCAAACCGGCACAGCTGCTATCATTGACTTCTTCCCATGGCTAAGAAACCTGCCCGAATTTCTGATTCCTGCACAAAAGAAGGCAAAAGAGCTCCACAAACACGAAAAAGCGTTATACCTCGGCCACTGGCTCCGAGCCAAGGAAGAAACTCGCCAAGGAAAGCTCAATCCATGCTTCTGCGCAGGAATGTATGAGGCGCAAAAAACAGATGGGTTCAGCGACGACCAAGCCGCTTATATCTCGGGAACCCTTCTCGAAGCCGGCTCTGACACCACATCAAGCACACTGTATGCCTTCATCCAGGCTATGTTGCTCTTCCCTGAGGTTCAGCGCAAGGCCCAAGAAGAGATCGAGAGAGTCGTGGGGTCATCTCGTTTACCAGTTATGGATGACATATCCGAGCTCCAGTATGTGCGAGCCTGCATGAAGGAGACAGTGAGATGGATGCCGACTACCATTCTCGGTGCTGTTCCGCACGCCGTAACACAAGATGACGAGTACCGGGGAATGTTCATTCCCAAAAATGCAGGCGTGTTGAACAACGTATGGGGAATCCACATGGACCCCAACCGTCACCCCAGTCCTCGGACATTCAACCCGGATCGATATCTGGATGATTATCAGAGCTTTGGAGATGCAGCGGCGAACCCGGATCCTTCGAAGCGTGATGTCTTCACCTTTGGTGCGGGACGCCGCATCTGCCCAGGGATTCATGTTGCAGAGCGGAGTCTGTTCCTTAGCATGTCACGGATTCTGTGGGCCTTCAAGATCGAGCCTGAGATCGATGGTGGGAACCCTATATTGCCGGACCCGGATCGTTTGACGCAGGGGTTCGTGTGTATGCCCGAAGAGTTCCCAGCAAGGATCACACCGAGGTCAACGCAGAGAGCGGATATGGTCACCCGGGAATGGCGAGAGGCAGAGAAAACGTGTTTGGATCTAAAAACCAGGCAGTGGGTGCAATCCCCCGTTGGATTCTGAGTATGATCCGCAGATTCAAATGGCCAAATGGGTTGCGCTTTGATGTTTGAGCTATATGACCCCGGAGTACTTGAAAAGTACGCATGGGATTTTGAGAACAGTATTCAATTCTGGTATTCAGGACCGGTATTACGAGACCCGCTGTTCCGATCCTGGGACACACGAGCAAACGGTATCAAAATAGAACGATGTATCCACCCGAAAACCTTGAAAGATACAAGCAGTAACGGCCCAGAAGCCAAGCCTAGGCACGCTTGAGTCCCGTAAGAGCTTGATTTCCAAGGTAACAACCCTATTTGGACAGTGGTGCGTCAAACTAGGGCACCTACAGATACAGTGTAGCAGATTGAGCCTAGGCCAGCTAGGAGGGATCTTGTGCATCTCACTTCATAAAGAGGGAATAACCTTGGCCACATAATACCTCATCCAGGACAGGGGTTTCGCGATAAGGGACATGAGCCATATAAGCCAGCGAACGGGAAGGTCTGCCTGCGAGGCATGTCGGTTCCAACTCGAGTTATGCAGGAAATGTCGACTTGTCGAAGGAACAGGTAGACAGGCGTATAAATAGGCCTGTCTTCACCTTTCGTTGTTCGTAACATTTCCGATGTCTGAATACCTGGCTGCCGGAGATAAACTAGCATGGCTGCTTTGCGTTGCCGTGAACATTAAGGTGTTCATAACACGATGATTGCTAACAGAATGAGGTCCATTACTGCACAATCCCAGCCACTTCAAGACCTTGTGAGTTTGATGATATCAAGAAATCCGCATCTCGCTTGATTGAACGATAATGGAGTCGGAAACGAAACGTTGGACCAGGACAGTTTTCGTTCAATCCAAAACGTCTATTTGGAAAAGATTACCAGGCGCAAGGGGGGGAGTGCGAGAATGTTGAATTTCCGGGGGCTTCCATGTGACGAAGAAGTGAAAAAATTTTTGCGAAAGCGAAGGGAAGAGATCCCGTTTTTGAGAAACCATAGGAGAAGGAAAATGCCTCGGGATATAAAATGGCGCACGGTGGAGAACGCACTACGGCGTTGGGGATTCGATCGCGTCGCGGTTTGAAGCCATTATGATTGGGCCGTTTCGGAGCTTAATTTTCCTTAATTTGGCCTTGGAAGTAGTATTCCTCATTTTCTCACTGTCTTTTGGTGTGAAATGGAGATTCTCATGGAGTACTCCGTATGCAGTATTGGATCACCTGAATCATTGGACTCGATTTGTTGCTGCCTGCCAAATGAAACCCTGTAAGTTCTGCTTAAGGAGGTAAGGTAGTCTAAGCGAGCACAGCCACCTTGTTTAGGGCCATGACGGAGGTGGTTTAGCTATTCCGTACCTCCAGTGCTATATTGTCTGCTGATGTGATCTCATCTCCCTCATGATAGGTTCGATGTTTCATGTGCATTGGGAGGTCACCGCTATGTACTCTTCCTTGACCCTTTGAAGCGTACTCCGTACGAATATCCCGTATGGAGTGTGGAGTATGGAATATGCCGTTTATGACACTCTGCCTATGGGAATGGGTTAATGAGCAAGGTCTTACCTCGAACTAAAAGGTAATATAGCTACTCCGTACAAATATTTGCCCTATGGCGATTGGCCGGGGAATCTGCGATCACACTTGAGCACCAGCCCCATGGTGGAACGGGCTTCTAAACTGCTGAACAGAGGCTCTCGGACGAATGTCCAATATCGAGTCAGTGGTTCCAGGGGTACTAGGATTGTACGAAAAAAATGGGAGACCGAAAAGCGGGAATGTATGAGGGATTTGTCGCCAAGATCTAGCACCGATCTGGCAGTCCGGGAGTAACATCTGAAATGATTTCCCCCGTTTCTGTGTGCTCGAGATGTCTGAGTAGTAGAACTTTCAAAAATCCCTCATAGATCTGATCTACTGGCAATATTTTCTTCGCTTTGAGCTCGCGTAGTGTAACGAGTTCGAGCTATGACTGCTGGCCCTTGGGGCCCATACAATGACCCTGTCAAAAGTACCTCATACTCTGCATGCTTACTCCATACTGCACCATTCGCACAGTCCAAGCTTAGGTCCAATCAAATACGACCAGAAAATAAAAGAATGGACCTATTTGCGCCAAAGTACGGGTCTCCAAATGCACGAGCCAGCCGTAGATCCTGTGGCTGGGATCAAATCATACCTTGCGGCTTGGTTCACGACAATGGAGGCACAGAACCGGAAAAAAAGCTAGAATGATTGTTCCTGTGTCATGCTAGGTCATCCTGTACTTGTCTTGTACCTGGAGTGGGTCAATTAAAAAAAAAAATAGGGTATAAAGACTGCTCCCTCCCACACACGTCCTTTATTCTCATATTAACGAGGGATGCTTATCGACGGTAAAAAGTGGGCTTGCGAAGCTTGCATACGGGGCCACCGTGTGACTAGCTGCAAACATCATGGTGAGTGCCTTGAGCAAGATTATCTCTTGTCCTTGGAGTATACAAAGTCCTCGAGGCACATTCAACGCACAGCCCTTCTAACAATGCGTACCCTTAGACCGGCCGTTGATTCGCATCAAGCGCAAAGGTCGTCCTTTCGCAACATGCACAATGTGCAACGCAACACCGTGCACAGCTCCGAGCGAGCACGCGCGCGCCAAACGTGACGCAGAGCTCAAATGTCCAAAAGTAACGCAAACACACAACACAGCCTGCAGACGACATATCTTCGGAAAGAAGAGAAAATTGCAAACGCCCTGGTGCTGATTGCTTTTCGCTCTTTTTTCTAGAAAGCCTCCAACGCAAGACATTACCCGCGGAATCATAGCACGAACGGTTTCCTTCCTATAGCGCCTCGTCCTGGCCCCGGTCCTGGGTCGGCCGCAGTGTCGAGGTCCAGTTCCGTGAACGAGAAGACTTCGACCACAGCCGTGACCAAGTTGAAATCTAGGTCGGGATCCAGACAGGACTTTGCTGAGACGCTGCCTTCGCGCTCTGCTTCTTCAGCCTCGGCGAAGACCCCCGCGTACCATGATGCCGTTGGAGCAGGAGATTGGTCTGGCTCGGAAGGGTCGTTCTCGGGATGCGAATCGTCAGGTCGGACTGTGTCGTTCTCCGCGTCGAGGATTCCCGGATCAGAGTCAAGCCTGAACCTGCACGCTGTGCAGGATTCTCCCCTTCCGAAATCCGCGCCCGGTTCGTTGTGCGACTATCCCATTTTCACGGGAGCCGAGGCCACCAATGCTGCGAATGTTTTATTCGATTCGGCATACACTCTTTTGCCCTCGACCTCAGCTGTGTCGTCTGAACAGACACAGACATTGCCAATGGTCAGTCCTCTGGAAAATGTAAACCCCTTTGAATTCCCACTGGACCCGACGCTGGCGTTAGGTTTTGGTGAGCTCGGCGAGTTGGAGGATATGAACATGGATCTGGGGATGCCCATCGTGGAGGGGGCGTTTCACGTGGAGGACTGGTCGAGATACATGTGGTCGGCTGAAACAGGATTTGAGCATTTGGATACTGGATTCCCTGTGTCTCAATAACAGCAGGAGTGCGGGTTCAAGGCCCGACCATTGATGAGCATGAATGACGATGACGATCCCTTTTTGCCTGTTTACTTTGACTGAAGTCAGAGCGGTTCTTTTATAATGGGAGGCTTGCATGTACAAGAACCTTTCCTGAAAGTCATAACAGAAATACTTGAAATTCAATGGGGGGTTGATGCAAACACCACATCCTATGCTAGATCCGAGAATTCGCAAATGGATGAAAAGCACGAATGCTCCCCAATGCTCCTTGCTGATGCAATATCATGATGGCAACGGCACTGAAAACGCCGACTATACAAAAAAAAAAAAGGAGAGATAATGGACTCAGAGCAAGGTCAATGTCCGTCCTATAAACTGTACAATGACCGGTGTATGCCTCGCCGAATTGTCCTATCTATACCTCTTGGATGTAATTCGCGGGAACGCTCTTGGTGACACCACCGCGCTCAACGTCAGCCCAACCATCACCACCGTCCCGGTTGATCAGGACAAACCGATCGCCCTCTGCCATGTTCCACTCCACATCACTACGAGCTTCGTAGTCATATAGAGCCTCGACATACTGTACTTTCTTGGCACCCCTACGGGGTGCAACGGCGGGCCCAACGCGCTTTGTTGCGGCACTACCAGCCAGCGAAGCAGAGGAATTCGAGTATGTGGATCCAGGTCTCTCAGGCATGGCAGGACTGGCGGAGGGTACAGGGGACGGTGTTGCAATAGCCTCAACATATGCTGTTGGAACTAGGCCTTCATTGGCTCCGGCGCGAATGCGCATCCAGCCACCATCTACACATTTATTAGCATTTTCATCCAGGCCTGGTGATTGAGAACATACCATCAGGTTCCAAGATGGCCACGTCATCCCCATCTTCCACGGTGACCTCATCTGAGCTGGTTGCTTGATATGCGTAGAGCATTTTGCCTCGAGGCTCCTTGGGTTTGGATTCGCTTGGCGGGGGCGCAGCCACATATGCCGCCGGAGGAGGGGCAAGCACTCTGTGGGCTCGCTTCGCAGCCGCGGGCTTTGTCTCAGCCACCGGGGCCGGAGGTTCATCCCCCGCCAACTCTGGGGTGGGCTGAGTAGCAATGTTTGATACCGAACGGGCTGTGCTGGCCGCATATCCCGAGCTTAGAGAATTCATCGTGTTTTGGCGAGTAAGTGAGGGAGCAGCAGTCGAGACAGCAGGAGAATCCAGATCAACGGCAGGCATAGCACCTGCTTGCTCTTGTCGTGAAGCCTTGAGCTTCTTCTTGTCTTCCTTGGTCTGCTCGCCTGGACATTCTGCCGGAACCTTCATCTGACATTTGCTGTGGCAGGTGTATCCACAGTCTCTGCAATCAAAGCCTTTGGCTGACAAGCCCCAAATGCGTTCTCCACAAAGATCGCAGTTGGTCGGAATCTTGAATGTCTGAGAGCGGAAGTTGTGATTCTGAGCTCCAAATGAAAGATCACCGGCCACAGCCATGATAGTTGCTGTTTCCACCTCGGCTGTGACCCATTTACGATCCACGTCATGAAGGGATTCGGTCATGTAGAATATGGATCGCACAACATCCACTTCGTTTCTATTGTCCTTGTCGCTGAGAATGCTTTCACGAACCTTTTTGCTGGCTTCCACCTCTCGCTTCTTACGATCAGCCTCAACCCGTAGCTCGCGAACTTGAAGCTTGCTCTTTCCTAGAACATTGCGTAGGAAAATTTTGGCTGTTTCGTCAGTGATGATCGAAGCATCGTCGTGCCACACTGGGCTAGGCTCAAACCCAAGGTTTGGTGGTTCTTGTGATTGCGTGACGTTATGTTGAAGGAACATCAAAGAGTCTAGTCGCGGGTTGTTGCGAGGAATCTCAACCAGAAGGTTCGACATATGATCCGTGCTACCTTGGAGGGAAGACTTTTCCAATTGGGCGGCGAGAGTCCACATAATGTTCATTCTTGCGACTCGGGTCTCATTGAGATTTTGTAGGCCCTGGTGAGAAGCATGAGCTGACTATCCCAAAAAGCGGATGGAAGGAATCATACATCAATCACTTCCGGGACATATTCATGATAGAACTTCTCCTTCAATTTGTTTGTCACGTTAATGCTGATAAGATAGAGATTCTGTCAACAAGTTAGCATTCATCAGACAGAGTCGACGGGATTTTGGAAAGCATGCCTTGTAATTATTCATTTCCAGTATTTGTTGTTGATATGCCGCCGTTGCCTTGCTCTTGCCGTGGTCGAAGGATGACTCCATCTTCTTTCTGCGGGATTCGACTTCCTGGCATGCACCGTCGTATTTCCCTTTGGCCTTTTTCAAATCACCGTAGGCAGCCTCCCGCTCCTTTTCTAGCTTGCCATGGTAGTCGGAATGGGATTTGCGAATCTCCTCGTATTGAGCGGCCGCTTGTTTGAGAGGATCCGCGACTTGGGTTATTAACTCGGATCCAAACTTGTCGCGCTCGGCAGCGTGGGATTCCACGGCATTCAATTGTGTTGTCCATGTTGTCAAAGATGCACTCTCAAGGGAGCCAGGAGTCAAAGTGGGTGTATCTCCAACGCTCAAGGGGCTGATCTTCTTCGCCTTGCGGTCATAGTACTTCTTACACAGGGCGGTTAACTTGGCAGCGTACTCCTTCTCGATCACGCTGCGCTCGCGATAGAACTGATTGACTTCTTCTACCCAGGATATGCCATTCGAGACCTGTGCGACGTATATGCATTAGCTCCGGCTCAGCGCACGAGGGGATCTGATGGGCCGGTTGCGGGGAAGTGAGGCTGGGGGGAAGGTACCCAATTGTTGACGGGCTTGAAGGAGTCCTATATGATTAAAATGGTTAGCCATCCGCGCGCAACAACGAGAATGGGATTGTTACCTTGAGCTCTGCTCCGAACTGCGGAGCAACGTCAGCCATGGCTTGAGGCAAGGCAGACGCGCATGAAACGCGGGATAATGGAGAGACCAGACAATAAAAGGGGATACTACCAGTACCCTTGATCAATAAGGTAAGGTATCCCGGAGCGATTCAAAGCAGATATCAATCACTTCAATGGCATTCAATCCAATGGGGTAATGAGTGCATGGTCTCCAGGCGGGGAGACCACCGATACCTTTCTGGCCCAATTGGGACTAGCTCGCAGGCCTGAGGCAACGAAGCCATTAGCGTCCTTTGGCGGGCGAACCTGAGCTCATTCATTGTTTTCCATTGATCCCACCCATCCTCGGTGTTTTGATCTTTGTGTCTCTCTGTCTTTCCTCCCAGGAAGCTGCGTGACACGCATTTACTTCGCGGGCTCTCATCCATCCGGAACTTTTCTTGACCCCACGCCAACCCCACTATCCTTTCCCTCGCCATCTTTCTTCGCGTCATCGCCTCGACTTTTTAGCTATGTCAACTGAAACCCCCGAGGCCTCGTCTGTCGGCGGCTCGCTGGCCGATCGTGTGACCAAGCCCGATGACACCAACCCCGCCGGTACGCACGCAACCACGCCCTCGCCGTCGCTGATTTCTTCAATCCACGACTGAGAACCCTCGCGATACATCGGCTGATAGCTAATTGATGGATTTTGATTACTTAGATGCCACCCCAGTGAACAATGGAGATGGAGCTTCCGGTCCTGCACAGGGCTCGGTGGACCTCGAAGAGCCGGATTATACCGTTGAGGTGAAGCTCAGTGACTTGCAGGCGGACCCCAACAACCCTCTGTTCTCAATTAAAACCTTCGAGGATCTTGGCTTGTGAGTGTCTAAGGCTAGCTCTATAGCTTGGATAGGCGATAACTGACTTTATGGCTATCCTAGGGACGCGCGCATTCTGAAGGGCCTCTCCACTATGAATTTCCGAAAGCCTTCAAAGGTCCAAGAGCGTGCCCTGCCCCTCTTGATGAGCAACCCACCCAAGAACCTGGTTGGTCAGTCGCAATCTGGAACCGGAAAGACTGCTGCTTTCGTTCTCAATGTCCTGAGCCGTCTCGATCTTTCGGATCAAATGCGCATCATGCCGCAAGCTCTCATCCTCGCCCCGACTCGCGAATTGGCTCGTCAGATTGTCGGTGTTGTTCAAATTATGGGACAATTCCTGGATGGCCTTACCATTGGCACCGCTGTTCCCGCCGACTCTAACGCTCGCCCCTCCAAGATGGAAGCGGCAGTTGTTGTGGGTACACCAGGCACCGTTCAAGATATGATCAAGAAGCGCATTATGAATCCTACCGCCTTGAAGGTTCTTGTGTTGGATGAGGCGGACAACATGCTTGACCAGCAAGGTTTGGGAGACCAGTGTATCCGCGCTAAGGCGTAAGTGTTCAATGCAGCATATCAGGATTTTCTTCTACTGACACTTGTCTCACAAAAGAATGATCCCCCGCGATGTCCAGATTGTTCTGTTCTCCGCCACTTTCCCCGCACACGTGTATCGCTACGCAGGCAAATTCGCTCCCGGTGCCAACGAAATCACTCTTCAACACGAGGAACTGACAGTTGAGGGCATTAAGCAGCTCTACATGGATTGCGCTAGCGAGGAGGAAAAATATCAGAACCTTGTTCAGCTTTACGGGTTGCTCACCGTCGGATCTTCCATCATCTTCGTCCGGGTATGTGCTGCTTGAAATAACAAACGAAAAATTGCTAACGGTCTTCAGACCCGTCATTCTGCCGCCGAAATCGAGCGTCGCATGGTCGCCGAAGGTCACACCGTCGCCTCCCTGACCGGTGGTGTGGAGGGTTCCCAGCGTGATGCTATCATTGATTCCTTCCGTAGTGGTGATGCTAAGGTCCTCATCACGACCAACGTTCTGGCTCGTGGAATTGATGTTTCCACTGTCTCTCTGGTAGTCAACTACGTAGGTTTCCATCACCATCATGGGATGAATCAAGCTAATTCTTTGTCCAGGATATTCCCGAGGAGTACTCCTCCGGTCACCGCACACACACCCCCGACTTCCAGACCTACCTTCACCGTATTGGTCGTACTGGTCGCTTTGGCCGTATCGGAGTGGCCATCTCCTTCGTTTCAAACCGCGACGAATGGGAGATGCTGCGCAAGATTCAAGCGCACTTCAATTGTACCATCGACCGGATTGACACCAGCGACTGGGATGAGGTGGAGGAAATCATCAAAAAGACGATCAAAAACACTCGCGCCCAAGCCGGATTCAACCAGTGATTGCTTGCGAGCACGGGTTCTAAGTCATCCGTCGCACTGCCTACTTTGCAATCTTCATCAACAATCGGTATCTACCGAAAAACCTTATGCTTCATGTTCTCAAGAGTGATGAAATCTCTTCTCTTTTCTACGAGTTGGTGGGGGGCAGGAGAGGAAATTAGATACCAATATGCGCATTGCTGCCCCTGCAGCCCAATCCACTCTCCGACCATATCCTTCGTCCTTGGACGACTTTAGCTACGAACCGACGGCTTCATCTGCTGCATATCAGTTGCCAATTCCATGCTATGTACCACCCTTCTTCGCTCAGTGCGCCTTGTAAATTTTTCCATTACCTTTTGGAACGGCCATTTTGTCTCAACATTTTATTCGACACATGAAAATTCTCGTGGTCACTCTTTGTTTTGGTTGCGGTCTAGAAGCCCCACCAAATCGATCAGAATGGTCATGAAACGCTTCAATGCACATGATATCCACCAGGGCCCTGGAAACCGAGCTCTTGGGCCAATGGAACCCAACATAGACCCAATGCTTGGCTCTTCGTATTCACCCATGTTCAGGGCATCGGCTCCATCGAATACGAGCCCGAACAGCATACATCGCCAGTCCTGCTTCGTGCCAAGAGATTTCAGACCAGTTACGGGACTGCAAAGGACTCTAATTCTCGATTGTCAGACACACTAATCTTTGCACCATACAGTTTGGGCTCTCGGCTCCTTTGGTGAGATGAGGAGGCTTGTTACTTCGTCAAATTTGGCTATAATAGGCTTAGCCAAGTGGATGAGCCTCCTGGGGCACCACGAGGATGCTTTTGCCCTTAGTATATAGTTGAAGTCGGGTCTGACTCCGAACTCGCTGTGCTTTCTGCGAGGCATTTCGTTGCACCAAAGCCTAATGAGCTACAATGAAGCTACTCCCCATCATCTTCTTCTGGGCGCACGGCCATATATTGGGTGCATATGCTTCACCATGGTTCGGTACGGAATATGTTGCACTCGTGGAATCAACTCTCGGATCAGGCTACACGGGGGAATACATCACATATGATCCGGTGGTTGCGACTTATACTAAAGTCATCACCCCGACTGTCCCTAATCCCACTGTTACTAGCACGATCACCAATGTGGAATACTATAACGGTGTAACAGCAGTTCAGCTTGTCGTCGAGCCCACTGCTGGAGTCATCAACACGGGCTACAACTATCTCAATCACTATGCGACAGTGACATATACGGCACCATCATCTTGCTCCTATACAACAAGCCAATCACTCACGACAGTCATCCCAATCAATGTTCCAAGAGCTGCAGAAGGCCTCGTTGATCCGGACCTCGTCACTACAACCGTAACATACCGCTACATCACGGACAGCTATACGCGAACAAGGGCGATGCTTGATGTTTCCGAAATCCCCGCAAGCGTGTTTTCTTCAGCCAGCTCCTATTACAAACCGTCAATGTATAAGACCTGCGACAGCTACTACCGAACAGGACGCACTACATATGTCAGCGGTGGCGGTTCAACCTCAAACCGTTATTCTGGCTGCAGCAAATTCATCTGGTACATCGGCGGCTCAGAATTCTCAGGTGGATATTGCTGCTCGGACGGGTGTCATTACACATGGGGAATTCCGCCATGGGGCTTAGGTCTCGCAATCTTCTTCGGGTGGTTTGGGCTATTTTTGATCATCGGCTTCGTTGAAAGCTGGTTCACATTCCGACGAGCTATGTTAGGCCAAAAAGCTCGCCGTGGTCTCCCGTACGGATTCGCCTGTTTGTGTCCTATCCTATCGTGTCTTTTCCTCATCACCGTCAAGAAGTATCCCGCCAAATCACCAGAAGAACAGGCATTTCTCGTCGCAAAATGGAAGGATATGTCCGGAGCTTCTAAGATTGGATGGTGGCTGAAATATCTCTTCCGTCGCAGGGATCCGGCTGCCGTTGTTCTTGGCCGCCCATTGCCTGGGCCTGCTGCGGTTCCGTACCCTCAACAGCCGTATCCGCCGCACGGTGGTCCCTGGTACCCACCTCCTATGCTTGGCCCTGATGGGGCACCCGTGGTAGGCTATCCTCCGCAACAAGCGTATGCTCCTCATGGATACCCCCCTCCGCAAGGATACCCTTCTCCGTCTGTTGTGCCTTCTCCGCCGCATGCTGTGAGCGAGATGAGCGAGAGTGGAGATGGTGGTTCTCAGCCTAGTCAAAATCCTCAGCCTAGTCAAACTAAGGCTGTAGAAGTAAACGAGACAGAGAGGAGGTGAAAGAAGTCCCCTCTAGGCACCCGGTGAAATATGATCATCTATGGGCGTCAATTTTCATGTCATTGAAAGAAGGATCGATCGGATTTCAAATGGCCCGCGGTCCTGCCAAAGTGGTTCTAATGTCTAGATAATCAATGCTTCCCACAAATATATCGAAGTGAAATTCCCAATTATTCCAATGGTTGTTTTTAAAACAACCATTGATTGAAAGCAACCCCAAAATCCATATTATTGAACATATCCAGTCCGTCAGCTTCAATCACAGAATCAAAGTTGAGCAGAGAAGATTCGCCAAGATTTGGATCAGGGAGTATGGACTGCGGTTCTAAGATTTCATCGATAATCTTTGAGAAAACCTTGCTAGCGTGTTGGAACAGGGCATAGTTAGCGTTATCGGGACGCGCAATGGATTCAAGATGTGAGATGAAAACACTCAAGTTCCGAATAAGTGCCGATCTTGACGACTCGTAGAGGAATGGCTCGCCAGTGCGCTTTTGGTGTTGAAGGGCTTTGATGAGTAGACTAGCGCTCGGGAACCCATAGAGCAGGATCTGCAGCAATTATCAGCAATTAAGAACCGTTTAATCCACGATACTCAAATGTACCGTCCATGTAAAATCAGGGCGTAGGTCGACCATTTGTTCACGTTGCGTGCCCAATGTCAATACTGTTGACAGAATTTCTGCGCTCACAGCCAATAATGCCGTGTTGCCTCTGGGGTTGTTCTTTCCAGCTATCAGTCTTTGGATGAGAAAGTCGTTGTAGAGATATGCAAGATGGGATATTATCATCATCAAGCACACAGCTGCGGGAGATCCATCCCAGCATTGTGGTGTATAGCGCAGATGGTTAGGTAGTGCCTCCCATGCTAGGTGGCAGCGTCGGGAAATACCCCTGTATGTCGTTAGTTGCTGGATTCTGACGGAAATAGCAGCCATGTACTCACTCAAGCATGTCTTCAATATCAGGTGTCAATTTCCGAAGAGACACTTCGAGAATTTCATCTCGGAAAGTGCTCACGATGAAACGGACTCGCATCCATGATGATCTTTGGACTACTCCGTGAATACTCCAGCCATTCTCATCGATGTAATCGTGGGAGTAGTCTAGGACCATATTATCAGTAGCCAATGCCTCGTCACTAATATCGAGAGGCATGCGACAATCCGCATAGCGCCAGGGTATGCGCGGTGGTCTTCCTAAGAATGTAGCGATGCTTTTGTCAAGTTGGTAAGCCGCGGCAAACTGCCGTCGACGGGTTTCAAGCAAGAACTCCGGTATATCGCTTGAGTTCTTCATGTCTCGGTGGAGACCAAGGGCGAAGATATCAGTTGAAAGCTCACCTAGTCGGTTCCAACAAGAGGGGCCTGGGGAATGTCAGTTTGAGCGATGAAACATTTATGCGGGAGAGACAGACTCGAGTCACCATTGACTAAATCGGACAATAGGAGATTCTCGTGTACCAACCAAATGGTCAGGTCATTGAGTGGTGTTAGGATCTTGCAAACATATAGTGCGGCGTCACATGCCGCAAGCATTTTACGTGCATACTGGGACCGTGAAGTACTGCAATCGGTAAACTTGTCACGGGCAAGTCCGAGATACCGCGCTCGACCTGCAAGGCCACATAGTATTCCGACGATCTCAAGGCGGATTGATGAGCCTGTGAAAAGAGTATGGAATTCCCTTCCTTTGGTCGACGGTGGAATCTCGAAGATCTCCGATGTGTTTTGTACAATGCGCACGGTCACAGAAGACGCCAAATCATCCAAGTTTTGATTTGATATGCTGTCTTTGCACATCAACTTCATCGGTTCGATGCTGTTCAAGATGAAAGGCGCTGCGATCACAGCGCTTTGGCTCAAGGCATAATATTCGCGGAGTAAAGCCTCTACGGCGGTAAAATCGCCAAGAGTCAACAGAACTTCGGAGATCTTATGAACCCAGTAAGGCGGCAGTACCCTCTGTGGGGACTCCACACTGAGACTTAGACTTTGACGATCAGATAGATTGACATCTTCAGTCAGAGGAGAGACGAAGCTCGTTGGGCCGAAGTAACCTGGAAGAAGCGGTTGGGTGCGGGCGGCTGGTCTGGAAAAGCCTTCCTGTGGCCCATTTGCTACATAGGAATTGAAAGATGCTTCATTTGAATGCGGGTTCCTGGGGAGTAAGAGCCATGAGAGCCTGATACGCGTGCATGAAAGGGGGATCCATTGGGCGGAGAAACACTCGGACTCAACCATTGGGCATCTGCCGATCGACTCCGACCGTTGAAAGAAGACATAGGATCGAAATGAACGTAATTGACATACCGAGTTGACGGTGCTCGATCAAAGGGAACACCCTCTGCTAGCGGGAAAATACGACGGCCCTTTGGCCGTGTAAGGGGTGCTGGGTGATAGAAACATCGCTGAGAGACACCACGATCTCTACAGCGGGTACACACTGGCAACGCATGGTCGCAGCGGACTTTGTCTCGGCGACACGGCTCGCAGGAAGCTGGTTTGCCGTTGCGACGGCGCGAAGTACTGCTCGCGATTAGCGATAGTCTCTAGTCAATGTCGGTAACTTACACCATGAGAAATTGAAGCCTTGATCAGGCCCAATCTCTATTGAAAGCCAGCAACTTGAGGTGTCGAGGAAGTTCGGCGTTCACAGCTCCGGTTACTCCGTAGAGCAATGCCGAGCTCCGGAGAGTGGAGACTCGGAATGGGGCTAGAATGGAGTATACAAGACTCCATATACTTCATGTACGAGTATTGTGTAGATTGTTGGCAGAGTGACCGCTACTTCAAGAAAACAAGTACCAAGGAAGCTCCAGCCAACAAGAATACAGTCAATCTGTACGTTTTCCCCCTGCTGCAGATAAGCCCCTCCGATAACGTGCGGAGAGAGAGATAAGTCACATGGAGTCACATGGACTGTAACACCCCTCTTCCCCCCCCTGCTTTCTCTTTCTACAATTCACTCCAAAGACAATAGTAACTACATTCTATCATGACCATGTTGACGACAGAGCCCACTGAGGGGGCTGAGCAGCCCCTCGACTCCTCTTCAACCGCCAGCACCCGTTATAGCAAGCACATCATTGTATGGGTACCAGGAATGGGGCTGGAAACGTCGAGGCTAACATGAGTACAGTTGACCACATACCCAGGCCAGAGTGGCATTGAGCCAGTTCCTCTCGAGTGGGGTGCTGCGGATGCCAAATCCCGAGGCCCGATCGTTGTATCACGCAGCGGGAACCTTCTCAAGCGCCGTAACGCAATCGGTGCCCACGGTGGTAGCTACAGCATCTATAATGCTCTTGCAATTGCCGCGGGTGACTTGGACGCGGACTTCCGACCGGATTTCCGCAACTCTGAGCCGACCTTCAACTTCCCCTGGCAACCTGCGTGGGCAGATAAGACAAAGATAGTCTCTTTGGATCCATATGGTCATGACATTGTCAACCAGTTCAAGCAGGAGCTGGAGGCAGGCTGGGATATCCGCCCCACCATGGCTGTCACTCGTGCTAACATGAAATTGGCGGAGATTGCGGATGATGTGAAGAACGGTCTGCTCGAGGTGGATGGGAACATTCTGGTGGACTCTTCGGGTGAGGTACGAGTCACCAAGGTTGCTGCCGAACCAGTTTGGTATCTTCCCGGAGTTGCAGAGCGCTTCGGAGTCGACGAGGGTACGTTGCGTCGTACTTTGTTCGAGCACACCGGTGGAAGTTACCCAGAGCTCATCACTCGACCGGATCTCAAGACATTCTTACCACCCATCGGGGGTCTGACTGTGTATATCTTCGGTCCGCCGGAGCGAATCTCTGACGAGAATGTGAAGTTGGCTTTGCGAGTCCACGACGAGTGCAATGGAAGTGATGTCTTCCAGTCCGATATATGCACTTGCCGGCCATATCTGGCATTTGGGATCCGCGAGGCCGTGCGGGAGGCCCAGAATGGTGGTAGTGGTGTGGTTATATATTTCCGCAAGGAAGGTCGAGCCCTCGGAGAGGTGATCAAGTACCTGGTGTATAATGCACGCAAGCGAGGCGGTGATACTGCCGATAAATACTTCACCCGAACAGAGAATATTGCCGGAGTTCGAGATGTATGAGTATTGACCATGTTCACCTTGTCCACAGCGCTGACCCTTGACAGATGCGATTCCAAGCACTTATGCCCGACATCCTCCACTGGCTTGGCATAAAGAAGATTGACCGCATGTTGTCAATGTCGAATATGAAGCACGATGCGATCGTTGATACTGGGATTCAGATTCTCGAACGTATCCCCATTCCCGACGAGATGATCCCTAGCGACTCTCGCGTCGAGATTGACGCTAAGATCCAATCGGGATACTTCACCACCGGAAAGACACTCACAGACCAAGAGTTGGCTCAGGTCAAGGGACGTGGCTGGGAAAAGTGGGAAGACATCGCTGTAAGTCGAATATGTGTTTCTCTTTGAACGTGAGTTGCTAACTCCTCGGCAGCACTGAGCTGGAGTAGATTTCCTCGGTTGGTCTCGCGTTTGTGTGATCCTCAATGCCCGTTACGCGCCGCCTTCTTTGTTATTAGCTTAGCAGACACTTGCATAACACCCGAATAAATTGCATGACTTAGGTCTCATACTAAGGAGTAGTATGTCTCAACCTTGGAGGTTAGAGCAGATGTAGAATGCGACGAACATGACGAGGAAGCCACAAGGTCCCCACTAAAGACTCGGAGCACCTCCGAGGGGTGGGGGAAGCAAGGGTGTGCCCAGTGATAAGATCGAAATCAGCCACAGCAGAGACTACATAACACAGCCTTTCGACCTGCCCGGGTGGGCAACTTTCCTAGCCCTGGGGTACCCACGCCAAGCCGCATTACAGTGTGCAATTCGTGTCTTTGTGATATACTAGAGTATGGTTTAAAAACAAAGATTCCAAGGTTGTGTACTCGTAGTTGCGTCAACATTTAAAATGGGCAATCTTCGGCGAACTAATTGCAACCTTGGTGCTCCTCAAATGGCCACAAAAACAAAGGATGCGGCGAGCGAATTTGAGTTATAACCGATCTAAAGTTTTGGGTTGAACAGTTTCTCAAAACTTCAAGATTCATCCAGGGTACCTTTCAGCATTGTATAAAACTGAGCACTAGCTTGCCTAGATTATATTTACGAGTAGAATGGAGCGGCAAAGCCGTCGATCTAAATATCTTCTTAGAAATGATGGGTTATTTCACGCGTGTGATGTCAAAGAGTACTCGTGAGAGCACGAAGCTTTCTTCAAAGTGGAATTAGCATGAGGCTCGGTGGAGCAACCCACTGTCGGTCGACTTTGGGCACGGGCGAAATTGCTCTTTTCGGAGCTCACACTGACTCCTTACTCGGGCCGACAGCTAACCCAGTTGAGGGTCTTGTCTGTGGGCAAGTTACCAAAGAAAGTAATTCGTGGATAGTTGATTGAGTCATACAGGAGGCTAGATGAGGCTATGGAGCTGTATATACTCGTAGCGGTCGTCGACGGTGGTGAAACAGACCCGTACGGGTACGAGTAGGAAATGTATTGCGGCGACCAAATTAGCGGTGGCTCTGTACGAGTAGTTTGCTTCAAAGTGGAGAATGCACCAGAAAGGCTCCAGCCTTATACTCCACAGGGCAGAGCGGTGATGTATTCAATAAGTCGGTCAAGGTTTTCATGTGGTTGCTGTTAGTATTGAATTGATTAGAGGCGTTTGATTCGAGTTGAGCTGGGGAGATTGCTCGTGTTGCACGCAATGAAACAGGCACTGAGTGTTTCATTAGTAGACCCTCAAGCCGAACGTACGCCGAAGAACTGCAAGTGGGATAAGATGGGGTTTGAGCTACTCGTAGTTAGTCAAAGGAGGGGCCACTCATGACGCATGATCCCCAGCAGAGAAATGAAAAATGGCATCAGGACTAAGAAAAAGGTACTCGCAGTGAGAGCCGGCTTCTGTTAATGGACTCGCCGACACCGGATTGTAGATCCACCGCTGTTTTTAGTTTGCCCCAATTGATTTCATTCGTCTCCTGCGCCGTGATGGATTCCGGTGCTGCCGGCACAGAGGGAAGAGTGGAGACTGGCACGATCAGATAAGATCATAACGCGCCCAATTTTTCTTCCCGTGTTACCCTCCTGCGGGGCGCCAAGAATCCACGCGCTGACGTGTCCAGACGATCAGAGAGTAGTAAGACGGATGAATTTCGATTGTGTTCGTGTAGCTGGACGAGAATTTTCGACTTTAAAAGAGACAGAGGAAAGGGAAGATGGAAGTAATGTCCGTTGGTGTTTGTCTGTGATCACATGGGGAAGCAGCTGAATCATCCAGGTGGAGTGGAGCAGACCTGGAACCAATGAAAACTCTTCTGAAGTTACCGTAATGAAATAGCGAATACCAGATTACACGCAGAAAACGTGCTGAGTCATTGTATTTAACCTCGGGATTTCAATCAGGGGTGACAGCCGGCGAGCCGGAAGTGCGGCCAGCCGCGATCATACGACCATAACTGCCCTCTCCTTTGGCTGCCTGGAGTTCCATAGGCTAACTTCCCCTGATCTTCATGCATGGGGGTACTGGAAGCTCGATCACAGCTTAAACGGATAGCTTCGTTTCCTTCCTACGAGTACCCATCTGCTTCTGTGCATACGCTCATCTGATCCACCCTGTAACGCTCCGAGACGATCACCTTTTCGCAAAGAACAAATTGTACTAGAACCCACTTGGTTCCTTGGGCCGAACTGTTTGCGCTACGTCTCTTGGGTGTGGGTATCTTCCACACCCCTGCTTTTTGCTCTCCTCCAATCGCCTACCACCACCCGTGACTGTGACTCTGTCTCCCCCTCCTCGCATCTCAGTCTCTACATCTCTCTGTGCAATAAACATTTACGCCTGTCAAGGATCACCCATGCGAATCCTAGAATTGCCCTCAACGTTGAATATAGTGAGTGTATTCTATGTTATCACAATCTTGCTCCCGCCGCTAGCCTGTATTGGCAAGGCTCTATGCCGTGCTTGAACGAGGCTATGCTATAGGCAACCCATTTCTCTCGTTCATAAGAAAAGCGACCCTTAATCATATTGGAAACTAACACCTCAAACAGTGAGAACCATCCGGAGTTCCCGTTACATCAATCGGACTTAGATCGTTACGGGCACTGGTCACGGATCCAACCGCAGGGTCCCAACCGAGATGTCCGGCCCCAACATGGATAATGATTTCCAGCTTTTCTCTCCGCGGAACACCGACGGAGATGAGCCGCGAGGAAACAACCAGATGTTTACGCATCCGGCTGGAGAGAATGTAAACCAAGATTGGACCCAGTGGATGCGATGGGACGAGCCCATGTTCACCGAGGGAGATCAGAAGCCGACGGGCTCATCCGTGGATTTGCCATCTATCTCTCCCCATACGGACATGAGCTCTCCGACTCATTTGAATCACAAAGACTTCTCACCCAACCTGCCTCTTGGCTTGATGGAGATTCCGCCTGGATCCAACGGACGAGGTAGTATGGGTGGATACCAGAATGGTTACCCGGATCAGAACTGGCACATTAACCAACCGCAACACTCGGGATTAGTTTCTCCCATTTCAAGTGTTGGAACGAACCGCAAGCGCAAGACTGGAAGCGACGACGATGCAACAACAGTGACCGGTCCCGTGCAACCCGGCAAGAAGATGCCAGCTAAGAAGCGCGCTCACAATGTCATTGAGAAGCGATATCGCGCCAACTTGAACGACAAAATTGCCGAACTACGTGACAGTGTGCCTAGCCTTCGGTCGACTAAGGGCTCGAATGGAGGATCGCCCGACGAGGACGAGGAAGCGGAAGGAACGACCAATGCGAGCAAGCTAAACAAGGCATCGATTTTGTCTAAGGCCACCGAGTATATCAAGCATCTCGAAACTCGCAACAAGCGCTTGGAGGACGAAAACACCGCCTTGAAGAATCGTCTTCGCCAGGCCGACAAGGCGGCAGATCAGGCCGTCACATCATCCGCTTCAGTCTCATCGCCCAGCAATTATGCCTCAACGGACCCAGACTCTGGTAGCTCGCCAAGTGTCTTCTCGCAAGCCGATGAAAATACAGCCGAGAGCTCACCTACCTCGCAAAACCCCCCAGAGGGACTCCTTCCCGTGCCAGACTCATGGAAGCGCATGCGAGCCCAAACTGCCCAGCAGGGAGCCTTTGCCGAGTCCTACATCAAATATCCATCTTCCTCCTCACCCCACCAACCGCAATTCGCGAAGGAAGAGAAATCTACTCGACGATCAAAGATGCCTAACAAGTACATGCTGGGTGCTCTGGCTGGTCTGATGGTTCTTGAGGGTCTGGGATCTGACGATTCTGAGACTGAATCAAAGGGGCTGTTTGCACTTCCCTTCCGCCTGCTCAGTCGTCTTCAGACACCCACCATGGCACACTGGGAATTCTACTTGAAAAATTTCTGGTACTCATGGCAGGCGCGTGCTTTCTCTCATTTCCTTGGCTTGGCCACGCTGGTCGTTGGCTGTGCTTTCATCGTTTTCCTTTACCTATTCAATGCCCAGCCTATCGCGCGACGAGGCCCGTCAAAGTCCGTCTCCGAGTGTCCAGCTGCGCTTCTTACTTCTAGTGACTTCCGCCGACAAGCTTGGTTGACAAGCATGCAACGGGCGGGTGTCCCACGCCACAGATTCTTCCGAGAGTGGTACGTGGTCACTTCTCGATGCTTCGAATACGTTTTGCGTTGCTTCATGGGTTGGAAGATCTACTCATGGGCCACCGGTATTACCGAGGAAGATGAGAAAGGACGAGTCAAGACCTGGGATATCGCCATTGACGCCCAGCTTACGGGCGGAGATGCCGAGATCAGCAAGAGTCGACTTGTCCTCACCATTTTCGCCGCCGGAACACTCCCCTCTACTCCTACTCGAATGATCATTAAGGCTTTGCACGTCCGCATTCTCCTGTGGAATGTTGGAGAAGCTGGTTCTTGGTCTTTCCATATGTCTAACGATATCGCCCGAGCTCTTGCCAGGTTCCAATGGGGCGTGGCTCGCGAGATCAACGACTCACTTCCTGACGGGCATCCCGATCAGCTCCCTCCTCATCTTGCTGCTCTTGTCCAGTTGGATTGCGATGATGTCATGATCGACAACATCATTCAGCGTGCTGTCAATCTCACCTGGAACCGACCTACTCAAGAAGGCACTGGCGATGATGAGGTGCTCCTTGATGTTGTAGATGAAGACCCAGCGATTCAGTGCTCCCAGGACGCGCTTGCAGCCTGGTGGTCGAGCCATTTGTTGCAGATCGCTTTGCTCAATTATTTCGAAGCCAGTGAGAAGGGTCCGGTGTCCAAGGCATCTCGCGATGCTTTCAAGGAGAAGATTCGCATGTCTCTTGATGTCGCACCTCGCCTTTCTGCTGCGTATACTCGCGCTCTTGTTATGAAAGCTGTCTTTTTTGAACAGAACCGCATTGAGAATGTGAGCGCAGTCCTGGCTGCCCTCCCAAAGGAAAAAAGGAAGGGAAGCCAAAGCCATTCTTTCAACTTCATCGATTCATCCCTACCCGTTTCCGTGCGCGATGAGATTTCCATCGCTGTGCGTTGTGCTATGATCGCCGCCATTGTTACCGCTCGATCCCCTGGCGGTGACGCTGCTTCACTTCCAGAATCCTTCACCATCCAAAAGGCTATCACCTGGTTCAATCAACTTCCCATTGATCCTGTCGAGCTGTCATTACTGGGCTTCTCATCTGTTTACCATCTCCTCCACCTTCTTGCCTCAGACGTCGATTACATCGCGTCCTCCGATTCCTCCTCTCCTTCCGCTGGTGCCTCCGAGGCCACTTCCTCCGCAGACGACGAAGCGGAGGAAAAGCCCCGGCCAGCCCGCAAGCTTTCTGTATGTCCCCGTGACATCCCCAACATTGGACAAGTATCTGCAGAGCTTGTCTATTGGGCCCGTCATGCCTATAACCCTGCGTTCTACGGTTTCTCATCTACCCTTGTCAACGTCATTGTGAATTCCTGCACAGCAATCTGCCAAAATGCAGGACTCAACATCGATGACTTTGTGCACACCAAATCCGACAAGGCTCTCTCCAAGAAGCGCCGCTCTCGCCGGCGCAGAGGAGAGTCACAGTCTTCCCAAAGCGATGCCGACCAAGATGTGGTCGACTCGCCAGCTGAGCGACCCCACCTTCGCCGCGAGCGATCCGCTAGCAATGACACGGGCTATGGCAGTCTTTCATTTGAAGAGGATAGCAAGTATTTTGCTAACGTCTCTACCAATGTGCCCGAAATTGCAATTTGAAGTAATTGTCAGTGTGATTGAGAACGATCACATTCATGCAGCTCAATAATGACATCGGCGTTCCTGGGTTTTGTATTTTTAATGGGTATTGCCAGGACTCACAGGTTATCCTGCTGGAAGAGGGGGCAAAAGGTATCTTCACGACTGGCGCATTTGTACGGACTTTTTAAGCAATAGAATTACCCATTTATGATAGGAATACATACTTGAACTGACTTGAACGCACAAAACGAAGTAATTCCGCCCCCAAGACTCCGTGGGTCTTGGCGACTGGGACAATTCCGACGGATTTCGTATTCCCAACTCCGTACCTCTCCACTATCCCTGTCAATCCGCCCGGAACATCCTTTTTCACAAACATCCAAGGATCTCTTTGGCTGCCTATACCGAGGTCCATATCTTCATGGAGAATACCGGTAGCTTGCAGCAGGGTGCGAGCTGCCCAGGTGACCTGTCCCAAATGACGTTGCCTGCAGGGGGCCAACAATCACTTAAGTGACAACCACCGAAAGAGACCATGTGTCTTTGGTCAGAACTTCAACCATTGAGATCGACCTAGCAACTTTTTTCTTTCCTCCGTGAATCCGAGCCATGGTTCCCTTCAGGGTGATCATTGTCGGCGGCAGCGTCGCTGGCCTAGCACTGGCAAACATGCTGGAGCAATACGGCATCGATTTCGTGGTGTTGGAGAAACACGAAAGCATCGCACCTCATCTCGGTGCAGGATTTGCCATGCTCCCCCATGGGGCACGAATCCTCGACCAGCTAGGTTGCTACAACGCGCTCGAGAAGTTAAGCACCCCTATCGATACCATGGTGGGCTACGACGAGAATGCAGAGAAATGTACCAAAATTTCCAATATTGGGGTGATTTTGGAACAAAGGTCAGCTATTTTGCCATTGCAAGACTTGCAAGCATATGTTTTTTTTGGGTTCTGACTCTCATTGTTATAGCCTGGGATACAAAATGGGCTTCTTGGAGCGACAGCAAGTTGTGCAGGGTCTTTTTGATAATCTACGCGACAAATCGAAAATTCACAACTCTTGTTGTGTTTCGAGAATCCACCTGACCGATGACCAGGTAATGGTCGAGACGAATAGTGGGGGTTTTGAAGGCGATCTTGTCGTCGGCGCAGATGGTGTCCATAGCTATGTTCGACGTGAGATGGCACGCTTGGCATCAGCGGACGGCGATGAGAGCTTCTTTCAGGGGCAAAAAGGCCAGTACCATCCTTGCTTGCCAATATAGTCGTCCTGAAGCTCCAACCTGACTTTGCAACAGACTTTGAGTGCTGCTATAATGCTATGTTCGGAACGTCAGTTGCACCCGAAGGCCTGATTGAGAATCAGGCATTCAAGGGATTCAAGTCCGATCGGAGCTTTTTGTGCAGTCCGGGAAAAGGCAGACTGCTCTACTGGATTGCTATGTTCAAGAACGGAGAGAAGACTTCAGGAGACGGAATTCCTCGTTATACAAGAGACGATTGTGACCGGCTGGCTACTAACTTTGCGGATGACATTATCAAGCCAGGGGTCCGCCTCGGTGATATGTACCGGAACGCAAGAAAGGCTACCCTGGTACCTCTGGAGCAAGGTGTGCTGTCAACATGCTTTTACAAACGCATCGTTCTTGTTGGGGACTCGTGGCACAAGGTCAGTATCGCAGTCTTCTTGATTTGCTGTGCTTAGCTGAAAATATTACCAGATCAACCCTATTACCGGACAAGGTGGCAACACGGCAATTGCTGGTGCCGCATATCTGACGGATGGGCTCATGGATCTCCTTGACCGCGAGGAAACGCCCACACAAGCAAGCATTGAAAAGCTCTTCAGCGACTACCAGCAAAATCGAGGGTCGATCAGCAAGACATTATCCGAAAACGCCCATATCATGCAGCGAATGGAAGCCCTTGAAACACCTTTCCTCAAGTTTTTCCAATTGAATGTGATGAGATTCTTGCCTCTCAAATTTATCAGGAAAAGGTTGTTGACATCCTTCAATTCTGGTTTACTTCTCAAACGCCTGCCTCCTCCTTCGCGAAGTGGGACTGTTCAGATTGGCCCCCATACCCAGAAAGCTCACCCAGGTCCTCTGAGTTTCTTGGTCAAGCTTTGGGTATTATTTCTGATTCCGATGACTGTTGTATATTATTCCCTCGCGTGACTTTACTAGAGCTATGTTGACTTTTTCAAATTATGCCTTTTCCTTCTAAGTTACTCTCTTAACTACAGTTAATCAACGCGACGAAAAAGCGAGCAGGGTCCCATCCAAACTGCCTGTTCCCGAGGCCCTGGACCCGACTCAAGATGCTTTTCATTTGCCAAGGAGCCAGAAGGGAGCGACGGCAGCATTCGTGGGGAGCTGATTCACAAACCCTCTGGCCAGGAATCTTAGGTGCACGGAGTCTCGATCACCAGAAATACTGCTTCAGGTAATAGTACAACGCCGGTGCGCTGGGATTGCACGATATTCGGCATGATCTAGACTGGCTGGGCATCTGGAATCTTTGGTGGCAATCAGATCATCATATGCTTCAAAGTAACAGCTTTCTTTGAAAGTCAGATTGCAACATGCCATCTTTGTCTGTGCGAAGACCTCGACTTGTCTCGGCCTCAATTTCAGGAGCCCTCTGGAGAGGGCGATTGGCCCCGCTGCGACTTTCGTGCCGTTTTAGGAAACCCCCTCCCTCCCAAGCAGTGCCTAAGTGGTGCGTGCACTGAATCTGTTCAGGACAATCATCATACTATGGTCTGAGAGTCAAGAAGAGCCCATATTATCTAGCGAGCGGTTCGTACACGCGGCCCTCCCAGGACGTTCCAGTCGTTGGATCACCAAATCATGGAGCCCTGTAGGTACGTTATAATGACAAATGTTCTACGGGCTTTCTGTCAAGATGATATTGCGTCACGTCTGCTACGCTGGATCCACTTTGAAGACCATTGTTCACAACGTTGCAGTTGCGTCCCAGTGAGCCGCGCGGGTCATCGCCACGTTAGGGCTTTGATGATATGACATCGCCAGAGCGAGAGAGTTTCGATCTTAACCTTAAATCCTGAGCCGATGAAAGTCAAAGAGTAGGCCAAGCAATGACATCGATGCCAAAACTAATCTTTCGAAGATTTTGACGTGGAGTTTTTACCCCTTGGCCGAAAGGAGATCGACCGTACTATACCCGGAGGCGGCCACCGCTGTCAACATTCCAGAGGCATCCGTTTTCAGATTGCCGAACAACGGCGTCTAGACCCCCTTGCTTCTTTCTGTTCAACATTTCCCCACGTCCGCAAAGGTCACAGTCGGCACTTAGACCATGCCTAATTCCTCCCGATCGGGTGACTTCTCCCCCTGATTGGGTCATGACAGGACAGGTCCCGAGAGTGAGAATTCTAGCCCACTTACCGCGTGCATCGCCGTCTCCATGGTTTATGGTTAGCCTCTGGGAACCCACCCGCACCGAGATCTATGGCGCCCGATTCGGCGTTACACTCACCATGTGAGACAACCTGCTGTCCAAAACGTGACGATGCTTTCATTCGCCTTGTGCACAAGATCAAAACTTGACCCCCCAGGGGTCAATGACGGCATTCACCTTTTTTTTCCAATGCGGTCAATCTTTATCACGTCGATTATACATCGAACTTTCTTTCCTCCCCACGAGACCATCATTCCTTCAATAATCATACGTTTGCTTTCCCCTGGTCTTCAGTCTTGCAGGAGTGGCCGGATACTCCACGCTCGTGTGGCCGACCGTCTCCATACACTTGATCCGCAGCTCAAGCGCCTGCCTAGTTGAATGGCACAATGGGTGTCCAACTCAAAGGAAACGGTCCAGGGGAACCACCAATGAATCCCACGATTGGGGTCCCCTTATTCGTCGTCGGAGGTGTTGTCGTCATCTTGTTTGTCTGGCAAACCGTTATTCGTCTTCAAAACCACCAGAGATCGAAGCAAGCGATCAAGGGAGTTGACCAGACTCGGCTGTCAAGAACAAGTCGCCTCGATGCTGCTGTGAAGAAGCATATTCTCTATGCTCCCATTTGGGGAAGCCGTCACAGCCGAGAGCTTCGATGCTTCAGACTTCACATGGGCTCTATCCCGCTGAGATTGGAGATCATAAGTCTGTTGCTTTACCTTGCTCTCAACCTCATCTTCATTATCGTGACGGTTGACTGGTGGATTGATGACTACCCGAAGAAAATGTTCCAACTCAAATATTCTGCGGGACATTTAGCTGTGATGAACACACCTGGTTTGGTTCTAGCTGCCGGACGCAACAATCCTTTGGTACAGCTTTTGGGTATCTCTTTTGATACTTTCAATTTCATGCACCGATGGGTTGGACGTGTGATCGCCTCAAACGCAGTCATCCACATGAGCGCTGTACTGGCCAGCCAAGCTTACACCCGTGAGTGGTCTCGGAATTCCTATCATGCAAGGTACTTACTATTCTCCTAGATGGGACAGAATACGTTCTGTATGCCTTATGGCAACAAAGGCTTTACTTGTGCGGTCTGATCGTATGTCGTTCGTCCTGGCAAAGCAACGGTGCAAGACTAACCAGTTCTCTCCCCAGGCTATTCTAGGATTCCTCTTCATAGTTCTTCAGTCTTTGTCGCCGGCCCGACATGCCTTCTACGAACTATTCCTTCATTTGCATATAGCTTTAGCATTGATGTCATTCATTGCTCTCTGGTACCATCTCAAAAACCTACTGCAGCAACAAGTCCTCTTGGGAACTTTGATTTTATGGGGATTGGACCGCGCAAGTCGACTTGCCATTCTTATTTGGAGAAATGTCGGAAGAAAACCCACAACTGCTACCATTGAAGCTTTGCCAGGGTCAGTCGCTCGGGTTGACGTGGCTGTTTCTCGAGCATGGAGTTTCCGTCCTGGTCAACACATGTATCTCTACATGCCGTGTCTGGGCTTGTGGACCTCACATCCCTTTACGGTCGCGTGGACATCCAAGTCGAGCTCAGCAACACCAAGCGAAAAGCGGGGCTCAAGTGATTCCCTGAGAGCTCTCATCGGCGGATCAGAAAGAACAACTGTTTCGATTCTTGTCAAAGGCCAAGATGGGTTCACGAAGAAGTTGATCCAGAAAGTCGAAGATTCTGCCGAAGGGCATATCAAAGCATTGGCACTGGCAGAGGGGCCATTTGGTACGCACTCCCCTTTAACACCCAAAATTAATCTTTCTGACATAGATAGGCGGGATTCATTCACTTGATTCATATGGCACGTTGCTGCTGATTGCTGGTGGTATTGGCATCACCCATCCAATGTCATATCTGAACCAGGCTGTCAGTACTTTCACCGAGTCAAAAACAGCCACTCGCAAAGTACATCTTGTTTGGATTGTTCGAAATCTAGGTATTACACCCTCAGACCTGCAAAGCCTTTCATCCTGGACAAACGACTAATGCATCTGATAGATCATCTCACTTGGGTTCAGAAATTCATGAGGGAAATTTTGACCCACGAATCTCTGACCAGCCCGGTCAACTCTAACGGCCATTCATATTTCCAATTCCCGCGACTTCTTCTTTCTATCAGCGTGCACGTCACAGCCCACAAGGATACTGTCGAAGAGTACATCCCACAACCAGACACACCCTGGATGGAATATGCCCCACCCAGCGTCCCCGTTAATATCCACCACGGGAAGCCCTGCATCCAGTCCATACTGGAAAAGGAAAAATCGGATCAAATAGGTGCGATGGCGGTGAGCGTCTGCGGTCCTGGTGGCTTGGGCGACAGTGTGCGAGAGGCCGTGAGAAATGTACAAGGGGAGAAGACGGTTGATTTGTTTGAAGAGGCGTTTTCATGGTGAAAGCTCACTATTATATTGTTGTAATTAGACTTGATGGTTCAGCCGTTTTTTCTTCTATCATAAACTTTCAGATAGCCTTCAGGCTTTGAATAAATATCCTCTGCGAGGCGTTAAAACATTTGATAAAACATGTACTCAACCTCGGAAGTATTGCATAGGGAGCCAAATACCAACGTTGAACCAAGCGAGAATATTTTCTTTGAGAATTTTTCTCTGAGCACTCAAACAAATGCTAATTAATTGTTTCCGCGGACAAACTTCCACTACCGTGCTCTATTCAATGTCTGGGAAAATCTATAGATGGAGAGGGCACCTGTCGGCTTCGAACCCGACCCCAAGAATAACCGGGATGACAGGCCGCATCGTCTATCAATGGCCTGATAAGTAAGATATGTTTAATGAAAATCGATTACCCCCATGCAAATAATGGATCTTTGTGCAGGAACGCTATGGGGCTTTAAAACACGCTAAATTCATTACTTTAGTCCGGGTGTGGCGGTTCAGGAGATGGTTCGAATTTGTGGGGATATTAACATCAAATCACAGTAGCAGCAGGCCGATCAACCCACATTAGATAGGACAATTCTTTCTATACCGAAGTTCGGTTTGACAAAATATTGAGAAGCTCAATCTTATATTTCTTCTCTTTCCAAAAGACTGAGCGCTGTTGGGATTTTAGAAATTCAAAAAGCCTCCTCCTTTTTGATTTCACGGAAGCATTGCCATAGTCCGCCCAAAAAGCTACTACAAGGCTATACCGGTAATATTAGCGATTGAAGTGATTCTTTCACATCGACTTTTGGTATTTAGGAGACCCTGTGCATATTGTCTTTGCACATCAACAATTGTTTCATGTTAATGCTCACAACGCTCCTTCACACTAGAGCTGAGGCTATATCTTCCAAGGTTGATAAGTTTAGATAAGTGTCGGGGCAGTTTCCGATAGCTAGTTACACCCTCAGAAGTAGAGCCTGAGTGGTATGATCTTGATATCTGTACACAGTCACCGAATCCTGTTTCAGATAACTCTGCAAGTAAATCACGCGTGTTATATCTCGCAATTGCCTGACAAGGCAACGCCCCCGGCCGGGTACATCTGAACAAAAACATCGCATCCAAGATTGATGGTGCTCGGACTTTAGCTACGGGAGGTCTGCCGTGGGTGATGTTGTACCTGATTGGCGACTGTATCGTGTTGAACATTCAGTCCGACCCCTGGGCTCGGATAATGACCCCTTTGGTTTAGCTCGCAAATTCAACCGATTCAAGTCGGAAGCGCAAGCGAGATGGAGCAGAATGGAATGTATACATATATGTGCTATGTCTTTAGACTATCGTGAGAGTTCGAGTGGTGTGTTTGCTTGCCTCACTTGGTACATCACTCCCTAGGTCCGGATTGATATGTCCACACCAAGTGTTTGCAAGCTGATTTGGGTGAGCCCCAAAGGTATTCGAGTAGTATGGAACTTTAGGAGCCCCTGTCGATAACACTAGCCAAGCGGGGGATTCAAAGTTCACACAGTCCATGATAAGGTGGCTGTCTATCCAATGACAACAGAACGGTTACCCCAGATCCTCCAGTCAGACACTTTCTCCCCGCCTCTGCATCCTCCAATGGGTTATCTCCCCTGTGTAGCAGGCTGTGGAGTGGAAGTATGATCACACTTCTTCGGCCTACTGCCCGAGCACTATGCGTCGAATAGTGAAATTACTTTAAAAGGGGCCATCTTACCCTAGCATATCACTGTGAGAAACAGTCTCAATCAATCTTCATATAACTTCATATTTTTTTGTAAAAATGGCACCAGAAAAGGAGGAGCCCAATAAACTGACACCTGTTCCTTCACAGGAAGGCCAGTTTGAAGGCGTTCACCACACTCACGATGCAGTGTTCGGCGAACTCACAGAAGATGGTCCCAACTATCGCAATGTCCGCTGATTTCAAGAATCCAGCTGTGTTCCCATTGACTGACATCTCCACAGGTTGGATGGATTGGCACAGTTGCCTTGATGACGAAGAGTATGATTGGCATCGGAGTACTCTCGGTACCAATTTCCTTCGACACTCTGGGCATAGTGCCAGGAGTCATCATCCTGATTACCATCGCCTCTATCACGACTTGGTCAGACTATATTGTTGGCGTGTTTAAGCTGCGACACCCCGAGGTCTATAGTATTGATGATGCAGGACACCTGATGTTTGGTCGCGCTGGGCGAATCATATTTGGAACCGCATTTGTACTCTGTGAGTACCAATTCAGATCGCATTTTACTCTCGCTTTCTGCTGATGCACAAAAGATTGGATCTTTGTTGCTGGATCTGGCATGTTAGGTATCTCGATCTCTTTTAATGCCATGTCTAGCCATGGTGCCTGCACAGCAATCTTTGTCGCGATTGCCGCTATCATCGGATTTACACTGGGGAGTATCCAAACTCTAGCCAAAATTAGCTGGATGGCCTGGGTTGGTCTGATTGGAATTCTCACCGCAAGTGAGTAATGTGCGATTTGGTCCTTGTCTGGTGGCTAACACAACTTCCTGCTAGTTTTCATGGTTACTATCGCTGTTGCTATCCAAGACCGACCGTTCGCCGCCCCAAAGGATGCCGTCTGGGTTCCCGATTATCAGATAGTAGGAAACCCATCTTTCACCAAAGCAATCACTGCTGTATCCACTCTCGTCATGGCATATGCCGGCACACCAGGATTCTTTCCTATTGTATCTGAGATGCGTGACCCAACAAAATATACCCGATCACTTCTCATCTGCCAGACAATCGTCACTGTGACATACCTTGTTGTGGGTTGTGTTGTCTATATTTACTGCGGATCATATGTTGCCTCCCCGGCTCTGGGATCGGCTGGTCCACTTGTGAAAAAAGTGAGCTACGGCTTCGCTCTTCCAGGACTCATAGTGACTACTCTACTGGTGATTCATGTACGTGAACAAGTCTGCTTTGATATCGGATTACACTCTGCTAATGAAATCCCAGATGCCGGCTAAATATATCTTCGTCCGTATCCTCCAAGGGTCCAGGCACCTGGCTAGGAATACTCTGATTCATTGGGTTACATGGCTCGGGTGTACCGTGAGCATTACCGTGATTGCATACGTGATCGCTAGCAGCATACCGGTATTCAATGATCTGGTGTCGCTGGTTGGCGCTTTGCTTGGTACTCTGATGTCCTTCCAGCCCATGGGCTGCATGTGGCTTTATGACAATTGGTCGAGTGGGAAAAGCGAGAAATCAGTCAAGTGGATGCTAATGGTAGGCTTCAGTGGGTTTGTGGTTCTGTCTGGGACATTCCTAATGGTTGCTGGTACCTACGGCTCAGTGGTTAGTATTATGGAGAGTTATGCAGCATCTGGGGGATCAGCAGCTTGGTCCTGTGCGGACAACTCGAACTCTTGAGCGAGGCAGTGGGAGATTATGATGTCAAGTCGGTATTATGGATATACTGTCCAACCAAGTAGATACATGTATGTTTTTATCAAGTTCCACGATTCTTTTCTTCTGCCTTAATTTTCCCAGATGCAATAAGCGAACACTTCTAAAGTTGTCTACTGATATTAGTAAGGAGGCCACAACTACCAAATGAATCAATTTGAATTGGTGAATGTCACCAAATGGTTGAAGGACTCGAAATCAATCTGTTATCCCGGGCAAAAAGCTTTGCTGAGATGGTCGTACTACACAAAGGGTGCCTCCCGGCTTGATTGATGGCAGACTTGTAATTTATCTTCCATTGTCGATGTATCCCGCTTCCTAGGTTCTGTTTTTTCCATTTCAGAGTACATTGAGACGAACAATTGATCTATGATGGTCATTTTTCAAGGCGAGACCCGCCACGCTTAACTTGACCAACACAAACTACTCCGGTGGGTCTCTCTCGCCTCAGCAGTCCAATCACAGCTCAAGTGGACAATTTATATGCAGTCTTTCCCTGGGAGCTCCAACCGTTACAGCAAAACGACTCAAGATCAGTAAGTCAAAATTCAGGGTGATCTTCCTTCTCCAAAGTCTTGGAAATGCTTGCCTGGAAGGTTGATAGTTGAGTGCGCCCATATCAGGATCTATGATATTTGCAATACTAGTATCATCATAGAGATGTGAAATTCAATTCTTCGCTTGTGGGCTGATATGATGGGTGTGTTTAGAGATTATTGGAGCCTTTGGTACAGGAGGTTAAAAAACACAAGAAATGATGCGTAGATCGCACACTGCAGGAGGTAATTATCGAACTTGAAAACTTTGTCCTTGACACAGGTGGTGATCAAAATGATCACAAAGTTCAGCACGCAGGTCTTTGCAAACCCACTCCATGAAGGACCCTGGCGTGCGGGGGCATGAGCTGGAGGGGCTGGTTTTTCTTGACCTTCAGCGTTCATTTTGCTGGATCCAAAGATGCAAGATAGCTGATTTGCTTAAATCCACACTTGATAGGGGTTAGTTCAACATCTTCAAGTTTTGGACAAAAAAGGCTTGCATGTTACCTGACTCGACGTGTTCGGCTTATCAAATTGGAAGGTCCCGTTGGTGTAAAGGTGAAGAAATTATTCAAATCCAAGTTGAAGGCTGGACAGATATCGCCTGATAATTCTTGTAAAGAAAATCAACAGTTTCGACGTGCGGCAGCCAAGGGGGCGATCGGGTTATGTACGAGTACCTGGATGCTCTTTTGGGCGCGGAGAGAGAGAGAGAGAGAGAGCCAGAAATACCGGTATTGAAACGCAACAAAACGGGGCCAATGATGTCAACAAATCTGGCCTAACATGATGAAACACAGAATTTCGACTGTTTTTGCCTACTGCAGTGGTTCGTCAAAATTCTGGTCCAACTGAAGCTTTGAGATAATCTTGCACATGAGGTGAAAACTTTGCTCAATTCTTTCGAACATCAAGATATGACATATTTATCTTCCACTTTTCGAGGTCGAGAGCTGATCGGCTGAAATTATTCAGGCGCTTCCTTCTGTATACGTTGGAGCACTCCGCATGGAATGATGTAAAGTAGATGCCCTGGATTAGATACAAGTACGAATTACTCTACACGGCACATTGAAAAATAAAGTCATCGCCTGAGAAATTTTTACCAAATTTGACTTTCGGTCGCCATGCACCATCATTGCCGATCAAAATCCAACACTGCGTCCAGATAGCACGGCCGCCAATGGGGACTGCATGCAAACGGGCGCCTCTGCAAGCCTCCGAAAACCCCTGCAGCAACACAAAATGAACAGAGTCTCTCTGCGAAATTGCTGTATTCATCTTGTCTTGAAGTCCAGAAGAAAGCAGTCTATGTGAAAAATGGAATGACTAACTCAGGCAATGTATTGAAAAAGAAGACTGATGCTGGAAATCTAATGCGTAAAAAAATCATTGGTCTCATGAAGGATCAAAAATGGAGGTCATTGACACGACGAGTCGTTTGTTAGACTCTCCATTTTAGACAAAGCGCGACTTATTAAGTCCTTGACATCCTCTTGGCCCGGAAGGCAGGCATCCTGCGCATCACGCAGGCCTTTCTGCCAGACATCCCATCTCTCGCGCTCAAAGCCCCGCCAATTCCGATCCCAAAACATGTCGCCTGGCCGGCCATCGTACTTGTTGTACTGGCGGCCATTGAGGACATTCTCCCAGAGTCGGTCACCGGCACAGATGAACCAGTAGCACACGCCGAGCAAGCCGACTCCAGACGTAAGTTGCTCGGTTGGGATACCCTCTTCGAATATTTGTCTCAGTCCACATAGTCCGATATGTGACTCATCCATGCCATCGCTGATGAAGACCTGCGACGAGGAGGTATATTTAACATCGGCCGCTTGTGTTGATTTTGCGAGAAAGATGTTCATCTTCGCCCATCTGATTTGTTGTTCGGGGTCCACGTTCGGATCGCATAGATCTATCAATTGATCGACATTAGTTTCGAAGCCTCAGGAATGAAGGGGGTTCAAGGGGGTCTCGTACAGTCATCATCCCGTTCAAATTCAGCCAGGATCTTCCGGGCGCAGGTTGTCAGTGAAGGAAGGTGTGACCACACCCAGCTGCCGTTCCGTGCCTTGAGAACCAGGCCCGTGGTTGAATCGACGGCGTTGTACATCTTCAACTCCTTCAAGAAAGCAACCAACGGACCATATTGAGCCTGGTCGATCCTCATGACCAGTTCCAAAATGGCCATGAATGTAACTGCATCGGCTTTGTCGATCGTCCCTCCCGGACCATATCCTTCCAGACGGTCCATGGTGGCGCCGATGACCCATTGTACGGCATCATCGACGGTGACTTCGTCGTCGACGAGCCCCTTGAACAACTTGAACTCGCTCGAGTACTCGGGCCCTGTTTTGAACATTTCAAACGCCATTGGGACTTTTGCACAATCGCAGATGGGAATAAAAAAGTTAAATGTCAGGGCTCACAGGTGGGCCGCAGTCAGCGTTAGCGCGGTCGGGTGGCCATTGAGGCCACCGCAACCGAGCACGTGTACAGGGATGATCTTGAATGTTGAAAATTGTAAACTTTTGTAAACTCTCGTAGACGTCAAATATCAGATCTTCAATCTGGACAATCCCACCTGGGCAGATATACTTCGATGGGGCGTGCACCTGCCAAGTGCCAAACCAGAGTGGATCTGCTGCGGATCTTGGGTCTTGTTTTTGAGTCCCGTTCAAGCCGCCGAGCCTCCATCCGGCAGACTTGAGTTTGAATTCTCCACGCTGTGTTGCATAGTTTGGTATAACGAAGCAATTGAGCACCGCCGACCTCTGGGGACTCAGTTGCAGATATTGACAGCTGTGAGCCTTGTAAGTAGATGCAAGTCAGGTGACGCGCTGCCAGGCACCAGGTACACCTGCGGATGGCGTCATGATTATCTGGGCATTCAGAGCATCATAATGGAGCTCAACAAAGTGACGAATGGAAAGTGGAAGATATGAGGCATAGCACAGAGAGAGGGAGAAAGAGAGAGAGCAGAATGGAGAAAAGAAAAAACAAGAAATCGTCCGTGTGTGACACTGCAGTCTGCGTTCCTTCCGACTTGGGATTTGATGTTGACATTTGAACCTCACTTTCCCCTCTTCCCTTTCCCCATCTTCTTCCGGATCTTTACTTCAAAATGGATCTCAACGAAGCTGCCTGGCTACCTGCCAAGTGTGCACCTCTTCAGGTGAAACAAGCTCCATTCACTGCCCCGGCTGCTCATCAGATTGTGGTCAGGAACGCTGCTGTTGCCATCAACCCGGTCGACTGGTGCAAGCAACTCATGGGAAATATGATGTTCAGTTTCGTCAAGTATCCATTCATCCTTGGCAATGACTGTGCCGGTACCGTTGCACAAGTCGGCGACGCTGTGAGTCGCTTCAAGATCGGCGATCGTGTTCTCGCCCACGCCATTGGGATGGACCCCAATGTCAACCAGCCGACCGAGGGTGCTTTTCAAAAGTTTGCCATCATCCGTGACAATATGGCTGCCCTGATCCCAGAGTGGATGTCCTTCGAAGAGGCTTGCGCACTCCCTCTCGGCCTGTCTACTGCCGCATGCGCTCTGTTCCAGAAAGACTTCCTCGCTCTCAACAATCCGGATATCGCCAACCTCGGTACATTGGACGCACCCGCCGACCCTCGCGAGGTCGTGCTTGTTTGGGGAGGATCTTCCAGTGTTGGCAGCAATGCGATTCAACTTGCCAAAGCAGCCGGATACGAGGTCATTGCTACTGCCTCTCCTCACAACTTCGATTACGTCCACAAGCTCGGTGCCAACGAGGCCTTCAACTACCAAAGCGACACAGTCGTGAAGGATATCATCGAAGCTTTGGGCGACAAGAAGGTTGCTGGCGCGATCGCCATTGGAAACGGATCAGCCGAGGCTTGTATTGATATTCTTTCACGCACCCGTGGCAACAAGTTCGTGGTTCAGATCAGTTTCAAGTTTCCACCCAAGGTTCCCTCCACTACCTTTGGATTTGTACATGCTATGGCCGGCTTGGTATGGTCCAACATCGCCATCTTCATGAAGTCGAAAATTTCCGGCGTGAAGACGAAGATGGTCTTTGGCAGCACCTTGGCTCACAACGAAGTCGGCAATTTGATTTATCGAGACTTTTTGCCTGGAGCTTTGGAAGAGAAAAAGTATCAAGCCGCTCCTAAGGCGGTCTTGGTGGGAAATGGGCTCGGGCAGATTCAAGAAGCCATGAACCGACACATGAACAGAGGTGCATCTGCCGAGAAGTATGTGGTCTCCATTTGACCGTCATCTCAGAGGTTGCGGGAACATGTCATGTCTCAATGCCGATCACAAATCTTTGCAATCAAAGCGCACTGTTTTGCTTCGATTTGGACCACGACCCGCAGATACGTGCAACTATGATTGATTAATGAAATGGTAGCTGGCCAGGCTCAGAAAAGCAATTAAATCGCAGTAGGATGATTCCATTGCTATGAGTAAAAGAACAATTAACAACTATGATTGTCCAGGCGTAGTGCAAATTTCTCTCCCGCCCCACTGCCTCAGGATTACCCGCCTAAACGGAAAACAAGGAGCATAAGCATGGAGGCTCTTCAGCCAAGAGCGAGCTAAATGTAACATGAATACTGGAGATGTCAAAAAAGATTCATCATATCGAAAAAGAATGGTGGTTCCGACTGCTGCACATCTGGAATGACAGATCCCCCAAGCGGTGACAGACTGCACAGTTTGTCAGAATGTTCAGACTCAAGGAGATCAAGATAATTCATGGCCAAATTATTTCCACCTTGTAAAACTCGCAGAGCTTTTTTGAGTTCCTCTAATCGTCGTTGCTTATCCTCCGAACCTGAGGCACTATCGGGATGAGACTTGAGAAACTTTGCAGACAGATACAACAACATTGGAGAAAATGGATGCGCCTATTTAGCGTTGTGAGACACTCGGTGGGAGATGAGAGGGGTCAAACGATACCTTAAAGAAACTAGATCGCACAAGGGGTTTCGCGAGAAAAACGACCTCATACGCGGAATAGAGTGGCACCAGCAACATCTGATCATCGAGGTCTGCATGGAGAGCCTCGATGATATTGTGAAACCAGAGAACCGCCGAGTTAGCCAGCATGTTTGTGAAGAGTCGCATTGGATCATGGAGTTCGGGCGATGAAGCCGGCAGTGAAAGTAACATCAGCCGCTGTTGAACCATCTGGTACAGGCGGGCGTGGCGCTTCCAGAAAATGGAAGACAGATTCGGAGATGTCTCGGTATCGGGTGTTATGCGGTGGAAGGTGACACTGTGCCAGCACAGCGTCGTCAAGACGATTGTTTCTGCGAATGTTGGCAGCATTTTGTTGCCCGAGTCTTCAATCGCGTCATACAGGAACGTGGTCACAGCAGGTCTTCCATGCTGGAACTCCGCTTCAGAGGCTGGAAGATACGTGCACAACTGGAGGGGAGGTTAGCGTCTATTGATTGCAGTGGGGATAGTGTAGTACGCAGGTGATACTCACTGCTTCCTCATGCAGACTTAGCGGCCACTCGTCTGTGATATTGAGAAACCTATCCAAACAGTAAGCCAGCCAATAGGTACGTCTCTTCTCTTCTGCCTCTGCCCAGATCTCAGGGAGAGCAATAGTAATTCCGACATCATTGAGGCGGTCGATCTCATGGAGTTTGGCCAACTGAATAATCCGAAATGCGCGACCTGCAGTAAGCCATGCCCGGCGGTATCCCATGTATCGAAACTCGTAGTGAGTAACAAGAAGCCAAGCCTGGGCGGCCTGAAGGGAGGCTGCACTCGCGGCTTCAATATCGTTGTCAAGGGCTTCAAGTTTAGCCCGCGCGCGTCTGTAAAGAGATTCACGCATATGCTGCAGGTGAGCTGAGGCCGCTGCAGCCATTGCCCACATTGCTAATTGCAAACATATGTGGGATTCTGCTTTGTTGCATCTGTGGGACCAGAAGAAGTAGCGAGCCTGGTGGAGCATCGGCGCGATGGGATGAACTCTGTCGAAGTACAGTTGGTCACTGGATACATTGTTAGCTGAGAATTAACTGATCCCCACATGAAGTAATTCTCACAGATCTGCCTCGATCATATCCGAGATCTCTTTCTCTTGGTCAGGTGGAGTGGTGGGTAGAATGGGAGAATCATCAAAGGAGTTTGAGATGGTGGAAACTTCGGACATCGTGCTGGTGAGAAGATATTCTTGTGGTGGACTTAGGACTTGGGATATCTCTTCTATTTGAAGACATCCATCGCCTTGTCCCGGTATTCCCTTTGGGTTCAATTGATCGCAGTTAATAATACTCTCAAGGGTGGCTGTTAGTGAAATTAGATGTGTTTACACAGGCTATGTCTCCAGAACCCACCAATACGATTGCGCAAAGCCTTGAGATGACCTTTCTTGGGACCGCGTGGGGACCGAATTTCATTGACATAACAGGCTGTACCTGAATCCTCACACTGATTACATTGAGGACGTCTTCTATCGCATCGAAGCTTCTTTTTGCGACATTCCTCGCACGCCTATTTTGTCAGTTCCAAAATTCTCACCATGAAACTACAGGTAAAATGTTCTCACCAAGCCTGGTTGCTGTCGTGGGGTCGACATATTGGCTTTTTCGAATCAGTGCAAACTATAAAAGCTTGCCTGGATGGCAGGGTGTGCTCGGGTCTTTGAGGCAGGAATCTACTGTTAGCTTTATTTATAGAGTTTAGCCATGTTCTTGTACTTGAAGCCAAAGGTTGTAACCATCGGCAGTTATAGTTCCTCAAGTAACGCTCGATCATTCCGGCTGGAAATCCTTTTTTTCTTATCCACGGGGCTTAATCAGCCCCAACGGTCTCTAGACCTATGGCATCAATTAGGTTTGGTATACTAACTTCGCGCCACTAACAGCAAGTGCATTTCCAAACGCTTAGTAGAGCCTCAATATTTCTCTAATCACTGGCCCCTATTGAATTCGATATCTAGCCCCCCTGGAATCCAATATTCGTCAATTTTATCGAAGTTGCATCGCAGTCTGATTTTGGGATCTTCCTCCTATCACACGACTTGCGTGGCATGGAGAAATCCGTTGGGACTAAGGACGTACCAGAGAATGTACCAGCCGGCTAGCCAAATCTGTCAATCATTCGGCTGAATCAGAAGTGATCTATCATGTCGTTGTAGCTGGAAACCCGCATTCGTTAAGTGCTGGGCGGGGATGGTACTCCAATGGAAGCTGACACTTTGTCGTGGGGTGTCGCCAGAACGCCTCATGCCGATTAACAAATGTTTGCTATTGGGCGGGGTAGGTTGGCACGTGGAGTATTATTTGGAATGTTTCAACGCCATCAGGCAATGGAGACAATGCCCTGGATTGTGATGGTGTCCTCGGGCAGGCGGAGCCAAGGCACCGTGACACATCAAAGGCAATCAGTAGAGGACGGCGCAATCTGACCCAAAAGGCATGGGGCTCTGGTAAATGAAGGGATGCGGTGGAGAACCTTTGGAATGTGGGATTTCCAACCGGCGTCCGGGCAACCTGAGGACCATCTGTGGATCTTATACGCATTGGTTCATAGCCCACCCACTCGCAATCCCATACCCCTTATAGCACCCATTCAAGTACATCTACCGCAATCCTCACCATAGCCTTTACTATTCGACCGTGCTCTAAAACATAATTCCAAAACCATCCCAGCTCTGGGGTTAAAGGGTTATCCGTATAACGTGCCATTCGGGCGCGGCACATTCTAGCCACTTACAGTGAGACTGTCGTGGATGAAGCACCTGCATCCTCTCCCCGAACGACCGGGCCCATGGATTTCTGTGTGCACGGGACGATATTCTCTGTCGGGGCCTAATGAGACTGAGTAGCCCTGGCGTGACCCTGCCAGTGCATTTAGACACTTCTCGTACAGACTTGCAGCATACCTTGCGGCATCATGACTTCAGGTCAGGACTATCCACCTTGAATATGCCGATATATAGTCGCAATATCCATGGATTCGCGGATACGAATACCTCTAGTATCCCCACGCTACAAATTCCAACTCCGCATCATTGGTTCATATTTCCCCGCGAGGCCACGCGAGAGCTCTATGGAGTCATATTTGATCTACCTCGTACACTGTAAATTGATTGGGATCCCGATATATTGGAATTACCCAATGTTCTACTCCGTACAAGCAACAAAGAGTAATACAGCCCTCTTACAAGCACACCAGAGTGGGGCTCAGTACAATTTGGGAAGGAGATACGGTGTATTCCGTTTAAGCATTTAGCCGTTAGATAGTAGCGACTTTCCACAACGCATGGCCCCTTACATATTATGGCACAGAGTACTCCGTACCTGCACGGCTAGTTCCCATGGTACAAATTGTGAGTAACTTGGGAGCTCGCTCTCTCTCGGGGGGTCCTAATGGTTAAAAGTATTTGGAATGAGTAGAGTTTCGGTGTTCAAATGCAGATGACCCTCGTTGATGGTAGCTTGCCCTGGTAGAGGCCAGGGGGGATATGCTCTGAATTGCAAAAACAGAAAGAGCTCGAATGTCCGGATCAGGACTTTCCAGGAATCCCGGTGGATTGATGTGATATTATGGGAAGCTGAGCACCCACGCACCTTGGGGGGCCCGAGCTGAATAGGTGCCTCAAGGGCACCGAGGTGATGCTCACACCTGATTCACCCAAGTCCTGATCCCAAACTAATAGTCAGCGAGCTCCCAGGTGCCCACCAAGGCAGTTGATGAATCAAGAATCACCAGTGGCGTTCTTGTGGGAGACAAAACTGTTTATAAAGGAACCCCAATCTTCTATCCGCGTCTACCCAGAGCGATCGGACTTCGATCGCTGGGATTCCGTGCACACTCGGCGCATAGTTAAATCCAGATAACCTCCGAGGACCCACGGTAAGATGCCATTAGCGCCGGCTCGTCCCGAGGTATGGATACTGAAGGGTAACCCGCGGTGGAACGGACTTGGCTGCACCAACCCCGACGATACTTACTGTATAAGATGTGTAGGTGGAATCCATGACTCAAATCATGAATCAGCTGATAAATATCACAGCCAAATTGTTCCCTCACCCAGTAACGATATATCTAATGGCCCCAGCCAATCAGGCAGCATGGTTCCCGGGCCCAGACAAAAGCCGTCTGGAGGTGAAGCCGGCGCCATACACCAGCCCCGATGCTGGGCAGATGGTTGTCAAGAGTGGTGCTGTCGCTGTTAACCCGATTGACTGGGCGAAGCAGTTCGTGGGTTACAAGAAATGGAAATGGATGACGAACCCCTGGATTCTTGGCGAGGACGTCGCAGGCGAAATTGTCGAGATAGGCGAAGGGGTAACTCGGTTCAAAGTCGGCGACCGGGTAATTTCACACGCAGTCGGCTTCTATGTCTTTGGCAACCGACCGGAGGAAGGCACTTTCCAGCTATACACAATCGTGCGCGAGAATATGACGGCACCGATTCCTGATTCGCTTTCTTTCGAGAGGGCCTGTGTCATTCCACTGGCATGTTCTGCGGCATCATGCGCGCTGTATCAGAAGACATACCTGGAGTTGCCATACCCCACATTCCCGCCGGCCCCTTTGAATGGGCAATATATTCTCATCACCGGTGGGGCAACGTCGGTTGGTTGCAACGCAATCCAACTTGCGCGGGCTAGTGGGTACAATGTTGTCACCACTTGCTCACCAAAAAATTTCCCTCTGGTCAAAGGGCTGGGGGCGTTGTATGCTTTCGATTACAACAGCCCTGGCTTGGAAGAAGATATCGTTGCAGTACTGAGGGATGTGGAGGTCGTTGGCGCTTTCGCGATCGGGCCCGGATCCGTTGAGCTATCCATCGAGGTATTGAGTCAGCTTGGAGACTCGTGTCAGAAGATCGTCGCGAAGGCTAGCTTCCCTTGGCCGAAGGATGATCCCAAAAACGACGATGAGTATTGGGAATATATGAAGTGGGTTGATGGTTGGAATGATAAAATCAGTGAGTTGGAAAATCAACATGGGATCCAGACGAGATTCGTTGAAGGCGCTGAGCTTGGCCGCAATGAGCTAGGTAAGATAATATATGAGAACTTCCTACCTGGGGCTTTGGCTGGAGGGGGCTACACTGCCGCGCCGGAGCCCCAGGTTATTGGAAATGGGCTTGAATACATTCAAGAAGCACTGGATGTTCACAAGAATGGAGTGAGCGCCAGGAAGGTTGTTGTTTCATTGTAATCATCCAGACCATCCTCTTGCCACACAGCAAAATGAAAGTGTCATCTTCATAATACTACTACGATTTGAAAGACCAGATATGAGCAGTTGCCAGATGGTTCATTACATAAAGTAAGACTAACTAGAGCCCTCCGACAAAGTCTGCTTTTTCGCATTGAATTAGAATTCCGAGCAACCGGATGATCTGCCATCATAAGGGGCGACACCTCGATCTGCACGATTCTCAATGAATATCGAACGCTCAGCCATAATTCTACATCCAAGAGATATCACCGTCTCCCCCGAGGTAGCAAAAAGCGAAAACAAGTCCGAAAGAGAGTGAGGATGGGTGATTGCGCAAAGCAAGCAATCTCAGGGTTGGTCATTTCCTCAGAATGTATTCCAACCCAAACGGCCTTGGAAATGCAAATTAGAGCTTGGGAGCACCACTGGTGTTCTCCAAAGCAAGCTCCGGGTCGTTAGCGACAGGCTTGTCTGTTTGGAACGGCTTCCAGCCCATGAAACACGAAACTGTGAATCCTGCAACTGACAGACCAGCGAGAAAATAGAAAACCTGACGAATACTCTCGGAGTATGCCAAAAGGACCCCAGCAATGGCATCGTGTGGAATGACATCACGGAAGTGGGTTGCACCTGACTCGAGGATATCCTTTGGATTGACACCGGGTGCGTAGTTAGGCAGCGCCGAGAGCAAACCTTGAGAGAAAATTACGGTACTCAATTGAAGGAATAACGATGCACCCATGTTCAAGCAGAAAACCAGAACGGCCATGGCGATCGACATCTGCGCTGGAGCGATAATCTTCTGGACAGCCATCATTGGCTATAATTTGCAAAGTTAGAGATTAATCCAATGAAAGAGATGAACAAGAGGTTTTCCAATATTGGAATACTTACGACTGAGTTGCAAGATCCGAGGCCTAGGCCCACGAGCACCTGAAATCCGATCCGGTTGGCGACAGAGTAAGTGGGTGTAATCATCGATAGCAGTCCATATCCGAGAGCAGCCAGGGCGCTGCCCGCCACCACGGAGGGCAGATAGTAGCCGGTTTTCTGAACTATAGGAATGTTAGACAGCGTTGAATAAGAAAGGGAATAATAACATACCTAGTCCGCCGGTGACCAGAGCAAGGGTAACCTGCGGCAAAATATTGGGCAGGAAATAAACACCACTCCGGATGGGCGAGTTACCCTTGACGGCTTGGAAAAAAATCGGGAGATAATAGGCACCCGAGACCGCAGCGCCGGTCATGAAGAATGAGCTCAGGCAGCTCGACCACACAATGCGTTGGCAAATGATCGAGAGGGGAAGCATCGCCCTATCTCCTCGACGGTATTCCCACAGCAAACAAACTACCAGCATCGCGGCGAACCCACAAAACAGCCCAATGACGGTGGCGCTCTTCCATGGGTATTGGTTTCCGCCGTATTGCAGTGCCAAGAACAACATAATCATGGACGGTGCGAAGAGGACAAAGCCAACGAGATCTAGTGAGCCTCGCAGAGCACGCCGAAGCTCCCTGCCCTTTGGCTTGATGGTACGATCCGGCATGTGAATAAAGACCAGAAGCAGAAGGATAACTCCACCGACAGGGAGATTCAACCAAAAGCACCTAGAACAGTGGTGTCAATCCGCTGCTGGCAAGATCAGAAAGCACTGGGGGAATATCTTCTCACTCACCACCTCCAGGAGACGTATTCAGTAAACGCTCCACCGATGATTGGGCCACAGGCAAGACCGATTTGCGTGACTGAATTTTCCTGCGTCAGTTTCAATCATGGATAGTTGCTATTCTTCATCGGCTCACCTGACATCAATGCTCCGATAATACCTATAAAGGATGTCAGTGCAGGTTCTTGTTATATTTTATGGCTTGCATTTCTTACCTGGAGCCTTGTCCTTGGGCAGGAACTCCGAGATCATCGTCAAGCCTCCATTCAGTAGACCCGAAGATCCAAGGCCGGCAATAGCTCGCGCGACGATGAACATCTTAGACGACGTGGACAGGGCACAAAGAAGTGATCCTAGCTCGAACACCAAAAAGAAGACCAGATAGGTCCACTGGGGCATAGTCAGTCACGTGGCCCTGTAGGACTCATAGATTTTATGGGAAGGTGGGCATTACCTTTAGTGGTAGGTTCGCGTAAAGCTTTCCCGTGAAGGGTTGAAAAGACGCACTGATTTGATACTCCGTCAGTTCGATACTGCGTAGATCATTTGGGCTCGATACTCACCTAGCCAACTGATATGAACTTCCATACCAGCCAACATCCAGCAGGGCGTGATAATCATTCGTAATGAACGGAATAGCCTGGTGAAGTTAGTCAGTAAAAAGTCCTCCGCATCACGTAAGTAACTTTAGAACCAGGCTCTTACCGTAGCCAGAATCGACGCATCAAGCATCACAAGAAAGGTTACGAGACCAATACCAGCCAAGATCGAAATCAATTTGCGACCCGTCGGATATGGCACGTTGTTATCCACGCCGCCGTCGGCATCCTTTGGATCCTGTGGCTCCATGATGGGACTCGATGAATGGACAAATTTAAAAGTGTGAAGTTTGAGTATTGTGGGTTCCCCGAGGATGATAAGAAGATGGAGAGGAAAGAAGGAAGAAGGAAAATGTGTAGAGCTGGTTATGGTCTGTCGCCCGATACCCTTTTGGGAAATGAATAGGCGGATTTCAATGTGTTAAAATCGGATCTGAAGGTGGAAAAAGCGGACTTGAGGCGGACTTAGCGAAGGTATTCCCAGATCCTTTTAGGGCAAGTGCGGGAGTAGTTGGTTATCACTCGACAAGTCCACTCCAAGGTTAATAGCCCCAGAACCTCACGCCTATGAGTTGAGCGGCAGATCACTCTAACGTTACTTAACTCAGTTCGGCGCTTGCGTGAGATTGAGAAAACCTATAACTGCTCAGATACTTATGAATTCATACTTAGGACCCACCTGGACGGAAGTTGCAGATGTGCAGCCCTGATCAGTACATTTTCCGCGGGCCTCATTGCCAGCTGACTTCATTCTGATGCGCGGAATTCCCCAACTCCGAACACCGATGCGGGATTGTTCAATGGGTTACATGCAATTCCATTTAGAGGCGTGCTAGCTGTCGTGAAACCTCGACAGTACTTCAAGTAGAATTGGCTAGGCTCAACAGGGACAATAAGAGAAACTTATTTTATCATTTATATACATTCTGGAAACATCAATGAATTTATTATTTCCCAAATCAATTCAATCAATAGAGATATGTCGGCTACAGTTTTTAACACCTTTCAGGGGATTTTTACCTTCATAACCCCTCGCTTCATCCTTATATGGTCCCTGTTCGTGGGTGTTCTGACGGTTCTTCACTGTGCCTCGAGAGACCCATTATCCAAACTACCCGGCCCATTCATTTCAAAGCTCACGGGGATATTGGAGATATTCTACTATGTCCGAGGCTATCGACACGAATATGTGCACAGTCTTCATGTGAAATATGGTTGGGCCTCTGGTGTTGTCCATTTTCGCCCGCTTTCCTCTAATCTCGTGTTTCAAAAACAGGCCCGATCGTTCGGTATGCACCGGGACATGTGGATATCTCCGATATTGGAGCTGTGAATGTAATTCATAAGCTTGACAAAGGATATCTGAAATCGAATTGGTACCTTTCGTTGGCGCCACCGGGAGTATGGACCCTGATGAATATCACTGACCCGAAGATGCACACGACTTGGCGCCGGCTGCTCGGAGGACCATTCCAGGATAGCTCTTTGCAAAAGTTGGAGCCGGTAGTGTGGGAGAAGATGGGACTTGCATTAGACAAGATGCAGGCAGAGCTTGAAGAGCGCGGATGTATCGATGTATTGAAATGGTGGATATATATGGCTCTCGACATAGTCACCGAGCTCAGCTACGGCACAAGCGTTGATATCCTTCGTGAAGAGGAGAAGAGATATTATATCATTGAATATCTCGAGGGATTAGGTCCGATCCACGCTGTGAGGACCACGATACCCTCTGCTGTTTTGCTCGCATCGAAACTCCGCCTACCAATCTTCAACAGGCTGCTGAACGCGGGCCCTCGAGCTGCGATATGGGCACAAGAGACCCTTGAGGCATACAAGAAGTTGCTTTCAGAGAAAGATCCCAAGCCAACATTGTTTACACCTTTGTTTAACAAAGGTGACAAAGGGTTCACAGATGAGCAAATAACAAATCTCGCAGGGTCAAACATCACTGCTGGTAGCCATACCACTGCCACTGTCATGACATACGCCGTTTGGGCAATTTGTAAGTATCCGGAGGTGAGAGACAAGCTGGTTGCCGAGGTGTCAATGCTGCCGGAAGTCTTCCAGCATAAAGACGTGCGCAATTTGCCCTATCTCAACTGTGTCATCCGAGAGGCTGTGCGTCTGTATGCTGCCGTTCCATCAGTTCTACCGCGAGCTGTTCCTCCAGAGGGGGTTGAGCTCTTGGGATATTTCATACCCGGTGGCTCAACTGTCTCAACACAGTGTTATAGTCTCCACCGGGTCAAGGAATATTTTGATGACCCATTGAAGTCAGTAGCATGCTTTCCGCTTCCCTATCAGTAATTGCAAGCCGTCTGGCTAACGTGTTCCACAGATTTGATCCAGATCGATGGATATCTCCAACAAAAGAAATGGAGGAAGCTTACATGGGCTTCGGTGCCGGTACCCGATGTGAGAACCCGCAGAACCCGCCCTAAATCACATTTGTTCTCTAACAGGAGTCTGGCAAACAGCATGTGTTGGAGTCAATCTCGCACACCGTGAGCTCCGACTTGGAATAGCGAATTTCTTTCGCAAATTCCCCACTGCAGTAGTCTCAGTGGATGAAGGTATGGCGGATAGTGACATGCGACAGCGGGCATGGGTTTTTATGTCACCGGTGGGTCACCGGTGTCTGATTGGCGTCCAATAAGAGTGGGCTCGAAGATGCGGAGTGGAGAACATACCCGCCAACCAGATGAATTGGAGTAGCATATGCACATCCCTGCAATTTGACCCTGAAGACACATCAAGCCCCTGGGTAAATAGTGGTGTAACGAGAAGAATTAGGGGTTTAAGCCCCTAAGCCCCTAACCTGACCCCGTAACCCCTCAATTTTGATGGAAATTGGCCAGTTGTGTAGTCACAATATTCTCGTCCACGACATACTAATCGAGAATTGGTTTTCCGGACTTGAAGAGAGTAACCCTGCCATTTAAAAATTCGTGTTCAGCCTCGTTGTTCATCGGCGAAAAGTGGCGGAGAGTATATTTACACAAGGTAAACATATTGGAAAAGCATCAGGCGTCGTTCAGAAACATGTGACTCTCAATTGTCCATCACATCCAAAGTCCTTACAAAGCTGTTGGAGTGTTTGCCGTTGAAGGACCAGACCAGAACAGGGAGTTTCGGTATCTTGAATGAGAAACAACTTCATTATCTCAGCGCTTGCATAGTCGATCAAAAGCAGATTTTGCCTATGACAATCCAGTTCCTACCCAATGAACTCGGTCACTTTGCTCCACTCCGGGTGGTTTTTCAGCCCATCCATCTCATCATCTCGCAAACACACCAAAACAGGTAAAACCGGGCCTTCAGATGGCATAAAGTAGACACATCCTGGAATAGGGGCCAGATATGGCCTTCTTGCAAACATTGGCTTCCCAATGACACCAAACGAATGAAAGAAATCGGCATTTGCTACAGCAGAGGCGCCGACATCCGTGTCTCGGTTGAAAAGCCCACCATATAAGATGCGAGATTTATTGGGGGTGTTAGCAATGTAGGTTGCATAGCTTCGGACCGAGAATCCATTGTTCACATCGTTAAGATCCGAGCGAAGTCTGCAAGCAATCGCCGATATAGGTTCCTTCTGGAGCTCTTCAAAAGTCATCCTCGTAGCTGCATGATAAACCATGTGTCCCATATACTCATACGAGACACCCATCGCCTTTCGCGCATCAATTGCCCGAAGGAATTTGGATATAATCTGTGGCGATTGCCCATTTTGTGTACGAACGTCGGCGATACACTTCCAGTAGAAGGCACTCAAGGCATCGTTACTGGAAATGAATGGGACGGGTTGGTCGCTTTCTTGAAATTGCAACGCCGCTGCCTTGATTTTGGGTACAGACGAGCTGCTCATCAAGAAGTAGCCCCATCGAGGTACTCCGTCGAGGATTGAGGGTGGAGATGGAGCGAAATTGGGTGGGATCTGAAGATGGCTGTGATCCCTGATGGTTTCTCCAGAGGGGATTAGAGGGATCACCGTGTTTCGATCGCGATTTCCTTCCTGGATAGCAGTAGAACTGAAATCCACTCCTTGCATGGCCACAGAAAAAAGTTTAATCACCTGCATCATGCCACTCGCATCAATAGCGTTGTGTTGAGTTGAGAAATTCAATAGGAGCCCTCCCTTGATGAAGTTGGCTTGAATCGCAAGGATTGGCGCTGGTTTATCAGCAGAGTCATCGTAGCTTTCTGGGAATCCTGGGTAAGAAGCCACAAGCTTTCCATCGATCATTGAACATGGGGCTTTGTGGCTCAAGAGATCTACAAATGAAGAGAGTGACTCTGTGTAATCTCTCACACGCAGAATGAGATTCGCCGAGGAAGAATTCTTTGGCCAATCCACGAGTTTGAAGACCCCAGAATTCCCTGGCCCGCTGCCTTCGTTAACAACAGCACCCGCGAGCCAAGGGAAGCTGGCAATTAGTTTTGCTGTAGCGGATTGCAACGCTCTAATAATGGTCGCTCGCTGATCATCATGGTCGATCTTGAAACCCAAAGTCCCGTGGTTGTATGTCTTCAAGATTGGGAACTGCCCAATGGCATCCTGATAAGCTGGCAGCATTTCTCCGACAATCAAGGGGGTTGGAAATTTAGTGCTGGAAACTAAATGTCTTGATAGAATTGCAGCGAGTGTCTCAAAATACACCGAGTATGTTATCTGTCGGAGCAAAGCTCATCACAATTCAAGACTGCAATGTTTCGCAAATGGCGGTCCCACCCACATGTATTCAATATTATCCGATACATCGTAGTGATGTACACAAAGAAAAAAAAAATAAAAACTCCGGTGGGTTGCATTAAACCTAGCATCTCGGGTGACCGTTGCTGGGCAGTTCATTTGGTACTCACAAGAGGAATCCCCAACAGATATTCTGCACGTGGGTTCAAAGGCCTCTTGGTGAGTATTCCTCAATAATCCGAGCATAAACCAGAAACATGCGCCCAGATACAAGCATTGAAGTAGCGATCATTGGCGGAGGCATCGCTGGTGTGACTGCCGCCATCGGCCTTCTCTCCAAAGGAATTTCCGTCAAATTGTACGAGCGAGCCAGTGCGTTTCGTGAAATCGGAGCAGGAATTGGACTCTCTCCGAACGCCGAACGAGCAATGCTTCTGCTGAATCCGAATATTCATGCTGTCTTTAAAAAGCTCGCGACTCCGAACACAGAGGACTGGTTTCAATATGTGGATGGATTCAACAGATCGGAGAAGGGTGATGGCGAGGAGCTGTTGTTCAAGGTATATCTTGGCGAAAGGGGCTTCGAAGGATGTCGCAGAACCGACTTCCTCAACGAACTAGTGAAGCTTTTACCTGAAGGCTGTGTGGAGTTCCGCAAAGATCTAGTGAATATCACGGAGCCCCGGGATGAATGTACCATGATCACCCTTCACTTCGCTGACGGTTCCACCTCGACTGCCGATGCGGTACTTGGTTGCGACGGGCTTCGATCTCGCGTTCGGGAACATGTTTTAGGTGTGGAGCACTCGGCGGTTCGGCCTTCCTACACCCACAAGTTAGCCTACCGCGGCGTAATTCCAATTGAAGACGCAATCCAAGCCATTGGCAAAGAAAAATCTTTGACAAGGTTTATGCATCTTGGACCGGGTTGCCACGTACTGACTTTCCCCGTCTCCATGTGCACCATGTTGAACGTCGTTGCATTTGTTACCGATCCAAATGACTGGCCCAGTGTTGATCAAACCACATTTCCTGCGACTAAGGAAGAGGTTCTTGAATCCTTTGCAAGTTTCGGTCCTGTGGTCACTGCAATAATGGATTTATTAGTCCACAGATTGGACAAGTGGGGGATTTTTGACTTACACGAGAGTCCAGTGACGACATATGTTTCTCAAGGCGGACGTGTTTGTCTAGTCGGCGATGCAGCTCATGCTGCAGCTCCACACCACGGAGCTGGAGCAGGTTCTGCAATCGAGGACGCCCTGGCGTTGGCTGTGGCGTTGGAGGAGGTCGACAAAACATTGTCAGCCAACCAACAACCAGTTAGCAGACAAATGGCCATTTCTGCAGCGTTTTCTGCATACGAAAGTGTGCGATATGAGCGCACTCAATGGTTGATCGAGAGCAGCCGATTTATGGGAGAGGTTTTCGAATGGCAAACCGCTCTTTGCGAAGCAGATCCCGCCAAGTGCCACAGCGAGGTTGAGTGGCGATCTCACACAATCTGGGATTATGATGTGGATCAAATGGTCGAGGCAGTTAGCGCAATATTTGGATCGAAGGTAAGTGAAGCACTAGGGCATGACAGGGGATTGTGACTTTTGTACAAAGTTTTCATATCCAACCTGGAAGAATGAGAGGCATGCAGGGTAGTATGTTTTGGATGATTGAGAGCAAATCCCTGCTGGAATGCCTGGAGTGACTCTGAAGTGAGGAGAATATTGTGTCTTAAGATATGCTGATGGTGAAATATGCTTGAAAAGACACAGCGAGATGAAGGATCAACACTTTCCTAGCAGCATGGAGTAGATGTAGTACAGGATGTGTACGGTAAGAATGATGGTAGTATATTACCGCCAGTCCTATTAGGGCTAGCGTGGTAAGATTGATCTTCCCGCTCAGCTTCTATCCAAACATTTGAATGTCCAGCGCGTCGCGCATGTTTTCAATTCATACTCTCAGGCTACAGAGCTCTTTTACATTGATAGACATGACATCACAAATGACTCAATCTTCAATTTGAATCCAGCGCGTGTTTCGGCCCTGACCCTTCTCCAAACCCCTGCGTTCTCAAGCCGACCACTTCAAGACACCGGCCGTCTTCCATGCTTCAATGTATTTTCGAACCAGATCTGGGCTAACAGGCCCGACCGATCTTAGTGACTCTGAATGCTCGCATGCTAGGGTTGTGTCTAGCAGCAACCCGCCACACGACATGCGAGTATAGTCCTGCTCAAAAAACTCAATGAGCTTAGCCGCAGGATTCTCGAAAGCAACAGACGAGGGACATGAGCGAACTCTCTGCAGCCATTGCTGAAACGGAACGACATCAACACCGATGGCCTCGGCCAGAACAGATACCACATCACACCATGGTTGTCTCACGGGGTTGTCAATATGGTACACGGGATATGATGGACTGCTATGATGCACGAGGAGATCGCAAACAGCAGCGGCCACATCGTTGACGGGTGTCCAAGACATGATTCCATCGAACCCCGGGAAAGCCTCAACAGTCTGCGATGATTGGACGAGGAAGCTAAAGTGCTCCATATGGTTCCAATACCCACTAGTCCTTGAACCAGCAATCTGCCCTGGGCGAACTGTCATCACTCGAAAGCTTTGGGTATACCTGTGCAATGTCTCGTCAAGCATGCGCTCACATGCCCACTTCGCGTCGCCGTATCCATTGGGAAGCACTGCCGCGGCTGTTTCGACCCGTTCCTCTGCAACCAATTGCTTACCTGTCATTGTCGGTCTGTGCCCCACAACTGCAATTGATGAGATGAACTGGAAGCATATGATCGATCCTTGCGCAGAATTTGCGCCGCTGGCGATATCCAAAAGATTTCGCATGACTTTGAATTGATTCTCGAATCCTTTCAACGGTCGTTTGCCGCTCATTGGCCATGCATTGTGGACAATGTGGGTGATTCTTGACTTCAAGCGGTCGTAGTAACCCTGCTCTAGCCCAAGCAATGCATTCGCTGTATCGGTCTCAATGATTTCAAGCTTCTCCAAGTTGGCTCCTTGGATTCCTCGGGATTCCATGGCATCAAACTGCCGCTTCCGTGGATCTATCTTACTTCTTCGGTTCACGCAAATTATCGTCTTCACTTGCGGGAGATGGGATAAATGCGCAACGATGTGCGAGCCCAAACTACCGTTCGTCCCGGTGACCAAGATGCACAGGTTCTCCTTTGCGACACAGCGCACCATAGGCGAGACTGGAATTGCAAAGTCCTGAGTATATTGCCGCACATAAGCATCAATCATTGCTTGTCGGGCTTCAATATGTGCCACAGGTGGTTTCTCGTTGCCATTTTCGCCGTTCAGGGCTAAAAAGACACGCTGAATTGTTGTCTCTGCATGATTGCCGTCTGACCAATCAACATGTCTGTACCCAGTCGCAATAAAATCATCGTGCCATCGAGACTGGTGGGCAACTGCATGCCGACGCCCGTCATCAAAGAGCCACCAGCCCCCCAGGAGACCAAATATCATATCCACCCAGTAAATTGTTCTCGTCATCTCAAGAAGTACCACAAATCCATCAGCACGCAGTGTGTTTCTGATGTTTCCAAGAGATCTTCTCAAACTGTGAGTAGCATGTACAGCGTTACTAGCCAACACCATATGTTGGCTGCCGAGAAGATCTTTCTCGGGCTCCTTCTCAAAATCCAATGTTCTGAAGCTCATGAACGGGTACTCTTTTGCGAATCTCTTCCTCCCCGCAGCGACAAATGACGGCGAGAGGTCGCTGAAGATATACTCGACGGGAATCCCAAGGTCTGCCAGAAGTGGGACAATCCACTTGGTGGTTCCCCCAGTCCCAGCTCCCAATTCAAGAATCTTCAGCGTCCCGCCCGATTTCTCCAATCTTAATGCCAGACGTTTGACGAAATCCCGCATCTGCATATATGACAGTTTGTTCAAGGGCGAATCTGCATAGAGGCCGGAAGCGAGTTTTCTTCCCTCTTCTGTTCCGAATATGACTTTAATTCCATCGGACTTGCCGGCCAAGACATCAGCCAGTCTGGAGCCAGCAAAATGCGTTAACATATGGGGGTACTGATGTTCTGGAAAAGAATCCATAAGGGTCCGCAATATATCAGAACTGGACTCTCTGGGTGCTGCCACCGAGGTACGCAGAATCATAGGCCCATGATTTTCAATGATACCGGTTTCTTTCTCGAGCATTTCATAAAGGTAGTCGACAAGGCCTTCCAATGATGGAATATGATTGATGCGGTCTAGCTCCTGTCCAGCTCGCGCCAAACGCAGATCACAACCCAATACAGAAAATGCTTCCAGTGTAAGGGCAACGCAAAGCTCTGTTTGGCGCGGCATGACCAACTCTAAGTAGCTGTCGCAATTCTCTTCTTCTATGAAGTGATCTGTGAGTACTTTGCATTCAGCAAAAGCTTCCAGTATCACCGAGGAAGAGATGCCAATACTGTCTTCCTGTTTAGCATTCACTGGAAGCTTGTCTCCTCCCCTCGTGGGCTGTTGCCCTATTTTGCCATTCAAAGAGTCTTCCAAGTCACACGCGACATCATCTGTTGAACTTTGTGACGTATCGATCGCATTTAATGAAGTTGCATTGGCATCAGAGCTATCGCTGATCTCCGATAGCCCCAGTGTTTGTCGAAGGCACTGGACCAGGCCCTCAAAACTGAAGACATCCATTAGTGCGTCTGTTGAAAAAGTACAACTAAATGCACCTTCTAGCTCACGCGCAAGCTCCATTCCCATCAGAGAGTCAATCCCAAGATCTGCCAGATGGGCGTTTTCTTTGATCTCCGTGGGATCCAGACCGGATAGATCAGCAAGAATGAGCCGCACTTTCGACACCAAGTCGATCTCCGAGAATCCGCCCAAGGCCGGCTTTTGGGCAGAAAAATTGTCGTTCGGTCTTTGTGCCCTTGAACCGATGCGTGTTGGCTCTGCCAAAGGCGCAGCCTTGGTATCGACTGAGAGTCGAGCTAGCAACTTGCTCATTGATAACTTTGATATCCTGGCGAAGTTAATACCAAGTATAACTTCAACCAGAGTTCCCTTTCTAGGGTCAAATATGAAGATATCGGTCATGAAAGCACTGTCTCCACGCCTCTCGTGGCACGCGATGATATCCCAGGTTTCAGGTCGAGGGGTATGGCGGAGAAGCTTTGGCGACCGCACCCATTTCTCGAGCCCGTTCGCGATATACATATCTCCAGTACCTTTTCTGGTCATACAATTCACCCAAATTCCGCCGACTTGACTGAAACAATCGGAAAGGTCGGCGTCAAGCCAGGAACCACCCGCATATCGCTTGGTCACTCGTCCGGCAGACTCACTTGTTGATATCCTTCCTACCAGTCTGCTCAGACCTTGAAACCGTGCGCCGTACTCGACAACCTCATTGAAGATCCTATAAATAGTGGAACCTTGGACAATGTCATCGCCCAGATCGTTACCATAGAGGAGATCGGTACAGCGTTGATGGGTCACCAAACGCTCATACCGAGCGAACTCAGTCTGAACTCCCACGTCGTCTGCATGTGAAAAGACAATTTCGCCGGTTACATGTGTTGTCACCACCGAGTCATTCCCGATTTTTTCACTTGTGAGGCTCCACGCCCATTCCTGGTTGGGGTCTGTACCGGCATCCTTTGCCATCAGGTCTAACCACACAACGCGCGATGAGTCCAAGCAGATGGGAGACTGATTTTCAACATTCAGGATCTGTGGCTGCAGGCTATCTTCCTTGAGCTTGGGATGTACACTCATAAGGGCATCGATTGCCATATCCACTTCCAATGTCGCGGGACAAATCGGAGCTGTCTGAGCAATGATGTGGCTCGAGACAATTGCCTTGTATTCTTCCGACTCACACAGTACTCTGAATCGAATTGAACGATGATCAATGTCCCGATATTCTTCGAATATCCAAAGACCTGCCTGCTTCGTTGGGCTCGCAGTTTGTACAGGCATATTGGATGGGACTTTCAGTTCCAACCAATGCTTTGATCTTTCGAATTGATATGGTGGTAACATCAGAGGGGCATATTCGTTGGTTTGCAATGGATGATGTTGCCAGAAAGTCGCGTTGATGCCATTCTTCCAAAGACCAATACTTGCGTGAGTGAGATTTGTTGTGGACCCGCCAGTCAATATGTCCATAGGGACAAAGGAATGCGAACTCATACTCGATCCGCCTAATGCTTGACAAACCATTTGAGTGATCGTCGAACTGGAGCCAGCCTCGAGCCACACGCACGATCCATGTCTGTCCGAAAGTCTTTGAACGGCATGGTGGAAATATACTGGATCTCTCATGTGATTTGGGACGAAGCTTGGGCCTATATTCAGGCTCGATCCGCTCTTGGTTGAAAATTCTATCGGAATGATTTGCTTCTTGAACGTGAGGTCACGCGACATTCGCTCTATTTCTGGCTTCAGATGGTCAACAAGGGGAGAGTGAAACGCATTAGTGACATTCAGCCTCTTCCAACGGATAGAGGAAAGCAATTTGTCTTTCAGAATGTGTTCAATGGTCGCTTCGATTGCTTCAGATGCTCCTGCAAGTGTGAAGCTGCTTGGTCCATTATACGAGGCAATCGTTACTGAATGCCCAGATGGAATATTTGCCGACAGAATATTCTCGAGCTGCTCAGGGTCGGCCTTGACCACCATCATAGCCCCTTTATCTGAGCCCCACTGGTCTCTCACGGTGCGAGCACGGCCAGTTATCAATCGAATTGTGTCAGGGAGACTCAAAATACCAGATATACACAATGCAGTGAGCTCACCAAAGCTATGGCCAACTAGAGCTGTAGGTCGGACACCACAGTCAATCCAGCTCATCGCCGAAGCATATTGAGAAGCAAACAGACATAATTGAAGTTTGACAACATCCTGGATTGGAGCCTTCTCGAATATCTCGGGGTAAATGCCACCAAGCTCCAAGAATTTCGATGTTTTGTCGCACATATCCAAATGGGTGCGCAAAATGGTCGTTGATTCCACAATGCTGTGATCCAATCCCACAAACTTGGAGACTTGTCCACCAAAACACAAGATCAATGCTGGGGAATCGCTCATGTCAACTGGCGCTGCCTCCTCGCTCAACTTTGTCTGTAGCTCTTCGACTGTTGAGCAGCTCAAAAGCAAAGCCTTGGGCAGCTTTCGGTTGGATTGCCGACAAAGGTTAAATGACAAGTCCCTGATCAAATTGGGATTCTTTTCGCAAGCATTTTGGTTCAAGAGATCACCAAGCCTCCCCGCATATATTCTGAGGCTCTTTTCATCAGATCCAGAAATCCAGAAGGGGTATTTTTGACCATCCTGGGGTCCGCAAATCGAGTTTTGATCCACTGCAAAGTTTGTGACGATCATGGACGCATTTGATCCCGAGGCCCCATAGTTATTGATCAAGGCAGCCTTGGATTTATTTGTCCAAGGCTTCAAAGATGTCGCAATCTCCATCAAATTGTGTGATTTGATATGAGGGCTCAGCTTCTGATGACTGGGCTGCGGGGGAATTGTGCTATGATGCATCATAAGAAGTACTTTTATCAGTGACACGAGACCAGAAGAACTTTCAGTATGCCCAACGAGGCCCTTCACCGAGCCTAGTTGGACAGGCTGCGCACGTTTGGCAACAGCAAAAACCTGACTGATGCTTTCATACTCTGCCGGGTCTCCCACTGGGGTACCTGTCCCGTGTGCTTCGACATATGAGACCTTACCGGGTTCAATGCCAGCTTTGTCCAGAACGTTTTGAAACAAACCCGTTAAAGATGGAGCATTGGGGACAAATATGGGCGTGCAATTCTGATTCTGGGAGACTGCTGTGCCAGATATCACGCCAAAAATTTGATCGCCGTCGGCTAGAGCACTCGATTTCTTCTTGAGGAACACGGCCCCCACACCTTCTCCACGACAATATCCATCCGCACTAACACAAAAGGGCTTGCATTGTCCAGTCTGGCTCAAAAAGGATGCCGCGGCAAGGTTTTGGTATGCTAATGGTTGAGTGATCATGTTCACGCCACCAGCAAGTGCATATTCGCATTCTCCCCCAAGAATGGCCTTACAAGCCTGATGCACAGCCACAGCAGCACCCGAGCAAGCAGTGTCAAGGGTGAGCGAAGGCCCAGTCCACCCAAACTGGTGACTGACTTTGCCTGCGATGAAACCACGAAGGTTTCCAGTGGAAGAGAACGCATTTGGGACGTGGCATGCCACGTTGTACTCATAATCAACGGCACACGTTCCCACGAAGCAACCCACGTTTGCTGAAGGGGCAGAATACTGGAAATAGCCTGACTGTGCAACAGCCTGGTAGGCAATCTCCAACAGCAATCTCTGTTGTGGGTCCATTGATGCTGCCTCTCGTGGGGCTTTCTTGAAGAATTTGTGATCGAACGAATCATGCGATTTGATGAAGTTTCCATACCACTTTCTGTTACTGTCATGATCCCGAAAGGCTGTTTCAAAATCTAAACGTGACTGCGGGATTTCGGTGTGCTGTGACTCTCCTTTGCACAAAATATCCCAAAACTCGTTAATGTCGTCAGCCCCGGCCACTTTGCAGGCCATACCAACCACGGCAATATCATTTTCATTCAACGTTGATGTCTGCAACATATTATCGTCTGGCTGGGAAGCAAAAGTTCCTTCATATACTATTCGACAGTCTTCAGAGAGGTTTTTAACAAACGAGGGTGGTGCGCATTTCTCTGAGCTGACGATGAAGATTTTCTTTTCTCCCGGAAGCGTGCTCAAATCCAGAAATGTGTTCCACCAGTCCGATTGCTGCACCAATATGGCATTCAAAGCGGCGAATGTCAGATTGCTCTGATCAATTTCTCGAGTTTTGGCATCGATGTCCGCCCAACAAGGTATCCTGAGCTCGGGTACCTCTGGGAACTGAAATTTTGGGTTTGATTCACAGAACTCATTCAGCAAGGATACAACACGCTGGTGGCATTTCGTATGGAACCGGCCTGACAGTTGAATCTCTACTACCGATATCCCGACAGAACTCATCTGTCTCATCATTTCAGGAACATGGGCCTTTGACGCTGTTACGGTGGCTCGGTTTTCGTCAAATCGAACGGATACGTAAGCCTTGATATATGTTAACAAATATTCAAAGCTTCAATCATGTTTAACGGTCTTCCACATACATTCTCGAATTTTCTAATGATCTCCTCCATGGCACTGAAGCCATCGCACGATCTCCAAGCTGCTGAAAACGAAGCTGAGTGGGTGTTCAGGGCATCTTCGGCATCCACAACAGCCCCAATCACCATGGCAAGGCGGATAGCGATAGCCCCATATTTCTCGATGTCTCCCAAGCCACGGCTGAGGGATACCACCAGTGCTGCCAATAGACCGGTGCAGAGCCCCACAGCATGCGTGGCATCCGACAAATTATTCTTCTCATCTTTCCATGCCTCAAATCCTGATCCGCTTTTTCTCAGACCGGCTTTCCTCGTGAATTCCACCAGGTGTGTGATGACACAAAGCGGAGTCAACAAGATGTTTGGTATATTGGGATCGTTTGTAATGGCTTCCGAACTTCCGGTCTTTAGTTGTTGATACAGGGATCTCAACAACGAAGCCCCTGGTATGATATCAAGCTCGGGAATTCTTTCGCTGATTTCAGTGAATCTGTCTGGAAGTTCTGCGACCACATCCTTGACCCACTCGAGTACAGATGGGTCTGCAGTATTCGCACCGAGGCTTCGGATTGAATCCTGGTTGAACGCAAGGGCTTGAGGTCCAAAGACTAAGATGGTGTTCTGTGTTCTCGCTCCGTCATACATGATATCGGCAAGATCTGGTGTTCGCGATTCAAGCAGAGACCTATTATCTTCTCAGAAACGACACCAGGGAAGTTGGAATCATGAATCGAAAGGATCGGCATTCCTTTTGTCTCTTTACTATTGTCACCGGCCTTATCGGATGGGAGGTATTTCACCATGCCGAGCTTACTTTCAGGGATCTTATTTACCATAAAGTTTGGTCACCAAAAACAGGGAGTCCATTGCCAGGTTGCAACGTGTTTGATCTCGGCGAGACGATTATTTTTGAATTTTCGCGACATATTGTGAGCCCATCAGCATTGTCAAGTGGAGGTTTCTTGATATACTCCGGGAGGGGAAGCGTGCAGCCGTGGGCGGAGTTTCCATTTTTCCCCACAGGCCGCAATGGTCTTTCTAAAGTTTGACTGCTGGCTTTGAGCACCTGTTCTTTCGGAGAGTCAATGTTTGATAATTCAAAATTTGGAAGGAGGGTATCACAGCCGGAGTATCTAATGGATCCCCAAGTTCCTATGTCGCCATTCAGTGCCCAAATCCCAAACTCATCTCGAACTCGAATAAGCGGCACATTACACCACATTGCTCATTCATAACCACCGAAGTCACCCCGTGACTTTTGGAATGGACGAACAACCTAAATTGATGTTTAATAAGCTGCCGATGAGCCTCTGCTTATTCACATGAGCAGGCCAAAGAATAACTACAAATTTCAGCGAAGAGTGGATTTTTGAAAGAACCCGTCTTTGCACTGAAGCCACGCGAAAAAAACATCAAGTACGAAATCATGCCAGATGAACAATCAAAGCCTGTGCCAATTGCTATCATTGGCATAGGCTGCAGATTTGCAGGCGATGCTACCAGTCCCTCAAAGCTCTGGGAAATGCTTGAAAATGGACGCAGTGCCTGGAGCGAGATTCCATCAAGTCGATTCAATATCGACGGATGGTATCATCCCAATTTTGAAAACATCAGCACAGTGAGTTAAAGCACTCTTATCGCATTGATCCCGTGTTCTCGGTGCCTAAGATCTCTCTAACTTATGTGTGTCTGTTCTAGACAAATGTTCGAGGTGGCCACTTTCTGAAAGAGGATCTGGGCTTCTTCGATGCACAGTTCTTTGGTCTTTCTGCAGAGACGGCCGCTGTAGGTGCGCTCCCGTCGAAGTCAACATACTCAACTAACAAAGCTAGACAATGGATCCCCAATATCGTTTGTTACTTGAGACCGTGTATGAAGCATTGGAAAACTGCAAGTGCTTTCGGGAATCAAGAATTTGTGAATTCTGCTGACGAGATGATGTTATATAGCTGGTCTCGCTCTAGATCAAATTGCTGGATCGAATACATCTGTATTCTCCGGCGCATTTTTTCACGACTATCAAGATGGTCATATGCGAGATGCCGAAAATTTGCCCCGTTTTCTGATGACAGGAAATGGCGCAGCTATGGCATCGAACCGAATTTCCCACTTCTTTGATTTTCGTGGCCCAAGTATGACTGTTGATACAGGCTGCAGCACGACCCTTACGGCATTGCACCAAGCATGTCAAGGGCTTCGATCTGGCGATTCTGATATGTCAATCGTCGGGGGATCCAATCTGTTGATAAATCCAGACTTCTTTGTGACAATATCTACCTTGGGGTATGCCTTCTGTCTGCAATCCGAGTTCATATTTACTGACACCAAAATCAGAATGCTTTCGAAAGACGGCAGGTCGTAAGTAGAGCTACGCAACATCTCGCTACCTTCATTCTAACGCACCTTTCATCTAGGTATTCTTTCGACAATAGGGCAAATGGCTATGGCCGAGGGGAAGGTGTCGCAGCCATTGTTTTGAAAAGATTAGACGATGCACTCGGGGCTGGTGACCCAATCCGATCACTCATTAGAGAGACGCAGCTCAATCAAGATGGCAAAACCGAAACGATAACATCACCCAGCTGCCAAGCCCAGGAGAGCCTTATCCGCTCGTGTTACGAGAAAGTTGGCATTAACCCATCCTCGGTCCAGTACTTTGAAGCCCATGGCACCGGAACCCCCACGGGAGATCCCATCGAGGCAAACGCAATCGCGAGGGTTTTCCAAAACACTAGACCAAACGATCAGCCATTATACATCGGGTCTGTCAAAACAAACCTTGGTCATACGGAGCCTACAAGCGGCCTTGCAAGTGTGATAAAGGTGGTGCTGGCACTGGAACGAAAGGTTATACCCCCAAGCATCAATTTCCAAATACCAAACGAGCGGCTGGCACTTGATGAATGGAAACTGAAAGTCCCAGTGCGTTGTGAAGCCTGGCCAACCAGTTGCGACGGGGCTCGAAGGGCTTCAGTGAACAACTTCGGGTACGGTGGAGCCAATGCGCATGTCATTATGGAGGACTGGCATGACAGCAACCCATTATACCTCTCCGGTGAATCCGTGAATCGGAACCTCAACGGTACCCAAGCTTCAGTGACACAGTCAAAGATATTTGTTCTGAGCGCGAGAGATGAAAACTGCTGCAGAGTGATGGCATCAAACTTGAAAGCCTACATTGAGGGTCAGAAGTCGCATCTCGGACCCGAAACCGAGTTCCTTAATAACCTTGCATTCACTCTGGGCGAGCGTCGCAGTCGTTTTTCTTGGGTCTCCACTCATGTGGGCACTACAACCTCAGAGCTTGCTGTCGATCTCGACAGTAAAAAAGTCAACCCAGCGCGATCTAGTGACAGACCGAAGCTTGGGTTTGTTTTCACTGGCCAAGGTGCCCAGTGGCATGCTATGGGAAGGGAGCTTCTCGATGCCTATCCCCTGTTCAAGAGCTCCATTCTTGAGGCAGAAGCATACTTGAAAGAGTTCGGATGCAAGTGGTCTCTTTTAGAAGAGCTCCTCCGTGACGAAAAGACTACAAAAGTGACTGAGACTTCCTTTGGTATGCCACTATGCACGGCTGTTCAGATCTCGCTGGTGCGCCTTCTCGAGGCATGGGATATAACTCCCGCTGCCGTCTCCAGCCACTCAAGTGGCGAGATTGCCGCAGCATATACCGTGGGTGCTATAAGTTACCGATCAGCTATGGCCGCGTGTTATAGTCGCTGCGAGATTGCTTCAGAATTGAGCGATGTACATGGAGGCATGATGGCAGTCGGTCTTGGTGCTCCGGATGTACAGGAGTTATTGCATAATGTGCATGCAGGCATTGCGACCATAGCGTGCATCAATAGCCCTTCCAGTGTCACAGTATCCGGGGATATTGAAGCCATCGATGAGTTTGAGACTATACTGAAAAACCAGAACGTTTTTGCTCGCCGTCTTCGCGTTCGTACTGCGTTCCATTCCCACCACATGCAACCACTGTACGGCCCCTATCTGAACAGCATGCATGAGATCATGGACCCCGAGGTTCGAACCTTACGCCCAATTATCTATGCATCACCCACCACTGGCACACGGATTACAGATGGTGCTCAGCTCTGCGATCCCAAGCACTGGGCGGACAGCATGGTTAGATCAGTTTTGTTTCAGGATTCTTTCCGTCAAATGGCATTGGATCCAACCAATGGTGACAAGAACATCGATATTGCTATTGAAGTCGGTCCGCATGCAGCACTTTCTGGTCCTATTGGGGATATTCTTCTCACCCCCGACTTCCACGATACCAATATAGGATACCTCTCATGTTTGGTTCGCAACAGAAATGCAGTTTCCACCATGCAATCACTTGCCAGTCAGTTGCTTTTGCGAGGTTATCCCATCAATCTCAATGCCATTAACTTCCCAACGGGGAGCAACAGTCTACGCGTTCTCACTGACCTCCCACCTTATCCTTGGAATCACCAAGTGCGTCATTGGGATGAACCTAGGGCGAATGTCTCCCATCGATCCAAACAATTTGGATACCATGATCTTCTTGGGTCTCCTCTTAGCGGGGCGAACCCCCTCGCCCCAATCTGGAGACACATTATTAGACTGTCAGATGTGCCCTGGGTCCGAGAGCACACTGTGCAGTCTAATGTGATATATCCAGGAGCAGGATATATTTGCATGGCAATTGAGGCTGTGAGTCAGATATCTCAAGCTGCACATCAACCCGTCTCAGGCTATCGGCTTCGAGATGTGGATATATTACAAGCTCTCATTGTCCCTCAAGGACCGGATGGCATCGAAGTCCAACTGAGTCTCAAAACCGTCGATGAGAGAGCTATTGGAGTCAAAGGATGGAAAGAGTTCAGAATATTTTCAGTGGGGAGGCAGGACAAATGGACAGAGAATTGCAAAGGGCTTATAAATGTTGAGATTGAGCCTACGGGGGAAGCTTCTCTCTGTCAGGGGCGGATTGAACCATCTCACTTCGACGCTGATCCCCAAACTTACCCTCAACTTGTCGAGCCAGAGGCAATCTATGCAGCATTGAGGTCCAGTGCCATATACCACGGCAAGACATTCCAGAACATTCAGTCCGTCAAAGTTGGCCATGATCGAGCAGTTTCCACTTTAGCCATCGCAGATGTTGCATCAACTATGCCGTCGCACCATCAAAAGAGGCACGTTATTCATCCGACCACACTAGACTCGGTGTTCGTCTCTGCGTACGGCGCACTCCTTAGCATAAACTCGAACCACTGCGCCTCCATGGTTCCCAAAACGATCAAGAGTCTCTGGGTGTCTCACAATATTGAATCCAAACCCGCCCATCAATTCGAATCTCATGTCCAAGTCCTCCGTGTTGACTCCAAGAGATTCGAATCTAGTATTTTCTTACATGATGTGCCCAATGGTGACCCCATTGAACCCCCAATTTTGGCAATAGATGGATTTGTTTGCCAATCGCTAGGACAGGCCTTATGCAACGCCTCGGGGTCCGGTGAGATTGATGTATGCAGCACTGTGAAATGGGCCCCTGATATCTCACTCACGGACCCACATCTTCTGAACGAGCAAATCAGCTCCCCCGCTAGTACAAAAGAAGAGGAGGTGATTCTCGATTTGAGGCGGGCTTGCTTGCATTTTATTCGTGATGCGCTAGCATACTTGACTCCCACAGATGTTCAAAACCTCGAGTGGCATCATAAGAGATTCCACACTTGGATGAAAGTCCAGGTAGACCGTGCCGTCACTTGCGACCTAGCACCGTTGAGCTCTGAATGGGTCAAGGATAGCGATAACTATAAAAGCCGCCTATTTGACCTTGTCCGCTCATCCAGCGTGAATGGAGAGGCCGTTTGTCACTTGGGGACGTGCCTAGTGGCTATTCTCACCCAAAAGATATCCCCTCTGGAACTATTGATGGAGGGCAAGTTGCTTTACAAATACTATCGGCAAGCCCTTAAGTTCGATCGATGCAACGTCCACCTGGCGAAGCTCGCAGAACATCTTGTTCACAAGAGCCCTCGGGTCAAAATCCTTGAAATCGGTGCCGGTACCGGCGGGACCACTCTTTCATTGCTGAATGTCATTGGAAATGGCAAGAAATGCGGCTGGGGTCCATTCGCATCCGAATACCATTTTACCGATATATCTTCTGGCTTCTTTGCAGAAGCTCAGGAGCAATTCTGCGATTGGAACGACATTATCAGCTACCGCAAGCTAGACATCGAGGCGAATCCTGCAGAACAGGGTTTTGAGTGCGGTAGCTATGATATTGTCGTTGCCAATCAGGTTCTCCATGCGACGAAATCTGTTGTATCAACTATGAAGAACGTGCGGAGCTTATTGAAGCCCGGTGGGAAACTGTTGCTCATGGAGAACACGAAAGATCAGATGGATATGCAATTCGTGTTCGGCCTCTTGCCTGGTTGGTGGCTCAGTGAGTATCTTTGCCCTTTACAGGGAAGAATTTTACTAATCAAGTCTATAGGCTCAGATGAACAAAATCTTAGTCCCATTCTTTCTTCAGGGGATTGGGATGAGGTGCTCCTTTCAACGGGATTCAGTGGATGCGATCTCGACATCCACGACTGTGATCGTGAGGATGTGTATACAATGAGCGTCATTATGTCTACTGCCATCGTCGAAGATTGTGATGCCCCGATTCCCCCATCAATTGTTTTGGTTCATGCCCCCGATCTTTCGGGTCACGATGAGCATTGGATGAGAATACTCCAACAGCAAGTTGCTTCCATCAACAAAGGAGGCACTGTCAGTATTGAATCCATTGCTTCGGTCGATGCCACTGGTAAAATTGGTGTCGTTCTTGGTGACTGCAGTGGTTTTTCTCTTTCGACCCTCACAGAGACAGACTTTCACGCTATTGTTCGCCTTGCTCTTGGCTGCAAGTCTCTTCTGTGGGTTACTAGAGGCGGGGCCATTGATTGTCAAAAGCCCGAAAGTGCGCTCAGTTCGGGTCTTCTCCGTACTCTTCGCCGTGAAAACTTAACCAAGACATATGTATCTCTTGACATCGACACAAGAGATTCTACGCTGGGTGTTCGGGATGCTTCCATCATATCAAAGGTCCTTGCGGGCATGATAAATGGCTCGTCAAAGAACACACGCGATTTCGAGTTTGCAGAGCGTGATGGCGTCATCCTTGTTCCAAGACTGGTCAAAGACTTCGATCGAAATAAGTTGATCTCAACGGATTCCACAGATATTTCTACAACACTAGAATCCAGCCAGTTCAATACGCTTGGTGGAAGCAATAACACGGCTTTCAAGCTGAAGATTGACTCGCCCGGCCTCTTGGAAACATTGTGTTTCAATGAGATTGCAGAGGATGACGTTGCAATCCTTCCAGACACGATCGAGATTGAACCAAAAGCCTGTGGCGTCAACTTCCGGGATGTCATGGCCGCCATGGGTCAGCTCAATGAAACAGTCATGGGGCTGGAATGCTCCGGTGTTGTGACTCGTGTCGGGGCCAATGCTGCATCTCAGGGTTTTTCCGTTGGATGCCGTGTTATTGCGCTTGTTGATGGTCAATACCAAAACCGTATTCGAGTTCCTTGGACTGTCGCTTGCCCCATGTCCCACTTCGACTTTGACACCGCTGCGTCGATTCCGATGGCATTCACCACCGCGTACATATCTTTATATAACACTGCGAAACTATGCAATGGTCAATCTGTCCTCATCCATGCAGCCAGCGGGGGTGTCGGGCAAGCGGCAATCATCCTCTCCCAGCACATTGGAGTTGAAGTATTTGCAACCGTTGGGTCGAGTGAAAAACGAAGATTTATCACATCCGAGTATGGTATACCAGATGATCATTTATTTTCAAGTCGTGACTCAACATTTGTTTCTAAATTGATGTCAATCACGGGTGGAAAAGGCGTTGATGTTGTCCTGAACTGCTTATCCGGTGAGCTTCTGCAAGAAAGCTTCAACTGTCTGGCTCCATTCGGTCATTTTGTCGAGGTTGGGAAATTTGACATGGAGCACAATCATTACCTTGAAATGGCCCCATTCACTCGTGTCGCATCTTTCTCTTCGATTGACATTCTCGCCCTGCTCAGGCTTGGTAGTCCAGTCATCCACCGCACATTGAGTGCTATTGTCAGACTTCTAGATCAGGGACTCATTCACCCAGTCAAGCCAATCACGACATATCCTGTCGCTGATGTTGAAAAGGCATTCCGCTTGATGCAGGCAGGTAAGCACATGGGAAAGATTGTTCTGTCAGTTAGCGATCGCATAATCAAGGTAGGTGTGAAATTTTCGAGTTCTTATGCAAGTCCGCGACAAACGCTGAAGAAATGCAGTATCGCCCTCTTAAACCTTCGGTGAAGCTTCGACCAGATGCTTCCTATCTCATCACCGGTGGGGCTGGCGGTATCGGAAAAGCAGTTGCCGAATGGCTACTGGCGCATGGTGCCAGGAGTCTAATTCTAATGTCTCGAAGTGTCACCACTGGAGCAGCGTCATTTACCAAGGATCTCGAAGATACACACCCTGGCTCGAAAATCCACCTAGTGGGGTGCGACATTTCAAATTCTGCCGAGCTTACTTTAGCCATCGACAAATGTATCGAAGATCTTCCACCAATATGTGGCGTCATACAGGCCGCAATGGTTCTTCGGGATTCAATCATTGAGAATATGAGCTTTGATGATTACAATGCGGCCTTACTCCCAAAGGTTCAGGGATCATGGAACCTGCATCAACACCTGGGTAAAGACCTGGATTTCTTCATTATGCTCTCTTCCTTGGCCGGGGTCATTGGCAACCCGAGTCAGTCCAACTATACGGCCGGGGGCGCATTCCAAGATGCTCTTGCCAGATACAGAGTGGGCAAGGGGCTCCCAGGGGTATCTTTGGACATTGGTGCCGTCAAGAATGTGGGCTATGTGGCATCCAACAAATCTGTGTTTGAACGGTTGGAGCGACAAGGGTATAGACTCCTGGAAATACATGAGATTCTTTCGGCGATCGAGTCGGCTATTCTCCATCCGTCTCATCAGATCGTGGTCGGAATCAACACTGGCGATGCGCCCGAGTCTCACGACTCGATACTCAGTGGAGATGCGCGTTTCGACGCCTTGCGATACATACGACCAGCAAACAGCAGTACCAACACTAGGAAGTCAGGTCCAGTATCTGAAGGTTTGTCGCATCAACTTTCCCGTGTGTCGTCGGTGAAAGAGGCCGCGATCGTCGTTCTGCAGGCCCTAGTCAAAAGACTAGTGGATATCTTCATGATCCCCGTTGAGGAGGTCATCGAATCTAAGTCGATGGCAGACTTTGGTGTTGACTCTCTTGTTGCTGTTGAACTGCGAAACATGCTTGCTGTGCAAGCTGGGGCGGAAATCTCGATTTTCGACATTATGCAGAGCCCATCACTTGCAGTGCTAGCTCACACTGTTGCTGTATCCAGCAAGTACTTGGATTCAGTATAGAGTGATCAAATTGTGAAGAGCTCTCGGTTCAGAAGTAACAGAGAGATTGTGTGCCTCTGATTTGACTTCAAAGTGACCCCATATCGAGGCTTTAGGATAGAAGGCAGAAACCAATTAAGAACTTTGTAAAATCAACGTTCAGGGAATTTTCCTTCCTTTTATATTCTGAATGTCTGTGTTGTGTACGGATTTCACCTTCCACTAGCCACTTTCAAGGTTGCACCGCCACGCCTTGGCGTCTTGGCGTGGCTTGTGAAGCAGAGATTACCAAAGCTTATAGTTTCCCCGGGCCAAGGGTTGTCATGGCTGTATCAGGATCTACTACTCATCGTTCAAAGTTAAGTTTTAAAGATTCGTTCTAAGTAATGACTTCCAATTTAGGCACACAGGCTCATGATTCCTAAATTCAATACTAAAAGATCCGATCGGTAGAAGTCGACTTCAGGTGACATCGCGGCCCGGATATAGATTAGGAGCCGTAGGCTTCCAAGATAAGTAATATCTAGCACATGTTCTTTTTTGACCTTTCAAACATCTTCCTAAATTATTCTACAGAGGTACGTCGGAAGCAGAAGCGACTTGGGGAAATATAGGATGATAAAATGCTTGTTCAGGAGTTTTTCTGTCATATGTAGACTTCTGTGTCTCAAGGGGAATATCAATACCAGTCAAAGCAGTAGCAAAGCAAGGATTAATGAGAGACAAGTTGTGGTAACAGACTCTGAGTGAATTCCCAGATGAGACCACTGTTGTGATCGATGAAAGCCGCTCCCGAATACCATGTATTGCGTTTTCCCTGTAAGGCGTAGAGATTACTATAAAACCCACTGGCAATACAATCGGCGGAAACGCTTAGTTTGAAAGGCGTATGGGATTTGTACTTGAGAACAGTCGGTGTTGTTTGTGTCAGGTTGCGTGCCCGCTGGATGTTCTGAATGGCCTTGATGGCAGCTTTCTCGACTCCCTTCCGTTTCATATCATATGGACTGCGGAAATAGACGTATACGGCGCCCGGGATACGTGTGCTGGTAATTTGCGACGCACTAGGATGCTCTGGGATGTGGTATACAGTCGGCGAATTGTCGACGTTGATATACTGGACTCCAGAAGGAAGGCCGGTGTTGTTGAGTAGCAAGGTAAAGTATCCGAAAATCTTCCACTGCGTGAAAAGCTCGAGTTCTTCCATGTTCAGGTCGAGCGACTGTAGATTATGCAGAGTTGGGGGAATCGTAATTAGTAGTTTAGATGCCTGAATCAGTTTCGACCCGATGCGCGACTTGACTGCCAAGGACACCGGTCCACTTTGCGGCCTTGAGACCGCTGTGATTTTCGATTTGGTGAGGGCGCTTGAGCCCAATTCGACGGCAGCCTTCCTGTATATCTCCTTGTTACTGTGGCGTGCAGTCACGACTGCGCCCCCTGACATCTGATATAGGAATGCTTGATTCACCATCTTCATCACGTTGACCGTGGGTTGTTGAAGAGGGTTGGACAGCCCATTGGCACTGAAGTACAGGGTAAATGCACTGCTGGTCATGTTGTATTTTGCGAGAAAATCTCCGAACGGCAGTAAAAGGTCTGGATCAACAGGAAGAGGAACATTCCAGGTCGAGTTCAACCAAGGATATTTGGCAAGTTGAGCGGCCCATGCACTAAAGTCACGACTTGGAGCGAACTGAACAGGCTGACCTGTGTTGAAATCTGTCGCCTCGAAGGTGATGTTGAACAACCCATAATTGACTAAGGGGACACCAAAGTGTGCAAAAAAGCAAAGGGTAGCGGTGTTGTTCATATACGCCTGCACGCCGTAATCTACCGTCACGTTGTTGGTATGATCGGTATACGTGTTTGTGTGGCCTCCCAAGTGCTTTTTCTTCTCCACCAGCACGACCTTTTGGCCCATTTCCCGCAGATTAATGGCAGCATAAGTGCCCGCTGCGCCGCCACCAATGATGGCAACGTCGGTGACAATAACGTCTTCGGGATCATAGCTTTTCGGATCAAGGATGTTGCCGGCAACGTGCATGACCAGGTACGAGCCGACCGTCAGCAAGATTCTCCAAATTGAAGACATCGGACTTGATGGGGTCCCTGGGGCTAGAAATTCGGTGTATCTCTGGGTTAGTTACAGTGCCGTGTGCCCCTTGGTGTTCTGCTCACAACTGTCCAGGGTGGCCTTACACGATTCTTCCCACAATAGGTGTTTCGTTTCCACGGGGATGAATTTTCTGGAACAGTAGAAGGGTTAAAGGCCTTTTATTGGGTCAAGTCCAAGTCAAAATAACATAGATGTACAAGGACAATCTCATTGGGAAAGCGATCTTGTCCGGATGGGGTAAACATAAAATAAGCCGTGACATTTGCGATGGAACCAAGCCAGTCACACATAAAATGAAGCTTCTTGCACAACTCTTTGGATAGTCTAGTATCACGGTGTTATCACGAACCAGTTTAGACACCATTCAAAGGGTGATCTACACCCGGCAAGTGAGGCAGGTGGCACTGTGTATCAGTGACTTGCTGAGTTCCTGAAGACATATCAAGAAATGAAGAGTGACTTTGAGTGGGAATACAAGAGGTATATTGTAGCGAAAGGACATCTTATGGTAGAGTTCAGTTTGGGAAGTCACCGGGAGGAAAACAACCCCGTGTCCGAGACCCCAACCTCTTCGCTTGACACTTCCCACTTGCCTCACACTTGATCATTCATGAGCTAGTGGGAAATTGGTACCTCGCTGTGTGTAAAAGGGTCAAAGTCATCATGAAGCTCATCGTTGCTGGTGCAACTGGTCTCCTGGGCACCGAGATCATTCGACAGACCCTGCGCATACCCGAGATCACGGAGGTCGTTGCATTGGCCCGCAAACCTGTTCATCTTGATGAAGGCTCAGACATTTCGAAGATCAAAAGTGTCATCATTCGCGACTATGGAGAGTACTCTGATGATGTGAAGGCCGAGTTCGCCGGTGCCGATGCCTGTATTTGGTACACTCTCACATCTCCTCTCATCCTCTGGTGGGAACTTCACTGACCAGGATGTTCATTCTGAATTCAGGACCGTCGCTATCACACCTTTCCGTATCAAGAATTTCGACTTCGCGGAAGTCAAACGCGTTTGTCAGGACTGCACGAAGATCGGGTTCGAGGCTATATACCAGGCTGGACCTGCGCGTCCTTTCCGTTTTGTCTATCTCAGCGCAGATGGTACACCAAGGGATCCGACGAAGAAGCCCGCTATCTGGGGCGACTACCAAGTCATGCGGGTCAGTCATTGGAGCTCCACGGCCTAGTCCGGATGTTTGGCTAATGCCGTGATTTCTAATGTTCTAGTGCAATACCGAACTGATGGTCCTCAAGTTTCCCACAGAGCACGAGGGAGTGGACGTCTGTATCGCTCAGCCTGGGGTCATCGCAAACTCAAATACCTGGTCGAGAGCCTTAGTGGCAAATATCTTCCGCGTCGTTAATCTCGTGGGCCGACCCTTCCCGAATGTTCACCGGAGTGAGCTTGCGGCGGCTGTGCTGAGCCAGGCTGTCAACGGAATCGAGAAAGAGACACTTTTGAACGCTGATCTTGTCCGTATTGGCGTGAAATCATTGAAGTCCCAGAAAACCATTCAGACCTCGTGAACAAGGTTCAGTGACGCACCATTCTAGGGTCTCACTCATGTTCTATTTCCCGTCTTTTATCGTTTGCATACAAAATTCCTCTATTGATATCCACGTTTCCAGGCAAATAATCCTACTTGATTGATTTGACTATTCAAACTACCTATTGCACATCATATTTGACCTTGCATGTTAGATCCCAATGAGGCTTTAGATAACTTCAGGACAAATCCTGTACTTTCTTGAACACGTTTTCTGGGTCATATATCTTCTTCAGGCTTCTCAATCTCGCTGCATTTGGTCCATATATCTTCTCTGCTTTGGTAGTAGAACCTGTCAATTTTAGTAGTGTTAGCCCTTGGTGGCAAAATTCCCAAATTCCACATGGAACACGGATGGATGACTTACTGAAGTAATTCGCGTAAGTGCTGTACCCATCACAGTAATTGTCTCCCTTCCAACCAACACTATCGGCACAAAGTTGAGTGAATCTTTTTGAAAAGGATCGCACATCAACATCCTTGGACTCCTCAGTCCAGTTCATTGATATGCAAATTGACGCGAATTGGCCCCTATTACCGAAGGCAGCGGCTGATAGTGGGGTTTCACGTATCTTGTTGGTAGGAAAGAACTCGAATCCCAGCGTACTTCCACGAAGGTTTTCATTCTCTGGTGAATTGGTGGCCTCCCAGAACTGGTCGCAAATCGCCTTGCCGGATACTTTATTAAGCGGATGTGTGAAATTTGCGCCGCCAAATAGATGTCTATCATTTGGACCTCTGGGGTATTTGTTGAACATCAGATTGAGATCTGGGTATGACAGCATGCCTGTCGTGTCACCTAATGGATTGAGGTCAAGAAGTGGTCTGAATCTCTCTTTTCCCTCCTCCTCGGATCCGTTGTGAAAGATAACAGTCATTACACCGCTAGCTTTATTGGGAGGTATGAAGTTGCCGACAAGCACACTCATCATGGAGTTGCCATCGTCTGTATCTACTACAGCGGGAGTTAGATATCATTGCCATGCAAGGAGGCGTGCTCCAAGGTTTGTTTGTCCTCTCAAAGGTACTCACTGAGATGGTTCCCAAACTCGAATATGTCCGGTATCATTTCCGGGCTAAACCCTAGGAATCCCGCCCAACTCTCCCCTTGAGGAAAGGCTTGAGAAGTGAAATGAGTGACAATGCCAAAATTAGGTCCAGCACCTCGCAAGGCCCAGAATAGATCTGAGTTTTCTTCCTTGCTCGCTTTGACGATGTCTCCATTTGCCAACACGACTTCACAGCTAATAAGACAATCTAAAGCCAACCCACACTTGCCAGTCAAGAATCCATAACCACCGCCCAGTATCAGCCCTCCAACCCCCGTATCACCAACTGTCCCACTGACAGTTGCTAGTCCATGATGCCACAAAGCACCATTCACGTCCTCCCATGTACATCCGCCTCCGAATGTGATTGTTTGTGACTCGGTATCAACGATCGTGGATCTGATTTGACGCAAATCAATCACCATCCCTCCCTCCGAGCAACTGTCACCACTTGTACTGTGTCCGCCACCGCAGACTGCAAGAGGAAGTATGTTGTGGTGCGTAGCGTAGCGCAAGGCAACGCTCACTTCCAACGCGTTTCTCGGACAAACTATTACTGCGGCAGGTTTGTTGCATGAGGCACTCCATCTCTTGACCCTATCTTCGTAGCCGACATACCCAGGGAGGAATATCTCTGCCTCAGGAAGAGTTTTGAAGAGATCATCGAATTGTGACATTTTTCAGAGATTTGCGATTCAAAACAAGTGAATTGGGTTCGCCTTTTGTCTTTGATCCACGTGGGAACGACTTTTCTGGGAATTTTGTAGTCGCCGGGGTCGCAAGGTACAGATATACATCCATGTTGCACTGGAAGTAACATGCTCACGTACTTAAGTACCTGGTTATCCACCGATGTGACCGCAAAGCATTGTACGATCCCCACAGCATGTTGAGTAATATGACATATCCATTCGTGGGCACTGACGATGTTATCTCCAGCTTGAGAAGCGCAAAGAAAGTCGAGTCGAGTCCCGCTTTTGCTTCACTCCGAGCGACAAAAAAACCGACCTGTCAACTCCGAGCTCATCTTAAGCTCTTATTAGAGCCTCTATGTCTTCTTCTCAAACTCGACCGTGGGACGAAAAGCCACACACACTCAGCGAATACCTACTCTTACCCCGATATTAAGCCCTCCGCATCAGCAACTCAGCCCAAAAATTGAATTTCACACCTCCAAGATCGCAGCAGTGATTTCTTCTGAGTTTGCGCCGCAAATGCAATGAAGTCTAAGTTGATATTTCTTGGACTTTCGGTCATTTCGCAAGTCGTCGCCTCCCCCAACCTCACGGCGATATTTGGATCCTCACTTTCATCTGCAGTGGAGATCATATTACCCGGGGACGCTGACTGGGGCACAAGAGTGCAGGCACGATGGTCTGACTACGCATCTCCTACATTCTTTGGGGTCATCAAACCTGTGACTGAGTCTGATATTCAACATACTGTGCGCATCCCTCAGCACTCGGGTAACATCTAACGATTCTCACATGCTTCCCTATGATTAGGTGCGATTAGCCCAGATTTACAATATCCGGTTTCTGGCAACTGGTGGTGGACAATCTTTCTCCGATTATAGTCATTTCGAAGGAATATCAATTGATCTGGGAAACTTCGATTCTGTCACACTTGATGATACCCAGACATACCTTACGATCGGCGGGGCGGCAAAGTACAACCAGTTGACCGATCTGTTGTACAACGCTTCAAAAGAGCTTCGTATGTACAACCTGGGCACTCACCCAGTTTGGAACCTTGAAACATATCATATCTGACGTGGTCATAGCCTTGGCTTCATGTGCTTGCCCTGGTGTGGTGGGTGCTACCCTCGGCGCTGGGATAGGGCCCCTGATGGGCCACCGCGGGTTGATGATAGATGCACTCGAGTCTGTTCGGCTTGTCACCGCAGATGGAGAGATTATCACCGCCTCGCACGAAGACAATGCAGAGCTCTTCTGGGGCATTCGTGGCGCGGGCAGCAACTTTGGGATCATAACTTCTGCAACCTTTAAACTTTGGGGTATCACAAACAACGGCCTTGCTATGTCCGCTGGTTTGGTGTTTCCAGCTTCAGTGAACGGTAGTTACTGGCGAGTCTTGCAGACATTCGACACCAACATGCCGGCCCGACTGGCTTTGACAAACATGGCCTTTTTCGATCGCCAAACGAACCAGGTGATTATAGCCCCTGAAGATGATGAGTATGTGTCTGAGCTATCTCGGTAGCCATATATCGTGCTGAATGCCATTTATTTCGGACCCAGAGAAGAAGGTGAGCCCTACCTAGAGCGATTCAGAAAGTTAAAGCCTCTCAGGGACGAGGTAAAGATGGTACCGCAGAATAAGCTTTTCCCTCCTGTGCTCGGATCCTGCACACCGGGTCAAAAAGTCAACATACACAGTACCGCAGTCAAGCGCACAGATCCGGAAACTTTGGAATCGATTTTCGCCGACCTGAACAGGTTTTGGCGGCAGCACATCGGATACCAAGGCCGACTCCTCATACCACGCTTTGCGAATGATGCCACCGCAAAAGTGCATGGCAATAATACATCATTCCCATGGCGGACAGCCATTGCACACATGTGAGTCAAGGCGGCTTATCTTGATTGATCAGGTTTCTTCCCATACCCAAAGGTTCCCATGCTGATTTGTATCCATGGTTATAGAAGTATCGAAGGATACATGAACGACACGTCCATATATGAGATCGTAAACGAGTTTCAGCAATCGCTTAGGTCTCGCATCGCAGCTTCCAGTGGATATGTTGGTCTTGCTACATATGCTGGTTATGCACGCGGAAACGAGGGAGCTACAGCTTGGTATTCGTCTGACAACTTGCCCCGGCTCACGAGTTTGAAACGGATATGGGATCCAGATCATCTTTTTGGATATAACAAGCCGATCCCGGTTTGATTCGTCATCTTGAAAGCCTTCCGTGCAAGCAGGCAACGTAGTCAATGTGGAGCCTGCAAGGAAGGGAAGAAGGGAGGACGGAAGCCATGGATTGAACTGACCACAAGAGAGGTGGAGGAGGGAGAGAGATATACGGTAGTCAGCGCCAGGGTTGTAGCTATATCCGAGCACTCAACAGATGTTATGCATGGGTTTTGGACTGGTATTCTCATAGGCGTTTGATGTTGATGTCGCGACTCGCAATGCCGTGCACGGACCTCTGTTTGTTCAATAACATGTGACACTTACTTTGGCCTGAGATGTCAGGCACCAGCCCGGTGCCTTGCTTTATCAAAATCATCAACCTTGGAACCCTGCTGACATTTCAGCTGGAAGACTCGGGAGACTTGTAGATTCCACACCTAAAATTCATCAAACTGTTCTCTTTGACCTTTTCTGATTTCTGTCACCATGTTCTAATGTGAACATCCACCCAGACCCTCTCCTGGAGGATGAGCCATTCCCACGAGGGGAGACCATTGGCCCAGTGGAAAGAAAACGAAATAACTGCGATCGTATTTATTCGTCTGACGTGTTGAAGCCTGCGTTTCCCAAGATACGCAAGACAACATGCGGGAACTAGATCCCCTCATCTCGGAATATCGCCATGAAAAAAAGCGTCCTAGGGAGGACGAGGCGCTCTTGATCCTGCGCAAAGTTGCGTCTTTAGTCAAACCGATCATGCGACAGCGCGCCTGGAGAGTTGGTGCTTTATGCGAGTTCTACCCACAACAACGAAACCTGTTGGGACTGAATGTAAATTCGGGCCAAAAGATTTGCCTGAGATTACGGTATCCGTCTGACCAGCGACAATTTCTCCCCATAGAAGATGTTGTCGACACAATGTTACATGAGTAAGTACTGTCGCCTTGAAACTCGCATTGCACAGGCTGATCAACCACAGGCTGTGCCACAATGTTATTGGTCCCCACAACCAGCAATTTCATGCGCTGTGGAATCAACTGCGCGACGAGCATGAGGAGCTAGCCCGGAAAGGCTACACTGGAGAAGGTTTCCTATCTCAAGGCAAGCGTCTTGGGGGCCGGAGAATTCCAGTGGACGAAGCTCGGCGTCAGGCGCGTGCCGCTGCGGAGCAACGAAGAACCCTTGCCAAAAACTCTGGCCAAAAGCTAGGTGGAACACGCCATCTTCGAGGAACGGATATCCGCAAGCTTCGGGCCGACGCTGCCCAGCGCCGTCTCGAAGTTACCCAAGGCTGCGCTTCTGGTGCGAATAACAGCGACGAGCTTGCGGAAGAGGCCTCCCGTAATGGATTCAGAACTCAGGCCGAAGAAGACGATGCGAACGAACGGGCTATCATGGAGGCATTCATTGAGCTGATTCAGGAAGAAGAGCGTGAGAAGTATGAATCATCATATGTTCCACCGAGCCAGGAGCATCCAGCTGGACCAAGAACAGAATCATCGCCTCCCCCTGGACCGTCAGCTGCTCCACCAGCCACATCCAAACCCCTACCCTTACTATCAAAGGCGACAAAAGAGACCAATACATTTTCACCGACTGAGACTGTCGATCTAACTGCCGATAACAGCTCATATGATAAAGCCTGGATCTGCCCAACGTGCACTCTTGAAAACCAATCTACCTTCCTATGCTGTGATGCTTGTGCAGGAGAGCGACCTCCTCCAACCAACACGAAGCCCACGACAGCTCCAATCCCCAGAAACGCCTCCACTCAGAGAAAATCATCTGGCTCCCTCAATCCAAAGAAACGGCCACTACCTAGTGATCAAAAGGAAGAAACGGAAACGAACGCCAAGAATGCATTTGCTTTCAAGAATCGCACCCGACCGCTGGATAGTATCAAGGCTTTGGATACTGGAGCTGAAAAGAAGCCCCTCGGATGGCTGTGCATATCTTGTGGCAGCTTCATGGAAAGCCAATGGTGGACATGCTCTTGCTGTGGAACGATGAAGCCGTCTTCGTGATCAATTACGCATTATCAACTCAAGCACGCACTCAAACAAGTTTCACGTGATTATGATCTCCATATCCATATGTAGAAAAAAAAGTTGGAAAAAAGTTGAAAAGGCCTTTTACATTGCAATGTTCCATCTAGTTCGACTCGATTGTATTAAAGCACACTCAGCGTAGCGGACCCATATAAACCCGACACGTGACCATGTGACTAAGCTGGCTCTACCCGACCTTTTTTTTCTCACAAAAGCCGCTCCAACCTCCTCTTTCCCCTCCAGCTTCAACCACCCAAGCTCCTGAATTGGCCGGGATCGGTCTCAATGCATGACCGACCGGCCATGATGGAGTTAATCACTAATTGGTAAGTTCAACTGAGCTCTAAGGTTCTGACACAGCAAGAGAAAATCACCGCATCGGACTCTACATGATGAGAATCGCATTGAACCATACAATTAGGAAGAGCCGGAAAAGGATGGCAGTGGATTGTTCAATTTATGAAAAGTTCACTGTCGTCGGTGCTTATAACGGTTCTGCTGACATGAGTCCTATGATGCTTGCTTTTCTCTTGGCTGTCGGGACATCTTGATGTTGCATGGAAGCAGATCGCTAACGATACCTTGCTTCAGATCACATGCGCCAATACTCTCTTGAATAGTCAAATGAAATTCTCTCAAAATACAAAAATCCAATATCTAAAACCTGGACCTTGAAATCTCTTTCCTTCCCCCCCCCCCCCCCCCCCCCCCCCCGCACCGCTCGCGCACCGGGGTCCCACAACAACCCTTCACGC